AAGCAGTGGGAGGGGCAAGGCCAAAGATCTAAGTGAAAGATGATCTTCAGCTAATGCTTGAAAAGCTTCAAATTGCCAAAAATGGCAAGTAAATTTTTAACCTGGAATGTCAATGGATTAAATTCACCGCAAAAGAGGAGGAAAATATTTCATTACCTGAAACAGTATAAAAATGACATTATATGCTTACAAGAGACACATATTAGAATGCAAGATCAAAAATATTTAATAAATGCAAGGTTGGGGACACATTTTGTAGCATCTGCACCGGAAAAGAAAAATGGTATAGTTATATACCTAAAAAAAGGTTTAATAGCTAAATTAATTGAAGCAGATGCGCAAGGAAGATATATTGCAATTGAAATTTTAATATAAGGGAAAAAATCACTATTGATTGGAATATATGCACCAAACCAGCAACAAGAAAGTTTCTATAAGACTTTACATGCTAAATTAACAAATGGGATTACAAAACACATATAATGATGGGAGATTGGAGTCTTGGATATTAAAAAGGACAAAAAAGGATCTCTGCAAAATATCCAAGCACATGCCAGATTGCCTAAATCCTTTTTTGATATGATGGAGGACATGGAGCTTAGAGATATTTGGCGTGAGAGGAATGGAGAAGAGAAAGATTTTACCTTTTTTTCTGATAGACATCAGTCATTTTCTAGGATTGACTTTATATTAATCTCTAATGATTTTCTTTCTAGGGTGAAGAAAACAAAAATATGTCCAAGAACATTAACAGATCATAGTCCGGTTTGGATGGAATTAGAATATGAAAAGGGACCCAGGAAGTCTTGGAGGCTGAATGAAAATTTGTTTAGATATGAGGGAAATGTGAAAGAATGTAAACAATTTATGAAAGAATTTTTTGTTATGAATATGCATAAAGGTACACCTACGGAAACGGTTTGGGATGCAAGTAAAGTATATATGAGAGGTATTTTAATATATTTGAATAATAAATATAGACGTAAACAGGAAAGGAAACGGAAGGAGCTAGAAGAAGAAATAAAAAATAAAGAGCAAGTATTAGTTTTAAATCCAACTGATAAGAAAACAAAAGAAGCAATTAATTTTTTGCTAGGGCAATTTAATATGTTGATGGCAGACCAGGTGGCAACTAATTTGCAATATGCCAAACATAACTCTTTTTGTAATGCGAACAAACCAGGCAGATGGTTGGCATATTTGCTTAGGAAAAAAAAGTCACGTACTATAGAGAAAATAGAATATAAGGGTGAAGAGGTGTATCAGCAAAACATGATTAAAAAAGCATTTTCAGAATTCTACACGAAGTTGTACACTAGTGATAAGATTCAAGGACAAATATTTACAGAGGGAGAATATTTCTATAGTTTCAGAAGAGCAAAGGGAAGGTTTGAATCAATTGATAACTGTTGAAGAAATTGTTGTAGGAATTAAGCAATTGAAGGTGGGAAAGGCCCCTGGGACGGATGGACTGATAGCGGCTTATTATAAAAATTTGCAGGCAGAAATGGTGGAACCACTTAAAGAATTATTTAATAAAATACAAACTGGAGGACAAGTGCCTCCTTCCTGGAGAACAGCATTTATTTCCCTGATCCCAAAGGAGGATCAAGATCACACTCAGCCAAAAAACTATAGGCCTATTTCACTGTTAAATACAGATTATAAGATTTTTACTAAAATATTGGCAAATAGGTTGATGCCAGTTATGCAACAAATGATTCACAATGACCAAACCGGTTTCATTAATAGGCGATATATGAAGAGTAATGTAAGACAAATAGTTAATATATTGGAGTATTTGGGAAAAAACAACCAGGTCCCTGCGGTGCTTATATTCTTAGATGCGGAGAAAGTGTTTGATCGATTGAACTGGAATTTTTTATTGAAAATAATTGAAAAGATGCAATTTGGTGAATACTTTATACCATCTATTAAGGCAATAGATCAACAACAAACGGCACAAGTAATAATTAATGGTAGTTTAACGGAATCTTTCAATATAGAAAAGGGAACAAGACAAGGATGTCCTTTATCTCCATTACTGTTTATTTTGACTTTGGAATTTTTGTTGAATAAAATAACGTGGTTCAGATAAAATAAAGGGAATTAAAATTAGGCATGAGGATTATAGGGTAAGAGCATTTGCAGATGACCTGGTTGTGACCTTGACCCAACCAATAAAATTGGTTATAGGTTTAATGGATATAATTAATCAATATGGACAAGTCTCTGGATTTAAAATAAATGCAGGGAAAACAAAGATAATAATTAAAAATATGGTTACAAGTCAAAAAGAAGAAATAGAAAGAATAACAGGATTTGAATCAGTAACGAAGGTTAAGTACTTAGGGGTTTATATCACGACATCAAATGCAAAACTATATAAGTATAACTATGAATTGTTGTGGCAAAAAATACAGAAAGAGATGGAAAATTGGAAAAAATTGCAATTATCATTGCTGGGAAGGATAGCTGCTGTGAAAATGAATATTTTGCCAAAGTTCTTATTTCTTTTCCAAATGATACCAATACTGAAAAAAGATGGAAACTTGAATGAATGGCAGAAGGGTATTACTAATTTTGTGTGGGCAGGAAAGAGACCAAGAATAAAACGAAAAATAATGCAAGATACATGTGAAAGAGGAGGTCTCAAAATGCCTAATTTAAGATTGCATTACAAGGCAGCTGTGCTGTCAGTAATTAGTGATTGGATTAATTCAACAGAAGAGAGAATATTGAATATTGAAGGGTATGATTTGTTATATGGATGGCATGCATATTTACTATATGATAAAAAGGTGGATAAGAATTTTAAAAGTCATATATTAAGAAATGCATTATTACGTGTATAGAAAAAATATCAATATAAATTAAATAATAAATTACCTATATGGACAATACCTAGACATATGATAGAGAATATAAGTGTGGAACAGAAACAAGATGGGATCACTTATAAAGAGCTTCTTATTTTGGAAAGAGGTACATTGCAATTAAAGTCTTTAGAAGTATTAAAGGAAGAAAGGAAAATTCAAACTTGGTTTCAGTATGGACAGTTGTATACTAGATGGAAAGAAGATCAGAAAATTGGTATTTTGCAAAATGAAGAAAATTTAATAAAACAAATTAGGGATCAAAGTCCAATGCATATTAAAAGGCTGTATAATGCATTGATAGAAATAGATTCAGAAACCGAGTTAGTGAAGGATTGTATGATAAAATGGGCACAAAATTTTGAGGAATCAATAACCATGGATGTATGGGAGAAAATATGGGTTAGAAATGTAAAATTTACTCAAGCCCAAAACTTGAGAGAAAATTTTTATAAAATGTTTTATAGATGGCATTTAGATCCCAAAAAGTTAGCTTGTATGTACCCAAGTTTACAATCTACGTGTTGGAGATGTAAATGTGATGATGCAACATATTTTCATATATGGTGGACATGTAAGAAAATTAAGGCATTTTGGATTAAGATATGGTGGATTATACAAAATATTCTTAAAAGGAAGATAAAATTTACTCCACAGTTGTTTTTATTGGGTATAACTAGACTGTACAGTTATAGAGACTAATTTGATTTTGAACTTAATAACCGCAGCCAGACTTTTGGTGGCGCAATATTGGAAGAAGGAAGAACTACCTACTATTGAAGAATGGACATTAAAAGTAGCTAATTTGGCGGAGATGGCTAAAATCTCTGCATACTTGAAGGAGCATTCGAATGAAAGATATGTACTGGAATGGAGAAGATGGATTGACTATATACAAAACAAATATGGGACTAAAAAGTTGCAAATAGCTTATGAATGAAATATTTAGATGATTTTTCCTTTTATTCTGACATTTTGGCACCTATGGGGGAGTTAAAGAGTAAGGGGGAGTTAAGAGCTTATAGCTAGTTTGTTTATGTTAGATTATGTTTGTTAAATGCGATACCCTGTATTTTGCTCTGGGAAGTCAGGGGCGGGGAGGAGGGGGGGAAATTTGTTTGTAAAACATTTAAAAACTTTTCAATTAAAAAAAAAAACAGTAATTGTGAGGGGGACCTTGGGAGTCCGAATGGATGATCACTTAAATAATGAGTCACATTTGTGCGGCAGCAGCCAAAAAATCAAATACAATCCTTGGTTGTATAAACATTAGAGGCATAGAATCAAAATCAGATGAAGTATTAATAGCATTTATAAAGCCTTAGTAAGACTTGGAATACTGCATCCAGTTTTGGTCATTATCCCATGAAAAATATTTTTAGACTTTGGAAAAAGTGCGAAGAAGAGCAGTTAAGATGGTTAAAAGGCCTGAAGACCAAAACATTTGAAGAACTGTTGCAGGATTTGGGTTGGCTAGTCTAGAGAAAAGAATTAGGACTGGCATGATAGCAGTGTTCCAGTATTTGAGAGGCTGCCACAAAGAGGAGGAGGTCAATTTATTTTCCAAAGGCAGAATGAATAGAAGCTGACAAAATGCGTGGGCAAAATATATTTTTCTAGCATTAGGATCTTATATTTATCTTTTTATGGTGTGCCAGAGGCTAGAAAAAAGGATAAAGGTAACTTAAAGACAATTAACGGTGTGTTTACTACTGTGTTTTCCTCAAAATAAGACCTACCGCAAAAATAAACCATAGCATGATTTTTCATGGTGCTTGCAACTTAAGCCCTATCTGCAAAATAAGCCTTAGTTCACAGCGTCATCAGTGGAGGGGGGAGGGGCATGGCCAGCACAGGAGGCGGTGACCGCACCTGCAGGGGCCAGCGGTGTTCAGAAGCACCTTTAGCCCACGTAGCGCAGTCGCTCCAAGCAGCAGATAAAGGCAGAGTTGTGGGGGTGAGGCAGGCGATCTGTCCCACCATCTATCTTTGCATGTGGAGTGTGCCTCACCTCCCGGCAGCGACACCAGCAAAAGCACAGGTTTGGAGGAGGCATGTGATCCAGTCTGCTGGACAGCGGTGCAGGGCCACCTGCCTCCTCTGTCCACTTTTGGTTGCCTGCAGCTGTGATGTGGCAGGTGGTGTGTCCAGAGGGCTGGATCACATGTCTCCACAAACCCTGCACCTCTGTCTTCATCTGTTGATGGTGCTGCTGCTACAAGGTGTAGTCGAGCAGGAGTGGTGCCAAGCCATGGCCACTGTCCGCTTGACCCCCGTCATCCAACCTGGTTCTCCAGCTTTGTTGCACACACTCCGCAAGCAAAGAGAGACAGTGGGACAGCAGCTGGGAATAATGGAGCTTTTCATTCCTCACCTCAGAAGCAAGGGGAAGGAAGAGGGAAAGGAGAGCAGTTGTGGTTTTGAGAACGTGGCACGGAAGCAAGGGTCTGTTTCTTGAAGATTTGTCCTGACACTCCCATCCTCTTTGAACCTGGCCTCCTCCTTGAAGGGAGATGGAGGGCTGAAGCAGAAGAGAAAGGGTGGGGGGGATGCTGTGCAGCTAAGGATGTGGGGCTCTCCTGCTTTTCCATGAGACCTCTGAGGAGACATTATGTACAAATGAAAAAGCCACTCATTCCAAGTCAGCAGCAGCGCCTGGGCTCTGGTAGTGGGCCCATTTCATCCTTCCGCCGGGAGTGTCTTGGCACAGTGTCCCCTTAATGGACCTTCCTCTTCCCTGCAGTTCCCAGGGAGAGGAGAGAGAGAGAGAGAGGAGGGAGGGGGACAAACCGAAAGGGCGCTTGGCCTCACAGTGCTATGTTTTGCTTTGCACGCTGTGTCTCCTGAGATTCTTTGAGAGACAAGTGAGCCCCACCATTAGCTGCTGGATGGAGGGCTAGCTTGTGCTGAACCAGAGGAGAAAGAGGGGAGTGAGAAGCTAAGGACAAGGGGCACACCTGCCTCTCCTCAAGACCTCTGGAGACACAGTTGCTGCAAGCAAGCAATTAGGATGTCAGAAACAAAAAGTGGCACTCGCCTGCTGCCCCTTGCACTGCAGAAGACTGTGAAACGTAGAGAACAGCCACTCTCCCTTTGGGAAAGAGCCAGGAGGCGTTTCAATAGCAGGTGAAGTTGGGTCTTATTCAGATCACATCCTGGCATGTTTTGGACGGGGGGAAAACTCAGCTGCTATTGCCCGTGCTGGGGTTTGCACAGTGGCAGCAAGATACTGCAGGATTTATGTTTATCTTCCTTCCAAAACATATGGACGACAGGTGAATCCTTTTTTCACTTTTGACACACCACTCCCAGCCACTGGCACGAGCGACCCTTGGGGGCTCTTCCTCCTCCTGACAGTAGTGCTCTCAGCCACCCAGCTGGGCGGCTCCTGATTGACAGGGGCCCAGAGTTCTCAACAACCACAAGACACAAGCTGTGTTTCCCAGAGATTCTCCTGGTCCTCCTCTTCTGACCTCCCGGCTTTTTCTGACAGGATTTGGAGTTGGACCCTTTGGAGATCTCCTCCAATCTCTGCCCAGGACGGCTGTTCTTGAGAGAAGCTAGTTCAAATTCTCCAGAGAGATTTTTCTCCATCTACACAGACGGCTCCTGGACAGGAAAGAGAGGGAGAAAGTGCTGTATTTGGAAACCACAAAGCTTTTCTTGGGCAGGGAGGCATTGAGAGGGGCTTTTCCTCCTACTCCCATGCCCATCATCCCTGCCCTCTCCCTTCCCCTCAGATACGCTCCTCTTTCCCGCGCTTTTCAGGGAATCCCGTAAATTTTCGCGGAATCCACTAGGGGGCGCCTTCTGCCAAGAGAAGGGAACTCCAGACGCTTCCCCATTGGGCCACTGGAGGGCGAAAGACACGGCTGCCTTTGTAGAGGAGGTTGCGAAGGCAGTGACATCACACACGCTTGCCTCTCTAGCACTCCGCAATCGCTCTCCTTAACCCCCGGGGCTCCGCAAGAGGTGGGGGGGAGGTTGCGGGAGAGTCTGGCGGGGGCAGATCCAGACGTGCCCCGGGTGAGTTGGGGGCTCTTCCCGAGGAAAGGGAGGCGGAGGAGGGAGAGACCCGCGCCCGGCCCTCCCCCGGCTGCAACCCCGGGTCCCATGCTCCCCAGCCGCCCTCTCCATGCAGGAGGAAGCGGGGATCCCAGGAAGGCTTGGGGGATCCGGGGCACCCTTCCCTTACCCTTATCCGGGGAAGAGCCCAAGGGAGGGGAGGGGAGGGTCTGCCTTGCGGAGGCCCAGCAGGAGAGGAGAGAAGCCGGGCGAGGAGAAGGCAGGATTCGCACCAGGCTCCCTGTCTCCGGAGGGGGAGAGAAGCGGGGCGGCCTCTCCAGCTGCCTCCTTCCAGGCCCTTCTCTGGGATGAGCCGCTTGGAACTCCTGGAAGGTTGGGTGAAGGTTGTTCAGTGGTTAAGTTCTACTTTCTAATTCTTGGCGTTTATTTTTCCTTCAATCTCAGATACAGAAACTCGAAGCCAGGCAAAAGTTTCTCTTGGGGGAAAAAAAAAGAGCGGAATCCCTTGGAGGGATCAGTCCTGCAGCCCCAGAAATGGTCCCGTGAAGGAAAAGGCATCTGGAGACCCATCAGAGTCCTTGGAGCCATTTGGAGCTGCTCTGCAGGACAGAGAAAGGATGGAGACGCAACCTTTTGGAAAGGAGGGAAGCGGAAAAGGCCCTTCAGCTACTCAGCCTGGGAACTGTGGGGAGATCTGGACAAGGACTGGGCAGGAGATCCTGGAGGAGGAAACCATCCTCCCTTCAGAAGTTCAGCCCTGGAAGTTCCTCCAATACTGGGAGGCTGAAGGTCCCCGAGGACTTTGCAGCCGACTTCATATCTTTTGTAGACGATGGCTGAGACCAGATAAGCACACCAAATCCCAGATGCTGGATCTGGTTGTTCTGGAGCAGCTCTTGTTCCTTCTGCCCCCAGAGATGGAGGGCTGGGTGCGGGAGTGTGGAGCAGAGACCAGCTCCCAGGTGGTGGCCCTGGCGGAAGGCTTCCTCCTGAACCAGGCGGAGGAGCAGAAGGAGCAGGTCGAATTGCAGGTAAGAGTTCAAAATAGAATAGAGAATCTGTTTGAATACTTTATTCGTCCTTCCTAAATTTCTCTGACATTCATATGTGGCGATGTCCCACCAATCTTACAGCATTGTTCCATTGTTTTCTCACTCAACCACACAGATGGATATTGAGGTCTTTCAGGTTGTGTTCCGAATATGAATCCACTTTATGTCGTGTGATGTACATTAATTCTGCTTCTTTTTTCCTTCCTCCTATTTGAAGTGCTGCACTGTGGAGATCAGAGATCCTGAGAGAAAGACAAATCCATCAAATCCCCCTCAGGAGCTATTTTTCAGGAGGATCCCTTGGGAAGATCAAAGTCAAGACACTTCAGGAGGTAATCCAAGCTCCTCCGATTTCCCAGAGAGATCCCATCTGTCTTACCTTATTCTCTTCTGTAGTATACCTCCTCTTATTTTGTTAAATATGCATTTTCAAATTATTTATTCCTTACAGAGAAACAAAGAATGAAGTTTTCTGCTTTTTACGATGGAGCTCAAGCTGTGATTGAACCTCCAAAACAAGTAAGAAAGGGAAAATCCCTACTAAACCCTACTAAGCAGGTATATACAAAAGTATGAAAGCTATTGCTTAACGCATTGTAAGCCGCCCTGAGTCTCCGGAGAAGGGCGGCATATAAATCGAACCAATAAATAAATAAATAAATAAATAAAAGTTATTAGAGTTCTATTGTTCTTTACAAAGAAACGGGGGTCAGTGTTCTCTCCTTCTATTTCCCCCCTTGTATCGACTGGATTATTTCAAGTCCTTCAACTAATAGGAATAAACGTATCACTGTAGTACTGATTGGTAGAGACGCATTCTTTTTGTCATTCTTTGAATTCTGCAAGGCTAATGAAAAATAACTAAATTCTCACATTGCCACTTTACCATTTTTAAAAAAAGCCTTGTTCATAATCGGTCGTTTCAAAAGTAAGCAAATCATATTAAAAAATAAAGCAGAATTTTAAAATCCAAAGAGAACGGCCACATAGAGCATGTAATCGTGGTACGTTGGGCTACAAAACAATTTCCAATCCTCTGATTTGTGCCTGGATTAGGAGATCAAATATTCCCACTTTGCAAAGGTTTAGAAATGGCCTTCGCCATTTGGTTCTCCCATTCAGCCAATAGCTCAGACTACTAGATCAATAAATGATAGGGCGATAGATAAATTGATCCAGAGGTGGGATTACTTTAATGAAAGGCACTGAAAGTTCTGCAGCTTGATAAAACTTGCCCCAAATATTTCTTCAGTCAAACAAATTTGTAGAATTGTCCATTTTCTCACCTATATTTAGGACTTGTGTGATGCACAGCCATTTAACTTGATGCAAATCTTTGCTTTGGGAACAATGGAGCAGAATAACAGAATTGGTAGGGATCTTGGAGATCTTTTACTCCAACCCCCTTCTCAGACAGGAAGCCCTATAATATTTCACTTAAATGACTATCCAATTTCTTCTTAAACACCTCCAGTATTGCAGCATCCGCAACTTCTGGAAGCAAGGCATTCCACTGATTAATTGTTCTCACTGTCAGTAAATTTCTCTTTAGTTGTAGATTAGTTCTCTCTTTGATTAGTTTCCATCCATTGCTTCTTGTCCCGCCTTCAGGTGCTTTGGAGAATAGGCTGGCCTCTTCTTCTTTGTGGCAGCCCCTGAGATATTGCAACACTGCTACCATATCATCCCTAGTTCTTTTCATTAAACTAGACATACCCAATTCCAGCAACCGTTTTTTATATGTTTTAGCCTCCAGGATCCTAATCATTTTGGTTGCTCTTTCTAGAGTTTCAAGATCTTTTTTACATTGTAGTAACCAATATTGAATGCAATATTCCAAGTGTGGTCTTACCAAGGCATTATAAACTGGTACTAACACTTCATGTAGTCTTGATTCTATCCCTCTCTTAATGCAACCTATGATTGAGTTGGGTTTTTTTTTGGCACCTGTAACATACTGCTGGCTCATGTTTAAGTGATTGTCCACTAGGACTCGAAGATCCCTGTTGCACTTTCTACTGTTGAACCAGGTATCACCTATTCTATCCCTTTCTGTTTAGTTTTTCTTTCCTAAATGTAGCACCTTCCATTTCTCACTGTTGATTTTCATTTTGTTAGATGGGGCCCAATATGTCGATAGTTCTATATCTCGAGCTTATCTTCTGGAGTGTTGGTATTCCTGTCAATTTAGTCTTGTCTTCAAATTTGAGGACTTCCCCTTCTATTCTCTTGTCTAAATCATTGATTAAGATGATCAGATACTGCAAATCCTCCTGTTCTGTTCTTTTTTCCGTGTTCAGGAGAGTCTTGTGTCCTTCGAGGAGGTGGCTGTGTATTTCTCTGAGGAGGAATGGTCTCAGCTGGATCCTGACCAAAAAGCGCTGCATTCGGAAGTCATGCTTGAAAACCATAGGAACGTGGTCTCTCTGGGTAAGAGTTTTTAGTCCCCAATCAGAGAACTCAAGAAGACAGATTATAGTTAGTTTTTTTTATTTTAAAAAACCACTAATCCAATATTATTTCCTTGGATGGAGAAGGAAACGGTCTGGCCTTCTCGTACTCCAATGAAGGAATGAGTCAATGTTTCTTTGCTTAGCTTCTTTCTGTGCCATTTCTTATCTGTATTTTTCCATTTCTGTTTGAACTTAGGAGGCTGAAAAGTGTGGTGTGCTTTTTTTTGTCAAGTTTTTTTTTTTAATTTATATATAAACATTATTTTATACAGTGTATTTTCCAGGCATACATTTTACAAAAGGAAAAAAAGAAAAGAAATAGTAACATATATACTGATAGCAATAGTAGTAGTATAACAGAATGATTCTAACTGTATTTATAATTATGTTAGCTTATTTATTTATTTATTTAATCTAATTTTTATACTGCCCTTCTCCCAAAGGACTCAGGGTGGATTACAGCCAAAGATAAAACAACACATATAAAATTTAAAACCAATTTAAAAACATATTAAATAATTTGACCCCAACATCATTAAAAACAAAAGCAACCCATTAAAATTAATGTTTAGGCCAGTCCAGATTGTTGGAACAATAACGTCTTGAGGGCACGGCAAAAAGTGCGTAGGTCAGGGATCATTCGTATCTCCGCGGGCAATTCATTCCAGAGGGCGGGGATATACGAGACCGCCTTCTGCCAGCAAAAACCTCCCACTGCCCAATACGCTCCCACAGAGAGGGACTCCTCAGGGTGCCATCGGCCAAACAATGCCGACTGGCGACCCCCAGGGGGAGAGCCTTCTCTGTGGAGGCACCAGCCCTCTGGAATGAGCTGCCCTTAGAGCTTCGTCTTATCCCCGACCTGCGTACTTTTCGCCGCGCCCTTAAAACCCTTCTGTTTCAGCAAGCCAGACTGGCCTAGTATGAATTTTTAAAATGTATGTATATTTTAATTTGCGGCCAAATTTTATATTCGATTTTAATTGGTTTTAAATTTTATAAATCTATGTGTTTTAATATGGCTGTACACCGCCCTGAGTCCTTTGGGAGAAGGGTGGTATAGAAATCTAATAATAAATAACTCCTCCCAGATAACACTCTCAAGATCCTCCTCCATCACCCCATCTGAACCTACCCAGTCGGAGTCCAAGCCTTCCCGAATCTGAGCGATTTTGTCATGCAGATATTGCACAAAATCCTCAGCCCTACCCTGCAAGGGGTCTTCCCGCACTCCCAAATGAAGAAGGGAGCGGGTCACCCTAAACAGGGCGGCTGGGCGGTTATCTGCAGACGCAATAAGAGCAGAATAATAATTAGATTTTACCGCTCTTATTGCCACTAGGTAGATCTTAATATGAGACCTCACCAGTGTTCAATCAGATTCGGAACGGCTGGCCCTCTAACCGCTCTCTAGGTGTCTTTTCCAGTGCTTCATCTCCCTCAGCTCCTCAGTAAACCAGGGAGCCAGTTGGGATCGGCACCAGGTCAGAGGCTGCAAAGGCACGACGCGGTCCAAAGCTCCAGCGGCCGCCCTATCCCAGTTCTTCAGTCGAGTCGTGAGCCAGAGCCTCAGGGAATGGCCCAAGCTCCGTCAGGAACCTATCCGGATCCATCAGGCACCTGGGACAGAACCACCTAGTTGGTTCCGACTCCCTTCGGTGGAGGGTAGCGGCTTGAAAGTCTAGTCAAAGGAGTGATCTGACCATGACAAGGGATTGATGGCTATATCCTCTGTTTCTAGATCATTCAGCCATTGACCAGAGACAAAAATCAAATCCAGAGTGTGTCCCCCCGTGTGAGTAGGGCCTTGGACTAACTGGGTCAGGTCCATGGCTGTCATGGAAGCCATGAACTCCCAAGCTGCCTCTGACGTTTCACCGACAGATGGCAGGTTGAAATGCCCCATGACCATAAGCCTGGGGGTATCCACCACCACCCCAGCTATTACGTTGAGCAGTTCGGGCAGGGCTGCCGCCATGTGGCAGGGAGCCAGGTACGCAATAAACAAGCCCATCTGCACCCCACGACCCCACTTCACAAGGAGGGACTCACATCCGGCTATCTGAGGTACAGTGGCCTCCCTCGGACAAAGATCTTCCTTTATAATAGCCGCCACCCCCCCGCCCCTACCCTGAGCCCTCGGCTGATGGAATGCGCAGAAGCTTGGTGGGCACATTTCAACGAGGGGAAAACCCCCCCCCCAGCCCAACCAGGTCTCCGTAATACCCGCCAGGTCAACTCCCTCCTGAACAAGATCGTAAATGAGGGGGGCAACTTAGGCGTCCTCCTGGACACACGGCTGTCTTTAGAAGAGCATATGACGGCCGTTGCCAGGGGGGCTTTTTATCAGGTTCGCCTGATACGCCAGTTGCATCCCTTTCTGGATCAGGACTCCCTACGCACGATCACTCAAGCACTCGTCACTTCCCACCTGGACTACTGCAATGCTCTCTACATGGGGCTCCCCTTGGGGTGCACCCAGAGGCTGCAGTTGGTCCAGAATGCAGCTGCGTGGGGGATTATGGGAGCGACGGGGCGCTCACATATAATACCTCTCCTGCGCAAGCTGCACTGGCTTTCTGTGGTCTTCCAGGTGCGCTTCAAGGTGTTGGTAACCACCTTTAAAGCGCTCTATGGCTTAGGGCCGGGGTATTTGCGAGACCGCCTTCTGCCGCCAATAGCCTCCCACCGACTGGTTCACTCGCACAGAGAGGGCCTCCTCAGGGTGCAGTAGGCCAGGCAGTGCCGGCTGGCGACCCCCAGGGGGAGAGCCTTCTCTATGGCAGCACCTGCCCTCTGGAATGACCTGCCCCCTGAGGTACGCACGATATCAGACCTCCGGACTTTTCGTCGGGCCCTGAAGACACACTTGTTCCATCTAGCCAGACTGGCTTGATCCCATCCTCTCAGTTTTTTAATCGAATTTCGGTTTTAATTGAGTTGTTTTAAATTCGGGCCAAAATTATTTGTTTTTTTAAATGTTTTTAAATTTTATATGTTATGTTTTATCCTGGCTGTACACTGCCCTGAGTCCCGCAGGAGAAGGGCGGTATAGAAATATAATAATAATAAAAAAAAAAAAATTGTGCTCCAATAGTTTCTAGCTTCAGAGCATGTCCACCATATATGATAAGATCCTGGTATTTGATGGCATTTCCAACATTTAGCTGATTTGTCTTTAAACATTTTTGCCAATTTTTCTGGAGACATATTCCATCTATAAAACATTTTATATTGATTCTCTTTATGTGCAGTGGACATTGTTAGTTTATAGTTCCTTTCCCATAACTGTTGCCATCTATCGAGCTCAGTTGATTATCTACAATTTTTTGCCCAAGCAATCATTTTTTCCTTTACTTGTTCTTCCTCTAATTCAACACTAAGCAGAACACTATAGATTTTTAAAATTATTTTATCCTCTGTTCCCATGAGTATCCTATCCAAATCTGTCCTTTCTAAATAAAAACCGTATAATTTTGCATCTTTTTCATATCTTGCTTGTATTTGCATATGCTTATACCAGTCCATCACAATCCCTTATTCTTCCATTTCTTGTTTCCCTTTCAATCCCCCCTTGTCTGTAAGTAAGTCTTTATACCTAAAAATATTTCTAAAATTAACCATATTTGGGTGTATCAATGCTTCCATTGTTGATAATCATATTGGAATTTTCAAATAATATTTATCTCTAACCTTCTCCCACACTAATAACAATGCATTTCTTACATAATTTCTATGAAAATACGTATGTATCTTACTTCTACCATACCATAAAAATGCATGCCATCCCAATTGCAAATCATGTCCTTCCTTATATTTCTTAATTCGATCCATTCTATCATCCACATCAATGCTGCTGCCTGGTAATATGATTCTCAATTCGGCAGTTCAAATCCTCCCTTATTCTTGCATCTTGTAGCATCTTTATATTAATTCTTGCCTTTTTTCCCTGCCATATAAACTTTTTCATTATTTTATTGAGGTGTTGAAAATAAGTCTTTTCAATTTTTATAGGAATTTTCTGGAATAAGAACAATAATCTCGGTAATATATTCATCTTGATTATTGCAATCTTTCCCATAAGTGATAATTGCAAAGTTTCCCATTTTTCAAGTCTTTCTCAATTTGTCTTTTTAAATTATAATAATTATCCTCTTTTATTGTTACACATCTTGAAGTTAGTTGTACTCCTAAGTATCTCACTTTTTTCATAAATTGTATATCTAATTTCTCCCTTAATTCTCTTTTTTTGTTTTTCTGTAATATTTTTTACCAATATTTTTGTTTTTTCTTTATTTTTAAACCTGCTACCTCTCCATATTCCTCTATTTGTTGTAATAATTTGGGTCCTGGTTTTTGGGGTTCCTCCAAAATAAATACTAAATCATCCGCAAAGGCTTGTAGTTTATATTCCTCTTTTTAAATTTTTGTCCCTTTTATTTCTTCATTCTGTCTTATATTTCTATTTAGCACTTCTAGAGTCAATACAAATAACAATGGGGATAATGGACGTCCTTGCCTTGTTCCTTTTGTTATCTTTCCATTCATCATTATCTTAGCTGATTGTTTATCATATATTGTTTTTATAGTATTAATAAATATCATCCCAAAATCCATTATCTGTAGTTGCTTTATCATAAACTGCCAATTCACATTATCAAAAGCTTTCTGTGAATCTAGAAATATCATCGCCATTTGTTTTTCTGGATGTGTCTCATAATACTCCAACGTATTCAAAATTATCTTCATATTGTCTCTAATTTGCCTTTTAGGTAGAAACCCATTTTGGTCCATATGAATAAATTCATTTAATAGTCTCTTTAGTCTATTCACCATTATTGAGGCGAAAATCTTATAGTCCACATTTAACAATGAAATCGGTCTATAGTTTTTTATTAATTGCAAGTCTGAATCTTCTTTAGGTATAAGTGTTACATAGGCCTCTATCCTCGATTCTGGCATTTTTGCTTTCAATAAAAGTTCATTAAATAATTCCAGCATTACATTGCTTAACACCTCTTGAAATGTCTTATATAGTTCCGCTGGTAGTCCATCCGGACCTGGTGTTTTCCCCCCCCTTTTTTTTAATCGCTTCTGTTAGCTACATCATCGTTATTCTCTCTTCTAGCATCCCTTTGTATTGTTCGGGTATTTTAGGTAAGTCTGATTTTTCTAAAAATTGTATTATCTTCTCTTCAGATATCTTCTCTTGATAATAAAGCTTTTCATAATACTTTTTAATTATTCTCTTATTTTCTTCACTCCTATAATGTATTTTTTCCTTTTCATCTTGTAAATATTTTATTGCTTTTCTTTTCTCTTTTTTTATTTTATATGCTAACCATCTTCCCGGTTTATTCGCATTTTTTTAAAAAAATTGTTTAGATGCTCTTAATTTATTTGCCTAAAATTCTTGCTCATTCAGGTTTATTTCATGTTTTTTCATTTCCATTTGTTTCTTAATTTTGTTATTTTGTGTGTCCTTTTGTAAATCTTTCTCTAGTTTCTTATACTCCTCTTCCAATTTCTTCTGTATTTGTCTTTTCTTCTTATTTTTCTTTCCCAGGTATGTTATTGCCAAGCCCCTTATATATACTTTCATTGTGTCTCATACATTCTGAATTGATGTATCCTCCTTTTTATTTATTTTGAAGAAAAACTTTAATTCCTTTTTCATTGTCTGTTGAAATTCTTTTTCATTTAATATTATTTGATTCAATGTCCATCTTGTCTTTTTCTTCTGTCCTTTCCAAGTTATTGGTATTGGGTTGTGGTCAGCCCAAATGTTTGTTTCAATGTTTACTTCTTGTATGTTATCTATAAGTTCTGTTGAAATCCATATTATATCTATCCTCGACCACGACAAATGTCTAATTGAATAAAAGGTGTATTGTTTTTCTTTCAAATGTCTTTGTCTCCAAATATCTTGAATACTTAATTCTTCAATCATTGTAAAAAAAAGATTTTGGGAGAGTTTTTCTGGGTTTCTTATTTGTCTTTGTTGTCTTATAATCCAACTCCACATCCATTACACCATTAAAATCACCCATTATACATATATATACATAGTCCAATTATATAATTTTCCTGTGCAACTTCTTATAAAATTCTTCTTGTTTGTCATTTGGAGCATATAACACTATCAAAAATATTTGTTTAAAATTCATTTTTATTTTCACCATTAAAATCCTGCCTTCTTCATCCTCAAATATTAATTTAGGCTGTAGTTTTTCTTTAACATATAGAACTTCTCCCTTCTTACTTTGTTGTATCAATACAGCTCTAATAATTTTGTATGTTGTTTTCTAATATGGACCTCTTGTAAGCATATAATGTCTGTCTTTAGTCTATTTAATCTGTTGAAAATTCTGTTTCTTTTTGTCGCCAAATTCAGTCCATTTACATTTATTGATATTGCTTTTATTTCCTCTTCCATATTTTACTTTACTTGTTACTAGTTTTGAGTTTCATCACTCTTGTCTCTCTTTGTTCCTTTGGATCCTTTGATCTTGCACCTTCTCTTAGTGCTCTTTCTTCCTGTTCTTTTGTGCTTTCTTCTGTACCTTTTTTTCATCTTTATGTTTAATTTCTCTTGCTGTTCCCAATTCATCCTCTAATGGTCCACAAAATTGTTCATAAAATAACTTCACTTTTTCAATTAAATCCAATCTATGTCTTTTGTTCTTCCCATGTCACCAAGATTCATTCTGGTATTAACCATCTGAAACTCACTCCTTTTGTTATTAAAATTTTTTATTAAGAATTGATATTCTCTCCTCAAATCTCTAACTCTTTTAGGTATTTGCCTCAGTACTATTATTTCGTTGTCTTTGTACTTCAATGCTGTACTTCTTGTTATTTGTTATATCTCTGTTTTTAGTGCTTTCTTTGTAAACCTTACGTGTACTTCTCTTGGTAATTTGTTTCTCATTGCATATCTTGTATGAACTCTAAAAACCTCGTCAATCTCATTTAAAATCTTCTCCTTAGGTTCTTCTATAGCTTCTGCCAGCATCTCAGCAATCACCTCTGGTAATTTTTCTTCTTTTTCCTCCTCTATATTTTGAAATCTTAGATAATAATAGAACGGTCCATTTCCAATGAGATTATTGTTTTTTCTTGGTTTTTGTCTACTGAAATCAATTTTTCTTCTAATTCTTCAACTCTCTTTTCTGTCATTTCCGTTTTTTCTTCTACTTTTTGGGTTCTTTCTTCATTTTTCTCAATCATCTTTTTCATTTCTTTTAAGTCTTGTTTCAAATCATCATGAAGAGACTGTATGAGATTTTTTAGTTCCAATGTCTCTGAAGTTTTTGTCTCTGTCGATGAGGGACTTGCTGCTGGGTGTAGATGTACTGTAAGTTTCTTCATTTCGATGTTGTCAAAGATAAGCCTATAATCCGCTTATTTGTATATTTGTAGATTTATTTGTAATCCAAATATCTAATCCTCCCCGATGGTTGGATTAGAGAAAAATAAAAAGAGAGCAAAGAGAGAAAAAAAGAACAAAAAAAGGGACAAGAGTTCAATCACCCCCTCAAAAATATTCCAATGGTAAAAAAAGGGAGAAAAAGAAAAAAAAACAACCAAAAAATATAACAACCAAAAGAAAAAATAAAAACAAAAATTTAATTCCAAACAAGAAAAAAGAAGGAAAAAAAGAAAACTTTTCTTCAGATTCTTCTTGTCTTAATCCACCTTCTCAACAGTCCAGTTCTTTTCAAATCCATTAGGAAGAGAGAGAAAGCAGTAAACAAGGGGGAAAAAAGAATATCTGCCCCTTATTCCCTGTACTAACTTATAAAAAGTCCAAAAAAAAGCTGAGACAGAAAAAAACCCTATCCAGTACTTCTCCACCACAACAAAATCCAAACAAAGTACTTCAAAGTGTTCAGAAACAGTAAATAAGGGAATAGGTGAAAAAGATAAAAGGTTTAAAATGTAGAAACAAACTCAACAATCCAGTCCTTCTCTCTTGCACATCTGTTTTCTTATCTTCTCAGTCCAAATTATCAAGAACAGCCTTAGAGCTAAAGTTAACTCAAAATCCTTTTCTCTCTTTTTTTAAAAATTTTCTTGTCTTCTTTTACTAGATGGCACTGCAGGCTAGTTCAGTCAATCAAGCCAAGCATTTTCAACAAAAGTCTTTTCCGCTTTTAATTAATTCTATTCAAACTTTAATTTCACAATTATTTACAACTATTTCATCTCTTTGCATAAAAAATTTCAGACTTCTCAAATTGGTTAGTCCTAATTTTTAAAAGAATTCCCAAATTCTTCCATTTCCCCTCCAAAAAGAAAGTTTCATTTAGCTTTGTACTTTTGCTTTCCTCGCCGCCCAATATCGGATGTGAGAGCCAAATACACTCCCGCTCCCACTCCTCTCTCTCAGCCTCTTTCCCACTCTATTTACTTGCAAGTGGAACTGAAGGGAAAGGTTTTTTTTTTGAAAACAGAAATTTTCTCACCTCAATGACACATGCTGTCTTCTTATGCTTTCTTCCGCTGCGGCCGCCCCAGTTTCTTAGTGACTTCTAAGATAGCTTTCTCCACCACCCAGTTTGAGGTACTTATCCAGACCAACCAGGAAGTTTGCAATCCCCCTGTGTTGGTCTGTCGGTGCTTCTCTTGTTCGTCATCCCTACAGGACGACTTGGGTCACTTGAGACCTCTGGGCAACAGAGATATCGATGGATTTTTGGGAGCTCCCAAAGAGTCTGTCGTACCGCCGCAACGCTGGCCATGCCTCTTGGATTTTTGAAGTTTTTAAGCGATTGGATAACCATTTGTCTGAAATGTTATAAGGTTTCCTGCCTAAGCATGGGTTGGAATAGAAGACCTCCGAAGTCCCTTCCAACTCTGTTATTCTATTCTATTCTATCTTGTGCAGTCCTCAGTTCATATAAAACTCAGGCCTATAGTACTATAGTGTGGGATCTGTGGAATGAGAGCTTGCACTACTGATCTTGCTTGATCTGGCACTAAAGTAGTTTAGGCATCTGTTCTCTGCTATTTGAAGCCAGTACCAGATCTGGGCAAAGAGGCCTTGCAAGCTGATGAGACTTTGGGGCAGTGAAGTAGCCTTTCTTGAGCCTCCCAACCTTTTCAGTCTCGGCCCGAAGAGCATTTAAAAGCCAATGGGAGGCTTCAAGGAAAGGATTTTGCCCCAAAGTCTCATCACTGGGATCGAGGAACGGGCTGAGTGGGGGTCCAGCCCTCTAGACACAAACTGCAGAAAAGCTGGTCCAACGTACACTGGGAAATGAACTTGTTTCAAAATTGTTTCAGTTCTCATAGATCTCTGCTGAAATTAATCCACCTCAATAAATCTTACATTTTCTCCTAATTCCTTCTTGAATCGTTCTCCTGATTATGCCTTAACTCAAAATTGACTTTGAGTAAGATTTGCATATATATAGATAATTGTAAAGGAAGATATTTTCTAGATATTTTCAAAGCTTTCATGAATATAGAAATCATCATGTCGATATCACACCATTGGAAGCATGCAAAATACAACATAATGGAATTTGGAAAAATTGAAAGGAATATTCATTGACTTTCCACAGTTTGATCTTTTTCTCTAACTGTGTTATCATTTTCATTTCTCTTTTCCTTTGAAGGTAATAGTGGGCAGGAGAATCAAGATTCCTGTGGACTGTTCCAAGTGATCAATGCTAAAGATGGAACGGAGAACTTTGGAATTCGAATGGAATTCAAAAGCCATGAGAGAAGCCAGTCAAATAATTGGAATCAGGATAGCTCATATTCCACTGATGCTCCGATGCAAGACTTTCTTGCCCAACAAGACAAAATAAGGAAAAAATACGTTGGGAAAAGTATGAAAAGTGTAAATGAACACAATTTAACCCCCCAAAAAGGAAAAGATGCTATAAGACACAGCGGACAAAATTACAATGGGACATTCATTCATTCTCTTGGAAATAACTTCCTTACATCTCAAAAATTGATTCACGCAAAAAAGGAGCCTTATGAATGTTTGGAATCTAGAAAACATTTTAGAACAAGCAGTCAACTTACTTCCCATGAAACAATTCACAATGGGGAGAAACTGTGTTCAGAATCCCCTGTAGCCCAGTCCCTCCAAGCAGCAGGAGAGAAACCCTATAAATGCAATCAGTGTGGAAAGACCTTTGCTCAATGCAGTTATCTTGCTTCCCATAAAAGGAGCCACACAGGAGATAAGCCATTTAAATGCACAGAGTGTGGAAAGACCTTTGCTCAAAGAGGTAATCTTAAATCCCATAAGATGATACACACAGGGGAGAAGCTGTATAAATGCATGGCATGTGGAAAAACCTTTATTCATAGCAATGGACTTAGAAAGCACAAAACGATCCACACAGGGGAGAAGCCATTTAAATGCCTGGAGTGTGGAAAGACCTTTGCTCAACGCAGTTATCTTGCTTCCCATAAAAAGATCCACACAGTAGAAAAGCCATTTAAATGCATGGAGTGTGGAAAGATGTTTGCTCAACGCAGTTATCTTGCTTCCCATAAGATAATCCACACAGGGGAGAAGCCGTATAAATGCATGGACTGTGGAAAGACCTTTCCTCGAATTGGTAATCTTATTTCCCATAAGATGATCCACACAGGGGAGAAGCCGTATAACTGCATGGAGTGTGGAAAGACCTTTGCTCAACGCAGTTATCTTGCTTCCCATAAAAAGATCCACTTAGAAGAGAAACCATTTAAATGCATTGAGTGTGGAAAGACGTTTACTAATAGCAGGGCTCTTACTTCTCATAAGATGATCCACACAGGGGAAAAACCATATAAATGCATAGAGTGTGGAAAGACCTTTCCTCAAAGAGGTAATCTTATTTCCCATAAGATGATCCACACAGGGGAGAAACCATATAAATGCATGGAGTGTGGAAAGACCTTTGCTCATAGAAGTAAACTTAATTCCCATAAGATGATCCACACAGGGGAGAAGCCATACAAATGCATGGAGTGTGGAAAGACCTTTCCTCGAAGAGGTAATCTTATTTCCCATAAGATGATCCACACAGGGGAGAAGCCGTATAAATGTATGGAGTGTGGAAAGACCTTTGCTCAACGCAGTTATCTTGCTTCCCATAAAAAGATCCACTCAGAAGAGAAACCATTTAAATGCATGGAGTGTGGAAAGATGTTTACTAAGAGTAGTGCGCTTATTTCTCATAAGATGATCCACACAGGGGAGAAACCATTTAAATGCATGGAGTGTGGAAACACGTTTGCTCAGAGCAGTGGACTTACTAATCACAGAAAGATCCACACAGGGGAAAAGCCATTTAAATGCATGCAGTGTGGAAAGACGTTTGCTCAACGCCGCTATCTTGTTTCCCATAAAATGATCCACACAAGAGAAGCCGTATAAATGCATGGAGTGTGGAAAGATGGAAGCCATAGACCCAAGCGAGTCTGTGGAATGGAAATACCAGAGTGTGCTCCGCAGCCAGATCTTAGAGCGGCTACCTGAGAATTTATGACTAAAAATTTCTCTACATTTTGATTATTAATTTTAAAAGATATAATGGGAAATTGTGAATGGAGTAAGCGATTCTACCTATCTATGACCGGATCGAGACTTCGCTCTTGAAAGAGAGATATTTTATTTGTTATGTTGGAAAAAATAAAAAATATTTTGCAAAAAACAAAACAAAACACTATGTAACCCAAAACAAAGGAGAAGGTGCTATAACAAGATACAACAGAAAAAATTACAATGGGACATTCATTCCTTCTCATGTAAATAAGTTCCTTACATCTCAAAAAGTGATTGACACCAAAGAGAAGCCTTTTAAATGTTTGGAATGTGGGGCATGTTTTAGAACAAGCAGACAATTTACTTCCCATGAAAGGATTCACACTGGAGAGAAGGTATACAAATGCAGGGAGTCTGGTAACAGGTTCAGAAGATACAGTAATCTTATTTCCCATAAAATGATCCACTAAGTAAATATTTACTCGTAGCAATGAACTTACTATCCACAAAACGATCCGTATGGGAGAAAAGCCATTTTAACGCATGGAGTGTGGGAAGCCCTCTACTCAAAATGGTAGTCTTATTTCCCATAAGATGATCCACACAGGGGTGAAGCTGTATAAATGCATGGAAAGTTGAAAGTTGAACGACGCTATGTTTTCATTTGCATGCTGTGTTTCCTGAGATTGTTCGGGAAGAGACAGGTGAGTCCCTTATCCTTAACTGCTGGATGGAGGGCTAGGCTGGGCTGAAGCAGAGGAGAAAAAGCGAGGTGAAAAGCTAAGGACAAGGGGCTCACCTGCCTCTCCACGAGACCTTTCGCGACACACATTGTGCAAATGTAAAAGCTTCTCCTTCCAAGTCAGCAGCAGTGCCTGAATCAAAAAGCACCGCAAGTCCATGTGCCCTTTGTGTTTGGTGCCCCCTTTTCGGGAAGTGTTTCAATTATTCAGATCCCATCACGGACAATAGCAGCTGTGCCTTCTCCCTAAACACATCGGGATGTGATCTGAATAAGACATGGCTTGACCTGCTATTGAAACACTTTTCAGCTCTTTCTCAAAGTGTTACTGCAGCAGCTGCCTGAAAAATGCTTGCAACGGCTGCTGGATATGGAGTGTCTTGTCCCATGCCTCTGCCTGCTGCCAGTGCCGCCTGCAGCAGTTGAAAGGAAAAAGTGGGACTCCGCAGTGCCGCCCCTTGCACTGCGGAAGGCGGCAAAATGTAGAGAACAGCCACCGTCCCTTTGGGAAAGAGCCAGGAGGCGTTTCAATAGCAGTTCAAGCCATGTCTTATTTAGATCACATCCTGGCATGTTTTGGAAGGGGGAAGGCACAGCTGTTATTACCCGTGCTGGGGTTGGCAAGTTCTGCAGCATTTTTTATCTCCCTTCCAAAACATGGATGACAGGGGAGTCCCGCTTTTCACTTTTGACACACTCACCACTTGCAGCAACTGGCACGAGCGACTTATGGGGGCTCTTCGTCCTCCTGATAGCACTGCTTCGGCTGCCCTGTTGGGCTGCTCCTGTTTGACAGGGGAGGGGGGAGGCCAGATCTATGGAGCACTCCTCTGCCACCGGCCTGCCAGGGCCCCTTCCTCAGCGGCTGCCAGTGTAACCACGCCACGTCCCCCGCCACTGCATTCAGGCTGCTGAGCACTGTCCTGCGCATCTAATCTGCTGCAATTCTCTTCATTACATTAAAAATTACTAACACACTAAACCATCTGGTCTGCAACCAGAGCCATTTAGACCCGTTTCCCATAGGAAAAAAACCACTGGGTGCCACAAAACCTGAATGGGCATGTCCAACTCCATGTCACTCATTCCCCCCAGTCTCATGACCCTTTAGCCATGCCTACCCAGCAGGTCATTAGGGCAGACAACCAGTTATTAATAAACAACCCACCGGGAACAACTACCCCCCTCCCTCCTCCCCCTCTGTATCTTTGTCTCTCTCTCTCCCCCACCCTGTACCTGCCTCCCTCTCTCACTCTGTATCTCTCTCTCCCCCCATCTTCCCTCTCTCCCCTCTCTGTATCTATGTCTCTGTCTCCCCCCCTGTATCTGTCTTTCTCCATCTATCTCTCCCCTCTCTATGTCTCTCCCCCATCTCCCCTCTCTTTGTATCTCTCCTCTCCGCCCCTCTCTTCCTCTGTATCTCTCGCCCCCTCTCCCCTCTCTGTATCTATGTCTCTCTCCTCCTCTCCTCCCTATCTCCCCTCTGTATCTTTCTCCCCTGCTATCTGTATCTGTCTCTCTGTCTCCCCCTCTCCCTATCTTTCCCTCACTCTCCCTCTCTCTCTCTATCTCTGTATGTGTCTCTCTTTGTCCTTCTGTCTCTCTCTGTGTGTGTATGTCTGTGTGTGTGTGCAAGCATGCGCGCGCCCAGCAAGCTCTCATTGGGGCTCTTCACTACTCCTTTTTGTTCTTCTTCGCAACTTTTTGATAATCCAAGATAGCTGAGGAATGAGTGCATCCTCCTCCACCTCCTCTCGCAACACCCTAGCTGGCTGTGGCGGGGCTTGGGAGCATGCGCACGAGCGGGAAGAGCCACCTCAAGCGGCCAGGCCTTATCATGAGGTAAAATTTCTGGAATATCCATGGATTTCAGCTTTCCCTCCACTTAGGAACTTTTTTTCTTTTTTCTTTTCTTTCACAGTCTTTCCGCGGGTACAAGAGACGTGGTCACCCGGGGTGTTCATCAGAAGAGGCTGGAGGGGTCTCTGCCTTTTCTGCTTCCCCAGTTCACTGTGAGGCTGAGGGAATAATTTGGGAAGGGCATCTGTATGTATTGAATTAAAGAAATAGAAAACAATAATTTTCCTCATTGTGGCTTCCCTTCCTGTGGCCCATCTTTCTCCGCTTCAGGCTAGCAAGACTCAAGTTGTGTTTCCCAGAGAGCCTCCTGGTTCTTCTCTTCTGACAGGATTTGGACCTATTTATTTATTTATTATTTACATTTTTATACCACCCTTCTCCCAAGGGACTCAGGGCAGTGCACAGCCAACAATAAAACACACCAATACATTAAATTTAAAAAAATTTAAAATATATTAAATAATTTGGCCTCAATATTATTAAAAAAAACTAAGACAACCATTAAAATTCATGTTTAGGCCAGCCCAGCTTGTTGGAACAATAGCGTCTTGAGAGAAGGGTGAAAGGCGCGTAGGTCAGGGATCATCCGTATCTCCGGGGGCAATTCATTCCAAAGGGGAGGTGCCCCCACAGAGAAGGCTCTCCCCCTGGGGGTCGCCAGTCGACAATGTTTGACCAACGGCACCCTGAGGAGTCCTTCTCTGTGGGAGTGTATTCGTCGGTGGGAGGCTATCGGTAGCAGAAAGCGATCTTGTAAGTACCCAGGTCCTAAGCCATGGAGACAGCTGTGTATCCAGGAGGACACTCAAGTTGCGAGCCCTCTCTGAGGGGGCCAAGATCTAACCCCCAATAGTCAGCGATGGAACCACCTGGCTATACTGGGACGCCAGAAACCACAGCCACTCAGTCTTGGAGGGGTTGAGTCTGAACAACCCCTGTCCCGGGCCCTCCAGAGATCATCAACCAATGTGACCAATGCTGTTTCCATGCTGTACCCCGGCCTGAAGCCCGACTGGTATGGATCTAGATAGACAGCTTCATCCAGGTACTGGGGAAGTTGTCGCACCACCACACTCTCAACAAACTTTGCCACAAAGCAAGGCCACCACAGACGGTTCCTGGACAGGAAGGAGAGGAAGATGGTGGAATTGCTGCCTCTGGAGACCAAAAAGCTTTTCTTGGTCAGAGAGGCATTGAGAGGGGCCTTTTCTCCTACTCCCATGCCCATCATCCATGCCCTTCCCTCAGATGCGCTCCTCTTTCCCGCCCTTTTCAGGGAATCCTGTAAATTTATGGAAAATCCACTAGGGGACGCCTTCTGCCAAGAGAAGGGAACAACAGGCGCTTTCCCATTGGGCCACTGGAGGGCAAAAGACACGGCTACCTTTGTAGAGGAGGCTTGGAAGGAAATGACGTCACACAACCTTGCCGCTCTAAGAGGCCGCACTTGCTTTCCTTAACCCCTGGGGCTCCGCAGAGGGAGGAGGACTTGCGGGAGAGTCTGGCGGGGGGAGATCCAGACGTGCCCTGGGTAAGTTGGGGGCTCCTACCGGGCAAAGGGAGGCGGAGGAGGGAGAGACCCTTGCCCGGCCCTCCTCCGGCTTCAACTCCGGGTCCCATGCTCCCCAGCTGCCCCGTGTCCAGGGATAGCCCGAGTGGGGGGAGAGGCAGGTTGGCCTTGCGGAGGCCCAGCAGGAAAAGAGAGAAGCCTGGCGAGGAGGCAGGATTCGCACCAGTCTCTCTGTCTCTGGAGGGGGAGAGAAGCAGGGCGGCCTCTCCCGCTCCCTTCTTCCTGGCCCTGTGCTGGGCTGAGCCGCTTGGGGCTCAGGGCAGGTTGAGTGAAGGTTGTTCAGTGGCTAAATTCAATTTCTAATTCTTGGTATTTATTTTTCTTTCCATCTCAGATACACAAAGTCGGAACCTTATGAAATCCTTGCTAACCAAAATTTTCTCTTGCTGGGAAAAAAAAAGAGCGGAATAACTTGGAGGAATCAGTCCTGCAGCACCAGAAATGGTCCCGTGAAGGAAAAGGCATCTGGAGACCCACCAGAGTCCTTGGAGCCATTTGCAGTTGCTCTGCAGGACAGAGAAAGGATGGAGACACAACCTTTTGGAAAGGAGGGAAGCGGAAAAGGCCCTTCAGCTGCTCAGCCGGGGAAGAGGGGGAAGCTCTGGACAAGGACTGGGCAGGAGATCCTGGAGGAGGAAACCATCCTCCCTTCAGAAGTTCAGCCCTGGAAGTTCATCCAATACCAGGACGCTGAGGGTCCCCGAGGCCTTTGCAGACGACTCCATGACTTTTGTAGGCGATGGCTGAGACCAGAAAAGCACACCAAAGCCCAGATGCTGGACCTGGTGGTTCTGGAGCAGCTCCTTGCTCTTCTGCCCGCAGAGATGGAGGGCTGGGTGCGGGAGTGTGGAGCAGAGACCAGCTCCCAGGCGGTGTCCCTGGCGGAAGGCTTCCTTCTGAGCCAGGTGGAGGAGAAGAAAGAGCAGGTCAAGTTGCAGGTGAGACATTTTAATCTAGGGAGCCCAGAAGGGAATAAAGAATGTGTTCGAATATTTCACCCCACCTTCCCAAACTTCTCTGACATTCTCTGACATTATGTCCAATTTGCTTTTTTTCCACCCTGTTTTGGTTTTGTTCCAATACACACAAAGGGAATAAACGTGTATAGCAAAACATGTGTTACTGCAATACTTTTCTGTGAGAAATACTTCATTTTCTGGAAAAATTTCAGGGGTGCCAACATTTACAGCCATGACTGTATAAGATTTCACTTTACTTCATGTGATGTACATTAATTCTGCTTATTTTTACTTCCTCCTATTTGAAGTGCTGCACTGTGGAGATTAGAGATCCTGAGCGAAAGACGAATCCATCAAATCCCCCTCAGGAGCTATTTTTCAGGAGGATCTCTGGGGAAGATCAAAGTCAGGACACTTCAGGAGGTAATCAAATATCCTCCGATTTCCCAGAGAGATCCCGTCTGTCTTACCTTCTTCTCTTCTGTAGTATACCTCCTCTTATTTTGTTGAATATGCATTTTGAAATTATTTATTCCTTACAGAGAAACAAAGAATGAAGTTTTCTGTTTTTTACGACGGAGCTCAAACTGTGATTGAACTTCCAAATCAAGTAAGAAAGAGAAAAGTTATTAGATTTCTATTCTCCTTTCCTTCAGGAAGTGAAGCGGGTGTGCAGAGTTGTCTCTCTTTCTATTTCTCTCCCTTGTTTAGACTGGGTAATTTTTGTGTTCCTGTGTGACATGGACAGCATAATAGCAGGTTCAAGTTGCTCTCAACCAGCATAGCTTCTTCTGTGGAGTATTATTGGATACAATGGTTTGTCATTTCTACCCTCAGATTCTGTTTAGGAAATGTTTTTTAAAGACCACTGGTTAACTAGTTCTGCTAGGTACTCTTCCAACTATGAATTCACAAGAAGTAATTTTTTAACAAGTCCTTCAACTAATAGGAATAAATGTATCAAGACTAATGAAAAATAACTAAATACTAGGACTCCAAGATCTCTGTTGCACTTTCTACTGTTGAGCCAGGTATCACCTATTCTATCCCTGTGGGTTTAGTTTTTATTTCCTAAATGTAGCACCTTCTATTTTTCACCATTGATTTTCATTTTGTTAGATGGGGCCCAATCTGTCAATACTTCTATATCTCGAGCTTATCTTCTGGAGTGTTGGTATTCCTGTCAATTTAGTCTTGTCTTCAAATTTGAGGACTTCCCCTTCTATTCTCTTGTCTAAATCATTGATTAAGATGATCAGATACTGCAAATCCTCCTGTTCTGTTCTTTTTTCCGTGTTCAGGAGAGTCTTGTGTCCTTCGAGGAGGTGGCTGTGTATTTCTCTGAGGAGGAATGGTCTCAGCTGGATCCTGACCAGAAAGCGCTGCATTCGGAAGTCATGCTTGAAAACCATAGGAACGTGGTCTCTCTGGGTAAGAGTTTTCTAGTCCCCAATCAGAGAGTTCAAGAAGACAGATTATGGTTAGCTTTTTTATTTTAAAAAATCACTAATCCAATATTATTTCCTTGGCGGGAGAAGGAAACGATCTGGCCTTCTCGTTCTCCAAGGAAGGAAAGAGGTCAATGTCTCTTTGTTTAAACTCTTTCTTTGAATGAGGTGTGCCCTATGTGTCCTCTGGAGGTCATGTGAGAGGAATGTGTTGTCATTTGTCCTCTGAAACCTCCCAAAATTGTGTGAGAACAGATCTTTCATGAACAGGCCATGGAAGTACATTCTCCCAATTCAAGAACAAAGGCCTCATTTATTTATTTGTTTATTTATTGGTTCGATTTATATGCCGCCTTTCTCCAGAGACTCAGGGCGGCTATTGCTCATGCAATGTGACTTATTCACCCTACTTATTCCCCCACCCCACCCTGCCAAGTCTTAGCCTGCGATGATGTAGCGAGCCATCGGTTCCTTTGCCTGCTTTGGTACATTTGCAAAAAACAGGGCTAAAGTGGTGAGAAATCTTGCAGTACTGATCTTGTGTGATCTCGTACTACAGTACATTAGGCCTCTGTTCTCTGCTAACTGAGGCCTGCACAAGATCCGGGGCAAAAGTCTGTCAAACAGAGGGAAGGCCTCTTTGTTTTCAAAGACTTTTCCCCCGATCACCACCACATGGATTCGTTACAGACAAACCAACCACACTCAACGTGTAGTTCTCAATGGAACTTCATCTACATGGAGGGAAGTATGCAGTGGGATAGCCCAAGTCTCTGTTTTAGGCCCAGTACACTTCAACATCTTCATCAGAGGTGGTATTCAGCCGGTTCGCACCAGTTCACCAGAACCAGTGGTGGCCATTTCCTGGAGGTCAGAGAACTGGTAGCGATGGCCAAACTGGCCACGCACCTGAACTGTCCCCCTGTCGCTGTTTGCTCACCCCAGCCAACACTCGCCCCGCCTCACCTGCGCAACTCTGGCGGCTTCGGGAAAGTCTAGCCCGGGGGAGGGGGGGGCTGGCATGCTTTTCAGCCCGTCTGCCAAGAGGAGCAGCTGACCCAGATGAGCAGTGTCCACTGGGGAGGGGTGGCAGGGAATGGGGCCGCCAGACCGACCACGACTCCCATGGGCCTTGGCAGGGGAGCGCAGAGTGCTGGGGCTGCTCCCGAGGAGGCGGCTGGGGCAGAGAACCTCCTCCGTCTATGGGCACAGAGTGGTTTTTGTGGCCAGGCGGTCTCGGGGGTGGTGGGACTGCGAAGCTTGCTGGGCTGCCCCCCCTCCCCACCGGGCTAGCATCTCCCGAAGCCGCCGGCATTGTAGCCCCCCCCCCCACTTGGAGCTCCAAGCGGCAGGCGGCGACGGGGGTGAGCTCTCAGGACTTTTTCCAGTGGCGGGAAAACGTTCTGAGGGGGAATCCTCACTCACCTTTGCCCTCCGCCTGTAGCTCACCACCACCACCCGCCACCTGGGGCGGTGGTGAATCAAAGCGTCAGGCGAAAGGTGAGCGAGGATTCTCCCTGAGAACTATCTTCCGCCACTAGAAAACGTGCTGAGAGTTCGCTGCCGCTGCTCCCGCCATTACTGAGTGTGTTCCAATATTTCAGAGGCTACCATCAAGAAGAAGAGGGAGTCAAGCTATTCTCCAAAGCACTCGAGGGTAGGACAAGAAGCAATGTGTAGAAACTAATCAAGGAGAGAAGAATCGCCCAAAGAGATGGCTGCGCACATGGATGCTGCAGCTGGGTGCTCTTTCTTTCAGTGTATGGTGTGGATAATTCTGTGCGTGTTCTGGATTTTTGAAGTTTTTAGAAGGGATTGGATAACCATTTGTCTGAAATGGTATAGGGTTTCCTGCCTAAGCATGCAATTAGAATAGAAGACCTCCAAGGTCCCTTCTAACAGATATTCCATTCTATTTTATGTTGTGCAGTCCTCAGTTCGTAGAAAACTCAGGCCTAAAGTACTATAGTGTGGGACCAGTAGAATGAGAGCTTGCACTCCTGAACCTGCGTGATCTGGCACTAAGGTAGTTTAGGCCTCTGTTCTCTGCTAACTGAGGCCTGTACCTTTTCTGGCCTAGGCGTTACCAAACCACGAAGCAGACTCCTTATCCCAACAAAAATCCCCTTTTATTAAGTTACTGTGAATTTCTCTCATTCACACTCAGCAAAGTCTTTCAAGAGAGAATTTACAGTTACAGACCTTATCTGGCTTGGAGAGCTGTCAAGCTGATATCTTCAAAACTGGGCAAGGAGTCTCCGAGAGTCACAAACCAATTAGGGGAACTACCGTATTTTTCGGAGTATAAGACTCACTTTTTCCCCCCTAAAAGAGGATGAAAATTTGGGTGCGTCTTATACACCAAATGTAGCCCTGCCCACCCACCGGCCCCCAAGAAAATGGAGTGCAGGGAGCCGGCAATAGGCTATGGCAATCCCTGCAGCCTGAAACAGGTGAGGCCGATCCAACAGACAATCAGTTGCTTGTGCTAATCAGGCTGTGATGTAAATGAAAATAAAACAGGCTGTTTGCTGTTTGCTGCAAAGAGGCAAATTGGTGGGAGGCAGAGGTAGATTTTTCTTTTCTTGTTTTCCTCCCCAAAAAAGGTAGGTGTGTCTTATAGTCCGGAGCATCTTATACTCTGAAAAATACGGTAACTGTCGCCTGCAAACTCCACTCCCCTTTTGCTCCTCTTTTATTCCCTCTAGAAGGGGCTATTCATTATCCACCTGTGGCCTTACTCCCAAGTCGACCCTTGTTCTTTAGCTGTTCCCTTCATCTGGCAACTCTACACATGCGCACATTGGGAACAGGCTCCAGCTGTTCGTCTGGCTAACTGATGTCTGACACTGAAGGCAGCTAATAACTGGCATCCAGCCCTTGCCCTCTCTCTGCCTCTGACGCAGAGCCCTCATCAGAGCCTTCCCCAGAATCCAGGCCTAGTCTATGTTCCTCCGCAACCTCCTCACTATACGAATCTGTTGCCAGCTACACATGCCGTTGGCGGGCCCCAACAGGACCACATCTGGCCAAAGAACCCTTGCAAGCCAATGAGACTTTTGAGCAGTGAAATAGTCTTTCTTAAGCCACCCAACCTTTCCAGTCTCGGCGCAAAGAGCGTTTACAAGCCAAGCTTATTCCTTAACTCAAAACTGACTTTGAGTGGAATTTGCATATATATAGATAGATAATTGTAAAGAAAGGTATTTTCTAGATATTTTCAAAGCTTTCATGACTCATGAATATAAAAATCATCATGTCTAAATCATATTACTGTAAGCATGCAAAATACAACATAATGGAATTTTGGAAACATTCAGAAGAATATTCGTTACAGTTTGAACTTTTTCTCTAACCGTGTTATCATTTTCATTTCTCTTTTCCTTTGAAGGTAATAATGGGCAGGAGAATCAAGAATCCTGTGAACTGTTCCAAGTGACCAATGCTAAAGATGAAACAGAGAAGTTTGGATTTCGAATGGAATTCGAAAGCCATGAGAGAAGCCAGTCAAATAATTGGAATCAGGATAGCTCATATTCCACTGATGCTCCAATGCAAGACTTTCTTGCCCAACAAGACAAAATAAGGAAAAAATATATTGGGAAAAGCGTAAACGAAGACTATTTAACCCAAAACAAAGGAAAAGATGCTATAAGATACAATGGACAAAATTACAATGGGACATTCATTTATTCTCTTGGAAATAACTTCTTTACATCTGAAAAAGTGATTCACACAAAAAAGGAGCCTTATGAATGTTTGGAATCTGGAAAACATTTTGGAACAAGCTGGCAACTTACTTCCCACGAAAGGATTCACACCGGGGAGAAACTTTGTTCAGAATCCCCTGTAGCCTATGCAGCCCAGTCCCTCCAAGCAGCAGGAGAGAAACCCTATAAATGCACGGAGTGTGGAAAGACCTTTGCTCAACGTAGGTATCTTGCTTCCCATAAGATTATCCACACAGGGGAAAAACCCTATAAATGCATGGAGTGTGGAAAGACCTTTGCTCAAAGAGGTAATCTTATTTCCCATAAGATGATCCACACAGGGGAAAAGCCATTTAAATGCATGGAGTGCGGAAAGACCTTTATTTATAGCAATGGACTTAGATACCATAAAATGATCCACACAGGAGAGAAACCATATACATGCATGGAATGTGGAAAGACCTTTGCTCAACACAGTTATCTTGCGTCCCATAAGATGATCCACACAGGGGAAAAGCCATTTAAATGCATGGAGTGTGGAAAGACCTTTGCTCGAAGAGATAATCTTATTTCCCATAAGATGATCCACACAGGGGAAAAGCCATTTAAATGCATGGAGTGTGGAAAGACCTTTATTTATAGCAATGGACTTAGAAACCACAAAATGATCCACACAGGAGAGAAACCATATACATGCATGGAATGTGGAAAGACCTTTGCTCAACGCAGTTATCTTGCGTCCCATAAGATGATCCACACAGGGGAAAAGCCATTTAAATGCATGGAATGTGGAAAGACCTTTCCTCGAAGAGGTCATCTTATTTCCCATAAGATGATCCACACAGGAGAGAAACCATATACATGCATGGAATGTGGAAAGAGCTTTGCTCAACGCAGTTATCTTGCTTCCCATAAAAAGATCCACTCAGAAGAAAAACCATTTAAATGCACAGAGTGTGGAAAGACCTTTACTAAGAGCAGTGCTCTTACTTCTCATAAGATGATCCACACAGGGGAGAAACCATATAAATGCATGGAGTGTGGAAAGACGTTTCCTCAAAGAGGTAATCTTATTTCCCATAAGATGATCCACACAGGGGAGAAGCCATATAAATGCATGGAGTGTGGAAAGACCTTTGCTCAACGCAGTTATCTTGCTTCCCATAAAAGGATCCACTCAGAAGATAAACCATTTAAATGTATGGAGTGTGGAAAGACCTTTTCTCGAAGAGGTAATCTTATTTCCCATAAGATGATCCACACAGGGGAGAAGCCATTTAAATGCATGGAGTGTGGAAAGACCTTTGCTCAACGCAGTTATCTTGGTTCCCATAAAAAGATCCATACAGGGGAGAAGCCATATAAATGCACTGAATGTGGAAAGAGCTTTGCTCAGAATGGTAATCTTACTTCTCATAAAAGGATCCACACTCGGGAGAAAGTATATAGCAATAGCAATTCCACTTTAGACTTATATACCACTCCACAATGCTTTACAGCACTGTCTGAGCAGTTCACAAAGTCAGCATATTGTCCCCAGGAATCTGGGTCCTCCTTTTACCGACCTCAAAAAGATAAAAGGTTAAATCGACCATGAACCGGTCAGGATCAAACTCCTGGCTGTGGGCAATTATCTTCTGGTACTACATTCTAACCTCTGACCCACCATGTCTAGAGATTTTTATGTGTACACCTATTGTGCCTTTCTGATCCAAATGAGACAAGATTGAATCCCACAAAGTGAAATTTAATCTGGAGAAAAGTAAGGTTTTACACCTGGGTGGTAAAAACAGATTACATGAAACCTGGCTCAAACAGTAACTCTGAGAGGGACCTTGGGAGTCCTAATGGATAATCACTAAATATGAGTCACCTGTGTGTGCAATAGCAGCCAAAAATGCTGAGACAATCCTTGGTTGTATAAACAGAGACATAGAATCAAAATCGCATGAAGTATTAGTACCACTTTAGAAAGCCTTAGTAAGACCACATTTGGAATACTGCATTCAGTTCTGGACATTACATTACAAAAAAGATATTTAGTCTTTGGAAAAAAGTGTAAAGAAGAACAGCTAAGTTGATTAAAGGCCTGAAGACTAAAACACATGAAGAAATGTTGCGGGCTTTGGGTTTGGCTAGTCTAGAGAAAAGGATTAGGAGTGATATCAGGATTCCAGTACTTGAGAGTCTGCCACAAAGAGGAGAAGCTCCATTTATTTTCCAAAGCACCAGAGGGTAGGACAGGAAACAATGCATGTGAACTAATCAAGGAGAAAAGCAACCTGGAATTAATAAGAATCTTCCTTACAATGGGGACAATTGACCAGTGGGACAGCTTTCCTTCATTGTGGGTACTTCATCACTGGAGGTTTTTAAGAAAAGACTGGACAGTCATTTGTCTGAAATGGTATAGGATCTCCTGCTTGATCAGGGGGCTGGACTAGAAGACCTCCAAGTTCCCTTCCAGCTCAATTCTGATTCTGATTCTGAATCCTCAATCCTTGTGCTTTTTTGCCAAGCAAATATGAGCATCAGTGGAGATGAAGGTTATCATTTGGCCTGAAAGTGATGTGTGGCTGCCAATATTTAAGTGGTGGAGATTCCCCAATCATTTCAAGAAACCCCCTCTGATGAGTATATCCACTAGAGCAGAGTTGCAGTCAGGAATGCAGTTAGTCCTGAATCCCTTACTATTGTTTCAGCTTTTCTTACTTTGCTTAATATTGCCAAAAACTGCCTTTCCACCCTGCTTCACATTATGTAACGCAAGTAATAATTGAGAAAGAAAACCATAAGGAGAACGGGGTTATAGTGATGCTGAATTAGAAAAGGCAACTCATAGGCTCTTTATCCTAACTTTGTGGTGATCTTTCCTTGCTTTCCGTCATGTTGCCCATCTCTGCCCTCACACAATCTTACCAATATCTTTTTTAAGTGAGGTCTCCAGAACTGGACACAGTATCCAAATTGGGGACTGACTAAAGCCCTATCTAGTGGGTTTGGACCTCCTTTTTCTTGATGGTGATACAACTGGTGAGGTATCCCAGTATTTTGTTTGCCTTCACAGCTGCCAGGCCACAATATTTACTCATTTTGCAGTTTTCATTTTTTCAGTGCAATTGTAACTTTGTTCACAGAGTTGTGTGAAAAAAGCGCTGCTTGAACTCAATAATTCTAGCGTTCTGGAAATATTGGGCTGTTCCGAGCTTTGTCCACACATGGAGCATTAAAGCAAGTAGTTTTATTAAGAGAAAGCAGCGGCAGGGAAATATAGATGTGTATTAAGTTCCCCTAGCTAGCCAGCCTACTGGCCAACCCAGGTAGACTTTGATTTACAATCATTAATAAAGTAACCATTCGAAGTTACAATAGCACTGAATTAATGATGGTCTTTCCTTCCTTCCTTCCTTCCTTCCATCCATCCATCCATCCATCCCAACATCAAGGTTCCAAGTAATACATTCCCAAAACTAAGAACTCCAAGGCAGGCATATTCCTCAAAGAACATGTTATTGACTAGTCAAACATAATATGATCAAATGGATGCAGAATTTTAAATATTCAGTAGAATTGGCTAAATGGGAAGAACTCTGGAAGATGAATATAAAATCAATGCTGGCGGTGGCATACAAAGAAAACCAACTAAAGATGTTCTCTGGGTGGCATATGTCCCCAACAAGACTGCCAAAGATAAATCCAAAAAACAGCTCGACCTGTTGTAAATGTAAGAAAGCCCAAGGCACCTTTTACCACCTATGGTGGACCTGTCCAGCGGCAAAAAATTTTTGGTCTATGATTAAAAACTGGTTAGAACAAATTACATCAGTACAGATATACAAGAAACCTGAAACCTTCCTATTAGGAATCTTTACCAGAAACTATCCCAAAGAAATAAAATATCTGTTAACACACATCTTAACAGTGGCCAGGATAACACATGCTAGCCAGTTGCGCCCCTTTCTGGACCGGGACTCCCTACGCACGGTCACTCAAGCACTCGTCACCTCTCGTCTGGACTATTGTAATGCTCTCTACATGGGGCTCCCCCTGGGGTACACCCGGAGGCTCCAACTGGTGCAGAATGCGGCCGCGCGGGGGATTGTGGGAGCGACGGGGCGCTCCCATGTGACTCCTCTCCTGCGCGAGCTGCATTGGCTTCCAGTGGACTTCCGAGTGCGCTTCAAGGTGTTGGTGATCACCTTTAAAGCGCTCCATGGCTTAGGGCCAGGGTACTTATGGGACCGCCTTCTGCCACCAATAGCCTCCCACCGGCCGGTTCGCTCCCACAGAGGGCCTCCTCAGGGTGCCGTCGGCCAGACAATGCCGGCTGGCGACCCCCAGGAGGAGAGCCTTCTCTGTGGTGGCACCTACCCTTTGGAATAATCTACCCCCAGAGATACGAGTGATCTCCAACCTCCGGACTTTTCGTCGGGCCCTAAAAACTTACTTTTTTCAGTTAGCCGGTCTGTCTTGATTTTAGGGTTGGTTTTAAAATTTTGATACTGATTTTAAATAGACAAGTTTTAAATTATGGGCCAAATTTATTAATTATTTTAAATCTATTTTTAATTGCAATGTTATGTATAAATGTTTTTATTTTGGCTGTTCACCGCCCTGAGTCCGAAAGGAGAAGGGCGGTATAGAAGTTTGAATAATAAATAAATAAATAAATAAATAAACTGGAAATTGGAGAAAATCCCTTCCGAAGAAGAAATTATAGACAAAATAACACAATGTGCAGAGATGGATAGGCCCAAAGATATGTAAGCTGTTGTCCATGATGGGGGTATTTTACCCCCTTGCTGAATATTGCAAAATAAATCTCTAAGTTGTTCCACCATTTCAGCTTGCAAAGTTTTGTAATACACTGCGGTCAAGCCATCCGTGCCAGGAGCTTTAGCTGTTTTTAACTGTTTAATTGCTACTATTATCTCCTCCTCTGTTATAGGATAATTCATTCTTTCCTTTTGTTGATCAGTAATTTTTGTAACTCTTTTATCGTTTAAATATTTTTCTATAAGTCCATTCTGCACCTCCTCTTTAGCATATAATTTAGTATAATAGTCCACAAAAGCTTCTTTAATTAATTTTTGTTGAAAGATTTCTTTCCCTCCAATATCAATACTATCAATAGTCCGTATACTTTGTTTTTTCCTCAATGTGTAAGCCAACCATCTGCCCGGTTTATTAGCGTTACAAAATGTGTTATGCTTCGCATATTGTAAGTTTGTTGCAACTTGTTCCGCCATAAGCATTTGAAATTGGTCTTTCAAAAGTTTTATAGCACTACGTATTCTTTCATCTGTTGGATTTTTAATAAGTAACTGTTCTTTATTCTTTATTTCTATTTCCAGTTCAGATCTTTTCTTTTGTCGGAACAGTCTATGTTTAGAGTTCATGTAGATAAGTACCCCTCTCATATAAGCTTTACTTGCATCCCACACAATTTCAATTGGGGTACCTTTATTCAAATTTATTTCAAAAAATTCTTTCAAATGCTTTTTAAGTTCTGTTGTATTTTTTCATATCTAAACAAATTCTCATTTAATCTCCAAGAACGTCTCTCAACCTTGTCCATCTCAATTTCTATCCATACTGGGCTATGGTCAGTCAAAGTTCTTGGAAAAATCTTTGTTCTTTTTGTCTTGACAAGTAAATCATCTGTCAACAAAATAAAGTCAATCCTAGAGAAGGATCTGTGTCTGTCAGAAAAAAAAGTATAGTCCAATTCTTTTGGATTATGTATTCTCCAAACATCTTTTAGTTCCATATCTTCTTTCATGTCAAAAAAGGTCTGTGGTAATCTGATCCTAGACTTTGCCAAACTCTTTTTATCTAATTTAGAGTCGATTACTCCATTCCAGTCTCCCATAATTAAAATAGATCTGTAATCCCATTGCAATATTTTAGTATGTAACATCTTATAGAAATAGTCCTGTTGTTGATTGGGAGCATAAATTCCAATCAGAAGAATTTGGCCATTTGTTGTAAGCAATTCAATTGCTACAAACCTACCATCTTCATCTGTTTCTATAACTTTAGCTGTTAACTTTTTATTTACATAAATAACCACACCATTCTTTTTTTGCGAAGTTGAAGATATAAAATGTGTTCCTAGTTTGGAGTTTATCAAATATTTTTGATCTTGAGTTGTGATATGCGTTTCTTGTAAACAAATTATATCATTATTAAATTGTTTCAAATATGTAAATAATTTCTTCCTTTTCTGTGCTGAATTCAACCCATTAACATTCCAAGATAAACACTTAAACATCATCAGCCTCTTTCTGGAGCAAAGAGCAAAATAATTGAAGGTCATCCGAAAGCTTCGATCTCGCTCCCCCCATGGCTCCAATCTCTTGTGCAGTACTCTTAACTGCCTCCTTGTCTTGTCTTTCCTGTTGTTGTTGTTGCTTTTGTTTAAGTAACTTAGATTGAGCTCGAGTTATACGTTGATCCTTAACTTCAATCATCCGAACCGGGTCCAAAATTGGAGAAGATTCCAGCAAGGGCTCATCCAGAAAACCTCCTTCTGCACCTTGCACTTCCTCTAATTCCTGCTTAGACTGTTCTTGCAGTTCTCGTTGAGGTTGCTTCTCTTCACTCTCTTTAATCTCCAAAACTGTAGATGTACGTGGAGATGGTGTTCTTTCCTTAAGGATAGTAGTATAGAAGTGCTGTGCCTTCTCCACGGTATTCAAACGGTATCTTTCTCCCTTGTATCTGAAAATTATGCCAACTGGTGCGTCCCACCGGAAAGGTATCTGTAAATTTTGCAATTCCTTAACAAGAAAGCCAAATTCTTTTCTAGCTTTCAGCATTTTAGGAGGCAATTCTTTATAAATTCCAATTCGTGAGCCCCCCACTTGTACAGAAATGTAAAAGGATTTTTGCAGGATATCGTTTCTTATTTCTCTATCTGTAAAATATATGACCACATCTCTAGGTAATTGTCTTTGTCTGGCCACCCAGGAGTTCAGTCTGTAAATTTTGTCTATTTTGTGAAAAACCACATCAGGATTAACTTGTAAAATCTTGGCCAGGGCCTCAGAACAAACTTGTCTCAAATCCTGTCTTTCCTCCTCTCGAATTCCTCGAAGCCGTATAGCAAACTCCATTGCCCTGAATTGTATCATGACAATCTCGTTTTCTACTCTTTGCATTTTATTGTCAACATCAGCAATTTTATAATCATTGTCTTTCATCTTAACATTAACTTCTGATTTAAGTTCTTCAACTTTAAAATCAACTTTCCCAATAAATTCTGCCAGGCCAGATGCCACTTCTGATATTTTTTTGGTCACCTTGTTTTGATTCTGTTTCACCATATCTTTAACTTCATTAATTTCCTGCATAAATTCCTGATGTGATTTTTGAAGTTTATCATCTATCTCCTGTTGAGATTTTTGAAATTTATCATCCAAAGTTTTAGAAATAAATTCTTTTAAATCTCCCACATCAAATTCTTTTTTCTGAGTCTGTAGCTGTTGAGCAGGGGGAAGCTGCGTTTCATGTTTGTGTGTGGGGGATCCCCCCCCCCGTTGCCTTCCCTTCCTGCTTCTTTGAAGCCATCCTGCCACGTGATCTAGTTTTTCTAAAGAGGGAAGTTCCTTTTCCTTTCCCTCCTGCACAAAGACTTCTAAAAAAGTCCCCCAGATTTGATCAAATAAAGGTTGAAGTAAAGCAAAGTCAAGTGTTGAAAAGGGAGAAATTTTCCACTTGTTTCTCTTATTACAAACAAGACAACTTTGTAGCAACTTGGAAACTTTGTAACAAAGCAAGATAACTTCACCAATCCACACTCGCTGGCTCGTTAACTCTAAGGCTGAGCGCCATGTTTTTTCAAAGCACTTTCACTCATTCGCATTTTTCTCAGTTTAAAAAGTCAACAAAGCGCTAATACTTGCGTTTCCAAGTTTCAGGATTCAGGTAATTTCGCTGTTTATTAAAGCTGGTTCTTTTCGCTTTGAGTTTCCTGCAGCCGGCTTGTTCTGCGAAAGCAGAATCGTCCCACGTCGCCCGGAGTTTCAGCAGGTTGGGAGGGAGCCACGCTTGTTCTCTCCCCAGAAACTTCCCTGGGGGGTTACAGGGGCTCGACCTGTGCCCTGCGATCTCTACTTCCTCAATCCTATGGATTTTGAAGTTTTCGAGCCGCTTCTTCGTCTCGAAGCGGCTCTACGGGCGGCGGGGCTGGCGGAGCTTCAAAAGGCGCCGCCGTCGCCGAAGACAGGGAAACCGGAAGTTCCCAGATTTGTTTTGATTTGCACACTGTGTTTCCTGAGATTCTTCATGAAGAGACGGGTGAGCCCCTCATCCTTAACTGCTGGATGGAGGGTTAGGCTGGGCTGAAGGAGAGGAGAAAGAGCAGGGTGAGAAGCTAAGGACAAGAGGCCCACCTGCCTGTCCACGAGACCTCTCGGGAGACACATTGTGCAAACGTAAAAGCCTGTCCTGGCTAGGTGGCTCAGTGGCTAAGATGGTGGCTAGGTGGCTTGTGGATCAGAAAGATCGGCGGTTTGAATCCCTATTATTATTATTATTATTATTATTATTATTATTATTAATTATTTATTTTATTTCTATACCGCCCTTCTCCTGTGGGACTCAGGGCGGTGTATAGCATATAAAATTTAAAAAAAAACAATTTAAAAAACAATTAAATAATTTTGGCCTAAGTTTAAAACAACCCAATTAAAACCGAATTCAATTAAAAACTGAGAGGATGGGATCAAGCCAGCCTGGCTAGATAGAATAAGTGTGTTTTCAGGGCCCGAAGAAAGGTCCGGAGGTCTAATATCGTGCGTATCTCAGGGGGCAGGTCATTCCAGAGGGCAGGTGCTGCCACAGAGAAGGCTCTCCCCCTGGGGGTCGCCAGCCGGCAAGTATAGGTCTCCTACGTGAGCAGGGTTGGACTAAATGACCTCCAAGGTCACCTTCCAACTCTGTTATTGTTACCTCTCAGGAGACACATTGTGCAAATGTAAAAGCCTCTCCTTCCAAATTAAGCAGCAGCACCTGAATCAAAAAGCACCACAAGTCTGGGTGTCCTTTGTGTTTGTTGCCCTCTTTCCGGGAAGTGTTTCAATACCAGGTCAAATTGGGTGTTATTCAGATCACATCACAGAGAATAGGAGCTGTGCTTTCTCGCTAAACACCTAAACACATCGGGATGTGATCCGAATAAGACACAGCTTGACCTGCTACTGAAACACTTCCTGATTCTTTTCCAAAGTGTGCTTGTAGCAGCTGCCTTAAATGTGCTTGCAGTGGCTGCTGTATATGGAGTGGCCGGTCCTGTGCCTCTGCCTGCTGCCAGTGCCACCTGCAGCAGTCCCAGTTGCTGCAAGTGAGCAGTGAGCATCTCAAAAGTGAAAAGCGGGACTCACCTGCCGCCCCTTGCACTGCAAAACGTAGAAAACAGCCACCCTCCTTTTGGGAAAGAGCCAGGGGGCGTTTCAATAGCAGGTCAAGCTGGGTCTTATTCAGATCACATCCTGGCATGTTTTTTGTTTTTTAATTTGATCTATATGCCGCCTTTCTACGGAGACTCAGGGCAGCTTACAATGCGTTAAGCAATAGCCTTCATACTTTTTGTATATTTATACAAAATCAGCTTATTGCCCCCACAAACTGGGTCCTCAATTTACCTACCTTAGAAAGGATGGAAGACTGAGTCAACCTTGAGCCTGGGGAGATTCGAACTAGCAGTAATTGCAGGCAGCTGAATGATAATAACAGGCTATTAGTCTGCTGCGCCACCAGGCTCTTTTTGGAAGGAGGAAGACTCAGCTGCTATTGCCTGTGCTGAGGTTTGCACAGTGGCAGCAAGATATTGCAAGATTCATGTTTATCTCCCTTCCAAAACATACTGACGATGGCTGATTCTTGGTTTTCGCTTTCAACCACAATATTGGCAGCCACTGACACAAGCGAATCTTGGGGGGGGGGTGTTCTTCGTCCTCCTGACAGCACTGCTCTCGGCCGCACAGCTGGGCTGTTCCTGCTTGACAGGGGGCCAGAGTTCTGAACAACCACAAGACACAAGCTGTGTTTCCCAGAGATTCTCCTGGTCCTCCTCTTCTGACCGCCCCGCTGTTTCTGACAGGATTTGGACCCTTTTGAGGCCTCCTCCAATCTCTGCCAGGCCCTGAGGGTGGCTCTTCCTGAGGGAAGCGAGTTTAAATCCTCCAGAGAGATTTTTTTTTCCATCTCCACAGAGGGTTCCTAGAGAGGTAAGGAGAGGGAGAGGGAGAGGGAGAGAGTGCTGTATTTGGAAACCACAAAGCTTTTCTTGGGCAGGGAGGCATTGAGAGGGGCTTTTCCTCCTATTCCCATGCCCATCATCCCTGCCCTCTCCCTTCCCCTCAGATACGCTCCTCTTTCCCGCGCTTTTCAGGGAATCCCGTAAATTTACGCAGAATCCACTAGGGGGCGCCTTCTGTCTAGAGAAGGGAACACCAGGCGCTTCCCCATTGGGCAACTGGAGGACGAAAGACCTTTGAAGAGGAGGCAGGAAAGGAAGTGACATCATAGAGCTTTGCCGCTCTAGGACTCCGCACTCGCTCTCCTTAACCCCCGGGGCTCCGCAGGAGACGGAGAGGCTGCGGGAGAGTCTGGCGGGGGAAGATCCAGAGGTGCCCCGGGTGAGTTGGGGGCTCTTCCCTTGCAAAGGGAGGCGGAGGGGAGAGACCCGCGCCCGGCCCTCCTCCGGCTTCAACCCCGGCTCCCATGTTCCCCAGCCGCCCTCTCCATGCAGGAGGAAGCGGGGATCCCAGGAAGGCGGCGGGGATCGGGGGTCTCCCTTCCAGTGTCCGGGGAAGAGCCCAAGGGAGGGGAGGGGAGGGTCTGCCTTGCGGAGGCCCAGCAGGAGAGGAGAAAAGCCGGGCGAGGAGGAGGCAGGATTTGCACCAGGCTCCCTGTCTCCGGAGGGGGAGAGAAGCGGGGCGGCCTCTCCAGCTGCCTCCTTCCAGGCCCTGCTCTGGGATGAGCCTCTTGGGACTCCTGGAAGGTTGGGTGAAGGTTGTTCAGTGGTTAAGTTCTACTTTCTAATTCTTAATATTTGTTTTTTTCTTCCCATCTCAGATACAGAAACTGGAAGCCATTTGTGGTCTTTGCAAGGGAAACTTTTCTCTTGGGGGAAGAAGAAAAAGGGTGGAATAACTTGGAGGGCTCAGTTGTGGAGCACCAGAAATGGTCCCGTGAAGGAAAAGGCATCTGGAGACCCATCAGAGTCCTTGGAGCCATTTGCAGTTGCTCTGCAGGACAGAGAAAGGATGGAGACACAACCTTTTGGAAAGGAGGGAAGCGGAAAAGGCCCTTCAGCTGCTCAGCCTGGGAAGGGGGGGAAGCTCTGGACGAGGACTGGGCAGCAGATCCTGGAGGAGGAAACCATCCTCCCTTCAGAAGTTCAGCCCTGGAATTTCATCCAATACCAGGAGGCTGAGGGTCCCCGAGGACTTTGCAGCCGACTCCATGGCTTTTGTAGGCAATGGCTGAGACCAGAAAAACACACCAAAGCCCAGATGCTGGACCTGGTGGTTCTGGAACAGCTCCTCTTCCTTCTGCCCCAGGAGATGGAGGGCTGGGTGCGGGAGTGTGGAGCAGAGACCAGCTCCCAGGCGGTGGCCCTGGCTGAAGGCTTCCTCCTGAGCCAGGTGGAGGAGCAGAAGCAGCAGGTCGAGTTGCAGGTGAGACACTTTAGGGAGCTCAAAAGGGAATAAAGAATGTGTTTGAATACTTCACCCCTCCTTCCCAAACCTCTCTGACGTTCATAATATGTGACTATGTCCCATCAATTCTTGTAGAATATTGTTCCATTGTTTTCTCACTCAACCTCACTGGTGGATATTGGGGGCTTTGAGGTTGTGTTCTGAACATAAGATTCCACTTTATGTTGTGTGATGTACATTAATTCTGCTTCTTCCATCCTTCCTCCTATTTGAACTGCTGCACTAAGGAGATCAGAGATCCTGAGGGAAAGAAGAATCCATCAAATCCCCCTCAGGAGCTATTTTTCAGGAGGATCCCTTGGGAAGACCCAAATCAGAACACCTCAGGAGGTAATTAAAGATCCTCCAATTACCCAGAGAAATCCGATCTGTCTTACCCTTCTTCTCTTCTGTAGTATACCTCTCCTTACTTTGTTAAATATACATTTTGAAATTATTTTATCCTTAGAGAAACAAAGAATGAAGTTTTCTACTTTTTACGATGGAGCTCAAACAGTGGTTGAACCTCCAAATCAAGTAAGAAAGAAAAAAGTTATTAGATTTGTATTCTCCTTTCCTTCAGGAAGTGAAGCGGGTGTGCAAAGTTCTCCCGCCTTGTATTTTCCCCCTTGTTTGGACTGAATTATTTTTGTTTTCCTGTACAGCATGGACAGCATAATAGCAGGTTCAAGATGCTCTCAACCAGCATAGTTTCCTTTGTAGACTCTTACTGAGACACAATGGTTTGTCATTTCTACCCTCAGATTCTGTTTAGGAAATGTTTTTTAAAGACCACTGGTTAACTAGTTCTCCTAGGTACTCTTCCAACTATGAGTTTACACGAACTAATGTTTTAACAAGTCCTTCAAGAAATAGGAATAAATGTATCACAGTTGTAGTGACTGCTAGAGACCCGTTCTTTTTGCAATTATTTGACTTGGAGTTTTGCAAGGCTAATGAAAAATAAATACTCACATTGCCACATTACCATTTTTTTAAAAAGCCTTGTTCATAACCTATAGTTCAAAAAATAAGCGAATCACATTAAAAAATAAAGCAGAATTTTAAAATCCAAAGAGAATGGCCACATAGAATCCCAGTATGTTGGGCTATAAAATAATTTCCAATCCTCTGATTTGTTCCTGGATTACGAGATCAAACATTCCCGCTTTGCAAAGGTTGAGAAATGAGCTTCACAGAGCATTATCTCTTCTTTGTTTTCTCACATTCAGCCAATGGCTCAAAGTACTACATCAATAAATGATAGGGCAATAGATCAGTTGATCCAGAAGTGGGATTACTTTACTGAAAGGCACTGTAAATTCTGCAGAATCAATGAAATTGATAAAACTTGCCCCAAATATTTCTTCAATCAAACAAATTTTGAGAATTGTCCATTTTCTCACCTAAAAATAGGACTTGTGTATCGCACAGCCATTTAAGTTAGTGCATATTTTTCCTTTGGGAATTTGGGAACAATGGAACAGAATAACAGAGGTGGTAGGGATCTTGGAGGTCTTCTAGTCCAACCCCCTTCTCAGACAGGAAGCCCTATAATATTTCAGATAAATGGCTGTCCCATTTTTTCTTAAACTCCTCTGGTGTTGGAGCATCCACAACTTCTGGAGGCAACTCATTCCACTGATTAATTGTTCTGTCAGGAAATTTCTCATTAGTTGCATATTAGTTCTCTCCTTGATTAGTTTCCATCCATTGCTTCTTGTCCCGCTTTCAGGTGCTTTGGAGAATAGGTTGGCCTCCTCTTCTTTGTGGCAGCCCCTTAGATATTGCAACATTGCTACCATCTCATCCCTAGTTCTTCTTTTCATTGAACTAGATATACCCAATTCCGGCAACCATTCTTCATATGTTTTATATAGGACCCTAATCATTTTGGTTGCTCTTTTCTGTACTCTTCCTAGAGTTTTAAGATCTTTTTTCAATCTGGCAACCAAAATTGGATGCAATATTCCCAGGTCCATTATAAAGTGGAACTAACACTTCATGTGATCTTGATTCTACCCCTCTCTTAATGCAGCTTATGATTGAGTTGGGTTTTTTTGGCAACTGTAGCATACTGCTGACTCTTGTTTAAGTGATTGTGCACTAGGATTCCAAGATTCCTTTTGCACTTTCTACTGTTGAGCCAGGTATCACCTAAATTTATGCCAGTGCATTTAGTTTTTATTTCCTAAATGTAGCACCTTCTATTTCTCACCATTGATTTTCATTTTGTTAGATGGGGCCCAATCTGTCGATACTTCTATATTTTGAGCTTATCTTCTGGAGTTGTTGTGCCTGTCAACTTGGTCTTGTCTGCAAATTTGAGGATTTTCCCTTCTATCCCCTTATCTAAATCATTGATGAACAGATATTGCGAATCCTCTTGTTCTGTTCTTTTTTCCATGATCAGGAGAGACTTGTGTCCTTCGAGGAGGTGGCTGTGTATTTCTCTGAGGAGGAATGGTCTCAGCTGGATTCTGACCAAAAAGCCCTGCATTCGGAAGTCATGCTTGAAAACCATAGGAACGTGGTCTCTCTGGGTAAGAGTTTTTTAGTCCCCAATCAGAAAGCTCAAGAAGATAGATTATAATTAATTTTTTTAAAAAAAAAATCACTAATCCGATATTATTTCCTGGGAGGGAGAAGGAAACGATCTGGCCTTCTCGTACTCCAAGGAAGGAAACAGGTCAATATCTCTTTCCTTAGATGCTTTCTGTGAAGAGCATTCTCCCAGTCCAATTCATGAACAAAGGCCTGATGCAGTGTGACTCTGCATCCTAGGGTACAGGTAATCCCACTGTCAGCATTCTAATGCTGCCATAAAGAGAAGAAGACGAGACTTGACTTTTCACCTACTTATTTTCTCTGTAGATAATATCCCCTAGTAGATGGGATGGGAGGGGGGACATTCCTGTGGGTTGAAGTCAGGAGCTGGGGAGACTGACTTGGAAGATGGCCAATGAGACGCTGAGAATTGGGGAACGGAAAGGGAAGGGTTTGGGGTCAGAGGGTTAGTATCGGCTACGACGAAGTCGGGGCCAGATTTGTCGTACTCAATAAATGGAAGTTTTCAGCAAAGATTAATTGTTTGGGAATGCAATTTATTTGAGATGACATCGGAACCTGACACCCACTACATGACTGTTCCAAGTTACGACCTAGCCGTCTCTCAAGTACTTAAGACCCAGTCTTGAAATTATAAATGTTGTAGCATTACAGCTGTCATTCACACTTACGAATGACAGCAGAGACGCTGCAATGTTCGCGCCATCTATACCCCCACCCCACCCTGCTGAGACTTACATTGCAATGATGTAGTGAGACGTCGGTTCCTTTGCCTGCTTCGATGCATTTGCAGAAAACAGAGGCCTAAAGTAATGAGAGATGCATGAGATCAGTAGCACGAAATCTCACGCTAAGTATCTCAAGTGATCTTGCACTACAGTACTTTAGGCCTCGGTTCTCTGCTAATCCAAGGCCTGCATGATATCCAAGCCAAAATTCTTTGCAAACAGAGGGAAGGCCTCTTTGTTTTCAAAGACTTTGCCCCTGGATCTTGTGCAGTCCTCATTTCATAAAGAACACAGGCCAGAAATACTGCAGTGCGAGATCACGCATGATCAGTAGCCTGAGATCTTGCACTACTTGTCTTGTTTGATCTCGTACTAAATTAGTTTAGGCCTCTGTTTTCTATGAACTGAAGCCTGTACCAGATCCAGTCAAAGAACCCTTGCAAGCCGATAAGACTTTGGGACAGCGAAATAGCCATTCTTGAAACCTTCCAACCTTTCCAGTCTCCACGCAAAGAGTGTTTACAAGCCAATGGGAGACTTCAAGCAAGGGATTTCACTCCAAAGTCTCATCGCTGAGATCAAGGAATGGGCTGAGCAGGAGTCCCGCCTGGAAGACAGATGCCGTGGAGCAACTGATCCAAGGTACCCCCGGGAAGAAGGAGATTGTTTCAAAGTTGTTCTATTTCTCACAAGTCTCTGCTGTAATTAACCCACCCCAATAAATCTTAAATTTTCTCCTAATTCCTCCTTGGAGGTCTCCCCTGATTATTCCTTAACTCAAAACTGAGTGAGATTTGCATATATATATATAGATAATGAGATAATTATAAAGAAATAGCTATTTTCTAGATATTTTCAAAGCTTTGATGACTCATAAATATAGAAATCATGTCCATATCACACCACTGTAAGCATGCAAACATACAACCTAATGGAATTTCAGAGAAATTCAGAAGTAAATTCACTTGACTTTCTACAGTTTGATCTTTTTCTCTAACTGTGTTATCATTTTCATTTCTCTTTTCCTTTGAAGCTAATAATGGGCAGGAGAATCAAGATTCCTGTGAACTGCTCCAAGTGATCAATGCTAAAGATGGAAGGGAGAAGTCTGGAATTCGAATGGAATTTGAAAGCCATGAAAGAAACCAGTCAAATAATTGGAATCAGGAAAGTTCGTCTTCCACTGATGCTCCGATGCAAGACTTTCTTGCCCAACAAGAAAAAATCAGGAAAAAATATATTGGGAAAAGTGTGAAGCTAATCAAAGATAAATTACACCTAGATGAACACTATTTAACCCAAAACAAATGTAGAGAGTATGATAATAGGTTCAGAAGTTATAGTAATCTTATTTCCCATAAAAGGATCAACTCAGGAGAGAAACCATATAAATGCCTGGAGTGTGGGAAAACCTTTACTCATAGCAAAGGACTTAGAAACCACAAAACAGTCCACACAGGAGAGAAACCATATAAATGCATGGAGTGTGGAAAATCCTTTACTCTGAACTATAGACTTACTATCCACAAAAAGATCCACACAGGGGAAAAGCCATTTAAATGCATGGAATGTGGAAAGACCTTTGGTCAAAGATGTACTCTTATTTCCCATAAAATAATCCACACAGGCGAAAAGCCATATAAATGCATGGAGTGTGGAAAGTCCTTTGCTCAATGCAGTTACCTTGCTTCCCATAAAAGGATCCACTCAGAAGAGAAACCATATAAATGTATGGAGTGTGGAAAGACCTTTGCTCAGAGCAATGCTCTTACTTCTCATAACAGAACCCACACAGGAGAGAAGCCATATAAATGCATGGAATGTGGAAAGACCTTTGCTAATAATAGTAATCTTACTTATCATAAAATGATCCATGCTAAGGGTAAAGTATATAGCAATAGCAATTCCACTTTAGACTTCTCTACCACTCCACAAAGCTTTATAGCAGTCTTTGAGCAGTTTACAAAGTCAGCATATTATCCGCAGGAAACTGGATCCTCATTTTACTGACCTGACAAAGATTAAAGACTGAATCAATCATGAGCCAGTCAGGACCGAACTCCTGGCTGTGGGCAATTAACTTGTAGTACTGTATTCTAACCTCTGATCCACCAGGTCTATAAATTTTTATGTGTACAGATACTGTGCCTTTCTGATCCAAATGATTCAAGATTCAATCCAACAAAGTGAAGTTTAATGTGGAGAAAAGTAAGGATTTACACCTGGGTGGGAAAAACAGATTACATGAAACCTAGTTCAAAAACAATAACTGTGAGAGGGACCTTGGGAGTCCAAAGGAATGGTCACTTAAACATGAGTCATTTGTGTGCGGCAGCAGCCAAAAAAGCTAATACAATCCTTGGTTTGTATAAACGGAGACAGAATCAAAATCAAATGCAGTATTAGTACCGTTTAATAAAGCCTTAGTAAGACCACACTTAGAATACTGTATCCAGATTTGGTCATTACATTACAAAAAAAGATGCTGAGACTTTCCAACGAAGAGCAGCTAAAATGATTAAAGGCCGGAAGACTAAAACAAGAACTGTTGCAGGATTTGGGTTTGGCTAGACAAGAGAAAAGGAGGATTAGGAGCGATGGCAGTATTCCAGTACTTGAGAGGCTGCCACAAAGAGGAGGAGGTAAATTTATTTTCCAAAGCACTGGAGGGCAGGACAAAAAACAATGCATGTGAACTAATCAAGGAGAGAAGCAACATGGAATTAACAATGTTCCTTACAGTGAGGACAATTAACCAATGGGACAGCTTTCCTCCAGACATTGTGGGTGCTTTATCACTGGATGTTTTTAAGAAGAGACTCGATAGTCACTTGTCTGAAATGGTATAGGTTCGTGATGGCGAAGCTGTGGCACACGGAGCCATATCTGTGGGCACGCAAGCATTGCCCTAGTTCAGCTCCAGCTCGCATGCGCATGCCGGCCATCTGATTTTCAGGCCTTCCGGGCCCAGGGGAAGCCGGGAAACAGGATGTTTCCGGCTCTGGAAGGCCTCCGGGGGGAGTGGGGAAAGCCATTTTCTTCCTCCCCAGGCTCCATAAAGCCTCTGGAGCACGGGGAGCGTGGGGGAGTCACGTGCACGTGCGTGGGGGTGCAGGGGGCAATGAATAATGGGTATGGGCATGCACGCACACGACTCCCTCATGGCCCCGCTTTTGGCACACGATGGCAAAAAGGTTAGCCATCACTGGTATAGGTTCTCCTCCTTGAGCAGGGGGCTGGACTAGAGCTCCAAATTCCCTTCCAGCTTGATTCTAATTCTGAATCCTCAATCCTTTCTTGTGCTTTTTGCTAAGTTGGAGGTTTGAAAGCAAACATGAGCATCAGTGGAGATGAAGGTTATCGTTTGGCCTGAAAGTGATGTGTGGCTGTCAATATTTAAGTGGTGGAGATTCCCCAATCATTTCAAGAAGCTCTTTCTGATGAGTATATCCACTAGAGCAGAGTTGCAGGCAGAAATGCAAAAGTCCTGAATACCTTACTATTGTTTCAGCTTTTCTTACTTTGCTTAATATTGTCGAAATCTGTCTTTTCACCCTGCTTCATATTATGTAATGCAAGTTATAATGTGGCTGTTCTTGAGGGAAGAGAGTTTAAATCCTCCAGAGAGATTTTTCTCCATCTCCACAGATGGTTCCTGGACAGGAAAGAGAGGAAGATGGAGAAAGTGCCACCTCTGAAGAAGTTGAAGCCTTTGTCAGGCAGGGAGCCCTTGAGAGGGGCCTTTTCTCCTACTCCCAAGCCCATCATCCCTACCCTCTCCCTTCCCCTCAGACACGCTCCTCTTTCCCGCCCTTTCTACAATCCTGCCAGTTTGCACCAAATCCGCCAGGGGGACCCCTCTGCTAAGACAAGTGAACTCCCGGTGCTTCCCCATTGGTCCACCGCAGGGCGAACGTCACAGCTTTCTTTTTAGAGGAGGCTGCGAAGGAACCCGCTTGACGCTCTAGGATGCCGCACTCGCTCGCCTTAACCCCTGGGGCTCCGCGGGAGGCGGAGAGTGGCGGGTGGAGACCCAGACGTGCCCCGGGTGAGGTGGGGGCTCTTCCCGGGCAAAGAGAGGCGGAGGAGGGAGAGACATTCGCCCAGCCTTCCTCTGGCTTCAACCCCAGATCCCATGCTCCCCAGCCGCCCTCTCCATGCTCAGCAGGATCCGGGTCTCCCTTCCCTTCCCTTTGTCCGGGGAAGAGCCCGAGTATGGGGAGGGGAGGGTCGGCCTTGCGGAGGCCCAGCAGGAGGGGAGAGAAGCCGGGTGAGGAGGAGGCAGGATTCGCACCAGGCTCCCTGTCTCCGGAGGGGGGGGGAGAAGCGGGGCGGCCTCTCCAGCTGCCTCCTTCCCGACCTTGCTCGGGGGCACCTCAGTCCTGCGCTGGGATGAGCCGCTTGGGGCTCCGGGGAGGTTGGGGGAAGGTCGCTCAGTGGCTGAATTATACTTTCCAATTCTTGGTATTTATTTTTTCTTCCCTCTCAGATAAAGAAACTTGAAGCCATTTGAAATCTTTTCAAGGCAAAATTTTTCTTGGGGGAAAAAAAAGAGCGGAATCCCTTGGAGGGATCAGTCCTGCAGCACCAGAAATGGTCCCATGAAGGAAAAGGCATCTGGAGACCCATCAGAGTCCTTGGAGCCATTTGGAGTTGCTCTACAGGACAGATAAAGGATGGAGACACAACCTTTTGGAAAGGAGGGAAGCGGAAAAGGCCCTTCAGCTGTTCAGCCTGGGAGCTGTGGGGAGACTTGGACAAGAACTGGGCAGGAGATCCTGAAGGAGGAAACCATCCTCCCTTCACAAGTTCAGCGCTGGAAGTTCATCCAAAATCAGGAGGCTGAGGATCCCCGAGGACTTTGCAGCCGAGTCCATGACTTTTGTAGGCGATGGCTGAGACCAGAAAAGCACACCAAAGCCCAGATGCTGGACCTTGTGGTTCTGAAGCAGCTCCTGGCCCTTCTGCCCCTGCCGATGAAGAGCTGGGTGCGGGAGTGTGGAGCAGAGACCAGCTCCCAGGTGGTGGCCCTGGTGGAAGGCTTCCTCCTGAGCCAGGCGGAAGAACAGAAGGAGCAGATGGAGATGCAAGTGAGACACTTTAGGGAGCTCAAAAGAGAATAGAGAAAGTGTTTGAATACTTCATCCCTTCTTTCTAAACTTCTGATACTCATAATATGTGGCCATGTCCCACCAATTCTTGTAGGATATTGTTCCATTGTTTTCTCACTCAACCATATGGATGGATATTGGGGGCTTTGAGGTTGTGTTCCAAATATAAGAATCTACTTTACTTCATGTGATATACATTAATTCTGCTTCTTTTTTCCTTCCTCCTATTCGAAGGGCTGCACTGTGGAGATCAGAGATCCTGAGAGAAAGACGAATCCATCAAATCCCCCTCAGGAGCTATATTTCAGGAGGATCTCTTGGGAAGATCAAAGTCAGGACATCTCAGGTGGTAATCTTCAAATTACTCATCTGCCTTACCTTCACTCTCTCTTCTCTTCTATAGAATACCTCCTCCTATTTTGTTAATTATGCATTTTGAAATTATTTTATCTTTACAGAGAAACAAAGAATGAAGTTTTCTGTTTTTTCTGACAGAAATCAAACTGCGGTTGGACCTCCAAAACAAGTAAGAAAGGGAAACGTTATTAAATTTGTATTCTCCCTTCAGGAAGTGAAGCAGGTGTGCAGAGTACTCTCTCTTCTATTTCCCCCCCTTGTTTGGCCTGGATTATATTTGTGTTCTTCCACAACATGGACAGCAGAATAGGAGATTCAAGTTGCTGGCTGACCGCAGCTCTGGTTATCTTGTTCATCAAGGTCAGTGATGGTGAACCTTTTTGTCGTTGTGTGCCAAAAGTGTGTGCATGCGTGTGCCAGCACCCATAATACAAGGGAGCAGGACCACTTTCCGGCCAGCGCCTCTTACCGCTTACCTCAGCCACTCCATGAATGAGGATCTGCACTCTCCTCTGGTTCTCCTGGTGCAGCTAGCCGTTCTCGCACTGCCGGGGGTTGGTTCTCACACTGTCACTTCCCCGGCAGCACCAGGAGCAGCCGGCCGAGGCTTCAATCCCTCTCCCCGGGAGCATGGAGCTGCACAGTGGCTGGAGCAGCCAGCAGGGCGGCGGGACGCTTTAATCCCTCCCGCCAGAAGCTTGTGTCTTGCAGTTGTTGGGAACTCCTGCCTGAAGGGGAGGCAGATGGGACAAAGGCAAGAAAGCCACAATCAGGAAAAAAAAATCTATTCTATTCTATTCTATTCTAAAAAATGAAGCAAGAACACTATGGCTTCAGCTAGAGTCATTTTGGCGGGACGCGGTGGCTCAATGGCTAAGACGCTGAGCTTGTCGATAGAAATGTTAGCAGTTCAGCGGTTCGAATCCCTAGTGCCACATAACGGGGTGAGCTCTTGTTACTTGTCCCAGCTTATGCCAACCTAGAAGTTCGAAAGCACATAAAAAATGCAAGTAGAAAAATAGGGACCACCTTTGGTGGGAAGGTAACAGCATTCCATGCGTCTTTGACATTTAGTCATGCCGGCCACATGACCACGGAGACATCTTCGGACAGCGCTGGCTCTTCGGCTTTGAAACGGAAATGAGTACCACCCCCTAGAGTCGGGAACGACTAGCACATATGTGTGAGGGGAACCTTTACCTTAGAGTTGTTTTCAGAGTTGACACTACTTACTTTAATGCTCCCTGTGTGGCAGAACGTTGGAACAGACACAAAGGTATTTCCACAACGCTATTCTGTGTTTTAATAAATGAATTCAATCAATAGCTATGTGAAAAAAGTTACACTGGCACTGAAAAAATGATAACTCCAAAAAAGTAAACAGTGTGGCCAGGCAGCTTTGACGGCAGACAACATTCTGGGATGCATCACCAGAGGTATTTCCATCAGCAAAAAGGAGCTCCTATCCCTCCACATAGGGCTTTAGTGAGACACCATTTGGAATATTATGTCCAGTTCTAGAGACCTCACTTTAGAAAAGGTATTGATAAGATTGTGTGAGACAGAGATGGGCAACACGAGGGAAGGCAAGGAAAGGTCACCACAAAATTACGACAAAGAGCCTATGAGTTGTATTTTCTAATTCAGCATCACTATAACCCCATTCTCCTTATGGTTTTCTTTCTCAGTTATTACTTGCATTACATAATGTGAAGCAGGGTGGAAAGACAAACTGAGACAATAGCAAGCAAAGGAAGAAAAGATGAAACAATAGTAAGGGATTCAGGACTAATTGCATTTCTGCCTGCAACTCTGCTCTAGTGGAAATACTCATCAAAGGGAGTTTCTTGAAATGATGGAGGAATCTCCACCACTTAAATATTGGCCACCACACAAAAGAATAGATGCGAGATAAGGAGTCCAGATGCACTGAAAAAAAGACGTGGTGGCTGCAGGCTTCTTGCAGCAAAAATTACTGACCTCTGGCTCCGTTCGAGACCAGAGGTCTCGAACATGCCAAAAAAGCGACTGCCATCGCTGCCCTATTCTTCAACAGGACAGTGATGGCACTGCTTTCGAGACCTCTGGTAGTTTTCAGTGGCCAGCTTCTCAAACCAAAAAAAAGACGTGCCGGCTGCAGGCTTCTTGCAGTTGCATCGAAAAAAAGAGCTTTCCTTCCCCTCTGTCATCAGCTGCTGCAGGAGGAAGGTAAGCCCGAAGAAAGAGGTGGTTGTGGGAGAGCAAGCAGGACATCTCACGACAAGAGGGGCCAGATGCGGGCTGGCAGAGAGCCCAACGGCGATGGCTCAGCCCTGGGTTGCCTTCGCCTCTGCCACCAGCTACCATGAGAGGAAGGGGAAAATGGGTAAAAAGATTTTTTTTTTCCTATCTGGTTCTATGGGCATGGCTTGGTGGGGGGTGTCATGTGACTGAGTGGGCGTGGGCGTGAGTGACATCAGTTGGCCATACCAACTCAGTCACATGACCGTACCCCAGGCCACACCCATCAAGCCATGCTCACAGAACCAGTAGTGGAGAACTTTGAATCCCTCCACTGCTGGAAAGCCGCCTGCATCAACCTGGAAGCCAAAAATGGGTGAGGAGGGGCGGGGCACATGAGTGTGGCGAGGGCATGCGCAGGGGTGGGGGGCATGCACAGGGCAAGGGGTATATGGGGGGCGGGGTGCATGTGTGGGGGAGCTCGCATTGCATTTGGGGGTTGCGTACATGCTTTAGGCACTCGGCACCAAAAAGGTTAACCATCACTGACCTATGCCCAAGCATTTGGTTTTTCTTTCCTAAATGTAGAACCTAACATTTCTCAACGTTGTTTTTCATTTTGTTAGATGGGGCCCAATCTGTGGATCCTTCTATATCTTGAGCTTATCTTCTGGAATGTTGGTCTTGTCTGCAAATTTGATGACTTCCCCTTTTATCCCCTTGTCTAAATCATTAATGATGATGAACAGATCTTGTGAATCCTCCTTTTCTTTTTTTCGCGTTCAGGAGAGTCTTGTGTCCTTCAAGGAGGTGGCTGTGTCTTTCTCTGAGGAGGAATGGTCTCAGCTGGATTCTGACCAAAAAGCGCTGCATTTGGAAGTCATGCTTGAAAACCATAGGAATGTGGTCTCTCTGGGTAAGAGTTTTCTTGTCCCAAATCAGAGAGTTCAAGAAGACAGTTTATAGTTACTTTTTATTAAAAAATTACTAATCAGATGTCATCTCCCGGAAAGGAAAAGGAAAGTATCTGGCCTTCTAGTACCCCAAAGAAGGAAAGAGTCAGTGTCTCTTTGCTGAAATGCTTTTGGGCCATTTCCTATCTATATTTTTCAATTTCTCTTTGAACTTATCTGTTGAGGCCGAAAAGAATGAGGTGTGTTCTTATGTGTCCTCTGGAGGTCACGTGAGAGGAATGTGTTGTCATTTGTCCTCTGAAACCTCCCAAAATTGTGTGAGAACAGAACTTTCACTCTGAGGCCATGGAAGAGCATTCTCCCAATCCAATTCAAGAACAAAGGCCTCATGAAATGTGACTCAGAGCATCTGAGGGTATAGGCTATGACAAAGTTACCACAGTTCACTTAGCGACTGTTCAAAGTTATGATTGCCCCCCCCACTAGTTTAGACCCAATCCCAAAATTATGAATGTTGCAGCACTATGGCCGTCCACACTTTACTAATTACAGCAAAGGTGCTACAACATTCGCCCTACCTATTCCCCCACCCCATCCTGCCAAGACTTACCCTGCGACAATGTAGAAAGCATCAGTTCCTTTGTCTGCTTTGGTGCATTTGCAGAAAACATAGGGCTAAAGTAGTGAGAGATCACATGAGATCAGTAGCGTGAAATCTCGCATTACTGGTCTCGTGTGATCTCACACTATATTAAGTTCGGCCTTTGTCCTCTGCTAACTGAGCCCTGCACAAGATCTGGGGCAAAACGCTTTGCAAACAGAGGGAAGGCCTCTTCGTTTTCAAAGACTTTTGCCCGGATCACCACCAGATGGATTCGTAACTGGCTGATCAACCGCACTCAACATGTAGTCCTCAATTGAACTGCATCTACATGGAGGTATGCAGTGCAGTAAGTATGCAGTGGGGTAGCCCAAGGCTCTGTTTTAGGCCCAGAAGTATTAATACCACGTTATAATGCCTTGGTAAAGCCACACTTGGAATACTGCATCCAGTTTTGGTCACCTCGATGTAAAAAAGATATTGAGACTCTACAAAGAGCGCAGGAAAGACCAACAAAGATGATTAGGGTACTGGAGACTAAAACTTATAAAAAACGGTTGCTGGAAGTTGTTATGTCTAGTCTGATGAAAAGAAGAATTAGGGGTGTCATGATAGCAGTGTTCCAATATCTCAGGGGCTGCCACAAAGAAGAGGGAGTCAAACTATTCTCTAAAGCACCTGAGGGTAGGATAAGAAGCAATGGGTGGAAACTAATCAAGGAGAGAAAACAACTTAGAACTAAGGAGAAATTTCCTGACAGAACAAGTAATCAGTGGAACAACTTGCCTCCAAAATTTGTAAATCCTCCAACATGAGGAAGTTTTTAAGAAGAGATTGAATAATAATTTGCCTGAAATGGTATGCAGTGATGGCTAACATTTTTGCCATTGCGTGCCAAAAGTGGGGGGAGTGCGGGGGGTCGCTCACGTGCATGCCCACACCTATAATTCTATGCGCCCTGCCCCTCGCACGTGTGTGCGACCCCCCCACGCTCCCCACTTTGGGCATGCGATGGCAAGGTAGGCCTGTTTTTTGCTCTCCCCAGGCTCCAGAGCCTTTCTAGGAGACTGGGGAGGGCAAAAATGGCCTTCCCCACTCCCCTGGAGGCCCTCCGGAGGCTGGAAACAGCCTTTTTCCTGGTTTACAGTGGGCCAAAAGGGCCCGAAAATCAGCTGGCCAGCGTGCACATGCATGCCGGAGATGAGTTTGCGTGCCCACCGATATGGCTCCGCATGCCACCTGTGGCACACGTGCCATAGGTTCGCCATCACAGGTATAGGGTTTCCTGCCTAAGCAGGGGGTTGGACTAGAAGACCTCAAGGTCCCTTCCAACTCTTAACAATCTATTCTCTTCAATTCTAAAACCCAAAGTTCTTTCCCCCAATCCACATGTCCATCACATGGTCCAGTCAGGTCACAGTCCCCAGTCCAGTTGGTTTCCATCCATGCCTCCCCAGTACCTGGTGAGAACGTTGTGGATTTACAGGGGAAAGAATTTTATTTTGGTTACAAATCCCCAGCTATTTGTATTCCCCACTCCCATTCCCACAGCGAGGCTCTAGCCAGCTTCACTGTGGCAGCCCTGAAGACACTCCAGCATGGCTTCAGGATTAACACACAGGCCTATAGTACTGTTGTGTGAGATCAGTAGTGTGAGATCTTGAACTACTGATTTTGCATGATCTCGCACTAAAGTAGTTTAGCCATCTGTTCTCTGCTAACTGAGGCCTGTACCAGATCTAGCCGAAGAGACCTTGGAAGCCAATGAGATTTTGGGGCAGTGAAATAGCCATTCTTAAGCCTCCCAACATTTCCAGTCTCGGCATAAAGAGCGTTACAAACCAATGGGAAGCTTCAAGCAAAGGATTTGCCCCAAAGTCTCATCATTGGGATCAAGGAACAGGCCGAGCGGGTGTCCCGCCCGCCAGACAAACACCATAGAGAAGCTGCTCCAAGGTACACTGGGGAAGAAGGAATTTGTTTCAAAATTGTTTCAGTTCTCACATGTCTCTACTGAAATTAATCCACCCCAATAAATCTTAAATTTTCTCCTAATTCCTTCTTGGATGTTTCCTCTGATTATTCCCTAACTCAAAACTGGCGGTATTAAGTAAGATTTGCATATAGAGATAGATAGATGGATGGATGGAAGGAAGGAAAGAAAGATATTGTCAGCATTCCAAGTAACACCCCCAATGAAGGAAGACTCAAAGTTCCATTTTATTAGAGATGTCATATTGGCACATCTGGGGTAAACCCGAATCTGAAAGTTCCGGGTTTGTCCCCACCCAAAGAAAGTCAAAGATTCATCCCCTGCACCCACAAGTTCATCACATGCCCCAGTCATTTCTCTGTCCGAACTGGAGATAATCCCCAATCACTTCCATCCAGGTGCAGGCTGAGTGTCCTTGACTCCCAGAGAAAGGAATGTTGTTATGGCTAATTCTCCACTGACTCCTTGTAATTCCGCCTCCTGTTTTCCTAGGCACTAAATGTGGCAACCCTGAAGCTCCAAAGAAAAAGATGGCTTCCAGGCTGACAGGCTGTGCCCCCTTAGCTGAAAATTGTTTCCTGGAACGAGAGGAAATCAGGAGGTTAATACAGTTAGCATGTTAACCACCTCCCCCCACTCCAGGAGGATCCTTTGGCTTGTGGGGAAATATATCATGAAACTCTTTCACTAGAACATCAGTGTTTGCATCCCAACTCTTGACCCATGTAGCTTCTGAGAAAGGGTATCCTTTCCAATGAATCAGATATTGTAATCTACTATGTAGTCTAGAATCCAAAATCTTTTTTACTTCATAATGGGTTTCACCCTGTATCACAATTGGTTTGGGAGGCGTTACTTGCTGCAGTCTTAACCTTGAACTGACAGCTGGCTTCAGTAAACTGCAGTGGAATACTAAATGCACTTTACCTAGTATTCAGGGGAGGCTGAGCTCTACTGTTACCGGGTTAATTACTTTCACTATGGAGAAAGGTCCTAAGAATTTAGGTCCTAGTTTCTTATTGGGCAACTTCAGCCTAATGTATTTTGTTGATAGATAGACTTGATCTCCCACCTGAAGGGGTTGAGGATTTCTGTGTTTATCGGTTTGCTTTTTATACGCTTCAGCCAGCATCAGCTTCAATTTTTTGAAAACTTTTTGACAGTCTAGCGTCCAAGTAGACTAGGACTCCCTTGTACAGGTGCTCATGCAGCACCTTTTTAATCAGTTGCATGAAGACCGTGGGGGCTCCTTGGAGCCCAAAAGGCATGACTCTGAACTGGAAGCTACCCAGTGGGCAGTTGAAAGCTGTCTTCCATTCGTCTCCCTCTTGAATGAGTATTTGGTAATAAGCTTCTCTCAAGTCTAGCTTAGTGAACACTACCCTTTGACAGATGGTTCAGCATATCTTTCATAAGGGGGAGAGGGTAGGTGTTCTTCACGCACACAGCATTAATGTTGTGAAAATCCACGCAAAGCCTCATCCCCCTGTCTTTCTTCTCTTTAAATAGCACAGGGGCTGCTACTTTGGAATTCACAAGTTGGGTGAAACCCCTGGCTAGGTTAGCGTCGATGTATTTCTGGGGCAGTCGGGAGGTGCTTCTGCAGTGGCTGCCGCTTTTTCCAACTGGTAGGAGCCGCTGGGGCTTTTCGCCTGTTGGCAGCCGTTTGGTGGTCTAGCTAAGCGAGTCCCAATATGATCAATTCAGTCATCTTGTGGGCTACTAAGAATCAGATGAGCTCTCGGTGACGTCTCATTTCCAGCCTAACGAGTTCAGTGATTATTGTAGCAGGGGCTCCACCTATCAGTGTCCCATCTACTTGCTCGAAGCATATGGGGCGAACTAGAGGACTCATCTTTATCCCTAGCTGCTCGACAATGGGTAGAATGATCAGACACCTGGTGCAACTGGTGTCTATCATTGCCACCATGTCACCCTGTACCCCGGTTTCTGGCACTACTAGTCTGATTTTGACAGCAAAGAGACGGATGGCTTTATTTACCATCAGGTCGTCTTCACTGCTGCTTCCGCTGGTGGTCCCAGGAAGGGGGTCTCTGGCCAGAGGTTCCTTGCCTTCATCTGGGGGAGGAGGAACCTCTACTGCTTCCCAGGCAAATCTACCTGCATCCGGCAGCTTTCTGGGAGTCCGCCTTCCTCAGGTTGCTGAGGGAGGCTGGGCTGAGGAATGGGGGTGGGAGCTAGCTAGGCACTCAGATGCTTTGTGTCCCAGTTGGTTGCATCTGAAGCACTTGACTGTTCCCACTGGCTTGGAAGGTGGCAGCTCTGCTGGCTTTGCTGGGTTTCAGTGACCTAGGACTTTCTAGGCTGGTCTCTCTGAAGCAGGCTTCCGATGGGGGTTGATTTCTCAATCCATTGCCACGACTATAGTATACCAGTCCTGCAGTCAGTCTGGTACCCCCCTGATGCCACAAGCTGGGTCTGGGTCCATGACTTCCTTAAAATAGTGAACGAGGAGTGATTCAGGCCAGGGCCTAAGTTTCCCAGCTATTCTCTGGAATTTCCAGATGAACTCTTTAGGGGAGCGGCCTGCCTGCTTCATGATCTTGATTTGTGCCTCGGTCTCCTACCTACGGTCCATGTCCTCAAATCTGACCCGGAGCAATTGGATGAATTCATCAGCGTCGTTCAATTCGGCGGCACCCTCATAGTCTAGATGGGCTATCCATTCTGCAGGCTCCCCTTTGTTCATCCCATCACTGATGATTGAGATCAGGTCTTAAGTCAGTTTGGTACTGGTTTCCATAATGGTCAATGTAAGCCCAGTTCCAAGTAATACATCTATCATAAAATAAATTCCGAGGCATTCTGTTTCCTCAAAGAATAAATTTATTTAGATACACCATCTTGGCACTAACTAGTGGAAAACCAGTACTGAAAGTCCCTGGATTTCCACATCACTATAAGTAGGATTTTCTCAATTTTTCAAAACAATATGTCATATTAGCAAAATAGCCTGAGAACTGGTTGCTTGGCAACTTTGTTCCTCCTTCCTCTGGCCAGCCAGCTGTTGGAACGTGGCTGACTCATCGGCCAGCTATGTTGAACTGAAACTATCCACCTCAGCTCTCCCCCTTTCAGCTCCCAAGTGTGTCAAACTGAATTCATATGAATAACCCAGGATACAACCAAACCCACAATCTAATCAAATTCAGGCTTGACACCCAGATCTGATTGAGGAAGTATGCCAATTTCCCCAGATTTCGGTCAAAAGTCACCCTGAACCTCGGCGGTGCCACAGGGGTTGCGGCTGGTGGAGCCAGTGACAAGAGTTGCAGGGGTGTGGCCAGTGGAGCAGGGACCAGCTGTGGTGCCGGCACCGGCAACCACTGGCATTGCACCCACTCCTGGCTGGGGTGGAAAGTCCAGCTGGGGGAAATCAGTTCTGCTGGTACAGCGTGAAGACCAGCTGGCGGTGGGGGTGGCTGGTCTCAGCAAGCCCCTTGGTTCCGGTTGCTGTGGCAGCTTGGCTCCAGTGGGAGCTGCCACTCTGGTGGATTGGGCCCACTGGGGGAGGTGGTATCGTACTTCATCCTGGGCCAAGTGGAAAGATGCCGTTGTCACATTCCGGACACTTGCGAGCTCCAGAAGGTGAATGTGGGCTGAGCCAGAACCCATCTCCTGCATCTTCCCTGAGTCTTCATACTGCCTGAGTGATAGGTCGGTGCTCGGTGCTCTGGACCCCAAACAGAACCCCAGTGTTTGGGGAACTGGTTAAAGTTTTTAAAGGAGATTTGGGTTAATGTCAGGGTTTCAAGTAATATCCCAAATGAAGGAAGACTCCGAGGCTAGTTATTCCTCAAAGTTCCGTTTTATTAGAGATGTCATATTGGCACATCTGGGGGAAACCTGAATCTGAAAGTTCTGGGTTTGCCCCCACCCAAAAGAAAGTCAAAGATCTATCCCCTCCACCCACAAGTCCATCATATGGCCCAATCATTTCACCATCCCAACTGAAGACAACCCCCAGTCAATCCATCTAGGTGCAGGCCAAGTGTCCTTGACCCCCGTAGAAAGGGGGTTGTTGTTGTGGCTAATTCTCCACTGACTCCTTGTAATCCCCCCTCCCATTTTCCCAGGCACTAAATATGGCAGCCCTGAAGCTCCAAAGAAAAAGATGGCTTCCAGGGCTGACAAATATATTCTAAATAATTTCAAAGCTTTCATGCATCATGAATATAGAAATCACCATGTCTATATCACACCACTGTAGGCATGGAAAATACAACATAATGGAATTTTGAAAAAATTCAGAAAATATGTTAACTTTCTACATTTTGATCTTTTTCTCTAACCTTTTTATCATTTTCATTTCTCTTTTCCTTTGAAGGTAATAGTGAGCAGGAGAATCAAGATTCCTGTGAACTGTTCCAAGTGCTCAATCGTAATGATGGAACAGAGAAATTTGGAATTCAAATGGAATTAGAAAGCCATGAGAAAAAACAGTCAAACCATAGGAATCAGGAAAGATCACTTTCTGCTGATGCTCCGATGCAAGACTTTCTTGCCCAACAAGAGAAAATAAGGAAAAAGTATATTGGGAAAAGTGTGAAGTTAATCAAAGATAAATTACATTTAAATGAACACCATTTAACCCAAAACAAAGGAGAAGATGCTATAAGACACAATGGACAAAATTACAATGGGACATTCATTCTTTGTCTTAAAAATAACTTCCTTACATCTCAAAAAGGGATTCACACAAAAAAGGAGCCTTATAAATGCTTCGAATCTGGAAAACATTTTAGAACGAGCGGGCAATTTACTACCCATGAAAGGATTCACACTGGGGAGAAACAGAGTTCAGAAGCACCTGTAGCCCACGCAGCCCAATCCCTCCAGGCAGCACGAGAGAAACCCTATAAATGCATGGAGTGTGGGAAAACCTTTATTCATAGCAATGGACTTAGAATCCACAAAACAATCCACACAGGAGAGAAACCATATAAATGCATAGAGTGTGGAAAGACCTTTGCTCTGAGCAAAAGACTTACTGTGCACAAAAAGATCCACACAGGGGAAAAACCATTTAAATGCATGGACTGTGGGAAAACCTTTACTCAACGTGGTCATCTTATTTCCCATAAGATGAGCCACACAGGGGAGAAGCCATTTAAATGCATGGATTGTGGAAAGACCTTCGCTCTCAGAGGTAATCTTATTTCCCATCAGGTGATCCACACAGGGGAGAAACCATATAAATGCATGGAGTGTGGGAAAACCTTTACTCGTAGCAATGGACTTAGAATCCACAATATGATCCACACAGGAGAGAAACCCTATAAATGCATGGAGTGTGGGAAAACCTTTATTCATAGCAATGGACTTAGAATCCACAAAATGATCCACACAGGAGAGAAACCCTATACATGCATGGAGTGTGGAAAGACCTTTGCTCAGCATGGTCATCTTATTTCCCATAAGATGATCCACACAGGGGAGAAACCATATAAATGCATGCAGTGTGGAAAAACCTTTACTCGTATCTATGAACTTACTATGCATAAAAAGGTCCATACAGGGGAAAAGCCATTTAAATGCATGGAGTGTGGAAAGACCTTTGCTCTCAGCAGTGTACTTAGAAACCACAAAAGAATCCACATTGCAGAGAAGCCGTATAAATGCATGGAATGTGGAAAGACCTTTGCTCTGAGCAATAGACTTACTATCCACAAAATGATCCACACAGGGGAAAAGCCATTTAAATGCATGGAGTGTGGAAAGACCTTTGCTCAACGTTGTCATCTTATTTCCCATAAGATGATCCACACGGGGGAGAAGCCGTATAAATGCATGGAGTGTGGAAAGACCTTTGCTCAAAGTAGGAATCTTATTTCCCATAAGATGATCCACACCGGGGAGAAGCCGTACAAATGCATGGAGTGTGGAAAGACCTTTGCTCAAAGTAGGAATCTTATTTCTCATAAGATGATCCACACAAGGGAGAAGCCATTTGAATGCATAGAGTGTGGAAAGAACTTTGCTCAACGCCGCTATCTTTCTTGCCATAAAAAGATCCACTCAGAAGAGAAACCATTTAAATGCATGGAGTGTGGAAAGACGTATACTAAAAGCAGTGCTCTTACTTCTCATAACAGAATCCACACAGGAGAGAAACCATAACAATCAGTGGTGAAATCTAAAATTTGTTACTACCGGTTCTGTGGGCATGACTTTGTGTGGGGGGTGGGTGGGTAATGTGACTGGGTGGGCATGGCCAATTTTTTTTTTTTTTACTTTTAAAACCATTTTTTCTACAACCTCTTTGGCGAAGAGGTTGTAAAAAAATGCTTTCAAAAGGCTCTGATGATCCCAGCTGAGTTGCCTGATCAGCAGAGGCTTTTTTTCTTCTAAAAGCCTCTGCCAATCAGGCAATTTAGCTTGGATCATCAGAGGCATTTAAAAGAATAAAAGCCTCTGCCGATCAGGCAACTAAGCTGGGATCACCAGAGGCTTCAGAACCTCAGAAGAGGTTGTAGAAAAAAGCTTTTAAAAGCCTTTGACGATCCCAGCTGAGCCGTGCGATCATCAGAGGCTTTTTTTTTACTTTTAAAAGCATTTTTTTGCCCAAAGGGGTTGTAGAAGAAATGCTTTAAAATTTTTTTTTAAAAAGCCTTTGTTGATTGTGCAGCTCAGCTGGGCATGGGTGGGGGCAGGGATTTTTGCTACTGGTTCTCCAAACCACCCGCCTCCATCGCTACCGGATTGGGTGATCCGATCCGAACTGGGAGCATTTCACCCGATAACAATGCATGGAATGTGAAACAACCTTTTCTCAGAATGGTAAACTTCTCATAAAAGGATCCACGCTCGGGAGAAAGTATATAGCATTAAATATTTAATTTAGCATTTAATATTAAGTATTAAACTTATCTACCACTCCACAAAGCTTTATAGGAGTCTTTAAGCAGTTTACTAAGTCAGCATATTGTCCCCAGAAATCTGGGTCCTCATTTTACCAACCTGACAATGGTTAAAGACTCAATCATGCATGAGCCGGTCAGATTGAACTCCTGGCTGTGGGCAATTATCTTCTGGTACTGCATTCTAACCTCTGACCCACCATGTCTAGAGATTTTTATGTGTATGCACATTGTGACTTTCTGATCCACATGAGACAAGGTTGAATCCAACAAAGTAAAATTTAATGTTGAGAAAAGTAAGGTTTTATACCTGGGCAGGAAAAACAGATTACGTGAAACCTGGCTCAAAAACAGTAACTGTGTGAAGGGACCTTGGGAATCCGAATGGATGATCGCTTGAATATGAGTCACCTGTGTGGGGCAGCAGCCAAAAAAGCTAATACAATCTTTGGTTGTATAAACAGGCATAAAATCAAAATCACATAAAGTATTAGAACTTTTTTTAAAGCCTTAGTAAGACCACACTTGGAATACTGCGTCCAGTTTTGGACATTACATTACAAAAAAGATGTTTAGTCTTTGCAAAAAGTGTAAAGAAGAGCAGCTAAGATGATTAAAGGCCTGAAGACTAAAACATATGAAGAATTGTTGTAGGATTTGGGTTTGGCTAGTCTAGACAAAAGAAGGATTAGGAGTGACGTAATAGCAGTATTCCAGGACTTGAGAGGCTTCCACAAAGAGGAGGGGGTCAATTTATTTTCCAAAGCATCAGAGGGCAGGACAAGAAAAAATGCATGTGAACTAATCAAGGAGAGAAGCAACCTGGAATTAACAAGAATCTTCCTTACAATGTGGACAATCAGCCAAAGATGTCTAGAAAGAGTGCAGAAAAGACTAACCAAGATGATTAGGGGACTGGAGGCTAAAACATATGATGAACAGTTGCAGAAACTGGGCATGGCTAATCTAGTGAAGAGAAGGACCAGGAGAGAATTTAGAATAACAGTTGGAAGGGACCGTGGAGATGGTCTAGTCCAACCCCCTGCTTATGCAGGAAACCCTATGCCATTTCAGACAAATGGTTATCCAATCTCTTCTTTAGAACTTCCAGTGTTGGAGCATTTACAGCTTTTGGAGGCGTGTTGTTCCATTGATTAATTGTTCTGTCAGGAAATTTATCCTTATTTCTCGGTTGCTTCTTTCCTTGATTAGTTTCCACCTATTGCTTCTTGTCCTATCCTCAGGTGCTTTGGAGAATAGGTTGGGCTCCTCTTCTTTGCGGCAGTCCCCGAGATACAAATACTGCTATCATGTCACTCCTAGTCCTTCTTTTCATTAAACTAGACATACCCAGTTCCTGCAATCATTCTTTATGTTTTAGCCTCCAGTCCCCTAATTATCTTGGTTGCTCTTCTCTGCACTTTTTCTAGAGTCTTAAGATCTTTTTTACATCCTAGAGACCAAAACTGGATGCGGTATTCCAGTAAATCCATGTATTTGCCATACACTAAATAAAACAAGCTGTATTTCCCAGACAGCCTCTGGTCCTTGTCTTCTGACCGCCCGTCTGTTTCTGACAGAACTTGGATCCTTTTGAGGCCTCTTCCAAACTCTGCCCAGCCTTCCGGGCAACTCTTCTGGAAGGAAGCGAGTTCAAATCCTCCAGAGAGATTATTCTCCATCTCCACAGATGGTTCCTTGACAGGAAAGAGAGGAAGATGGAGAAAGTGCTCCCTGTGGAGATTTTGAAGCCTTTGTTGGGCAGGGAGGCATTGAGAGGGGCCTTTCCTCCTACTCCCATGCCCATCATCCCTGCCCTTCCCTCAGATGCGCTCCTCTTTCCCGCGCTTTTCAGGGAATCCTGTAAATTTATGGAAAATCCACTAGAGGGCGCATTCTGCCAAGAGAAGGGAACTCCAGGCGCTTCCCCATTGGGCTACTAGAGGGCGAAAGACAGGGCTGCCTTTGTAGAGGAGGCTTGGAAGGAAATGGCGTCACACAACCTTGACGCTCTAGGAGGCCGCACTTGCTTTCCTTAACCCCTGGCGCTCCGCAGAGGGAGGAGGACTTGCGGCAGAGTCTGGCGGGGGGGGGGAGATCCAGACGTGCCCCTGGTGAGTTGGGGGCTCTTCCGTGGGAAAAGGGAGGCGGAGGAGGGAGAGACCCTCGCCCGGCCCTCCTCCGGCTTCAACTCTGGGTCCCATGCTCCCCAGCCGCCCCGTGTCCAGGGAGAGCCCGAGTGGGGGGAGGGGAGGGTCGGCCTTGCGGAGACCCAGCAGGAGAGGAGAGAAGCCTGGCGAGGAGGCAGGATTCGCACCAGGCTCCCTGTCTCCGGAGGGGGAGAGAGGCGGGGCGGCCTCTCCAGCTGCCTCCTTCCCGGCCCTCTGCTGGGCTGAGCCTCTTGGGGCTCCGGGGAGGTTGAGTGAAGGTTGTTCAGTGGCTGAATTCAATTTCTAATTCTTGGTATTTATTTTTCTTTCCATCTCAGATACACAAAGTCGAAACCATTTGAAATTTTTGCAAGGCAAACTTTTCTCTTGGGGGAAGAAGAATAAAGAGCGGAATCCCTTGGAGGGCTCAGTCCTGCAGCCCCAGAAATGGTCCCGTGAAGGAAAAGGCATCTGGAGACCCACCAGAGTCCTTGGAGCCATTTGCAGTTGCTCTGCAGGACAGAGAAAGGATGGAGACACAACCTTTTGGAAAGGAGGGAAGCGGAAAAGGCCCTTCAGCTGCTCAGCCTGGGAAGGGGGGGAAGCTCTGGACGAGGACTGGGCAGCAGATCCTGGAGGAGGAAACCATCCTCCCTTCACAAGTTCAGCCCTGGAACTTCACCCAATACTGGGAGGCTGAGGGTCCCCGAGGACTTTGCAGCCGACTCCATGATTTTAGTAGGCGATGGCTGAGACCCGAAAAGCACACCAAAGCCCAGATGCTGGACCTGGTGGTTCTGGAGCAGCTCCTGTTCCTTCTGCCCCCAGAGATGGAGGGCTGGGTGCGGGAGTGTGGAGCAGAGACCAGCTCCCAGGCGGTGGCCCTGGCGGAAGGCTTCCTCCTGAGCCAGGCAGAGGAGCAGAAGGAGCAGGTTGAGTTGCAGGTGAGACACTAGGGTGCCCAGAAGGGAATAAAGAATGTGTTCGAATGCTTCACCCCTCCTTCCCAAACTTCTCTGAAGTTCATAATATGTGACTATGTCCCATCAATTATTGTAGAATATTGTTCCATTGTTTTCTCACTCAACGTTACTGATGGATATTGGGGCTTTGAGGTTGAATTCCAAATATAAGAATGCACTTCATTCATGTGATGTATATTAATTCTGCTTCTTCCATCCTTCCTCCTATTTGAAGGGCTGTACTGTGGAGATCAGAGATCCTGAGAGAAAGAAGAATCCATCAAATTCCCCTCAGGACCTATTTTTCAGGAGGATCCCTTGGGAAGATCAAAGTCAGGACACCTCGGGAGGTAATCGAACATTCTCTGATTTCCCAGAGAGATCCCATCTGTCTTACCTTATTCTCTTCTGTAGTATACCTCCTCTTATTTTGTTAAATATGCATTTTGAAATTATTTATTTCTTACAGAGAAACAAAGCATGAAGTTTTCAGGTTTTTACGATGGAGCACAAACTGTGATTGAACCTCCAAATCAAGTAAGAAAGAGAAACGTTATTAGATTTCCATTCTCCTTTCCTTCAGGAAGTGGTGTGCAGAGTGCTCTCTCCTTCTATTTCCCTCCCTTGTTTATACTGGATTCTTTTTATGTTCCTGTGCGACATGGACAGCATAGTTGCAGGTTCAAGTTGCTCTCAATCAGCATAGCTTCCTCTGTAGACTGTTACTGGGACACAATGGTTTGTCATTTCTGTCCACAGATTCTGGTTAGGAAATGTTTTTTAAAGACCACTAGTTAACTGGTTCTGGTAGGTACTCCTGCAACTATGAGTTTACAAGAAGTAATTTTTTAAAAGTGCTTCAAGAGGTAGGAATAAACGTATCACAGTGGTAGTAACTGTTAGAGACCCATTCTTTTTGCAATTATTTGATTTGGAGTTGTGCAAGGCTAATGAAAAATAACTAATTACTCACATTGCCACTTTACCATTTTTAAAAAGCTTTATTTATGACCAGTCATTCAAAAGATAAGCAAATTATATTAAAAAATAAAGCAGAATTTTAAAATCCAAAGAGAATGGCCACACAGAGCATGCAATCACAGTACTTTGGGCTACAAAATAATTTCCAATCCTCTGATTTGTGCCTGGATTTGGAGATCAAACATTCCCACTTTGCAAAGGTTTAGAAATGGCCTTCGCAGAGAATTTTCTCTTCTTTGGTTCTCCCATTCAGCCAATAGCTCAGACTACTACATCAATAAATGATAGGGTGATAGATAAATTGAACCAGAGATGGGATTACTGTACTGAAAGGCACTGAAAGTTCTGCAGAACAATCAGCTTGATAAAAGTTGCCCCAAATATTTCTTCAGTCAAACAAATTTGGAGAATTGTCCATTTTCTCACCTAAATTTAGGACTTGTGTGACACACAGCCATTTAAGTGGGTGCAAATCTTTGCTTTGGGAATTTGGGAACGATGGACCAGAATAACAGAATTGGTAGGGATCTTGGAGATCTAGTCCAACCATCTTCTCAGACAGGAAGCCCTATAATATTTCAGATAAATGGCTGTCCCATTTCTTCTTAAACTCCTCCAGTATGGGAGTATCCACAACTTCTGGAAGCAAGTCATTCCATTGATTAATTGTTCTCACTGTCAGTAAATTTCTCTTTAGTTGTAGATTAGTTCTCTCCTTGATTAGTTTCAATCCATTGCTTCTTGTCCCGCCTTCAGGTGCCTTGGAGAATAAGTTGGACTCCTCTTCTTTGTGGCAGCCCCTTAGATATTGCAAAACTGCTACCATCTCACCCCTAGTTCTTCTTTTCATTGAACTAGATATACCCAATTCCAGCAACCTTTTTTTATGTTTTAGCCTCCAGGACCTTAATCATTTTGGTTGCTCTTTCTAAAGTCTCAAGATGTTTTTTACATCGTAATAACCAATACTGGATGCCAAGTCCTGTCTTACCAAAGCATTATACACCATTGATTTTCATTTTGTTAGATGGGGCCCAATCTGTCGATTCTTCTATATTTCGAGCTCATCTTCTGGAGTATTGTTATTCCTGTCAATTTAGTCTTGTCTTCAAATTTGAGGACTTCCCCTTCTATTCTCTTGTCTAAATCATTGATTAAGATGATCAGATACTGCAAATCCTCCTGTTCTGTTCTTTTTTCCGTGTTCAGGAGAGTCTTGTGTCCTTCGAGGAGGTGGCTGTGTATTTCTCTGAGGAGGAATGGTCTCAGCTGGATCCTGACCAAAAAGCGCTGCATTCGGAAGTCATGCTTGAAAACCATAGGAACGTGGTCTCTCTGGGTAAGAGTTTTCTAGTCCCCAATCAGAGAACTCAAGAAGACAGATTATAGTTAGTTTTTTTATTTTAAAAAATCACTAATCCAATATTATTTCCTTGGCGGGAGAAGGAAACGATCTGGCCTTCTCGTACTCCAAGGAAGGAAAGAGGTCAATGTCTCTTTGTTTAAACTCTTTCTTTGAATGAGGTGTGCCCTATGTGTCCTCTGGAGGTCATGTGAGAGGAATGTGTTGTCATTTGTCCTCTGAAACCTCCCAAAATTGTGTGAGAACAGAACATTCATGGTCAGGCCAATGTGACTCAGTGTATCCTAGGACATAGGTAATCCCGGAGTGATGACAGTTCACTTAGCGACCATTTGAAGTTATGATTTAGCTCCCCTCAATACTTTAGACCCAGTCCTAAAATTATGAATGTTGCACCACTACGGCCATCCACAGTTATGAATGACAATAGAGGCACTGCAACATTCACCCTACTTATTCCCCCACCCGACCCTGCAACGATATAGTGAGCCATCGGTTCCTTTGCCTGCTTTGGTACATTTTCAAAAAACATAGGGCTAAAGCGATGAGAAATCTTGCACTACTGATCTTGTGTGATCTCGTACTATAGTACATTAGGCCTCTGTTCTCTGCTAACTGAGGCCTGCACAAGATCCGGGGCAAAAGGCTTTGCAAACAGAGGGATGAACTCTTCGTTTTCAAAGACTTTACCCCCGATCACCATCACATGGATTTGTAACTGACAAACCAATCACACTCAACATGTAGTTCTCAATGGAACTGCATCTACATGGAGGGAAGTATGCAGTGGGATAGCCCAAGTCTCTCTCTTAGGCCCAGTACTCTTCAACATCTTCATCAGAGGTAGTATTTAGCCGGTTTGCACTGTTCGCTAGTACTGGTGGTGGCCATTTCCTGGAGGTCAGAGAACTGGTAGCGATGGCTGACTGGCCACACCCCCGTACCGGTCCCCCTGTCGCCGGTTGCTCACCCCGCCCGATGCTTGCGCCGCCTCACCTGCGCAACTCTGGCGGCTTCGGGAGACTCTAGCTTGGGGGGGGGGCAGCCTGGCAAGCTTTTCAGCCCGTCTGCTGAGAGGAGCAGCTGACCCAGGTGAGCGGTGTCCACCGGGGAGGGGTGGTAGGGAATGCGGCCGCCAGGCCAACCACGATTCCCATCGGCCTCGGCAGGGGAGCGCAGAGTGCTGGGGCCGTTGCTGAGGAGGCGACTGGGGGGGGGCTTCCTCCTCCTCTGGGCACAGAGTGGCTTTTGCAGCCAGGCGGTCTCAGGGGTTGCAGAGCGTCCCGGAATGCCTTCCCACGCCTGCTGGCAGCGCTTCATGCTGCTGCGAAGCTTGCTGAGCTGACCCCCCTTTTCACCGGGCTAGAATCTTCCGAAGCTGCCGGCGTTGCAGCCCCCCCCCCGCCCCCACTTGGAGCTCCGGGCGGCAGCCGGAGCTCTCAGCACTTTTTCCAGTGGCAGGAAAACGTTATGAGGGGGAATCCTCACTCACCTTTCAACCTCTGGAGCTCAAAGAGGCAGTGGGGCGGTGGTGAATCAAAGCGTCAGGCAAAAGGTGAGCGAGGATTCCCCCTCAGAACTTTTTTCTGCTACTGGAAAAAGTGCTGGGAGCTCGCTGCCACTGCTCCCGCCATGACTCAGAGTGTTCCAATATTTCAGAGGCTACCATTAAGAAGAAGAGGGAATCAAGCTATTCTCCAAAGCACTTGAGGGTAGGAGAAGAAGCAATGGGTAGAAACTAATCAAGGAGAGAAGAATCGCCCAAAGAGATGGCTGCGCACATGGATGCTGCGGCTGGGCGCTCTTTCTTTCAGTGTATGATGTGGATGATTCTGTGTGTGTTCTGGATTTTTGAAGTTTTTAAGAAGAGATTGGATAACCATTTGTCTGAAATCGTATAGGGTTTCCTGCCTAAGCATGCGGTTAGAATAGAAGACCTCCAAGGTCCCTTCTAACTCTGTTATTCTATTCTATTTTATGTTGTGCAGTCCTCAGTTCGTAGAAAACTCAGGCCTAAAGTACTATAGTGTGAATGAGAGCTTGCACTACTGAACCTGCGTGATCTGGCACTAAGGTAGTTTAGGCCTCTGTTCTCTGCTAACTGAGGCCTGTACCTTTTCTGGCCTAGGCGTTACCAAACCACGAAGCAGACTCCTTATCCCAACAAAAAACCCTTTTTATTAAGTTACTGTGAATTTCTCTCATTCACACTCAACAAAGTCTTTCAAGGGAGAATTTACAGTAACAGACCTTATCTGGCTTGGAGAGATGTCAGGCCGATATCTTCAAAACCGGGCAAGAAGTTTCTGAGAGTCACAAACCAATTAGGGGAACTACTGCATTTTTTGGAGTATAAGACTCACTTTTTCCCCCCTAAAAGAGGATGAAAATTTGGGTGCGTCTTATACACCGAATGTAGTCCCGCCCACCTTCCGGCCCCCCAGAAAATGTGGTGCACGGAGGCGGCAATAGGCTATGGCAATCCCTGCAGCTTGAAACAGGTGAGGCCGATCCAACCAACAATCAGTTGCTTGTGCTAATCAGGCTGTGATGAAAATGAAAATGAAAATGAAACAGGCTGTTTGCTACAAAGAGGCAAATTGCTGGGAGGCAGAGGTAGATTTTTCTTTTCTTGTTTTCCTCCCCAAAAAAGGTAGGTGTGTCTTATAGTCCGGAGCATCTTATACTCTGAAAAATACGGTAACTGTCGCCTGCAAACTCCACTCCCCTTTTGCTCCTCTTTTATTCCCTCTAGAAGGGGCTATTCATTATCCACCTGTGGCCTTACTCCCAAGTCGACCCTTGTTCTTTAGCTGTTCCCTTTGTCTGGCAACTCTACACATGCGCACAGTGGGAACAGGCTCCAGCTGTTCATCTGGCTAACTGATGTCTGACTCTGAAGGCAGCTAATAACTGGCATTCAGCCCTGGCCCCCTCTCTGCCTCCGACGCAGAGCCTTCATCAGAGCCTTCCCTAGAATCCAGGACTGGTCCATGTTCCTCCCCAACCTCCTCACTGTACGAATCTGCTGTCAGCTCCACTTGCCACTGGCGGGCCTCAACAGGACCAGATCTGGCCAAAGAACCCTTGTAAGCCAATGAGACTTTTGAGCAGTGAAATAGCCTTTCTTGAGCCTCCCAGCCTTTCCAGTCTTGGCGCAAAGAGTGTTTACAAGCCAAGATTATTCCTTAACTCAAAACTGACTTTGAGTGGGATTTGCATATATATAGATAGATAATTGTAAAGAAAGATACTTTCTAGATATTTTCAAAGCTTTCATGACTCATGAATATAGAAATCATCATGTCTATATCACACCACTGTAAGCATGCAAAATACAACATAATGGAATTTTGGAAACATTCAGGAGAATATTCGCTGACTTTCTACAGTTTGATGTTTTTCTCTAACTGTGTTATCATTTTCATTTCTCTTTTCCTTTGAAGGTAATAATGGGCAGGAGGATCAAGATTCCTGTGAACTGTTCCAAGTGACCAATGCTAAAGATGAAACAGAGAAGTTTGGATTTCGAATGGAATTCGAAAGCCATGAGAGAAGCCAGTCAAATAATTGGAATCAGGATAGCTCATATTCCACTGATGCTCCAATTCAAGACTTTCTTGCCCAACAAGAGAAAAAATATATTGGGAAAAGTGTAAACGAAGACTATTTAACCCAAAACAAAGGAAAAGATGCTATAAGATACAATGGACAAAATTACAATGGGACATTCATTTATTCTCTTGGAAATAACTTCTTTACATCTGAAAAAGTGATTCACACAAAAAAGAAACCTTATGAATGTTTGGAATCTGGAAAACATTTTGGAATAAGCTGGCAACTTACTTCCCACGAAAGGATTCACACCGGGGAGAAACTGTGTTCAGAATCCCCTTTAGCTCATGCAGCCCAATCCCTCCAAGCAGCAGGAGAGAAACCCTATAAATGCATGGAGTGTGGAAAGACCTTTGCTCAACGCAGGTATCTTGCTTCCCATAAGATTATTCACTCAGAAGAGAAACCATTTAAATGCATGGAGTGTGGAAAGACCTTTGCTCAAAGAGGTAATCTTGCTTACCATAAGATGATCCACTCAGAAGAGAAACCATTTAAATGCATGGAGTGTGGAAAGACCTTTGCTCATAGAAGTACACTTAATTCCCATAAAATGATCCACACAGGGGAGAAGCCATTTAAATGCATGGAGTGTGGAAAGACCTTTGCTAAAAGATGTAATCTTTCTTACCATAAGATGATCCACTCTGAAGAGAAACCATTTAAATGCATGGAGTGTGGAAAGACCTTTGCTCATAGAAGTACACTTAATTCCCATAAGATGATCCACACAGGGGAGAAGCCATACAAATGCATGGAGTGTGGAAAGACCTTTTCTCGAAGAAGTAGTCTTATTTCCCATAATATGATCCACACAGGGGAGAAGCCCTATAAATGCATGGAGTGTGGAAAGATGTTTACTCAGAGTAGTACTCTTACTTCTCATAAGATGATCCACACAGGGAAGAAACCATTTAAATGCATGGAGTGCGGAAACAGGTTTGCTCAGAGCGGTGGACTAGCTAACCACAGAAAGATCCACACAGGGGAAAAGCCATTTAAATGCATGCAGCGTGGAAAGACTTGCTCAATGCCACTATCTTGCTTCCCATAAAATGATCCACACAAGAGAAGCCGTATAAATGCATGGAGTGTGGAAAGATGGAAGCCATAGACCTGAGCGAATCTGTGGAGTGGAAATATCAGAGCGTGCTCCGCAACCAGATCTTGGAGCGGCTGCCTGAGAAATTCAACAAGCTGAACTTGGGCACCCTGGGTCATTCACACCAGGCGGAAGACCCATAAGGAGCCAACTTTGACAATATTCCAAGTGCGGTCTTGCAAGGCATTGTAAAGCTGTATTAACACTTCATGTGGTCTTGATTCTATCCCTCTTAATGCAAGCTATGATTGAGTTGGGTTTTTTGGCAACTGCTGACTCGTGTTTAAGTGATTGTCCATTAGGCCTCCAAGATCCCCATTGCACTTTCTACTGTTGAGCCAGGTATCACCTATTTTATGCCTATGTATTTAGTTTTTTTTTCCTAAATAAAGAACCTTACATTTCTCAAATATTGTTTTTCATTTTCTTAGATGGGGTCCAATCTATTGATCCTTCTGTATCTTGAGCCTATCTTCTGGAGTATTGGTATTCTTGTCAGTTTGGTCTTGTCTGCAAATTTAATGAGTTCCTGTTTTATTCCCTTGCCTAAATCATTGATGAAGTTGAACAGATCTTGCAAATCATCCTGTTCTCTTCTTTTTTCCGTGTTCAAGAGTTCCCCTTGTTGAAATGTGCCCACCAGGCTTCTGTGCATTCCATCAGCCGAGGGCTCAGGGTAGACTTTCGAGCCGCTACCCTCCGCCGCAGGCAGATGGAACCGACTAGCTGGTTCCGTCCCAGGTGCCTGATGCATCTGGATAGGTTCCTGACGGAGCTTGGGCCATTCCCTGAGGCTCTGGCTCACGACTCAACTGAAGAACTGGTGGCCGCCTCGGATAGGGCAGCCGCTGGAGCTTTAGACCACGTCATGCCTTTGCAGCCTCTGACCTGGTGCCGATCCCAATTGGCTCCCTGGTTTTCCAAGGAGCTGAGAGATTAAGCGCCGGAAAAGACGCCTGGAGAGCGATTGGAGGGCCAGCTGTTCCGAATCTGACCGAACACTGGTGAGGTCTCATATTAAGATCTACCTAGTGGCGATAAGAGCAGCAAAATCTAATTATTTTTCCACTCTTGTTGCGTCTGCAGATAACCGCCCAGCCGCCCTGTTTAGGGTGACCCACTCCCTATTTCATTTGGGAGCGCGGGAAGACCCTTTGCAGGGTAGGGCTGATGATTTTGTGCAATACCTGCATGATAAAATCGCTCACATTTGGGAAGGCTTGGACTCCGATTGGGTAGGTTCAGATGAGGTGATGGAGGTGGGTCCTGAGTGTGTTATCTGGAAGGAGTTTGACCATGTGACTCCCGAGGACATGGACAGGGTTCTGGGTAGCCTTAGCGCTGCCACATGTTTATTGGATCCGTGTCCCTCTTGGTTGGTGCTGGCCTCGCGGGCTGTCAAACGAGGCTGGCTCCACGAGATTATTAATACTTCTTTGAGTGAGGGTTTCTTCCCCTCCGCCTTGAAAGAGGCGTGGTGAGGCCCCTCCTCAAGAAGCCTTCCCTGGACCCGGCTGTATTAGCGAACTACCATCTAGTCTCCAATCTTCGCTTTGTGGCAAAGGTTGTTGAGAGTGTGGTGGTGTGACAACTTCCCCAGTACATAGATGAAGCAGTCTATCTAGATCCGTACCAGTCGGGCTTCAGGCCGGGTTACAGCACGGAAACGGCATTAGTTGCATTGGTTGATGATCTCTGGAGGGCTCGGGACAGGGGTTGTTCCTCTCTCCTGGTCCTATTAGATCTCTCATGGCTTTTGATACCATCGACCATGGTATCGTGCTGTGCCAGTTGGAGGGGTTAGGAGTGGGGGGCACCGTGTTGAGGTGGTTCTCCTTCCTCTCTGACTGTACACAGTCTGTGTTGGCAGGGGGACAGAGGTCGACCTCGAGGCACCCTGTTTGTGGGGCGCCGCAAGGGTCAGTCCTTTCACCCCTCCTGTTTAACACTTATGTGAAACCACTGGGTGAGATCATCTGTGGTTTTGGGACAAAGTTCCATCAGTACGCTGATGATACTCAGCTGTACATTTCCACCCCGGACCACCCCAATGATGCCCTTGACGCAATGTCCCGGTGCCTGGAGGCCGTGCGGATCTGGATGAGGAGAATGTTTTATTGTGGCTGTGCACCGCCCTGAGTCCCTCGGGAGAAGGGCGGTATAAAAATTTAAATAATAAATAAATAAATAATTGTGTCCTTCTAGGACATTGACATGACATTGGCATCCTTCAGTCTCAAAAGACTATGCTATTTAGGACCTCTGGAAAGAGGTCCTAAAACAGCATCTAGTGTGACTAAAAAGGCCAAGTCGAGAGTGGCAATCCCTTCCACACTGAGGACAGATACATTCTGTCCCCTGCCCAGCCCCCAGATTTTCCTGGTTCCGAGACTGTCTCTTTGCCTCAGCCTACTGAACAAGTGTCTCCTCTAATTGGAGAAGGCCATGCTGCGTCTTTAGCCTCCAAGCTGAACAGTTGGAGGTCAAGGTTTCCCAGTTGTTAATGTCCATTCCCAGGGCCTTTAGGTCCCTCTTGCAGATATCCTTATATCACAGCTGTGGTCCTTTGAGGAGGTGGCTGTGTATTTCTCTGAGGAGGAATTCTCTAAGCTGGATCCTGACGAAAAAGCGCTGCATTCGGAAGTCATGCTTGAAAACTATAGGAATGTGGTCTCTCTGGGTAACAATGTTTTCTTATCCTGAATCCGAGAGTTCAAGAAGACAGATTATAATTTTTTTTTAATTAAAAAATCAATAATCAGATATCATCTCCTGGGAGGGAGAAAGAAAGGATCAGGCCGTCTTGTACTCCAAGGAAGGAAAGAGGTCAATGTCTCTTTGCTTAGATTCTTTCTGTGCCATTTCTTATCTGTATTTTTCCATTTAGAGTAGAATAAAAATAGAATAAAAATAAAAAGAGCCTTGGTAGTACAGTGGTTTAATGCACCCTGTTATTAACACAGCTGCCTGCAATTTCTGCAGGTTCAAATCTTACCAGGCTCAAGGTTGACTCAGCCTTCCATCCTTTCTAAGGTGGGTTAAATGAGGACCCAGGGCAATAAGCTGACTTTGTATAAAATATACAAAAGTATGAAGGCTATTGCTTAATGCATTGTAAGCCGCCCTGAGTCTCCGGAGAAGGGTGGCAAATAAATCAAATTTAAAAAAAAAAACAAAAAACCGAAACTTAATATGGACAATTCTCAAAATTTGTTTGACTGAAGAAATATTTGGGGCAACTTTTATCAAGCTGATTGATTCTGCAGAAGGGCGGCATATAAATCAAATTAAAAAAAAAAATAGAATAAGAGTTGGAAGGGATCTTGAAAGACTCCTAGTCCAATCCTACACCACCTCAAATAAATGGTTATCTAACATCTCCTTAAAAATTTCCACTGTTGGAGCATTCAGAGCTTCTGGAGGCAAGTTGTTCCACTGATTGTTCTGAGGAAATTTCTCCTTAGTTCTAAGTTGCTTCTCTTCTTGATTAGTTTCCCCCCATTGCTTCTTGTTCTACTCTCAGGTGCTTTGAAGAATAGTTTCACTCCCTATTCTTTGTGGCAATGCCTGAGATATTGGAACACTGCTATCAGGTCTCCCCCTAGTCCTTTTCATTAAACTAGACATACACAGTTCCTGCAACCATTGTTCGTATGTTTTAGCCTCCAGTCCCCTAATCATCTTTGTTGCTCTTCTCTGCATTCTTTCTAGAGTCTCAACATTTTTTTTACATCGTGACGACCCAAACTGAATGCACTATTCCAAGTGTGCCCTAACCAAGGCATTATAAAGTGGTCTTAACACTTCATGTGATATTGATTCTATCCCTCTGTTTATTTAGCCTAGAATTGTGTTGGCTTTTTTGGCAGCTGCTGCACACTGCTGGCTCATATTTAAATGGTTGTCTACTAGGACTCCAAGATCCCTCTCACAGTTACTATTGAGAAAGGTACCACATATACTGTACCTGTGCATTTTGTTTTTCTTGCCTAAATATAGAGCCTTACTTTTTTCAGCATTGAATTTCATTTTGTTAGATAGCACCCAATGTTCAAGTCTGTCAAGATCCTTCTGTATCTTAAGCTTATCTTCTGAAGTGTTGGCTATTCCTGCCAGTTTGGTGTCATCTGCAAACTTGATGAGTTCCCCATCTATCCCCTCGTCCAAGTCATTGATGAAGATGTTGAAGAGTCCTGGGCCTAAAACAGAGCCTTTGGCTACCCCACTGCATACTTTCCTCCAAGTAGCTACAGTTTCATTGAGGACTACACGTTGAGTGCAGTTGGTCAGCCACTTACGTATCCATCTGGTGGTGATGCTGTCTAACCCACATTTTTCTACATTATCTAGTAGTAGGTTATGGTCTACTTTATCCAATGTCTTACTGTAGGCCAAAAAAATTATCTGAACAGTATTCCTCTGGTCCACTAATTTATTTCTATTTGAACTTATCTGTGGAGGCTGAAAAGAATGAGGTGTGCTTTTATGTGTCCCCTGGAGGTCATGTGAGAGGAACATGTTGTCATTTGTCCTCTGAAACCTCCCAGAATTGTGTGAGAACAGATCTTTCATGAACAGGCCATGGAAGAACATTCTCCCAAACCAATTGAAGAACGAAGGCCTAATGCAATGTGACTCTATCCTATGGTATAGGTAATCCCCAAGTTATGACAGTTCACTTAGTGACCATTCAAAGTTATGATTCCCCCTCCCCCCATACTTTAGACGAAGTCTTGAAATTATGAATGTTGCAGCACTGTGGCCATCCATACTTACGAATGACAGCAGGGGCACTGTAACATTCGCCCTACCTATTCCCCGCAAGCAAATCTCGCACTACTGATCTCATGTGATCTCGCAGTATAGTACATTAGGCTATAGTACATCTGTTTTCTGCTAACTGAGGCCTGTACTAGATCTGGCCGAAGAGCCCTTGCAGGCCGATGAGACTTTGGGGCAATGAAATAGCCTTTCTTGAGCCTCCCAACCTTTCCAATGTCGACGCGAAGTGTGTTTACAAGCCAAGGGGAGGCTTCAAGCAAAGAATTTTACCCCAAAATCTCATCACGGGGATCGAAGAACGGGCTGAGCGGGAGTCCTGCCTGCCAAACAGACGCCATGGAGCAGCTGTTCCAAGGTACACCGGGGAATGAACTTGTTTCAAAATTGTTTCAGTTCTCATGAGATCATCATGTCTATATCACACCACTGTAGGCATGTGGTATATAGAACATAATGGAATTTCTTGCCCAACAAGAGAAAATAAAGAAAAAATGTATTGGGAAAAGTGTGAAACTAATTATATGTAAATGAACACTATGTAACCCAAAACAAAGGAGAATGTGCTATAAGAAGATACAACGGAAAAAATTACAATGGGACATTCATTCCTTCTCATGGAAATAAGTTCCTTACATCTCAAAAAGTGATTGACACCAAAGAGAAGCCTTTTAAATGTTTGGAATGTGGGGCATGTTTTAGAACAAGCAGACAATTTACTTCCCATGAAAGGATTCACACTGGAGAGAGGGTATATAAATGCAGAGTCTGGTAACAGGTTCAGAAGATACAGTAATCTTATTTCCCATAAAAGGATCCACTAAGTAAATATTTACTCGTAGCAATGAACTTACTATCCACAAAACGATCCGTACGAGGGAAAAGCCATTTTAACGCATGGAGTGTGAGAAGCCCTTTACTCAAAATGGTAGCCTTATTTCCCATAAGATGATCCACACAGGAGTGAAGCTGTATAAATGCATGGAAAGTTGAAAGTTGAAAGACGCTATGTTTTCATTTGCATGCTGTGTTTCCTGAGATTGTTCGTGAAGAGACAGGTGAGTCCCTTATCCTTAACTGCTGGATGGAGGGCTAGGCTGGGCTGAAGCAGACGAGAAAAAGCGAGGTGAAAAGCTAAGGACAAGGGGCTCACCTGCCTCTCCACAAGACCTTTCGGGACACACATTGTGCAAATGTACTTGCAAACCCTAGCACGAGCAATAGCAGCTGTGCCTTCCCCCTTCCAAAACATGCCAGGATGTGATCTAAATAAGACCTGGCTTGACCTGCTATTGAAACTCTTTCCAGCTCTTTCTCAAAGTGTTATTGCAGCAGCTGCCTGAAAAATGCTTGCAACGGCTGCTGGATCCGGAGTGTCTTGTCCCATGCCTCTGCCTGCTGCCAGTGCCACCTGCAGCAGTTGAAAGCAAAAAGTGGGACTCACCTGCCGCCCCTTACACTGCGGAAGGCGGCAAAATGTAGAGAACAGCCACCGTCCCTTTGGGAAAGAGCCAGGAGGCGTTTCAATAGCAGTTCAAGCCAGGTCTTATTTAGATCACATCCTGGCATGTTTTGGAAGGAGGAAGGCACAGCTGCTATTGCCCGTGCTGGGGTTTGCAAGTTCTGCAGGATTTTTTAATATCTCCCTTCCAAAACATATGGATGACAGAGGAGTCCCGCTTTTGACACACTCACCACTCGCAGCAACTGACATGAGCGACTTATGGGGGCTCTTCATCCTCCTGACAGCAGTGCTTCGGCTGCCCTGCTGGGCTTCTCCTGCTTGACAGGGGAGGGGGGAGGCCCAGATCTATGGAGCACTCCTCTGCCACTGGCCTGCCAGGGCCCCTTCCTCAGCGGCTGCCACTGTAACCACGCCGCTTCCCCCACCACTGCATTCAGGCTGCTGAGCACTGTCCTGCGCATCTACTCTGCTGCAATTCTCTTCATTGCATTAAAAATTACTAACACACTAAACCATCTGGTCTGCAACCAGAGCCATTTAGACCCGTTTCCCATAGGAAAAAAAACATTGGGTGCCACAAAACCTGGGTGGGCGTGGCCAACTCCATGTCACTCATTCCCTCCAGTCTCATGACCCTTTAGCCATGCCTAACCAGCAGGTCATTAGGGCAGACAACCAGTTATTAATAAACAACCCACCGGGAACAACAACCCCCCCTCCCTTTACCTTCCCCTCTCTCCTCCCCCTCTGTATCTGTCTCTCTCTCCCTCCCACACTCTGTATCTCTCATCCCCCCCATCTTCCCTCTCTCCCCTCTCTGTATCTATGTCTCTCTCTCCCCCTCTGTATCTGTCTTTCTCTCTCTCTCTCCATCTATCTCTCCCCACTCTATGTCTCTCTCCCCCATCTTCCCCCTCTTTGTATCTCTCCTCTCCGCCTCTCTCTTCCTCTGTATCTCTCGACCCCTTTCCCCTCTCTGTATCTATGTCTCTCTCCTCCTCTCCTCTCTATCTCCCCTCTCTGTATCTCTCTCCCCCTCTATCTGTATCTGTCTCTCTGTCTTGCCCTCCCTCTCCCTCTCTCTCTGTATGAGATTCTCTCTGTCTCTGTCTGTCTCTGTGTGTGTATGTCTGTGTGTGCGAGCACGTGCACACCCAGCAAGTTCTCCTTGGGGCTCTTCGCTACTCCTTTTTGTTCTTCTTGGCAACTTGCATCCTCCTCCACCTCCTCTCGCAACACCCTGGCTGGCTGTGGCGGGGCTGGGAGCATGCGCACAAGTGGGAAGAGCCACCTCAAGCGGCCGGGCCTCATCATGAGGTAAAATTTCTGGAATATCCATGGATTTCAGCTTTCCCTCCATTTTGGAACTTTTTTTCTTTTTTGTTTTCCTTCACAGTCTTTCCGCGGATACAAGAGACGGGGTCACCCGGGGTGTTCATCAGAAGAGGCTGGAGGGGTCTCTGCCTTTTCTGCTTCCCCCGTTTGCTGTGAGGCTGAGGGAATAATTTGGGAAGGGCATCTGTATGTATTGAATTAAAGAAATAGAAAACAATAATTTTCCTCATTGTGGCTTCCCTTCCTGTGTCCCATCTTTCTCCACTTCAGGCTAACAAGAACAAGCTGTGTTTCCCAGAGAGCCTCCTGGTTCTTCTCTTCTGACAGGATTTGGACCCTTTTGAAGCCTCCACAGACGGTTCCTGGACAGGAAGGAGAGGAAGATGGCAGAATTGCTGCCTCTGGAGACCAAAAAGCTTTTCTCGTGCAGGGAGGCATTGAGAGGGCCCTTTTCTCCTACTCCCATGACAATCATCCCTGCCCTTCCCTCAGATGCGCTCCTCTTTCCCGCGCTTTTCAGGGAATCCTGTAAATTTACGGAAAATACACTAGAGGGCGCATTCTGCCAAGAGAAGGGAACTCCAGGCGCTTCCCCATTGGGCCACTGGAGGACGAAAGACAGGGCTGCCTTTGTAGAGGAGGCTTGGAAGGAAATGACGTCACACAACCTTGCCGCTCTAGGAGGCCGCACTTGCTCTCCTTAACCCCTGGCGCTCCGCAGGAGGCGGAGGACCTGCGGGAGAGTCTGGCGGGGGGAGATCAAGACGTTCCCCTGGTGAGTTGGGGGCTCTTCCGTGGGAAAAGGGAGGCGGAGGAAGGAGAGACCCTCGCCCGGCCCTCCTCCGGCTCACCTCCGGGTCCCATGCTCCCCAGCCGCCCCGTGTCCAGGGAGAGCCCGAGTGGGGGGAGGGGAGGGTCGGCCTTGCAGAGACCCAGCAGGAGAGGAGAGAAGCCTGGCGAGGAGGAGGCAGGATTCGCACCAGGCTCCCTGTCTCCGGAGGGGGAGAGAGGCGGGGCGGCCTCTCCAGCTGCCTCCTTCCAGGCCCTGCGCTGGGCTGAGCCTCTTGGGGCTCCGGGGAGGTTGTGTAAATGTTCAGTGGCTGAATTCAATTTCTAATTCTTGGTATTTATTTTTCTTTCCCTCTCAGATACACAAAGTCGAAACCATTTGAAATCCTTGCAAACCAAAATTTTCTCTGGCTGGGAAAAAAAAGAGCGGAATCCCTTGGAGGGATCAGTTGTGGAGCACCAGAAATGGTCCCGTGAAGGAAAAAGCATCTGGAGACCCACCAGAGTCCTTGGAGCCATTTGCAGTTGCTCTGCAGGACAGAGAAAGGATGGAGACACAACCTTTTGGAAAGGAGGGAAGCGGAAAAGGCCCTTCAGCTGCTCAGCCTGGGAAGGGGGGGAAGCTCTGGAGAAGGACTGGGCAGGAGATCCTGGAGGAGGAAACCATCCTCCCTTCAGAAATTCAGCCTTGGAAGTTCCTCCAATACTGGGAGGCTGAGGGTCCCCGAGGACTTTGCAGCCGACTCCATGATTTTAGTAGGCAATGGCTGAGACCAGAAAAGCACACCAAAGCTCAGATGCTGGACCTGGTGGTTCTGGAGCAGCTCCTCTTCCTTCTGCCCCCAGAGATGGAGGGCTGGGTGCGGGAGTGTGGAGCAGAGACCAGCTCCCAGGCGGTGGCCCTGGCTGAAGGCTTCCTCCTGAACCAGGCAGAGGAGCAGAAGGAGCAGGTCAAGTTGCAGGTGAGACACTTTAGGGAGCTCAAAAAGAAATAAAAAATGCGTTCGAATGCTTCACCCCTCCTTCCCAAACTTCTCTGACATTCATAATATGTGACTATATCCCATCAATTCTTGTAGGATATTGTTCCATTGTTTTCTCACTCAACGTCACCAATGGATATTGGGGGCTTTGAGGTTGCATTCCGAATATAAGAATGCACTTCATGTCATGTGTTGTACATTAATTCTGCTTCTTCCATCCTTCCTCTATTTGAAGTGCTGCACTGTGGAGATCAGAGATCCCGAGGGAAAGAAGAATCCATCAAATCCCCCTCAGGACCTATTTTTCAGGAGGATCCCTTGGGAAGATCAAAATCAGGACACTTCAGGAGGTAATCCAAGCTCCTCCGATTTCCCAGAGAGATCCCATCTGTCTTACCTTATTCTCTTCTGTAGTATACCTCCTCTTATTTTGTTAAATATGCATTTTGAAATTAATTATTTCTTACAGAGAAACAAAGCATGAAGTTTTCGGGTTTTTACGTTGGAGATCAGACACTGGTTGAACTTCCAAATCAAGTAAGAAAGGGAAACATTATTAGATTTCCATTCTCCTTTCCTTCAGGAAGTGAAGCGGGTGTGCAGAGTTGGCTCTCCTTCTATTTCCCTCCCTTGTTTGGACTGGATTCTTTTTATGTTCCTGTGCGACATGGACAGCATGATTGCAGGTTCAAGTTGCTCTCAACCAGCATAGCTTCCTCTGTAGACTCTTACTGGGACACAATGGTTTGTCATTTCTGTCCACAGATTCTGGTTAGGAAATGTTTTTTAAAGACTACTAGTTAACTGGTTCTGGTTGGTACTCCTGCAACTATGAGTTTACAAGAAGTAATTTTTTAAAAGTGCTTCAAGAGGTAGGAATAAACGTATCACAGTGGTAGTAACTGCTAGAGACCCATTCTTTTTGCAATTATTTGATTTGGAGTTGTGCAAGGCTAATGAAAAATAACTAATTACTCACATTGCCACTTTACCATTTTTAAAAAGCCTTATTTATGACGAGTCATTCAAAAGATAAGCAAATCATATTAAAAAATAAAGCAGAATTTTAAAATCCAAAGAGAATGGCCACACAGAGCATGTAATCACAGTACTTTGGGCTACAAAATAATTTCCAATCCTCTGATTTGTGCCTGGATTAGGAGATCAAACATTCCCACTTTGCAAAGGTTTAGAAATGGCCTTCGCAGAGAATTTTCTCTTCTTTGGTTCTCCCATTCAGCCAAGAGCTCAGACTACTAGATCAATAAATGATAGGGCGATAGATAAATTGATCCAGAGGTGGGATTACTGTACTGAAAGGCACTGAAAGTTCTGCTGAACAATCATCTTGGTAAAAGTTGCCCCAAATATTTCTTCAGTCAAACAACTTTGGAGAATTGTCCATTTTATCACCTAAATTTAGGATTTGTATGACGCACAGCCATACAAATCTTTGTGGAAATCTTTGCTTTGGGGACAGTGGAGCAGAATAACAGAATTGGTAGGGATCTTGGAGATCTCCTAGTCCAACCACCTTCTCAGACAGGAAGCCCTATAATGGCTGTCCAATTTCTTCTTAAACTCCTCCAGTATTGCAGCATCCATAACTTCTGGAAGCAAGTCATTCCATTGATTAATTGTTCTCACTGTCAGTAAATTTCTCTTTAGTTGCAGATTAGTTCTCTCCTTGATTAGTTTCCATCCATTGCTTCTTTTTTTTTTATTGAAAAAGTTTTTCAAATACAGATTTTTCCCCCTTTCCCCCCTCCCCCTCCCCTCCCCCCATGGCTTCTCCAAGATGAAATCCAAATTGATATCACATTATATAATACTTTACCACCCTTTTACACCACCCCCTATGTGCTAAACATTTCTTTCTAACATTATTATTATATCCCCCGTATACTATACATTTCAAAACAGCATTCGGCTATAAAACTATATAATAGATCCTAATTTGGCATTTATTCTACTCATAATCTACCCATTTCCTCCACCCCCATATGTATATCTCTTAATTCAAATCTTTTAAGTATATTAATATCTAAACATAACATCCGTTTTCCTAAACTAAGCAATCAGTAACCTAACCTATCTCCTTGTACCATATCAATTTTGTTTCACCCACTTTCCTGCAGGTCTACCATACATAATATATTTAATATCTTTATTCTTCTGCCCGTATCACTAAAAGATATTTCCATATATAAATAAAATCCTCAAATGACTTTAAATTTGTATTCCATATAGTATCTTCTGTAATGTCTTTCAACTAGATTGTTAATTCCATTGACCATGTTCGGGTAACATCAAATCCTGCTTCCAACAGTGTATTTAGTATCTTCAATTACCATCTGCCCCCATCATTGGTAAGTATTTCTGTATATAACCCCCCACCCGAGTGACTTTATATTTATATTCCATATGGTATCTTCTGTAATGTCTTTTGTCTAGATTATTAATTCCAACAACCACGTTAGGGTAACAACCAGATCATCTGCATGCCCCTATTCCATAGTTCTCTTGCCTTGTAGCTCAACATATGCGTAGTCCATCTTTCATAGAGTCCATAATAGAAAGTTCCAGTCCACTCAATCGCAGGCCATCTTCCACATCCCAAAGACACCAGCACTGCAGAGATCTGTTATTCTTCTCAAAATAGTATAAGTCTTTTATTTGCCTCCGTTATGTTTTCATGTATCTGCCTTCTATAAGTCCCACTTATTATATTAAATCGTCTCTAAATAACTGGCATTAGTCTGTTGGGAAAAAAGGTTTTTTAGTTTAAAATTTTTAAGTTTTGTAGAACCTGCTTCTTCTTTTCTTAACTTGTTGTGGCTTAGATCCCCACCATGGTTGCTTTTTTAAGACTTGTATGTTAACTGATTGAATTACATGCTGGTCTTTAACTTGATAAGACATCAAATCAAGATCCAAAGCCGCCTCTCTTATATTTATAGGTGATCCCACTATAGCCTCTGAGGGTAAATCCAAAAGCGGCTCATCCAAAAAGCCCTCTGTAACTTGTTGTTTTTCCATTACCTCCATCTCCATCTGCTTACTCTGAGCTGCAATCTCTTGTTCATTTCTCTGGTTTCTCTTCAAATCGTATAAATCTTTCGCCTTTTCCATCCATTGCTTCTTGTCCCGCCTTCAGGTGCCTTGGAGAATAAGTTGGCCTCCTCTTCTTTGTGGCAGCCCCTTAGATATTGCAACACTGCTATCATCTCATCCCTAGTTCTTCTTTTCATTGAACTAGATATATCCAATTCCAGCACTGTTTTTTATATGTTTTAGCCTCCAGGACCCTAATCATTTTGGTTCCTCTTTCTAAAGTCTCAAGATCTTTTTACATTGTAGTAGCCAATACTGGATGCCAAGTGCTGTCTTACCAAAGCATTATACACCCTTGATTTTCATTTTGTTAGATGGGGCCCAATCTGTCGATTCTTCTATTGTTATTCCTGTCAATTTAGTCTTGTCTTCAAATTTGAGGACTTCCCCTTCTATCCTCTTGTCTAAATCATTGATTAAGATGATCAGATACTGCAAATCATCCTGTTCTGTTCTTTTTTCCGTGTTCAGGAGAGTCTTGTGTCCTTTGAGGAGGTGGCTGTGTATTTCTCTGAGGAGGAATGGTCTCAGCTGGATCCTGACCAAAAAGCGCTGCATTCGGAAGTCATGCTTGAAAACCATAGGAACGTGGTCTCTCTGGGTAAGAGTTTTCTAGTCCCCAATCAGAGAACTCAAGAAGACAGATTATAGTTAGTTTTTTATTTTAAAAAATCACTAATCCAATATTATTTACTTGGAAGGAGAAGGAAACGATTTGGCCTTCTCGTTTTCCAAAGAAGGAAAGAGGTCAATGTCTCTTTGTTTAAACTCTTTCTTTGAATGAGGTGTACCCTTATGTGTCCTTTGGAGGTCAACTGAGAGGAATGTGTTGTCATTTGTCCTCTGAAACCTCCCAAAATTGTGTGAGAACAGAACTTTCATGGTCAGACCATGGAAGTACATTCTTCCAATTCAAGAACGAAGGCCTCATGCAATGTGACTCAGTGTATCCTAGGATATAGGTAATCCCGGAGTTATGACAGTTCACTTAGCGACCATTTGAAGGTATGATTTACCCCCCTCAATACTTTAGACCCAGTCCTAAAATTACGAATGTTGTACCACTACGGCCATCCACAGTTATGAATGACAATAGAGGCACTGCAACATTCGCCCTACTTATTCCCCCACCCTACTCTGTGACGATGTAGCGAGCCATCAGTTCCTTTGCCTGCTTTGGTACATTTTCAAAAAACATAGGGCTAAAGCGATGAGAAATCTTGCACTACTGATCTTGTGTGATCTCGTACTATAGTACATTAGGCCTCTGTTCTCTGCTAACTGAGGCCTGCACAAGATCCGGGGCAAAAGGCTTTGCAAACAGAGGGATGAACTCTTCGTTTTCAAAGACTTTTCCCCCCGATCACCACCACGTGGATTTGTAACTGACAAACCAATCACACTCAACATGTAGTTCTCAATGAAACTGCATCTACATGGAGGGAAGTATGCAGTGGGATAGCCCAAGTCTCTCTCTTAGGCCCAGTACTCTTCAACATCTTCATCAGAGGTAGTATTTAGCCAGTTTGCACTGGTTCGCCAGTACCGGTGGTTGCCATTTCCTGGAGGTCAGAGAACTGGTAGCGATGGCTGACTGGCCACGCCCCTGAACCAGTCCCCCTGTCGCTGGTTGCTCACCCCGCCCGATGCTTGCCCCGCCTCACCTGCGCAACTCTGGCGGCTATGAGAGACTCTAGCCTGCGTGGGGAGAGCGGCCTGGCAAGCTTTTCAGCCCGTCTGCTGAGAGGAGCAGCTGACCCAGGTGGGTGGTGTCCACCGGGGAAGGGTGACAGGGAATGGGGCTGCCAGGCCGACCACGATTCCCATGGGCCTCGGCAGGGGAGCGCAGAGTCCTGGGGCCGTTGCTAAGGAGGCGACTGGGAGTGGGCTTCCTCCTCCTCTGGGCACAGAGTGGCTTTTGCAGCCAGGCGGTCTCAGGGGTTGCAGGGCGTCCCGGAATGCCTTCCCGCGCCTGCTGGTGGCGCTTCATGTTGCTGCGAAGCTTGCTGGGCTGACCCCCCTCCCCACCAGGCTAGCATCTCCCGAAGCCGCCGGCGTTGCAGCCACACACACACACACACCCTCGCTTGGAGCTTCAAGTGGCGAACAGCAGCAGGAGTGAGCTCTCAGCACTTTTTCCAGTGGTGGGAAAACGTTCTGAGGGGGAATTCTCACTCACCTTTCAACCTCTGGAGCTCGAAGAGGCGGGGGGGCGGTAGTGAATCAAAGCGTTGGGTGAAAGGTGAGCAAGGATTCCCCCTCAGAACTTTTTTCTGCTACTGGAAAAAGTGCTGAGAGCTCGCTGCCGCTGCTCCCACCATAACTCAGAGTGTTCCAATATTTCAGAGGCTATCATTAAGAAGAAGAGGGAGTCAAGCTATTCTCCAAAGCACTTGAGGGCAGGACGAGAAGCAATGTGTAGAAACTAATCAAGGAGAGAAGAATCGCCCAAAGAGATGGCTGCACACATGGATGCTGCGGCTGGGCGCTCTTTCTTTCAGTGTATGATGTGGATGATTCTGGGGGTGTTCTGGATTTTTGAAGTTTTTAAGAAGAGATTGGATAACCATTTGTCTGAAATGGTATAGGGTTTCCTGCCTAAGCATGCGGTTAGAATAGAAGACCTCCAAGGTCCCTTCTAACTCTGTTATTCTATTCTATTTTATCTCGTGCAGTCCTCAGTTCGTAGAAAACTCAGGCCTAAAGTTCTATGGTGTGGGACCAGTAGAATGAGAGCGTGCACTCCTGAACCTGCGTGATCTGGCACTAAGGTAGTTTAGGCCTCTGTTCTCTGCTAACTGAGGCCTGTACCTTTTCTGGCCTAATTGTTCCCAAACCACGAAGCAGACTCCTTATCCCAACAAAAATCCCTTTTTATTAAGTTACTGTGAATTTCTCTCATTCACACTCAGCAAAGTCTTTCAAGGGGGAATTTACAGTAACAGACCTTATCTAGCTTGGAGAGATGTCAGGCCAATATCTTCAAAACTGGGCAAGGAGTCTCCGAGAGTCACAAACCAATTAGGGGAACTACCGTATTTTTCGGAGTATAAGACTCACTTTCCCCCCCCTAAAAGAGGATGAAAATTTGGGTGCGTCTTATACACTGAATGTAGCCCCGCCCATCCTCCGGCCCCCCAGAAAATAGGGTGTACTGAGGCAGCAATAGGCTATGGCAATCCCTGCAGCCTGAAACAGGTGAGGCCGATCCAACCGACAATCAGTTGCTTGTGCTAATCAGGCTGTGATGAAAATGAAAATGAAACAGACTTTTTGCTGCAAAGAGGCAAATTGCTGCAAGGCAGAAGTAGATTTTTCTTTTCTTGTTTTCCTCCCCAAAAAAGGTAGGCGTGTCTTATAGTCCGGAGCATTTTATACTCCAAAAAATACAGTAATTGTCTCCTGCAAACTCCACTCCCCTTTCACACCTCTAAAGAGCGCTTACAAGCTAAGCTTATTCCTTAACTCAAAACTGACTTTGAGTGGGATTTGCATATAGATAGATAGATAATTGTAAAGAAAGATATTTCTAGATATTTTCAAAGCTTTCATGACTCATGAATATAGAAATCATCATGTCTATATCATACCACTATAAGCATGCAAAATACAACATAATGGAATTTTGGAAACATTCAGAAGAATATTCGTTGACTTTCTACAGTTTGATCTTTTTCTCTAACCTTGTTATCGTTTTCATTTCTCTTTTCCTTTGAAGGTAATAATGGGCAGGAGAATCAAGATTCCTGTGAACTGTTCCAAGTGACCAATGCTAAAGATGAAACAGAGAAGTTTGGATTTCGAATGGAATTCGAAAGCCATGAGAGAAGCCAGTCAAATAATTGGAATCAGGATAGCTCATATTCCACTGATGCTCCAATGCAAGACTTTCTTGCCCAACAAGAGAAAATAAGGAAAAAATATATTGGGAAAAGTGTAAACGAAGACTATTTAACCCAAAACAAAGGAAAAGATGCTATAGGATACAATGGACAAAATTACAATGGGACATTCATTTATTCTGTTGAAAATAACTTCTTTACATCTGAAAAAGTGATTCACACAAAAAAGGAGCCTTATGAATGTTTGGAATCTGGAAAACATTTTGGAACAAGCTGGCAACTTACTTCCCATGAAATGATTCACACTGGAGAGAAACTGTGTTCAGAATCCCCTGTAGCCCAGTCCCTCCAAGCAGCAGGAGAGAAACCCTATAAATGCATGGAGTGTGGAAAGACCTTTGCTCAGCGCAGGTATCTTGCTTCCCATAAGATGATCCACACAGGGGAGAAACCCTATAAATGCATGGAGTGTGGAAAGACCTTTGCTCAAAGAGGTAATCTTGCTTACCATAAGATGATCCACTCAGAAGAGAAACCATTTAAATGCATGGAGTGCGGACAGACCTTTGCTCATAGAAGTAAACTTAATTCCCATAAGATTATCCACGCAGGGGAGAAGCCATACAAATGCATGGAGTGTGGAAAGACCTTTTCTCGAAGAAGTAATCTTATTTCCCATAAGATGATCCACACAGGGGAGACGCCGTATAAATGCATGGAGTGTGGAAAGACCTTTATTTATAGCAATGGACTTAGATACCACAAAATGATCCATACAGGAGAGAAACCATATACATGCATGGAGTGCGGAAAGACCTTTGCTCAACGCAGTTATCTTGCGTCCCATAAGATGATCCACACAGGGGAAAAGCTATTTAAATGTATGGAGTGTGGAAAGACCTTTGCTCGAAGAGATAATCTTATTTCCCATAAGATGATCCACACAGGGGAGAAGCCATTTAAATGCATGGAGTGTGGAAAGACCTTTGCTAAAAGAGGTAATCTTGCTTACCATAAGATGATCCACTCAGAAGAGAAACCATTTAAATGCATGGAGTGTGGAAAGACCTTTGCTCATAGAAGTAAACTTAATTCCCATAAGATTATCCACACAGGGGAGAAGCCATACAAATGCATGGAGTGTGGAAAGACCTTTTCTCGAAGAATTAATCTTATTTCCCATAAGATGATCCACACAGGGGAGACGCCGTATAAATGCATGGAGTGTGGAAAGATGTTTACTAAGAGTAGTTCTCTTACTTCTCATAAGATGATCCACACAGGGAAGAAACCATTTAAATGCATGGAGTGTGGAAACAGGTTTGCTCAGAGCAGTGGACTGGCTAACCACAGAAAGATCCACACAGGGGAAAAGCCATTTAAATGCATGCAGTGTGGAAAGACTTTTGCTCAACGCCGCTATCTTGCTTCCCATGAAATGATCCACACAAGAGAAGCCGTATAAATGCATGGAGTGTGGAAAGATGGAAGCCATAGACCTGAGCGAGTCTGTGGAGTGGAAATACCAGAGCATTCTCCACAGCCAGATCTTGGAGCGGCTGCCTGAGAAATTCAACAAGCTGAACTTGGGCAGCCTGGGGCATTCACACCAGATCAGGAGCGGCTGGAAGACCCATAAGGAGCCAACTTTGACAATATTCCAAGTGCGGTCTTACAAGACATTGTAAAGCTGTACTAACACTTCATGTGGTCTTGATTCTATCTTAATGCAGCCTATGATTGAGTTGGGTTGTTTGGCAACTGCTGACTCATGTTTAAGTGATTGTCCACCAGGACTCCAAAATCCCCGTTGCACTTTCTACTGTTGAGCCAGGTATCACCTATTCTATGCCTATGTATTTAGTTTTTCTTTCCCAAATAAAGAACCTTACATTTCTCAAATATTGTTTCTCATTTTCCTAGATGGGGTCCAATTTGTTGTGCCTTCCGTATCTTGAGCCTATCTTCTATCAATATCAACTATCTTGAGTGTTGGTATTCCTGTCAATTTGGTCTTGTCTGCAAATTTAATGAGTTCCTGTTTTATTCCCTTGCCTAAATCATTGATGAAGTTGAATAGATCTTGCGAATCCTCCTGTTCTCTTCTTTTTTCTGTGTTCAACAGTTCCCCTCGTTGAAATGTGCCCACCAGGCTTTCGCGCATTCCATCAGCCGAGGGCTCAGGGTAGGGGCGGGGGGGTGGCGGCTATTATAAAGGAAAGTCTTTGTCCGAGGGAGGCCACTGTACCTCAGATAGCCGGATGTGAGTCCCTCCTTGTGGGCTTGCTGATTGCGTACCTGGCTCCCTGCCACGTAGCGGCAGCCCTGCCCGAGCTGCTCAATGTAATAGCCGAGGTGGCGGTGGATACCCCCAGACTTATGGTCATGGGGGATTTCAACCTGCCATCTGTCAGTGAAATGTCAGAGGCAGCTCGGGAGTTCATGGCTTCCATGACGGCCATGGACCTGATCCAGTTAGTTCAAGGTACTACTCACATGGGGGACACACTCTGGACTTGATTTTTGTCTCTGGTCAGTGGCTGAATGATCTAGAAACAGAGGATATAGCCATCAATCCCTTGTCATGGTCAGATCACTCCTTTGACTAGACTTTCGAGCCGCTACCCTCCGCTGAAGGGAGTCGGAACCGACTAGGTGGTTCTGTCCCAGGTGCCTGATGGATCCGGATAGATTCCGGACAGAGTTTGGGCCATTCCCTGAGGCTCTGGCTCACGACTCGACAAGCTCAGACTCAACCAAGACGAGAGTGGCAATCCCTTCCACACTGAGGGCAGATACATTCTGTCCCCTGCCCAGCCCCCAGATTTTGCTGCTTCCGGTACTGTCTCTTTGCCTCAGCCTACTGAACAAGTGTCTCTTCTAATTGGAGAAGGCCATGCTGCGTCTTTAGCCTCCAAGCTGAACAGTTGGAGGTCAAGGTTTCCCAGTTGTTAATGTCCATTCCCAGGGCCTTTAGATCCCTCTTGCAGATATCTTTATATCGCAGCTGTGGTCCTTTGAGGAGGTGGCTGTGTATTTCTCTGAGGAGGAATGCTCTAAGCTGGATCCTGACCAAAAAGCGCTGCATTCGGAACTCATGCTTGAAAACTATAGGAATGTGGTCTCTCTGGGTAAGAGTGTTCTTATCCTGAATCCAAGAGTTCAAGAAGACAGATTATAGTTTTTTTTAAATTAAAAAATCAATAATCAGATATTGTCTCCTGGGAGGGAGAAGGAAAGGATAAGGCCTTCTCGTACTCTAAGGAAGGAAAGAGGTCAATGTCTCTTTGCTTAGATTCTTTCTGTGCCATTTCTTATCTGTAGTTTTCCATTTAGAATAGAATAGAATAAGAGTTGGAAGGGACCTTGGAAGTCTTCTAGTCCAATCCTACACCACCTGAAATAAATGGTTATCTAACATCTTCTTAAAAACTTCCAGTGTTGGAGCATTCAGAATTTCTGGAGGCAAGTTGTTCCACTGATTGTTCTAACTGAGGAAATTTCTCCTTAGTTCTAAGTTGCTTCTCTTCTTGATTAGTTTTCCCCCATTGCTTCTTGTTCTACCCTCAGGTGCTTTGAAGAATAGTTTCACTCCCTCTTCTTTGTGGCAATGCCTGAGATATTGGAACACTGCTATCATGTCTCCCCCTAGTCCTTTTCATTAAACTAGACATACACAGTTCCTGCAACCGTTGTTCATATCTTTTAGCCTCCAGTCCCCTAATCATCTTTGTTGCTCTTCTCTGCATTCTTTCTAGAGTCTCAACATTTTTTTTACATCGTGACGACCAAAACTGAATGCACTATTTTAAGTGTGGCCTAACCAAGGCATTATAAAGTGGTCTTAACACTTCATGTGATATTGATTCTATCCCTCTGTTTATGCAGCCTAGAATTGTGTTGGCTTTTTTGGCAGCTGCTGCACACTGCTGGCTCATATTTAAATGGTTGTCCACTAGGACTCCAAGATCCCTCTCACAGTTACTATTGAGAAAGGTACCACATATACTGTACCTGTGCATTTTGTTTTTCTTGCCTAAATATAGAGCCTTACTTTTTTCAGCATTGAATTTCATTTTGTTAGATAGCACCCAATGTTCAAGTCTGTCACGATCCTTCTGTATCTTAAGCTTATCTTCTGAAGTGTTGGCTATTCCTGCCAGTTTGGTGTCATCTGCAAATTTGATGAGGTCCCCATCTATCCCCTCGTCCAAGTCATTGATGAAGATGTTGAAGAGTCCTGGGCCTAAAACAGAGCCTTGGGCTACCCCACTGCATACTTTCCTCCATGTAGCTACAGTTCCATTGAGGACTACACGTTGAGTGCGGTTGGTCAGCCACTTATGTATCCATCTGGTGGTGATGCTGTCTAACCCACATTTTTCTACTTTATTTAGTAGTAGGTTATGGTCTACTTTATCCAATGCCTTACTGTAGGCCAAGAAAATTATCTGAACAGTATTCCTCTGATCCACTAATTTATTTCTATTTGAACTTATCCGTGGAGGCTGAAAAGAATGAGGTGTGCTTTTATGTGTCCCCTGGAGGTCATGTGAGAGGAACGTGTTGTCATTTGTCCTCTGAAACCTCCCAGAATTGTGTGAGAACAGATCTTTCATGAACAGGCCATGGAAGAACATTCTCCCAAACCAATTGAAGAACGAAGGCCTAATGCAATGTGACTCTATCCTATGGTATAGGTAATCCCCAAGTTATGACAGTTCACTTAGTGACCATTCAAAGTTATGATTCCCCCTCCCCCCATACTTTAGACGAAGTCTCGAAATTATGAATTTTGCAGCACTACGGCCATCCACATTTGCCCTACCTATTCCCTGCAAGCAAATCTCGCACTACTGATCTCATGTGATCTCGCACTATAGTACATTAGGCTATAGTACATTTGTTTTCTGCTAATTGAGGCCTGTATTAGATCTGGCCGAAGAGCCCTTGCAGGCCGATGAGACTTTGGGGCAGTGAAATAGCCTTTCTTGAGCCTCCCAACCTTTCCAATGTCGACACGAAATGTGTTTACAAGCCAAGGGGAGGCTTCAAGCAAAGAATTTCGCCCCAAAATCTCATCACTGGGATCGAAGAACAGGCTGAGCGGTAGTCCTGCCTGCCAAACAGACGCCGTGGAGCAGCTGTTCCAAGGTACACCGGGGAATGAACTTGTTTCAAAATTGTTTCAGTTCTCATGAGATCATCATGTCTATATCACACCACTGTAGGCATGTGGTACATAGAACATAATGGAATTTCTTGCCCAACAAGAGAAAATAAAGAAAAAATGTATTGGGAAAAGTGTGAAACTAATTATATGTAAATGAACACTATGTAACCCAAAACAAAGGAGAAGGTGCTATAAGAAGATACAATGGAAAAAATTACAATGGGACATTCATTCCTTCTCATGGAAATAAATTCCTTACATCTCAAAAAGTGATTGACACCAAAGAGAAGCCTTTTAAATGTTTGGAATGTGGGGCATGTTTTAGAACAAGCAGACAATTTACTTCCCATGAAAGGATTCACACTGGAGAGAAGGTATACAAATGCAGAGTCTGGTAACAGGTTCAGAAGATACAGTAATCTTATTTCCCATAAAAGGATCCACTAAGTAAATATTTACTCGTAGCAATGAACTTACTATCCACAAAACGATCCGTACGAGGGAAAAGCCATTTTAACGCATGGAGTGTGGGAAGCCCTTTACTCAAAATGGTAGTCTTATTTCCCATAAGATGATCCACACAGGAGTGAAGCTGTATAAATGCATGGAAAGTTGAAAGTTGAAAGACGCTATGTTTTCATTTGCATGCTGTGTTTCCTGAGATTGTTCATGAAGAGACAGGTGAGTCCCTTATCCTTAACTGCTGGATGGAGGGCTAGGCTGGGCTGAAGCAGACGAGAAAAAGCGAGGTGAAAAGCTAAGGACAAGGGGCTCACCTACCTCTCCCAAGACCTTTCGGGACACACATTGTGCAAATGTACTTGCAAACCCTAGCACGAGCAATAGCAGCTGTGCCTTCCCCCTTCCAAAACATGCCAGGATGTGATCTAAATAAGACCTGGCTTGACCTGCTATTGAAACTCTTTCCAGCTCTTTCTCAAAGTGTTACTGCAGCAGCTGCCTGAAAAATGCTTGCAACGGCTGCTGGATACGGAGTGTCTTGTCCCATGCCTCTGCCTGCTGCCAATGCCGCCTGCAGCAGTTGAAAGGAAAAAGTGGGACTCCGCAGTGCCGCCCCTTGCACTGCGGAAGGTGGCAAAATGTAGAGAACAGCCACCGTCCCTTTGGGAAAGAGCCAGGAGGCGTTTCAATAGCAGTTCAAGCCAGGTCTTATTTAGATCACATCCTGGCATGTTTTGGAAGGGGGAAGGCACAGCTGCTATTGCCTGTGCTGGGTTTTGCAAGTTCTGCAGGATTTTTAAATATCTCCCTTCCAAAACATGGATGACAGGGGAATCCCGCTTTTGACACACCCACCACTCGCAGCAACTGGCACGAGTGACTTATGGGGGCTCTTCATCCTCCTGACAGCACTGCTTCGGCTGCCCTGCTGGGCTGCTCCTGCTTGACAGGGGAGGGGGGAGGCCCAGATCTATGGAGCACTCCTCTGCCACCAGCCTGGCAGGGCTCCTTCCTTAGAGGCTGCCACTGTAAGCACGCCACGTCCCCCACCACTGCATTCAGGCTGCTGAGCACTGTCCTGCGCATCTACTCTGCTGCAATTCTCTTCATTGCACTAAAAATTACTATCACACTAAACCAGGGGTCTGCAACCTTAAACACCCAAAGAGCCATTTGTACCCGTTTCCCATAGGAAAAAAACCACTGGGTGCCACAAAACCTGGGTGGGCGTGGCCAACTCCATGTCACTCATTCCCCCCAGTCTCATGACCCTTTAGCCATGCCTACCTAGCAGGTCATTAGGGCAGACAACCAGTTATTAATAAACAACCCACCGGGAACAACCCCCCCTCCCTTTACCTTCTCCTCTCTCCTCCCCCTCTGTATCTCTGTCTCTCTCTCTCCCCCCACCCTGTACCTCCCTCTCTCTCTCACTCTGTATCTCTCTCCCCCCATCTTCCCTCTCTCCCCTCTCTGTATCTATGTCTCTGTCTCCCACCTCTGTATCTGTCTTTCTCTCTCTCTCTCCATCTATCTCTCCCCTCTCTATGTCTCTTTCCCATCACCCCCCTCTTTGTATCTCTCCTCTCCGCCTCTCTCTTCCTCTGTATCTCTCGACCCCTTTTCCCTCTCTGTATCTATGTCTGTCTCCTCCTCTCTATCTCCCCTCTCTGTATCTCTCTCCCCCTCTATCTGTATCTGTCTGTCTTTCCCTCACTCTCCCTCTCTCTCTGTATCTCTCTCTGTATGTGATTCTCTATGTCTCTCTGTCTGTGTGTGTGTATGTCTGTGTGTGCGAGCACGTGCACGCCCAGGAAACTCTTCTTGAGGCTCTTCGCTACTCCTTTTTGTTGTTCTTGGCAAGTTTTTGATAATCCGAGCTGGCTGAGGAACGAGTGCATCCTCCTCCACCTTCTCTCGCAACACCCAGGCTGGCTGTGGTGGGGCTGGGAGCATGCGCACAAGTGGGAAGAGCCACCTCAAGCGGCCGGGCCTCATCATGAGGTAAAATTTCTGGAATATCCATGGATTTCAGCTTTCCCTCCATTTTGGAACTTTTTTTCTTTTTTCTTTTCCTTCACAGTCTTTCCGCGGGTACAAGAGACGGGGTCACCCAGGGTGTTCATCAGAAGAGGCTGGAGGGGTCTCTGCCTTTTCTGCTTCCCCAGTTCACTGTGAGGCTGAGGGAATAATTTGGGAAGGGCATCTGTATGTATTGAATTAAAGAAATAGAAAACAATAATTTTCCTTATGGTGGCTTCCCTTCCTGTGTCCCATCTTTCTCCACTTCAGGCTAACAAGACACAAGCTGTGTTTCCCAGAGAGCCTCCTGGTTCTTCTCTTCTGACAGGATTTGGACCCTTTTGAAGCCTCCACAGACGGTTCCTGGACAGGCAGGAGAGGAAATGGCGGAATTGCTGACTCTGGAGACCAAAAAGCTTTTCTTGGGCAGGGAGGCATTGAGAGGGGCCTTTTCTCCTACTCCCATGCCCATCATCCCTGCCCTTCCCTCAGATGCGCTCCTCTTTCCCGCGCTTTTCAGGGAATCCTGTAAATTTATGGAAAATCCACTAGAGGGCGCATTCTGCCAAGAGAAGGGAACTCCAGGCGCTTCCCCATTGGGCCACTGGAGGACGAAAGACAGGGCTGCCTTTGTAGAGGAGGCTTGGAAGGAAATGGCGTCACACAACCTTGACGCTCTAGGAGGCCGCACTTGCTTTCCTTAACCCCTGGCGCTCCGCAGAGGGAGGAGGACTTGCGGCAGAGTCTGGCGGGGGGGGGAGATCCAGACGTGCCCCTGGTGAGTTGGGGGCTCTTCCGTGGGAAAAGGGAGGCGGAGGAGGGAGAGACCCTCGCCCGGCCCTCCTCCGGCTCACCTCCGGGTCCCATGCTCCCCAGCCGCCCCGTGTCCAGGGAGAGCCCGAGTGGGGGGAGGGGAGGGTCGGCCTTGCAGAGACCCAGCAGGAGAGGAGAGAAGCCTGGTGAGGAGGAGGCAGGATTCGCACCAGGCTCCCTGTCTCCGGAGGGGGAGAGAGGCGGGGCGGCCTCTCCAGCTGCCTCCTTCCCGGCCCTCTGCTGGGCTGAGTCTCTTGGGGCTCCGGGGAGGTTGAGTGAAGGTTGTTCAGTGGCTCAATTCAATTTCTAATTCTTGGTATTTATTTTTCTTTCCATCTCAGATACACAAAGTCGAAACCATTTGAAATCCTTGCAAACTAAAATTTTCTCTTGGGGGAAGAAAAAAGAGCGGAATCCCTTGGAGGGCTCAGTTGTGGAGCACCAGAAATGGTCCCGTGAAGGAAAAGGCATCTGGAGACCCACCAGAGTCCTTGGAGCCATTTGCAGTTGCTCTGCAGGACAGAGAAAGGATGGAGACACAACCTTTTGGAAAGGAGGGAAGCGGAAAAGGCCCTTCAGCTGCTCAGCCTGGGAAGCGGGGGAAGCTCTGGACAAGGACTGGGCAGAAGATCCTGGAGGAGGAAACCATCCTCCCTTCACAAGTTCAGCCCTGGAACTTCATCCAATACTGTGAGGCTGAGGGTCCCCGAGGACTTTGCAGCCGACTCCATGATTTTAGTAGGCGATGGCTGAGACCAGAAAAACACACCAAAGCCCAGATGTTGGACCTGGTGGTTCTGGAGCAGCTCCTGTTCCTTCTGCCCCCAGAGATGGAGGGCTGGGTGCGGGAGTGTGGAGCAGAGACCAGCTCCCAAGCGGTGGCCCTGGCTGAAGGCTTCCTCTTGAGCCAGGTGGAGGAGCAGAAGGAGCAGGTCGAGTTGCAGGTGAGACACTAGGGTGCCCAGAAGGGAATAAAAAATGTGTTTGAATGCTTCACCCCTCCTTCCCAAACTTCTCTGACGTTCATATGTGACTATATCCCATCAATTATTGTAGAATATTGTTCCATTGTTTTCTTACTCAACGTCACTGATGGATATTGGGGACTTTGAGGTTGAATTCCGAATATAAGAATGCACTTCATGTCATGTGATGTACATTAATTCTGCTTCTTCCATCCTTCCTTCAAATAGAAGCGCTGTACTGTGGAGATCAGAGATCCTGAGGGAAAGAAGAATTCATCAAATCCCCCTCAGGACCTATTTTTCAGGAGGATCCCTTCGGAAGATCAAAATCAGGACACTTCAGGAGGTAATCCAAGCTCCTCCGATTTCCCAGAGAGATCCCATCTGTCTTACCTTATTCTCTTCTGTAGTATACCTCCTCTTATTTTGTTAAATATGCATTTTGAAATTATTTATTTCTTACAGAGAAACAAAGCATGAAGTTTTCGGGTTTTTACGATGGAGCTCAGACACTAGTTGAACTTCCAAATCAAGTAAGAAAGGGAAACATTATTAGATTTCTATTCTCCTTTCCTTCAGGAAGTGAAGCGGGTGTGCAGAGTTGGCTCTCCTTCTATTTCCCTCCCTTGTTTGGACTGGATTCTTTTTATGTCCCTGTGCGACATGGACAGCATGATTGCAGGTTCAAGTTGCTCTCAACCAGCATAGCTTCCTCTGTAGACTCTTACTGGGACACAATGATTTGTCATTTCTGTCCACAGATTCTGGTTAGGAAATGTTTTTTAAAGACTACTAGTTAACTGGTTCTGGTTGGTACTCCTGCAACTATGAGTTTACAAGAAGTAATTTTTTAAAAGTGCTTCAAGAGGTAGGAATAAATGTATCACAGTGGTAGTAACTGCTAGAGACCCATTCTTTTTGCAATTATTTGATTTGGAGTTGTGCAAGGCTAATGAAAAATAACTAATTACTCACATTGCCACTTTACCATTTTTAAAAAGCCTTATTTATGACGAGTCATTCAAAAGATAAGCAAATCATATTAAAAAATAAAGCAGAATTTTAAAATCCAAAGAGAATGGCCACACAGAGCATGCAATCACAGTACTTTGGGCTACAAAATAATTTCCAATCCTCTGATTTGTGCCTGGATTAGGAGATCAAACATTCCCACTTTGCAAAGGTTTAGAAATGGCCTTCGCAGAGAATTTTCTCTTCTTTGGTTCTCCCATTCAGCGAATAGCTCAGACTACTAGATCAATAAATGATAGGGCAATAAATCAGTTGATCCAGAAATGGGATTACTTCACTGAAAGTTCTGCAGAATCAATCAGCTTGATAAAAGTTGCCCCAAATATTTCTTCAGTCAAACAAATTTTGAGAATTGTCCATTTTCTCACCTAAATGGTCGGATTTAGTCGGATCATTCCCTCCTTCGCCTTGACCTTCGAACTGCTACACCCTGCCGCAGGGAGGCTGAACCGATGAGGTGGTTCCGGCCCAGGCACCTGATGGACCCGGATCAGTTCCAGATGGAGCTTGGGCCGTTTCCTGAGGCTCTGGCTCACGGCTCGACCGAAGACCTGGTGGCCGCCTGGGATAGGGTGGCCGCTGGAGTTTTGGATCGGGTCGTGCCTTTGTGGCCTCTGACCCGGCGCCGATCTCGCTCGGCTCCTTGGTTCACCAAGGAGGTGAGGGAGATGAAGCGCCGGAAAAGACGCCTGGAGAGCGGTTGGAGGGCCAGCCGGTCTGAATCTGACCGAACACTGGTAAGGTCTCATATTAAGACTTACCTTGTGGCGATAAAAGCGGCAAAATGTAACTATTTTTCCGCTCTTATTGCATCATCAGATAACCGCCTGGCCGCCCTGTTTAGGGTGACCCGCTCCCTGCTCCTTCAGGAAGCGCGGGAGGACCCCTTGGAGGGTAGAGCTGAGGAATTTGTACAGTATCTGTATGATAAAATCACTCAGATTCAGGAACATCTGGATTCTGGCAGGGTAGATTCAGGGGGGAGGATGGAGGCAGGTCTTGAGAATATTGTCTGGGAAGAGTTCGATTCTGTGACTCCCGAAGACGTGGACAGGATATTGAGTAGACTGAATGCTGCCACATGTTTATTGGACCCATGTCCCTCCTGGTTGGTGCTGGCCTCTCGGGAGGTTACACGAGGCTGGCTCCAGGGAATTATAAATGCTTCTCTGAGTGAGGGTGTCTTTCCTGCCACCTTGAAAGAGGCGGTGGTGAGACCTCTCCTCAAGAAGCCTTCCCTGGACCCAGCAATATTGGCGAATTACTGTCCAGTCTCCAACCTTCGCTTTGTTGCGAAGGTTGTTGAGTGTGTGGTAGCATGACAGCTCCCTCGGTACCTGGATGAATCGGCTTATCTGGATCCGTTCCAGTCAGGCTTCAGGCCTGGGTACAGCACGGAAACGGCATTGGTTGCATTGGTTGATGATCTCTGGAGGGCTCAGAACAGGGGTTGCTCCTCTGTCCTGGTCCTATTAGACCTCTCAGCGGCTTTTGATACCATCGACCATGGTATCATGCTGCACCGGCTGGAAGAGCTAGGGGTGGGAGGCACCGTGTTGTGGTGGTTCTCCTCCTTCCTCTCCGACCGGTTGCAGTCAGTGTTGGCAGGGGGGTAGAGGTTGACCCCGAGGCCCCTTGTTTGTGGGGTGCCACAAGGTTTGGTCCTCTCGCCCCTTCTGTTCAACATTTATGTGAAGCTGCTGGGTGAGATCATCCGTGGTTTCGGGGTGAAGTACCACCAGTACGCTGATGACACCCAGCTGTACATCTCCACCCCGGACCACCCCAATGATGCCCTTGAAGTGATGTCCCGGTGCCTGGAGGCTGTATGGATCTGGATGGGGAGGAACAGACTCAGGCTCAACCCATCCAAGACCGAGTGGTTGTGGTTTCCGACATCCCTATATAGTCAGTCGGTGCCATCACTGATTATTGGGGACGAGTCATTGGCCCCCACGGAGAGGGCTCGCAACTTGGGAGTCCTCCTGGACTCACAGCTGCCTTTAGAAGAGCACTTGATGGCTGTGGCTGGGAGGGCGTTTTATCAGCAACTGATTCGACAGTTGCGTCCCTTTCTGGATCGGGACTCATTAAATACGGTCACTCATGCCCTTGTCACTTCCCGCCTGGACTACTGCAATGCTCTCTACATGGGGCTCCCCTTGAGGAGCACCCGGAGGCTCCAGCTGGTCCAGAATGTGGCTGGGCGGGTGGTTATGGGGGCGACGGGGCACTCCCATGTGACCCCCCTCCACGAGCTGCACTGGCTCCCAGTGGTCTTCCGGGTGGGCTTCAAGGTTTTGGTTACCACCTTTAGAGCGCTCCATGGCTTAGGACCGGGGTATTTACGAGACTGCCTTCTGCCACCAGTAGCCTCTCACCGACCAGTACGCTCTCATAGAGAGGGGCTCCTCAGGGTGCCGTCGGCCACACAATGTCAACTGGCGGCCCCCAGGGGGAGAGCCTTCTCTGTGGGGGCACCTGCCATCTGGAACAAGCTCCCCCTGGAGATACGGAGGATCCCGGACCTGCATCAAAACATTTCTTTTCCAGCAGGCCGGCCGGCCTGGCCTAACCTCTCTTTTAAACTTTTTAAAATTTTAAAATTCTTCAATTTTAAATTTGTCTTATGAATTTGGGGTGTTTTAAATTTCGTTTTCCGGGCCAATTATTTAATTGTATTTTAATGCTTTTTTAACATTTGTATTATATGTATTTTATTTGGCTGTTCACCGCCCTGAGTCCTTCGGGAGTAGGGCAGTATACAAATTCAATCAATCAATCAATCAATAAATTTAGGACTTGTGTGACTCACAGCCATTTAACTTGGTGCAAATCTTTGCTTTGGGGACAATGGAGCAGAATAACAGAATTGGTAGGGATCTTGGAGATCTCCTAGTCCAACCCCCTTCTTAGAGAGGAAGCCCTATAATGGCTGTCCAATTTCTTCTTAAAGTCCTCCAGTATGGCAGCATCCACACCTTCTGGAAGCAAGTCATTCCAGTGATTAATTGTTCTCACTGTCAGTGAATTTCTCTTTAGTTGCACATTAGTTCTCTCCTTGATTACTTTCAATCCATTGCTTCTTGTCCCACCCTCAGGTGCTTTGGAGAATAAGTTGGCCTCCTCTTCTTTGTGGCAGCCCCTTAGATATTGCAACACTTCTACCATCTCACCCCTCGTTCTTCTTTTCATTGAACTAGATATACCCAATTCCAGCACCGTTTTTTATATGTTTTAGCCTCCAGGACCCTAATAATTTTGGTTGCTCTTTCTAGAGTCTCAAGATCTTTTTTACATCGTGGTAACCAATACTGGATGCCAAATGCTGTCTTACCAAAGCATTATACACCATTGATTTTCATTTTGTTAGATGGGGCCCAATCTGTCGATACTTCTATATTTCGAGCTCATCTTCTGGAGTATTGTTATTCCTGTCAATTTAGTCTTGTCTTCAAATTTGAGGACTTCCCCTTCTATTCTCTTGTCTAAATCATTGATGAAGATGATCAGATACTGCAAATCCTCCTGTTCTGTTCTTTTTTCCGTGTTCAGGAGAGTCTTGTGTCCTTCGAGGAGGTGGCTGTGTATTTCTCTGAGGAGGAATGGTCTCAGCTGGATCCTGACCAAAAAGCCCTGCATTCGGAAGTCATGCTTGAAAACCATAGGAACGTGGTCTCTCTGGGTAAGAGTTTTTAGTCCCCAATCAGAGAACTCAAGAAGACAGATTATAGTTAGTTTTTTTTTGTTTTAAAAAATCATTAATCCAATATTATTTCCTTGGAGAGAGAAGAAAACGATCTGGCCTTCTCGTACTCCAAGGAAGGAAGGAGGTCAATGTCTCTTGGTTTAAACTCTTTCTTTGAATGAGGTGTGCCCTTATGTGTCCTCTGGAGGTCATGTGAGAGGAATGTGTTGTCATTTGTCCTCTGAAACCTCCCAAAATTGTATGAGAACAGAACTTTCATGGTCAGGCCATGGAAGTACATTCTCCCAATTCAAGAATGAAGGCCTCATGCAATGTGACTCAGAGTATCCTAGGATATAGGTAATCCCCGAGTTACGACAGTTCACTTAGTGACCATTTAAAGTTATGATTTACCCCCCTCAATACTTTAGACCCAGTCCTAAAATTACGAATGTTGCACCACTACGGCTGTCCACAGTTACGAATGACAATAGAGGCACTGCAACATTCGCCCTACTTATTCTCCCACCCCACCCTGTGACGATGTAGCGAGCCATGGGTTCCTTTGCCTGCTTTGGTACATTTTCAAAAAACATAGGGCTAAAGTGATGAGAAATCTTGCACTACTGATCTTGTGTGATCTCGTACTACTCTGTTCTCTGCTAACTGAGGCCTGTATCTTTTCTGGCCTAGGTGTTCCCAAACCACGAAGCAGACTCCTTATCCCAACAAAAATCCCCTTTTATTAAGTTACTGTGAATTTCTCTCATTCACACTAGGCAAAGTCTTTCAAGGGAGAATTTATAGTCACAGACCTTATCTGACTTGGAGAACTGTCAGGCCGATATCTTCAAAACTGGGCAAGGAGTCTCCGAGAGTCACAAACCAATTAGGGGAACTACCGTATTTTTCGGAGTATAAGACTCACTCTTTTCTCCCCTAAAAGAGGATGAAAATTTGGGTGCGTCTTATACACTGAATGTAGCCACGCCCACCCACCGTCCCCCCCAGAAAATGGGGTGCACGGAGGCAGCAATAGGCTATGGCAATCCCTGCAGCCTGAAACAGGTGAGGCCGATCCAACTGACAATCAGTTGCTTGTGCTAATCAGGCTGTGATGAAAATTATTATTATTATTATTATTATTATTATTATTATTATTATTATTATTATTATTATTATTATTATTATTATTATTATTTATTGAATTTATATACCGCCCTACTCCCGAAGGACTTAGGGTGGTGAACAGCCAAAAGATAAAATACATATAATACAAATGTTAAAAAACCATTAAAATACAATTAAATAAATTGGCCCAGAGAACAAAATTTAAAACACCCCACATTTACAAGACAAATTTAAAATTTAAAAAATTTAAAAACAGTTTAAAAGAGAGGATAGGCCAGGCCGGCCTGCTGGAATAGGAATGTTTTGAAGGCACGGCGGAAATCGCACAGATTCCTCCAAATTTCCGGGGGGAGCTTGTTCCAGATGGCGGGTGCCCACACAGAGAAGGCTCTCCCCCTGGGGGCCGCCAGTCGACACTGTTTGACGGACGGCACCCTAAGAAGCCCCTCTCTATGGGAGCGTACTGGTTGGTGAGAGGCTACTGATGGCAGAAGGCGGTCTCGTAGACACCCCGGTCCTAAGCCATGGAGCGCTCTAAAGGTGGTAACCAAAACCTTGAAGCACACAGGGAAGACCACTGGGAGCCAGTGCAGCTCGTGGAGGGGGGTCACATGGGAGTGCCACGTCGCTCCCATAACCACCCACGCAGCTGCATTCTGGACCAGCTGGAGCCTCCGGGTGCTCCTCAAGGGGAGCCCCATATAGAGGGCATTGCAGCATTGCAAAATGAAAATGAAACAGGCTGTTTGCTGCAAAGAGACAAATTGCTGGGAGGCAGAGGTAGATTTGTACATCTCCACCCCAAATCACCCCAATGATGCCCTTGATGTGATGTCCCGCTGCCTGGAGGCCGTGCGGGTCTGAATGGGGAGAAATAGGCTCAAACTCAACCCTTCCAAGAGTGAGTGGCTGTGGCTTCTGGCGTCCCGGTATAATCAGCTGGTGCCATCACTGACTATTGGGGGTAAATCTCTGCCCCCCACAGAGAGGGCTCGCAATCTGGGCATCCTTCTGGACTCACGGCTGTCTTTAGAAGAGTACATGACGGCCATAGCCAGGAGGGGGTTTTATCAGGTTCGTCTGATCCGCCAGTTGCGTCCCTTTCTGGACCGGGATGCCTTGCGTACAGTCACTCACGCCCTCGTCACCTCCTGTCTGGACTATTGTAATGCTCTCTACATGGGGCTCCCCTTGAAGAGCACTCGGAGGCTCCAACTGGTCCAGAATGCGGCCGTGCGGGTGGTTATGGGTGCACCTCGTTACGCCCATGTAACACCTCTCCTGCGCAAGCTGCACGGGCTCCCAGTGGTCTTCCGAGTGTAATTCAATGTGTTGGTTACCAACTTTAAAGCGTTCCATGGCATAGGACCAGGATATTTACAGGACCGCCTTCTGCCACCAACAACCTCCCACTGACAAGTTCGCTCCCACAGAGAGGGACTCCTCAGGGTGCCGATGGCCAAGTTGTGCCGGCTGGCGACACCCAGGAGGAGAGCCTTCTCTGTCGGAGCTCCTGCCCTTTGGAATGAATTGCCCCTGGATATTCGTAACATCTCTGATCTCTGGGTCTTTCGCTGTGCCCTCAAGACCCTACTGTTCCGACAGGCGGGGCTGTCTAATTGAATGATTTTAAATTGGGTTTTAACTTTTGGTTTTAAAATTCGGCCAAAACTATTTAATGATTTTAATTAATTTTAACTATGATATTGTATATTTATGTTTTTAATTGGCTGTACACCGCTCCGAGTCCTTCGGGAGGAGGGCAGTATATAAATAAAATTCTTCTTCTTCTTCTTCTTCTTCTTCTTCTTCTTCTTCTTCTTCTTCTTCTTCTTCTTCTTCTTCTTCTTCTTCTTCTTCTTCTTCTTCTTCTTCTTCTTCTTCTTCTTCTTCTTTTTATTTATTTATTTATTTATTTATTTATTTATTTATTTATTTATTTATTTATTTATTTATTTATTTATTTATTTATTATTTTCTTGTTTTCCTCCCCAAAAAAGGTAGGTGTGTCTTATAGTCCGGAGCATCTTATACTCCGAAAAATACGGTAACTGTCTCCTGCAAACTCCACTCCCCTTTCGCTCCTCTTTTATTCCCTCTAGAAGGGGCTATTCATTGTCTACCTGTGGCCTTACTCCCAAGTCGACCCTTGTTCTTTAGCTGTTCCCTTTGTCTGGCAACTCTGCACATGCACATTGGGAACAGGCTCCAGCTGTTCGTCTGCCTAAATGATGTCTGACTCTGAAGGCAGCTAATAACTGGCATCCAGCCCTGGCTTCCTCTCTGCCTCCGATGCAGAGCCCTCATCAGAGCCTTCCCCAGAATCCAGGAATGGTCCGTGTTCCTCCCCAACCTCCTCACTATACGAATCTGTTGCCAGCTCCACTTGCCGCTGGCAGGCCCCACCAGGATCACATCTGGCCAAAGAACCCTTGCAAGCCAATGAGACTTTTGAGCAGTGAAATAACCTTTCTTGAGCCTCCCAACCTTTCCAGTCTTGGCGCGAAGAGCCAAGATTATTCCTTAACTCAAAACTGACTTTGAGTGGGATTTGCATATATATATATAGAGAGATAGATAATTGTAAAGAAAGATATTTTCTAGATATTTTCAAAGCTTTCATGACTCATGAATATAGAAATCATCATGTCTATATCACACCACTGTAAGCATGCAAAATACAACATAATGGAATTTTGGAAACATTCAGAAGAATATTCGTTGACTTCCTACAGTTTGATCTTTTTCTCTAACCGTGTTATCATTTTCATTTCTCTTTTCCTTTGAAGGTAATAATGGGCAGGAGAATCAAGATTCCTGTGAACTGTTCCAAGTGACCAATGCTAAAGATGAAACAGAGAAGTTTGGATTTCGAATGGAATTCGAAAGCCATGAGAGAAGCCAGTCAAATAATTGGAATCAGGATAGCTCATATTCCACTGATGCTCCAATGCAAGACTTTCTTGCCCAACAAGAGAAAAAATATATTGGGAAAAGTGTAAATGAAGACTATTTAACCCAAAACAAAGGAAAAGATGCTTTAAGATACCATGGACAAAATTACAATGGGATATTCATTGATTCTTTTGGAAATAACTTCTTTACATCTGAAAAAGTGATTCACACAAAAAAGGAGCCTTATGAATGTTTGGAATCTGGAAAACATTTTGGAATAAGCTGGCAACTTACTTTCCATGAAAGGATTCACACCGGGGAGAAACTGTGTTCAGAATCCCCTTTAGCCCAGGCAGCCCAATCCCTCCAAGCAGCAGGAGAGAAACCCTATAAATGCATGGAATGTGGAAAGACCTTTGCTCAGCGCAGGTATCTTGCTTCCCATAAGAGAATCCACACAGGGGAAAAGCCATTTAAATGCATGGAGTGTGGAAAGACCTTTGCTCAAAGACGTAATCTTATTTCCCATAAGATGATCCACACAGGGAAGAAACCATATAAATGCATGGAGTGTGGAAAGACCTTTACTCAAAGAGGTCATCTTATTTCCCATAAGATGATCCACACAGGGGAGAAGCCATTTAAATGCATGGAGTGTGGAAAGACCTTTACTCAAAGAGGTCATCTTATTTCTCATAAGATGATCCACACAGGGAAGAAACCATATAAATGCATGGAGTGTGGAAAGACCTTTGCTCATAGAAGTAAACTTAATTCCCATAAGATGATCCACACAGTGGAGAAGCCATACAAATGCATGGAGTGTGGAAAGACCTTTGCTCAAAGAGTTCATCTTATTTCCCATAAGATGATCCACACAGGGGAAAAGCCATTTAAATGCATGGAGTGTGGAAAGACCTTTGCTCAACGCAGTTATCTTGCTTCCCATAAAAAGATCCACTTGGAAGAGAAACCATTTAAATGCATGGAGTGTGGAAAGATGTATACTAAGCGCAGTGCTCTTACTTCTCATAAGATTATCCACACGGGGGAGAAACCATACAAATGCATGGAGTGTGGAAAGACCTTTGCTCAACGCAGTTATCTTGCTTCCCATAAAAATATCCACTTAGAAGAGAAACCATTTAAATGCATGGAGTGTGGAAAGACATTTACTGATAGTAGGGCTCTTACTTCTCATAAAATGATCCACACGGGGGAGAAACCATACAAATGCATGGAGTGTGGAAAGACCTTTGCTCAACGCAGTTATCTTGCTTCCCATAAAAATATCCACTTAGAAGAGAAACCATTTAAATGTATGGAGTGTGGAAAGACATTTACTGATAGTAGGGCTCTTACTTCTCATAAGATGATCCACACGGGGGAGAAACCATACAAATGCATGGAGTGTGGAAAGACCTTTGCTCAACGCAGTTATCTTGCTTCCCATAAAAATATCCACTTAGAAGAGAAACCATTTAAATGCATGGAGTGTGGAAAGACGTTTACTGATAGTAGGGCTCTTACTTCTCATAAGATAATCCACACAGGGGAGAAGCCGTATAAATGCATGGACTGTGGAAAGACCTTTGGTCAACGCAGTTATCTTACTTCCCATAAGATGATCCACTCAGAAGAGAAACCATTTAAATGCATGGAGTGTGGAAAGACCTTTGCTCATAGAAGTAAACTTAATTCCCATAAGATTATCCACACAGGAGAGAAGCCATACAAATGCATGGAATGTGGAAAGACCTTTCCTCGAAGAGGTAATCTTATTTCCCATAAGATGATCCACACAGGGGAGAAGCCATTTAAATGCCTGGAGTGTGGAAACACGTTTGCTCAGAGCAGTGGACTGACTAACCACAGAAAGATCCACACCGGGGAAAAGCCATTTAAATGCATGCAGTGTGGAAAGAGTTTTGCTCAACGCCGCTATCTTGCCTCCCATGAAATGATCCACACGAGAAGCTGTATAAATGCATGGAGTGTGGAAAGATGGAAGCCATAGACCTGAGCGAGTCTGTGGAGTGGAAATACCAGAGCGTGCTCCGCAGCCAGATCTTGGAGCGGCTGCCTGAGAAATTCAACAAGCTGAACTTGGGCAGCCTGGGGCATTCACACCAGATCGGGAGCGGCTGCACGTCCCATAAGGAGCCAACTTTGACAATATTCCAAGTGCGGTCTTACAAGGCATTGTAAAGCTGTACTAACACTTTATGTGGGAGTGTGGGAGCACCCGCCCTCTGGAACGAGCTACCTCCCGTAATACGACTGATTCCAGATCTCCGTATTTTCCGTAAGACCCTGAAGACGTTTTTATTTCAGCAAGCCGGCCTGGCCTGAATAGGTTTTATGGGTTAGTTTTTAATGGAATAGCTTGGGGTTGTAAATTGGGAGGCCGATTAATTTAATTTATTTTTAGTTATCTTAACTTTTATATTGTATGTTATCTTAGTTTTCAGCTGTTCACCGCCCTGAGTCCCTTCGGGGAGAAGGGCGGTATATAAATTCAATCAATCAATCAATCAATCAATCAATCAATCAATCAATAAATAAATAAATAAATAAATAAATAATAAATAATAAATAAATAATAAATAATAAATAAATAATAAATAATAAATAAATAAATAAATAAATAAATAAATGTGGTCTTGATTCTATCCCTCTTAATGCAGCCTATGATTGAGTTGGGTTTTTTGGCAACTGCTGACTTGTGTTTAATGATTGTCCACTAGGACTCCAAGATCCCCGTTGCACTTTCTACTGTTGAGCCAGATATCACCTATTCTATGCCTATGTATTTAGTTTTTCTTTCCTAAATAAAGAACCTTACATTTCTCAAATATTGTTTTTCATTTTCTTAGATGGGGTCCAATCTGTTGATCCTTCTATATCTTGAGCCTATCTTCTGGAGTGTTGTTATTCCTGTCAATTTGGTCTTGTCTGCAAATTTTATGAATTCCTGTTTTATTCCCTTGCCTAAATCATTGATGAAGTTGAACAGATCTTGTGAATCCTCCTGTTCTCTTCTTTTTTCCGTGTTCAAGAGTCTTGTGTCCTTCTAGGACATTGGCATGACATTGGCATCTTTCAGTCTCAAAAGACTATGGTATTTAGGACCTCCGGAAAGAGGTCCTAAAACAGCATCTAGTGTGACTAAAAAGGCCAACTCAAGAGTGGCAATTCTTTCCACACTGAGGGCAGATACATTCTGTCCCCTGCGCCCAGCCCGCAGATTTCGCTGATACCGGGACTGTCTCTTTGCCTCAGCCTACTGAACAAGTGTCTCTTCTAATTGGAGAAGGCCATGCTGCGTCTTTAGCCTCCAAGCTGAACAGTTGGAGGTCAAGGTTTCCCAGTTGTTAATGTCCATTCCCAGGGCCTTTAGGTCCCTCTTGCAGATATCCTTATATCGCAGCTGTGGTCCTTTGAGGAGGTGGCTGTGTATTTCTCTGAGGAGGAATGCTCTAAGCTGGATCCTGACCAAAAAGCGCTGCATTCGGAACTCAAGCTTGAAAACTATAGGAATGTGGTCTCTCTGGGTAAGAGTGTTCTTATCCTGAATCCAAGAGTTCAAGAAGACAGATTATAGTTTTTTTTTAATTAAAAAATCAATAATCAGATATTGTCTCCTGGGAGGGAGAAGGAAAGGGTCAGGCCTTCTCGTACTCTAAGGAAGGAAAGAGGTCAATATCTCTTTGCTTGGATCCTTTCTGTGCCATTTCTTATCTGTATTTTTCCATTGAGAATAGAATAGAATAACAGAGTTGGAAGGGACCTTGGAGATCTTCTAGTCCAATCCTACACCACCTCAAATAAATGGTTATCTAACATCTTCTTTAAAACTTCCAGTGTTGGAGCATTCAGAGCTTCTGGAGGCAAGTTGTTCCACTGATTGTTCTAACTGTGAGGAAATTTCTCCTTAGTTCTAAGTTGCTTTTCTCCTTGATTAGTTTTACCCCATTGCTTCTTATTTTACCCTCAGGTGCTTTGAAGAATAGTTTCACTCCCTCTTTGTGACAATGCCTGAGATATTGGAACACTGCTATCATGTCATGTAGGACTCCAAGATCCCTCTCTCAGTTACTATTGAGAAAGGTACCACATATACTGTACCTATGCATTTTGTTTTTCTTGCCTAAATATAGAGCCTTACTTTTTTCAGCATTGAATTTCATTTTGTTAGATAGCACCCAATGTTCAAGTCTGTCAAGATCCTTCTGTATCTTAAGCTTATCTTCTGAAGTGTTGGCTATTCCTGCCAGTTTGGTGTCATCTGCAAACTTGATGAGTTCCCCATCTATCCCCTCGTCCAAGTCATTGATGAAGATGTTGAAGAGTCCTGGGCCTAAAACAGAGCCTTTGGCTACCCCACTGCATACTTTCCTCCAAGTAGCTACAGTTTCATTGAGGACTACACGTTGAGTGCGGTTGGTCAGCCACTTACGTATCCATCTGGTGGTGATGCTGTCTAACCCACATTTTTCTACATTATCTAGTAGTAGGTTATGGTCTACTTTATCCAATGTCTTACTGTAGGCCAAGAAAATTATCTGAACAGTATTCCTCTGGTCCACTAATTTATTTCTATTTGAACTTATCTGTGGAGGCTGAAAAGAATGAGGTGTGCTTTTATGTGTCCCCTGGAGGTCATGTGAGAGGAACATGTTGTCATTTGTCCTCTGAAACCTCCCAGAATTGTGTGAGAACAGATCTTTCATGAACAGGCCATGGAAGAACATTCTCCCAAACCAATTGAAGAACGAAGGCCTAATGCAATGTGACTCAGAGTATCCTATGGTATAGGTAATCCCCAAGTTATGACACTTCACTTAGTGACCATTCAAAGTTATGATTCCCCCTCCCCCCATACTTTAGACGAAGTCTCGAAATTATGAATGTTGCAGCACTACGGCCATCCATACTTACGAATGACAGCAGGGACCCTGCAACATTCACCCTACCTATTCCCTGCAAGCAAATCTCGCACTACTGATCTCATGTGATCTCGCACTATAGTACATTAGGCCTCTATTTTCTGCCCTTGCAGGCCGATGAGACTTTGAGGCAGTGAAATAGCCTTTCTTGAGCCTCCCAACCTTTCCAATGTCGACGTGAAATGTGTTTACAAGCCAAGGGGAGGCTTCAAGCAAAGAATTTCGCCCCAAAATCTCATCACTGGGATCGAAGAACGGGCTGAGCGGGAGTCCTGCCTGCCAAACAGACGCCGTGGAGCAGCTGTTCCAAGGTACACCAGGGAATGAACTTGTTTCAAAATTGTTTCAGTTCTCATGAGATCATCATGTCTATATCACACCACTGTAGGCATGTGGTACATAGAACATAATGGAATTTCTTGCCCAACAAGAGAAAATAAAGAAAAAATGGATTGGGAAAAGTGTGAAACTAATTTTATGTAAATGAACACAATGTAACCCAAAACAAAGGAGAAGCTGCTATCAGAAGATACAATGGAAAAAATAATTATGGGACATTCATTCCTTCTCATGGAAATAAGTTCCTTACATCTCAAAAAGTGATTGACACAAAAGAGAAGATGATCTGCCCCCGTCCACACACACACACAAACACAGCCAGCCGAGGGTTAAGGAAGCAGTTGGCACACACCCAGGTCTTTATCTCCAACTTGGCAGCGATATACACACCGTCTGCCAAGTGCTTTATTTTCACAGAAACAGAAAGATAATATACTCAGCGTACAAGAGTCCAACAGAAATAAATATTCCTCTCCGCAGTTTCGGACGAGGCTTTAGTGACTATCCAAGGTTTATTTTTGTTTGTCACAGGGATCACTGGCCACCACCCTCTATTATATAGTCTCTGGGGTGTGGTCCAGTGACTCAGTTCTAATCCCTAGCACGCCTCCTGAGCTGCTGCAATCGTTTATCACGCCTTCGGAGGCGTGGGTCCAGGAATGATGTCTCTCCTTCACTCTCATCCGAGACACCTGTCTCCCTGCTAATCTCCTCTCCCTCGGCCGGCACCTGAGACAGTGCCACAGGGGAGGGGCCTGGAGAGGGAGGCCTGGCTGACTCCTCTTCCTCATGCTCGGAGCTTTCTTCCTCCGATGGGATAGGCTCAGAGGGTGGGGCCACAACAAAAGCCTTTTAAATGTTTGGAATGTGGGGCATGTTTTAGAACAAGCAGACAATTTACTTCCCATGAAAGGATTCACACTGGAGAGAAGGTATACAAATGCAGAGTCTGGTAACAGGTTCAGAAGATACAGTAATCTTATTTCCCATAAAAGGATCCACTAAGTAAATATTTACTCGTAGCAATGAACTTACTATCCACAAAACGATCCGTACGGGGGAAAAGCCATTTTAACGCATGGAGTGGGGGAAGCCCTTTACTCAAAATGGTAGTCTTATTTCCCATAAGATGATCCACACAGGAGTGAAGCTGTATAAATGCATGGAAAGTTGAAAGTTGAAAGACGCTATGTTTTCATTTGCATGCTGTGTTTCCTGAGATTGTTCGGGAAGAGACAGGTGAGTCCCTTATCCTTAACTGCTGGATGGAGGGCTAGGCTGGGCTGAAGCAGAGGAGAAAAAGCGAGGTGAAAAGCTAAGGATAAGGGACTCACCTGCCTCTCCACGAGACCTTTCGGGACACACATTGTGCAAATGTAAAAGCTTCTCCTTCCAAGTCAGCAGCAGCGCCTGAATCAAAAAGCACCGCAAGTCCGTGTGCCCTTTTTGTTTGGTGCCCTCTTTTCGGGAAGTGTTTCAATTATTCAGATCCCATCACGGACAATAGCAGCTGTGCCTTCTCCCTAAACACATCGGGATGTGAACTGAATAAGACATGGCTTGACCTGCTATTGAAACACTTTTCAGCTCTTTCTCAAAGTGTTACTGCAGCAGCTGCCTGAAAAATGCTTGCAACGGCTGCTGGATACGGAGTGTCTTGTCCCATGCCTCTGCCTGCTGCCAGTGCCGCCTGCAGCAGTTGAAAGCAAAAAGTGGGACTCACCTGCCGCCCCTTGCACTGCGGAAGACGGCAAAATGTAGAGAACAGCCACCGTCCCTTTGGGAAAGAGCCAGGAGGTGTTTCAATAGCAGTTCAAGCCAGGTCTTACTTAGATCACATCCTGGCATGTTTTGGAAGGGGGAAGGCACAGCTGCTATTGCTGGTGCTGGGGTTGGCAAGTTCTGCAGGATTTTTTAATATCTCCCTTCCAAAACATATGGATGACAGGGGAGTCCCGCTTTTCACTTTTGGCACACTCACCACTCGCAACTGGCACGAGCGACTTATGGGGGCTCTTCATCCTCCTGACAGCACTGCTTCGGCTGCCCTGCTGGGCTGCTCCTGCTTGACAGGGGAGGGGGGAGGCCCAGATCTATGGAGCACTCCTCTGCCACCGGCCTGCCAGGGCCCCTTCCTCAGCAGCTGCCAGTGTAACCATGCCACTTTCCCTGCCACTGCATTCAGGCTGCTGAGCACTGTCCTGCACATCTACTCTGCTGCAATTCTTTTCGTTGCATTAAAAATTACTAACACACTAAACCAGGGGTCTGCAACCTTAAACACCCAAAGAGCCATTTGGATCTGTTTCCCACAGGAAAAAAACCACTGGGTGCCACAAAACCTGGGTGGGCGTGGCCAACTCCATGTCACTCATTCCCCCAGTCTCATGACCCTTTAGCCATGCCTACCCAGCAGGTCATTAGGGCAGACAACCAGTTATTATAAACAACCCCCGGGGAACAACAAATCCCCCTGCCCCCTCCCTTTATCTTCCCCTCTCTCCTCCCCCTCTGTATCTCTCTCTCTCCCCCCACCCTGTACCTCTCTCCCTCCCTCTCTCACTCTGTATCTCTCTCTCCCCCCCATCTTCCCTCTCTCCCCTCTCTGTATCTCTCTCCCCCCTCTGTATCTGTCTTTTTCTCTCTCCATCCATCTCTCCCCTCTCTATGTCTCTCTCCCCCATCTCCCCCCTCTTTGTATCTCTCCTCTCCGCCCTTCTTCCTCTGTATCTCTCCCGCCCTCTCCCCTCTCTGTATCTAGTCTCTCTCCTCCTCTCCTCTCTATCTCCCCTCTCTGTATCTCTCTCCCCCTCTATCTGTGTCTGTCTCTCTATCTCTCCCTATCTTTCCCTCCCTTTCCCTCTCTCTCTGTATCTGTCTCTCTATGTCCTTCTGTCTGTCTGTGTGTGTGTATATCTGTGTGTGCGAGCATGTTCGCACCCAGCAAGTTCTCCTTGGAGCTCTTCGCTACTCCTTTTTGTTCTTCTTGGCAACTTGCATCCTCCTCCACCTCCTCTCGCAACACCCTGGCTGGCTGTGGCGGGGCTGGGAGCATGCGCACGAGCGGGAAGAGCCACCTCAAGCGGCTGGGCCTCATCATGAGGTAAAATTTCTGGAATATCCATGGATTTCAGCTTTCCCTCCATTTTGGAACTTTTTTTCTTTTTTCTTTTCCTTCACAGTCTTTCTGCAGGCACAAAAGACGGGGTCACCCAGGGTGTTCATCCGAAGAGGCTGGAGGGGTCTCTGCCTTTTCTGCTTCCCCAATTTGCTGCGAGGCTGAGGAAATAATTTGGGAAGGGCATCTGTATGTATTGAATTAAAGAAATAGAAAACAATAATTTTCCTCATTGTGGCTTCCCTTCCTGTGTCCCATCTTTCTCTGCTTCAGGCTAGCAAGACCCAAGCTGTGTTTCCCAGAGAGCCTCCTGGTTCTTCTCTTCTGACAGGATTTGGACCCTTTTGAAGCCTCCACAGACGGTTCCTGGACAGGAAGGAGAGGAAGATGGTGGAATTGCTGCCTCTGGAGACCAAAAAGCTTTTCTTGTGCAGGGAGGCATTGAGAGGGGCCTTTTCTCCTACTCCCATGCCCATCATCCCTGCCCTTCCCTCAGATGCGCTCCTCTTTCCCGCCCTTTTCAGGGAATCCTGTAAATTTATCGAAAATCCACTAGAGGGCGCATTCTGCCAAGAGAAGAGAACACGAGGCGCTTTCCCATTGGGCCACTGGAGGGCGAAAGACACGGCTGCCTTTGTAGAGGAGGCTTGGAAGGAAATGACGTCACACAACCTTGCTGCTCTAGGAGGCCGCACTTGTTTTCCTTAATCCCTGGGGCTCCGCAGGAGGCGGAGGACCTGCGGGAGAGTCTGGCGGGGGGAGATCAAGACGTTCCCCTGGTAAGTTGGGGGCTCTTCCGTGGGAAAAGGGAGGCGGAGGAAGGGAGAGACCCTCGCCCGGCCCTCCTCCGGCTTCAACTCCGGGTCCCATGCTCCCCAGCCTCCCCGTGTCCAGGGAGAGCCCGAGTGGGGGGAGAGGCGGGTCGGCCTTGCAGAGACCCAGCAGGAAGGGAGAGAAGCCTGGCGAGGAGGCAGGATTCGCACCAGGCTCCCTGTCTCCGGAGGGGGAGAGAAGTGGGGCGGCCTCTCCAGCTGCCTCCTTCCAGGCCCTGCGCTGGGCTGAGCCTCTTGGGGCTCCGGGGAGGTTGTGTAAATGTTGTTCAGTGGCTGAATTCAATTTCTAATTCTTGGTATTTATTTTTCTTTCCATCTCAGATACACAAAGTCGAAACCATTTGAAATCCTTGCAAACCAAAATTTTCTCTGGCTGGGAAAAAAAAGAGCGGAATCCCTTGGAGGGCTCAGTTGTGGAGCACCAGAAATGGTCCCGTGAAGGAAAAGGCATCTGGAGACCCACCAGAGTCCTTGGAGCCATTTGGAGGTGCTCTGCAGGACAGAGAAAGGATGGAGACACAACCTTTTGGAAAGGAGGGAGCCGGAAAAGGCCCTTCAGCTGCTCAGCCTGGGAATGGGGGGAAGCTCTGGACAAGGACTGGGCAGCAGATCCTGGAGGAGGAAACCATCCTCCCTTCAGAAGTTCAGCCCTGGAACTTCATCCAATACCAGGAGGCTGAGGGTCCCCGAGGAATTTGCAGCCAACTCCATGACTTTTGTAGGCGATGGCTGAGACCAGAAAAGCACACCAAAGCCCAGATGCTGGACCTGGTGGTTCTGGAGCACCTCCTGTTTCTTCTGCCCCCAGAGATGGAGGGCTGGGTGCGGGAATGTGGAGCAGAGACCAGCTCCCAGGCAGTGGCCCTGGCTGAAGGATTCCTTCTGAGCCAGGTGGAGGAGCAGAAGGAGCAGGTGGAGTTGCAGGTGAGACACTTTAGGGAGCTCAAAAGGAAATAAAGAATGTGTTTGAATACTTCACCCCTCCCTCCCAAGCTTCTCTGACATTCATAATATGTCCCACCAATTCTTATAGTATATTGTTCCACTGTTTTCTCACTCAGTGTCACTGATGGATATTGGGGACTTTGAGGTTGCATTCCGAATATAAGAATGCACTTCATGTCATGTGATGTACATTAATTCTGCTTCTTTTTTCCTTCCTCCTATTTGAAGTGCTGCACTATGGAGATCAGAGATCCTGAGGGAAAGAAGAATCCATCAAATCCCCCTCAGAAGCTATTTTTCAGGGGGATCCCTTGGGACAATCAAAGTCAGGACACTTCAGGAGGTAATCGAAGATCCTCTGATTTCCCAGAGAGATCCCATCTGTCTTACCTTCTTCTCTTCTGTAGTATACCTCCTCTTATTTTGTTAAATATGCATTTTGAAATTATTCCTTACAGAGAAACAAAGCATGAAGTTTTCGGGTTTTTACGATGCAGCTCAAACTGTGATTGAACCTCCAAATCAAGTAAGAAAGGGAAAAGTTATTAGATTTCTATTCTCCTTTCCTTCAGGAAATGAAGCGGGTATGCAGAGTTCGCTCTCCTTCTATTTCCCTTCCTTGTTTGGACTGGATTCTTTTTATGTTCCTGTGCAACATGGACACCATAATAGCAGGTTCAAGTTACTTTCAACCAACATAGCTTCCTCTGTAGACTATGAGTTTACAAGAAGTAATTTTTTAAAAGTGGTTCAAGAGGTAGAAATAAACGTATCACAGTGGTAGTAACTGCTAGAGACCCATTCTTTTTGCAATTGTTTGACTTGGAGTTGTGCAAGGCTAATGAAAAATAACTAATTACTCATATTGCCACTTTACCATTTTAAAAAAGCCTTATTTATGACCAGTTATTCAAAAAATAAGCAAATCATATTAAAAAATAAAGCAGAATTTTAAAATCCAAAGAGAATGGCCACACAGAGCATGCAATCACAGTACTTTGGGCTACAAAATAATTTCCAATCCTCTGATTTGTGCCTGGATTAGGAGATCAAACATTCCCACTTTGCAAAGGTTTAGAAATGGCCTTCGCAGAGAATTTTCTCTTCTTTGGTTTTCCCATTCAACTAATAGCTCAGATTACTCGATCAATAAATGATATATAAGTTGATCCAGAAGTGGGATTACTTTACTGAAAGGCATTGAAAGGTCTGCAGAATCAATCAGCTTGATAAAAGTTGCCCCAAATATTTCTTCAGTCAAACAAATTTTGAGAATTGTCCATATTAAGTTTCGGTTTTTTGTTTTTTTTTTTAAATTTGATTTATATGCCACCCTTCTCCGGAGACTCAGGGCGGCTTACAATGCGCTAAGCAACAGCCCTCATACTTTTGTATATTTATACAAAGTCAGCTTATTGCCCCCACAACTGGGTCCTCAATTTACCTACCTTAGAAAGGATGGAAGGCTGAGTCAACCTTGAGCCTGGTGAGATTTGAACCTGCAGTAATTGCAGGCAGCTGGTGTTAATAACAGGGTGCTTTAGATCACTGTACTTCCAAGGCTCAAGACTTGTGTGACTCACAGCCATTTAACTTGGTGCAAATCTTTGCTTTGGGAATTTGGGAACAATGGAGCAGAATTGGTAGAGATCTTGGAGATCTCCTAGTCCAAACCCCTTCTCAGACAGGAAGCCCTTTGCTTCTTGTCCTGCTCTCAAGTACTTTGGAGAATAAATTGGCCTCCTCTTCTTTGTGGCAGCCCCTTAGATATTGCCACACTGCTACCATCTCACCCCTCGTTCTTCTTTTCATTGAACTAGATATACCCAATTCCAGCAACTGTTTTTTATATGTTTTAGCCTCCAGGACCCTAATCATTTTGGTTGCTCTTTCTAGAGTCTCAAGATCTTTTTTACATCGTGGTAATACTGGATGCCAAGTGCTGTCTTACCAAAGCATTATACACCGTTGATTTTCATTTTGTTAGATGAGGCCCAACCTGTCGATACTTCTATATTTCGAGCTTATCTTCTGGAGTATTGTTATTCCTGTCAATTTAGTCTTGTCTTCAAATTTGAGGACTTCCCCTTCTATTCTCTTGTCTAAATCATTGATTAAGATGATCAGATACTGCAAATCCTCCTGTTCTATTCTTTTTTCCGTGTTCAGGAGAGTCTTGTGTCCTTCGAGGAGGTGGCTGTGTATTTCTCTGAGGAGGAATGGTCTCAGCTGGATCCTGACCAAAAAGCGCTGCATTCGGAAGTCATGCTTGAAAACCATAGGAACATGGTCTCTCTGGGTAAGAGTTCTCTAGTCCCCAGTCAGAGAACTCAAGAAGACAGATTATATTTAGTTTTTTTATTTTAAAAAATCATTAATCCAATATTATTTCCTTGGAGGGAAAAGGAAACAAACTGGTCTTCTCGTACTCCAAGAAAGGAAAGAGGTCAATGTCTCTTTGTTTAAATTCTTTCTTTGAATGAGGTGTGCCCTTATGTGTCCTCTGGAGGTCATGTGAGAGGGATTCTCTCAATTCAAGAATGAAGGCCTCATGCAATGTGACTCAGTGTATCCTAGGGTATAGGGAATCCCTGAGTTACCACAGTTCACTTAGCGGACATTATGATTTACCCCTCTCAGTACTTTAGACCCAGTCCTGAAATTACGAACGTTGCACCACTATAGCTGTCCATAGTTACGAATGACAATAGAGGTGCTGCAACATTCGCCCTACTTATTCCCCCACCCCACCTTGCCAAGACTTAGCCTGCGACAATGTAGCGAGCCATCGGTTCCTTTGCCTGCTTTGGTACATTTGCAAAAAATATAGGGCTAAAGTGGTGAGAAACCTTGCACTACTGATCTTGTGTGATCTCGTACTATAGTACATTAGGCCTCTGTTCTCTGCTAACTGAGGCCTGCACAAGATCCGGGGCAAAAGGCTTTGCAAACATTTTCAATGTCAAAGTCATTTTCAAAGACTTTTCCCCCCGATCACCACCACATGGATTCGTAACTGACAAACCAACCACACTCAATGTGTAGTTGTCAATGGAACTTCATTTACATGGAGGGAAGTATGCAATGGGATAGCCCAAGTCTCTGTTTTAGGCCCAGTACTCTTAATCAGAGGTAGTATTCAGCCAGTTCGCACCGGTTTGCCAGAACCGGTGGTGGCCATTTCCTGGAGGTCAGAATACTGGTAGCGATGGCCGACTGGCCACGCCCCTGAACTGGTCCCCCTGTCGCTGGTTGCTCACCCCGGCCGACGCTCGGCCCGCCTCATCTGCGCAACTCTGACGGCTTTGGGAGACTCTAGCCCGGGTGGGGGCTGGCAAGCTTTTCAGTCCATCTGCTGATAGGAGCAGCTGACCCAGGTGAGCGGTGTCCACCGGGGAGGGGTGGCAGGGAATGGGGCCGCCAGGCCGACCACGACTCCCATGGGCCTCAGCAGGGGAGCGCAGAGTGCTGGGGCTGCTTCCGAGGAGGCGGCTGGGGCGGAAAGCCTCTTCCTCCTCTGGGCACAGAGTGGCTTTGTGGCCAGGCAGTCTCGGGGATGTCGGGGCGTCCCGGAAGGCCTTTCCGCACCTGCTGGTGGTGCTTCATGTTGCTGCGAAGCTTGCCGGGCTGCCCCCCCCCCACTGGGCTAGCATTTCCCGAAGCCGTCTGGCCCCCCTCCCCCACTTGGAGCTCCAAGTGGCAGGCTGTGGCAGGGTGAGCTCTCGCACTTTTTCCAGTGGCGGGAAAATGTTCTGAGGGGGAATCCTCACTCACCTTTCACCCTCTGCCTGGAGCTCACTGCCACCGAACTTTCTTTCGCAAAGAACCCTTGCAAGCCAATGAGACTTTTGAGCAGTGAAATAGCCTTTCTTGAGTCTCCCAACCTTTCCAGTCTCAGCGCGAAGAGCGTTTACAAGCCAAGATTATTTCTTAACTCAAAACTGACTTTGAGTGGGATTTGCATATATATCTACAGGTGAAACTCAAAAAATTAGAATATTGTGCAAAAGTTCATTTATTTCAGTAATGCAATTTAAAAGGTGAAACCAATATATGAGATAGACTCATTACATGCAAAGCGAGATAGTTCAAGCGTTGATTTGTCATACTTTTGATGATTATGGCTTACAGCTCATGAAAACCTCAAATTCACAATCTCAGAAAATTAGAATATTGTGAAAAGGTTCAATATTCTAGGCTCAAAGTGTCCCACTCTAATCAGCTAATTAAGCCATAACACCTGCAAAGGGTTCCTGAGCCTTTAAATGGTCTCAGTCTGGTTCAGTAGGAATCACAATCATGGGAAAGACTGCTGACCTGACAGTTGTGCAGAAAACCATCATTGACACCCTCCATAAGGAGGGAAAGCCTCAAAAGGTAATTGCAAAAGAAGTTGGATGTTCCCAAAGTGCTGTATCAAAGCACATTAATAGAAAGTTATGTGGAAGGGAAAAGTGTGGAAGAAAAAGGTGCACAAGCAGCAGGAATGACCGCAGCCTGGAGAGGATTGTCAGGAAAAGGCCATTCAAAAATGTTGGGGACTTTCACAAGGAATGGACAGAGGCTGGAGTCAGTGCATCAAGAGCCACCACACACAGACGGATCCTGGACATGGGCTTCAAATGTCGTATTCTTCATCAAGCCACTCCTGAACAACAAACAACGTCAGAAGCGTCTTACCTGAGCTAAAGAAAAAAAGAACTGGTCTGTTGCTCAGTGGTCCAAAGTCCTTTTCTGATGAGAGCAACTTTTGCATCTCATTTGGAAACCAAGGACCCAGAGTCTGGAGGAAGAATGGAGAGATGCTTGAAGTCCAGTGTGAAGTTTCCACAGTCTCTGTTGATTTGGGGAGCCATGTCATCATCTGGTGTTGGTCCACTGTGCTTCATTAAGTCCAGAGTCAATGCAGACGTCTACCAGGAGATTTTGGAGCACTTCATGCTTCCTACCACAGATGAGCTTTATGGGGATGCTGACTTCATTTTCCAGCAGGACTTGGCACCTGCCCACACTGCCAAAAGTACCAAAACCTGGTTCAATGACCATGGGATTACTGTGCTTGATTGGCCAGCAAACTCGCCTGACCTGAACCCCATAGAGAATCTATGGGGCATTGCCAAGAGAAAGATGAGAGACATGAGATCGAACAATGCAGAAGAGCTGAAGGCCGCTAGTGAAGCATCCTGGTCTTCCATAACACCTCAGCAGTGTCACAGGCTGATAGCATCCATGCCACGCTGCATTGAGGCAGTAATTGATGCAAAAGGGGCCCAAACCAAGTACTGAGTACATATGCATGCTTATACTTTTCAGAGGTCCGATATTGTTCTATGTACAATCCTTGTTTTATTGATTTCATGTAATATTCTAATTTTCTGAGATTGTGAATTTGGGGTTTTCATGAGCTATAAGCCATAATCATCAAAATTATGACAAATCAAGGCTTGAACTATCTCGCTTTGCATGTAATGAGTCTATCTCATATATTAGTTTCACCTTTTAAGTTGCATTACTGAAATAAATATACTTTTGCACGATAATTCCAATTTTTCGAGTTTCACCTGTATATAGATAATTGTAAAGAAAGGTATTTTCTAGATATTTTCAAAGCTTTCATGACTCATGAATATAGAAATCATCATGTCTATATCATACCACTATAAGCATGCAAAATACAACATAATGGAATTTTGGAAACATTCAGAAGAATATTCGTTGACTTTCTACAGTTTGATCTTTTTCTCTAACCTTGTTATCGTTTTCATTTCTCTTTTCCTTTGAAGGTAATAATGGGCAGGAGAATCAAGATTCCTGTGAACTGTTCCAAGTGACCAATGCTAAAGATGAAACAGAGAAGTTTGGATTTCGAATGGAATTCGAAAGCCATGAGAGAAGCCAGTCAAATAATTGGAATCAGGATAACTCATATTCCACTGATGCTCCAATGCAAGACTTTCTTGCCCAACAAGACAAAATAAGGAAAAAATATATTGGGAAAAGTGTAAACGAAGACTATTTAACCCAAAACAAAGGAAAAGATGCTATAGGATACAATGGACAAAATTACAATGGGACATTCATTTATTCTCTTGGAAATAACTTCTTTACATCTGAAAAAGTGATTCACACAAAAAAGGAGCCTTATAAATATTTGGAATCTGGAAAACATTTTAGAACAAGCTGGCAATTTACTTCCCACGAAAGGATTCACACTGGGGAGAAACTGTGTTCAGAATCCCCTGTAGCCTATGCAGCCCAGTCCCTCCAAGCAGCAGGAGAGAAACCCTATAAATGCATGGACTGTGGAAAGACCTTTGCTCAACGCAGGTATCTTGCTTCCCATAAGATGATCCACACAGGGGAGAAACCCTATAAATGCATGGAGTGTGGAAAGACCTTTGCTCATAGAAGTAATCTTATTTACCATAAGATTGTCCACACAGGGGAAAAGCCATTTAAATGCATGGAGTGTGGAAAGACGTTTGCTCATAGAAGTAATCTTATTTCCCATAAGATGATCAACACAGGGAAGAAACCATATAAATGCACGGAGTGTGGAAATACCTTTATTTGTAACAATGGACTTAGATGCCACAAAATGATCCACACTAGAGAGAAACCATATAAATGCATGGACTGTGGAAAGACCTTTGCTCAGAGCAATGAACTTACTTCTCATAAGAGAATCCACACAGGAGAGAAACCATATAAATGCATGGAGTGTGGAAAGACCTTTGCTCATAGAAGTAATCTTATTTCCCATAAGATGATCCACACAGGGACAAAGCCATTTAAATGCATGGACTGTGGAAAGACCTTTGCTCGACGCAGGTACCTTGCTTCCCATAAGATGATCCACACAGGGGAAAAGCCATTTAAATGCATGGAGTGTGGAAAGACCTTTGCTCAACGCAGTTATCTTGCTTCCCATAAAAAGATCCACTCAGAAGAGAAACCATTTAAATGCATGGAGTGTGGAAAGACCTTTGCTCAGAATAGTAATCTTACTTCTCATAAAACGATCCACGCTAAGGGTAAAGTATATAGCAATAGCAATTCCACTTTAGACTTCTCTACCACTCCACAAAGCTTTATAGCAGTCTTTGAGCAGTTTACAAAGTCAGCATATTGTCCGTAGGAAGCTGGGTCCTCATTTTACTGACCTGACAAAGATTAAAGACTGAATCAACAATTAGCCAGTCAGGACCAAACTCCTGGCTGTGGGCAATTAACTTGTAGTAGTGCATTCTAACCTCTGATCCACCATGTCTATAGATTTTTATGTGTACGGATATTGTGCCTTTCTGATCCAAATGATTCCAGATTCAATCCAACAAAGTGAAGTTTAATGTGGAGAAAAGTAAGATTTTACACCTGGGTGGGAAACAGATTACATGAAACCTAGTTCAAAAACAGTAACTGAGAGGGACCTTGGGAGTCTGAAGGAATGGTCATTTAAACATGAGTCACTTGTGTGCAGCAGCAGCCAAAAAATCTAATACAATCCTTGGTTTGTATAAACAGACCACACTTAGAATACTGCATCCAGATTTGGTCATTACATTACAAAAAAGATGCTGAGACTTTGCAAAGAAGAGCAGCTAAAATGATTAAAGGCCTGAAGACTAAAACAAGAACTGTTGCAGGATTTGGGTTTGGCTAGACAAGAGAAAAGGAAGATTAGGAGTGATGGCAGTATTCCAGTACTTGAGAGGAGGTACAAAGAGGAGGAGGTAAATTTATTTCCCAAAGCACCATAGGGCAGGACAAGAAATAATGCATATGAACTAATCGAGGAGAGAAGCAATCTGGAATTAACAATCTTCCTTACAGTGAGGACAATTAACCAGTGGAACAGCTTTCCTCCAGACATTGTGGGTGTTTCATCACTGGACGTTTTTAAGAAGAAACTGGATAAGGACTTCCGGTGGCACCGCATGCGCTGACAGACGCTCCTCTCGGACCGTCAGCCCCGCGATTTCGTTAAAACCGCCAAGACAACGCAAATCAGCACCGCAGGCGCTGACAGACGCTCCTCTCGGATACATTGTAAAAAAGTTAAAGCATTTTGGATTAAAATATGGTGGATTATCCAAAATATTCTTAAAAAGAAGATAAAGTTTACTCCACAATTGTTTTTGTTGGGTATAATTACAGATTGTACGGTTATAGAGACTAAATTGATTTTAAATGTAATAATTGCAGCTTGACTTTTGGTGGCGCAATATTGGAAGAAGGAAGATTTGCCTACTATTGAAGAATGGACATTAAAAGTAGCGAATTTGGCAGAAATGGCGAAGATTTCAGCATATTTGAAAGATCACTCACAAGAAAGATATATATCGGAATTGAGAAGATGGATTGATTATATTCAAAACAAATATCGGACTAAAAAGTATCAAACAGCTTATGAATGAACAGAAAAATTAAGAGTATTTATGTTTAGTTAAGTAAAAGGGGAGTTAAAGTGTGAAGGGAGGGATAGGAATCCTTAGTTTATTAGCTTAGTTTAGCATATGATTGTTAATTGTTATACCCTGTATTTTGTTCTGGGAAGTTCGGGGGGGTGGGGGGGGTAAGGAAGGGAGGGGGGAGGGGGAAATACTTGTAAAAAAATTTTTTCTTTTTCTTTTTCTTTTTGTAAAACACTTTAATAAAAAAAAAAGAAGAGACTGGATAAGTCACTTGTCTGAAATGGTATAGGATCTCCTCCTTGAGCAGGGGGCTGGACTAGAAGAGCTCCAAGTTCCCTTCCAGCTTGATTCTGATTCTGAATCCTCAATCCTTTCTTGTGATAACTGGGAAAGAAAACCATAAGGCCATAGGGACCTGATAAGTGGTCCTCAAACTTTTTAAATTCACGGTCCCTCTGTCTATTGGGTGGCTGGACTGGCTGGGTGGGCGTGACTAGGTGATCATGTTACTGGGTGGGTGTGGCCAATTTAACAGTCCATTAAACAATGCACACAAATTAAACTTTAATTTCTTTTGCTCCTGGGAGTGTTTTATTTGCTTTTGTTTGCATGTTGCTCTTTTGGTTGACTTTTCTTTTTACTACATTGTTTTTTCAGTTGTTTAGGAGTCTAGTGGTCGACTTAAGGAAACTCAGTTTTGCAGCAATTCTTCTCAGCCTCAAAGAGCTTACAATCAAGAAGTCTCTCTCTGTGTCTCTTGTCTCTCTCTCTCTCTCCCTCTCTGTCTATGTCTATATATCTCTCTCTCCCTGTCTATCTCTCTCTCTGTCTATCTTCTGGAGGTGGTGTGTGTGAAAAAGTGGCCTGTTTTTGGCCCTCCAGGGCATCTGCGTGCCATGTTTTTCATCTCCCCTGCCTCCAGAACGTCTCTGCAAGCCAAAAACAGGCTAAAATGGGCCGGTTTTTGGCCTAAAATGGGCCGGGTTTTGGCCTAAAATGGGCCGGGTTTTGGCCTCCTGGGGTATCTGCGCACCTCGTTTTTCTCTTCCCCTTCTGCAGAAGCATTCTGCAGGCTAAAAATGGCCCATTTTTTGGCCAAAAACAAGCTAAAACGGCCCCGTTTTTCACCTTCCCAGCCTCCAGATCATATGTGGAGACCAAAATTGTTGGCCTTACCTTCCAGTTCCAGCCCGCAGAGCTCACAAAGGTAAATCCTGCGCTTGGCCGAAGTGTGGGGGCCAATGGATGGTCGGGGCAGCCTTGTGGTCCTGTGTCGGCCGGATTAATGGGTTCAACGGTCTGCATGCAGCCCGCAGGCCATACTTTGAGGACCTTTGCCATAAGGAGAACGAGGTTGTTATTATTATTATTATTATTATTATTATTATTATTATTATTATTATTATTATTATTATTATTATTAATTTGATTTGTATGCCACCCTAAATTAGAAAATGCAACTCATGGGCTCTTCGTCCTAATTTTGTGCTGATCTTTCCTTGCTTTCCCTCATGTTGCCCATCTCTGAACTCACACAATCTTATCAATATCTTTTTAAACTCGGGTCTCCAGAACTGGTCACAGTGTTCCAAATGGGATCTGACTAAAGCCCTATGTAGTGGGTTAGGACCTCCTTTTCACTGATGGTGATATATCTGGTGAGGTATCCCAGAATTTTGTTTGCCTTCAGAGCTGCTGGGCCACACTTTGCTCATTTTGCAGGTATCATTTTTTTCAGTTCTGTGGAAACTGTTCACACAGTTGTGTGAAAAAAGTGCTGCTTGAACTCAGAATAGTTCTAGCATTCTGGAAATATGCATACCTTTGTGTCTCTTCCAAGCTTTGTCCATACATGTAGCATTAAAGCAAGTAATTTTATTAAGAGAAAGTGGTAGGGAAATATGGATGCATATTACTCTCTCTCTCCCCCTCTCTCCCTCTGTATATCTCCTCATTCTCTCAGAAAGCCCAGTGACCACTCCTTGGGGCTGTTCGCTACTCCTTTTCTTTGTTTCTGACAGGATTTGGACCCTTTTGAGGTCTCCTCCAATCTCTGCCCAGTCTTCAGGGCGGCTGTTCTTGAGGGAAGCGAGTTCAAATCCTCCAGAGAGATTTTTTCTCCATCTCCACAGAGGGTTCCTAAACAGGAAAGAGAGGAAGATGGAAAAAGTGCCGCCTCTGAAGTTGATGCCTTTCTCGGGCAGGGAGCCCTTGAGAGGGGCCTTTTCTCCTACTCCCAAACCCATCATCACTATCCTCTCCCTTCCCCTCAGACACGCTCCTCTTTCCCGCCCTTTCTACAATCCCGCCACTTTGCGCCAAATTCGCCAGGGGGCGCTCTCTGCTAAGACAAGTAAACTCCCGGTGCTTCCCCATTGGTCCACTGGAGGGCGAACGTCACAGCTGCCTTTCCAGAGGAGGCTGCGAAGGAACCCGCTTGACGCTCTAGGACGCCGCACTCGCTCTTCTTAACCCCTGGGGCTCCACAGGAGGCGGGGTGGCTGCAGGAGAGTCTGGCGGGGGGACATCCAGACATTCCCCGGGTGAGGTGGAAATTCTTCCCGGGCAAAGGGAGGTGGAGGAGGGAGAGACCCTCGCCCGGCCCTCCTCCGGCTTCCACCGCGGCTCCCATGCTCCCCAGCCGCCCTCTCCATGCTCAGCAGGAAAGGAGAGAAGCCGAGCGAGGAGGAGGCAGGATTCGCACCAGGCTCCCTGTCTCCGGAGGGGGAGAGAAGCAGGGCGGCCTCTCCAGCTGCCTCCTTCCCGGACCTGCGGGGGCGGGGGGGGGGATCTCGGTCCTGCGCTGGTATGAGCTGCTTTGGGCTCCGGGCAGGTTGGGTGAATGTTGTCCAATTGCTAAATTCCACTTTCTAATTCTTGGCGTTGATTTTTCTTTCCAGGTACAGAAACACGAAGCCATGTGAAATCTTTGCAAGCCAAAAGTTTCTCTTCAGAAAAAAAAGAGCGGGATCCCTTGCAGGGATCAGTCCTGCAGCACCAGAAATGGTCCCGTGAAGGAAAAGGCATCTGGAGACCCACCAGAGTCCTTGGAGCCATTGCAGTTGCTCTGCAGGACAGAGAAAGGATGGAGACACAACCTTTTGGAAAGGAGGGAAGCGGAAAAGGCCCTTCAGCTGCTCAGCCTGGGAATGGGGGGAAGCTCTGGAGAAGGACTGAGCAGAAGATCCTGGAGGAGGAAACCCTCCTCCCTTCAGAAGTTCATCCCTGGACCTCCATCCAATACCAGGAGGCTGAGGGTCCCCGAGGACTTTGCAGCCAACTCCATGACTTTTGTAGGCGATGGCTGAGACCAGAAAAGCACACCAAAGCCCAGATGCAGGACCTGGTGGTTCTGGAGCAGCTCCTGTTCCTTCTGCCCCCAGAGATGGAGGGCTGGGTGCGGGAGTGTGGAGCAGAGACCAGCTCCCAGGCAGTGTCCCTGGCTGAAGGATTCCTTCTGAGCCAGGTGGAGGAGCAGAAGGAGCAGGTGGAGTTGCAGGTGAGAAACTTTAATCTAGGGAGCTCAAGAGAGAATAAAGAATGTGTTTGAATACTTCACCCCTCCTTCCCAAACTTCTGACATTCATAATATGTCGTGATGTCCCACCAATTCTTGTAGGACATTGTTCCATTGTTTTCTCACTCAACCTCATTGATGGATATTGGGGGCTTTGAGGTTGTGTTCCGAATATAAGAATCTACTTTATGTCATGTAATGTACATTAATTCTGCTTCTTTTTTCCTTCCTCCTATTTGAAGTGCTGCACTGTGGAGATCACAGATCCTGAGAGAAAGACGAATCCATCAAATCCCCCTCAGGAGCTATTTTTCAGGAGGATCCCTTGGGAAGATCAAATTCAGGACACAGGAGGTAATCGAAGATCCTCTGATTACCCAGAGAGATCCCGTCTGTCTTACTTTATTCTCTTCTGTAGTATACCTTTTTTTATTTTATTAAATATACATTTTAAAATTATTTATTCCTTTCAGAGAAACAAAGAATGAAGTTTTCTGTTTTTTACGATGGAGCTCAAAGAGTGGTTGAACCTTCAAATCAAGTAAGAAAGAAAAAAGTTATTAGATTTGTATTCTCCTTTCCTTCAGGAAGTGAAGCGGGTGTGCAGAGTTCTCCCTCCTTCTATTTTCCCCGTTGTTTGGACTGGATTATTTTTGTTTTCCTGTACAGCATGGACAGCATAATAGCAGGTTCAAGTTGCTCTCAACCAGCATAGATTTCTCTGTAGACTCTTACTGAGACACAATGGTTTGTCATTTCTACCCTTAGATTCTGTTTAGGAAATGTTTTTTAAAGACCACTGGTTAACTAGTTCTCCGAGGTACTCTTCCAACTATGAGTTTACAAGAAGTAATTTTTTAACAAGTCCTTCAACTAATAGGAATAAATGTATCACTGTAGTAGTGACTGCTAGAGACGCATTCTTTTTGAAATTATTTGACTTGGAGTTTTGCAAGGCTAATGAAAAATAATTAAATACTCACATTGCCATATTGCCATTTTTAAAAAGCCTTGTTCATAATCAGTCGTTCAAAAAAATAAGCAAATCATATTTTAAAAAAAAACACAGAATTTTAAAATTGAAAGAGGATGGCCACATAGAGCATGTAATCGCAGTACATCGGGCTACAAAATAATTTCCAATCCTCTGATTTGTGCCCAGATTAGGAGATCAAACATTCCCACTTTTCAAGGCTGAAAAATGACCTTCGCACAGAATTTTCTTTTCTTTGTTTTCTCCCATTCAGCCAGTGGCTCAGACTACTAGATCAATAAATAATAGAGTGATAAATCAGTTGATCTAGAAATGGGATTCCTTTACTGAAAGGCACTGGAAGTTCTGTAGAATCAATCAATTTGATAAAACTTGCCCCAAATATTTCTTCAGTCAAACAAATTTTGAGAATTGTCCATTTTCTCACCTAAATTTAGGACTTGTGTGACGCACAGCCATTGAACCTAGTGCATATCTTTGCTTTGGGAATTTGGGAACAGAATAATAGAGTTGGTAGGGATCTTGGAGGTCTTCTAGTCCAACTCCCTGTTCAGACAGGAAGCCCTATAACATTTCAGATAAATGGCTCCAATTTTTTCTTAAACACCTCTAGTATTGGAGCATCCACAACTTCTGGAAGCAATTCATTCCACTGATTAATTGTTCTGACAGGAGATTTCTCTTTAGTTGCAGATTAGTTCTGTCCTTCATTAGTTTCCATCCATTGTTTCTTGTCCCGCCTTCAGGTGCTTTGGAGAATAGGTTGGACTCCTCTTCTTTGTGGCAGCCCCTTAGATCTTGCAACACTGCTATCATGTCACCCCTTCTTTCCATTAAACTAGACCTACCCAATTCAAGCAACTGTTCTTTATGTTTTTGCCTCCTGACCCTAATCATTTTGGTTGCTCTTCTCTGTATTGTTTCTAGAGTCACAAGATCTTTTTTACATATGGGAACCAAAACTGGATACAACAATCCAAGTCCTGGTCTTACAAAGGCATTATAATGTGGTACTAACCATGTGATCTTGATCCTATCCCTACCTTAATGCAGCCTATGACTGGGTTTTTTTTTGCAATTGAAGCATACTGCTGACTCATGTTTAATTGATTGTCCACTAGGACTCCAGGATCCCTGTTGCACCTATTCTATGCCCATGCATTTGGTAAATGTAGCACCTTACATTTCTTACTATTGAATTTCATTTTATTCAATGGAGCCCAATCTGTCGCTCCTTCTTATCTTCTGGCGTGTTGGTATTCCTGTCAATTTTGTCTTTTCTGCAAATTTGATGGGTTTCCCTTATATCCTCTTGTCTAAATCATTGATGAAGATGAACAGATCTTATGAATCCTGTTCTGTTCTTTTTTCCATGTTCAGGAGAGTCTTGTGTCCTTCGAGGAGGTGACTGTGTATTTCTCTGAGGAGGAATGGTCTCAGCTGGATTCTGACCAGAAAGCGCTGCATTCGGAAGTCATGCTTGAAAACCACAGGAACGTGGTCTCTCTGGGTAAGAGTTTTCTAGTCCCCAATCTGAGAATTCAAGAAGACAGATTATAGTTCGTTATATATTTAAAAAATCACTAATCAATGTCTCCTTGGAGGGAGAAGGAAAGGATCTGGCCTTCTCGTATTCGAAGGAAGGAAGGAAGTCAGTGTCTATTTGGTTATATGCTTTCTGTGCCATTTCTTATCTGTATTTTTCCATTTTTATTTGAAGGTATCTGTGGAGGCTGAAAAGAATGAGGTGTGCTTTTATGTGTCCTCTGGACGTCATGTGAGAGGAATGAGTTGTGATGTGTCCTCTGGAATCTCTAGAAATTACGTTAGAACATAACTTTCAAGATCAGGCCGTGGAAGAGCATGTAATGCGAGATCACGCGAGATCAGTAGCCTGAAATCTTGCACTACTAATCTTGCGTGATCTTGCACTAAAGTAGTTTACACCTCACTTCATAGAGAACAGAGGCCTAAACTTCGAAATCGTGCAAGATCAGTAGTGCAATACCTCAGGATAGTGAACTTGTGTGATCTCGCACTAATTCCTTCTTGGATGTTTCCCCTGATTATTTCTTAACTCAAAACCGGCTTTGAGTGAGATTTGTAGTTGGATCTTTTTCTCTAACCTTGTTATCATTTTCATTTCTCTTTTCCTTTGAAGCTAATAATGGGCAGGAGAATCAAGATTCCTCTGAACTGTTCCAAATGATCAATGCTAAAGATGGAACGGAGAACTTTGGAATTCGAATGGAACCAGAAACCCATGACAGAAACCAGTCAAATGATTGGAATCAGGAAAGCTCATCTTCCACTGATGCCCAACAAGAGAAAATAAGGAAAAAATGTATTGGGAAAAGTGTGAAAACTGTAAACGAATACTATTTAACCCGAAACAAAGGAGAAGATGCTATATGGCCAAATGGAAAAAATTACAATGGGACATTGATTCTTTCTCTTGGAAATAACTTCCTTACATCTCAAAAAGTGATTCTCACAAAAAAGGAGCCTTATAGATATTTGGAATCTGGAAAACATTTTAGAACAAGCAGTCAACTTACTTCCCATGAAAGGATTCACACTGGAGAGAAACGGTTTTCAGAAGCACCTGTAGCCCAGGCAGCAGAAGAGAAACCCTATAAATGCATGGAGTATGGAAAGACATTTGCTGTGAGCAATAGACTTACTATGCATAGAAAGATTCACACAGGGGAGAAGCTGTATAAATGCATGGAGTGTGGGAAAGCCTTTACTCGTAGCAGGGAACTTTCTAACCACAAACAGATCCACACAGGAGAGAAACCATATAAATGTATGGTGTGTGGAAAGACCTTTGCTCAGAGCAGTGGACTTACTATGCACAAAAAGATCCACACAGGGGAAAAGCCATTTAAATGCATGGAGTGTGGGAAAACCTTTACTCAAAAAGGTAATCTTATTTCCCATAAAATGATCCACACAGGGGTGAAGCCGTATAAATGCGTGGAGTGTGGAGAAACCTTTACTCAAAAAAGTAGTCTTATTTCCCATCAGGTGATCCACACAGGGGAGAAGCCGTATAAATGCATAGAGTGTGGAAAGACCTTTGCTCATAGACGTAATCTTATTTCCCATAAGGTGATCCACACAGGAGAGAAGCCGTACAAATGCATGGTGTGTGGAAAGACCTTTGGTCAAAATTGTTATCTTATTTCCCATAAGATGATCCACACAGGAGAGAAGCCGTACAAATGCATGGAGTGTGGAAAGACCTTTGCTCTGAGCAGTAGACTTACTATGCACAAAAAGATCCACACAGGGGAAAAGCCATTTAAATGCATGGAGTGTGGAAAGACCTTTGCTCAAAGAGGTCATCTTATTTCCCATAAGATGATCCACACAGGGGAAAAGCCTTTTAAATGCATGGAGTGTGGAAAGACCTTTGCTCAATGCAGTTATCTTGCTTCCCATAAAAAGATCCATTCAGAAGAGAAACCATTTAAATGCATGGAGTGTGGAAAGACGTTTACTAAGAGCAGTGCTCTTACTTCTCATAGCAGAATCCACACAGGGGAGAAGCCATACAAATGCATGGCGTGTGGAAAGACCTTTGCTCAGAGCAGTGGACTTAGTTGCCACAAAAAGATCCATACAGGGGAAAAACCATATAAATGCATGGAATGTGGAAAGACCTTTGCTCAGAATAGTAATCTTACTTCTCATAAAAGGATCCATGCTCGGGAGAAAGTATATATCAATAGCAATTCAACTTTAGACTTATATACTACTCCACAATGCTTCACAGCACTGTCTGAGCAGTTTACAAAGTCAGCATATTGTCGCCAGGAATCTGGATCCTCATTTTATCAACCTCAAAAGGATGAAAGGCTGACTCAACAATGAGCTGGTCAGGATTGAACTCCTGGCTGTGGGCAATTAGCTTGTAGTACTGCATTCTAACCTCTGATCCACCATGTCTATAGATTTTTATATGTATGCATATTGTGCCTTTCTGATCCAAATGAGACAAGGTTGAGTGCAACAAAGTGAAATTTAATGTGGAGAAAAGTAAGGTTTTACACCTGGGCAGGAAAAACAGATTACATGAAACCTGGCTCAAATACAGTAACTGTGAGAAGTACCTTTGAATCCTAATGGATGGTCAATTAAACATGAGTCACCTGTTTCTGTCGGGACAAGGAGTCTACTTCGTGGCTTGGGGAAACCTAGGTCAGAACAATGGAAAAAGTGCCACCTGTGCAGATGTTGAAGACTTTCTGTGACAGGGAGGCTCCTATTTCCTATGTTTTGCAGGGAATCCTGTAAATTTATGCAAAATCCACTAGGGGTCGCCTTCTGCCAAGAGAAGGGAACATCAGGCGATTCCCTATTGGCCCACTGGAGGGGGAAAGACAGGGCTGGCTTTTCAGAGGAGGCCAGGAGGAAATGACATCATAGAGCCTTGCCTCTCTAGAACCTTGCACTCGCATCCCTTAACCCGTGGGGCTCTGGCAGAAGCAGAGAGGCTGCCTTTATAATGCGTTAGTAAGATCACACTTGGGATACTGCATCCAGTTTTGGTCATTACATTACAAAAAAAGATGCAAAGAAGAGTAGCTAAGATGATTAAAGGCCTGAAGATTAAAATGAAGAGCTGTTGTAAGATTTGGGTTTGGCTAGTCTAGAGAAAAGAAGAATTAGGAGTGATAGCAGTATTCCAGTACTTGAGAGGTTGCCACAAAGAGGAGGAGGTCCATTTATTTTCCAAAGCACCGGAGGACAGGACAAAAAACAATGCATGTGAACTAATCGAGGAGAGAAGCAATCTAGAATTAATAATTTTCCTTACAGTTGTTCTGTCCCCGTCTCCACACACACACACACACAGCCAGCCGAGGGTTAAAGGAAGCACTTGGCATGCACACCGTTTGTTATCAGAAACTTGGCAGCAAGACGAGCACCGACTGCCAAGTGCTTTTACTTCAATAAATGGGAGTATCCCTTCACCATATAAACAGAAATACACACAGTTTGCAAATAGTCCAGTTCAAAACAAGAAACCTTCGACAGAGTTTGCAAATAGTCCAGTTCAAAACAAGAAACCTTCAGCAGATTTAAGTGTTGTTCAAAGTGACTAGCCAGAGTTAGTTTTTGTCCGTCACAGAGTCTTAAATGGCCACCACACTCTCTTATATAGTCTCTGGGGTGTGGTCCAGTGACTCAGCCTAATCCCTGGCACGCCTCCTCAACTGCTGCAACCGTTTATCACACCTTCGTTGGCGTGGATCCAGGAATGACAGATCGCCTCCATCGCTATCATCGGAGTCACCTGGCTCCTGGCTAATCTCCTCTTCCTCGGCCGGCACCTGAGGCACTGCCAGAGGGGAGGGGCCTGGAGAGGGAGGCCTGGCCGACTCCTCTCCTTCATGTTCGGAGCCTTCTCCCTCCGATAAGATAGGCTTGGAGGACGGAGCCACAACAACAGTGTGGACAGTTGACCAGTGAACAGCTTTCCTTCAGACATTGTGGGTGCTTCATCACGGCACGTTTTTAAGAAGAACTGGACAGTCACTCGTCAGAAATGCTATAGGAACTCCTGCTTGCGCAGGGCGCTGGACTAGAAGAGCTCCAAGTTCCCTTCCTGCTTGATTCTGATTCTGAATCCTCAATCCTTTCTTGTGCTTTTTTGCTAAGTTGGAGGTTTGAAAGCAAACATGAGCATCAGTGGAGATGAAGGTTATCGTTTGGCCTGAAAGTGATGTGTGGCTGCCAATATTTAAGTGGTGGAGATTCCCCAATCATTTCAAGAAGTTCCCTCTGATTAGTATTTCCACTAGAGCAGAGTTGCAGGCAGAAATGCAGAAGTCCTGAATCCCTTACTATTGTTTCAGCTTTTCTTACTTGCTTAATATTTACTTAATATTGTCAAAATCTGTGTTTTCACCCTGCCTCATACTATGTAATGCAAGTTATAAATGAGAGAAAACCATAAGGATAATGGGGTTATAATGATGGTGAATTAGAAAATGGAACTCATAAGCGCTTTCTCCTTATTTTGTGGTGATCTTTCTTTGCCTTCCCTCATGTTGCCCATCTCCAGCCTCACACAATCTTACCAATATCTTTTTTTAAGTGAGGTCTCCAGAACTGGACACGGTATTCAAATTGGGGACTGACTAAAGCCCTATGTAGGGGGTTAGGATCTCCTTTTTCTTGATTTTATTTATTTATTTATTCTGTGGAGAATCTATAAGATAAAAGATATAAGTATAAACATGATTATGATTACATGAAATGGATACAAATAAATGGGGACATTAGGACCTGGGACGGTAGGCATGCTGGTGCACTTATGCACACCCCTCACAGACCTCTTAGGAATGGGAGCGGTTTACCTTAAAGTTTGTGTCTATTCTGTGTGAGGGTATTGTGGTTGAAGCTGAAGTAGTCACTGAGAGGAAGGACATGGTAGCAGATAATTTTATGCACTACGCTTAGGTATATACATACATACATCTGGTGAGGCATCCCAAATTTTGTTTGCCTTCACAGCTGCCGGGCCACACGGTTTACTCGTTTTGCAGTTATCATTTTTTCAGTACCATGGTAAATTTGTTCACACAGTTATGTGAAAAAAGTGCTGCTTGAACTCAGAATAGTTCTAGCGTTCTGGAAATACGCATGCCTTTGTGTCTCTTCCGACCTTTGTCCATACATGGAGCATTGAAGCAAGTACTTTTATTAAGAGAAAACAGTGGTAGGGAAATTTAGATGCATATCCCCCAGCTAGCCAGTTTACTGACCAACCCAGGTAGTTTTTGATTTACAATAATTTATTAAGTAACCTTTTGAAATCACAATGGCACTGAATTAATGATGGTACTAACTGCCTTCCTTCATTTTTTCTTTCCTCCCTCCTTTTGTTCCTTCACCGCCTCCCCGTCCCTCCCTCCCTTGTCCCAAATTAGGGATACTCTAGAGAATCAGAATGAAAATCATTCCAGTCAGTGTACTAACATTGCAAATGATCAAACAAGCAGGGAGACCTTTTTAAAATCTTTGGGGTCAAACTAAGGTGAAATTAAGAACTACTTCAAAAAACTAGAATAGAATAGAATTCTTTATTGGCCAAGTGTGATTGGACACACAAGGAATTTGTCTTTGGTGCATAGACAGTGTACATAAAAAGACAAGATACACTCGCCGAGAATCACAAGGCGCAACACCCAGTGACAGTCATACAGTACAATAAGCAATCAAGTCATACTAGGAAACAATATCAATATAAATCGCAAGGATACAAGAAACAGTTATAGTCATGTAGTCACAAGTGAGAGGAGATGGGCAACAGGAACAATGAGAAAACCAATAGCAATGCAGCCTAATGTGAATAGTTTGACGGTGTTGTCAAAAACATGTCAACTACTTCAGTCCTGTCCGTCTATCTTTGCTTGCGGAATGTGCAGCATAGCTGGAGAATGAGGTTGGATGGCATGGCGAGATGCCATCCTTGCACCACCTCTTGCCTCACCTCATGGCAGCAACACCAGCGGAGGTATGGAGAAGGCATGCAATCCAGTCTGCCGGATGCGCGGCCACCTACCCATTCTCTCTTATTCGAAGCAGTGATGGGGCAGGCAGCTGCGTATGTGTCCAGGGGCTGCATCGTATGCCTCCCCCAAACCCCGTGCCTCTCCTTTGTATGTGGGTGATGGTGCTGCCCCGAGGAGTGGTGGGACAGGTGTGGTGCCATGCAGTGGTGGGTTTCAAAAATTTTTACTACCGGTTCTGTGAGTGTGGCTTGGTGCGCATGGCATGGCTTAGTAGGCGTGGCAGGGGAAGGATATAAAATCTCCATTCCCTCCCCACTCCAGGGGAAGGATGCTATAAAGACCCCATTTCCCTCCAATCACCTTGGACTCGGGAGGCAGAGAATAGATGGGGGCAGGGCCAGTCACAATTTTTACTACCAGTTCTCTGAAGTACTCAAAATTTCTGCTACCGGTTCTCCAGAACTGGTCAGAACCTGCTGAAACACACCTCTGATGCCATGCAACAGTCCCAGCCCATTTGGCCTCCGCTGTCAAATATGGTCCTCCAGCTCCGCTGCACACTCTGGAAGCAAAGACAGACAGTGGGGCAATGACGGGGAACAATGGGGCTTTTCATCCCTCACCTCAGAAGTAAGGGGAAAGGGAAGTAGGAAAAGGAGGTTGTGATTGTGGGAACCCGACGTGGAAGCAAGGCTCTGTTTCTTGCAGATTTGTCCCGACTCTCCCATCCCCTTTGAACCTGGTCTCTATTCTCGGAGGGAGATGGAAGGCTGGGCGGGGCTGAAGCAGAGGAGAAAGGGGGGTGGGAAGAAGCTGCACAGCAAAGGATGAGGGGCTCTTCAGCCTCTCCACAAGACATCCCAGAAAACCCGGTGTGCTGCTGGATATGGAGCGGCTAGTCCCATGCCTCTGCCACTGCCTGTGCCTCCTGCAGCAGTCCCAGTTGCTGCAATCAAGCAGTGAGCATGTAGAGAGCGAAAAGTGGGACTCGCCTGCCGACCCTTGCCCTGCGGAAGGTGGCGAAACATAGAGAACAGCTACCCTCCCTTTGGGAAAGAGCCAGGAGGCGTTTCAATAGCAGGTCAAGCTATTCAGATCACATCCTGGCCTATTTTGGAAGGGAGAAGGCGTAGCTGCTGTTGCCCGTGCTGGGGTTTGCAAGTTCTGCAGGATTTATTTTTATCTCCCTTCCAAAACATACGGATGACAGGGGAGTCCTGCTTTTCACTTTTGACACACTCACCAGTCCCAACAATTGGCACCAGCAACTCATGGGGGCTCTTTGTCCTTCTGACAGCACTGCTCTTGGGCACCCTGCAGGGCTTCTCCTGCTTGACCATTGGGTGGGGAGCAGAGGTGGGTTTCAGCAGGTTCTGACCAGTTCTGGAGAATCGGTAGTGGGAATTTTGAGTAGTTTGGAGAATCAGTAAATACACCTCTGACTGGCCGCGGCCCATCTATTCTATTTGGTTTCCCAGAGAGCCTCCTGGTCCTTCTCTTCTGACTGCCCAGCTCTTTCTGACAAGATTTAGAGGCCTCCTCAAAATCTCTGCCCAGCCTTCCAGGTGGCTGTTCTTGAGGGAAGCGAGTTCAAATCCTTCCGAGAGATTTTTGTCCATCTCCACAGGTGTCCTGGATAGAAAGGAGAGGGAGATGGATGCTGGCAGCAGAGTTGTACAGTGAGGTTGGGGATGAACATGGACCTGTCCTAGAGTCTGGGAAAGGCTTTGCATCAGAGGCAGAGAGGGGGCCAGGACTGTATGCCAGTTATCAGTTGCCATCGGAGTCAGACATCAGTGAGGCAGACAAACAGCTGGAGCCTTTCCCAGTATGTGCATGTGCAGAGTTGCCAGATGAAGGGGACAGCTAAAGAACAAGAGTCGATTTGGGAGTAAGGCCACAGGTGGACGATGAATGGCCCCTCCAGAAGGAATAAAAGAGGAGCGAAAGGGGAGTGGAGTGGAGTTTGCAGGAGACAATTAGTTTGCTTAATTGGTTCCTTGCCACGTTTTGAAGACATCGGCCTGACAGCTCTCCAAGCCAGATATGGCCTGTGACTGTAAATACTCCCTTTAAAGACTTTGATGGATGTAAAAGAGAGAAATTCACAGTAACTTAATAAAAAGGGGTTTCCGTCTGGAGAAGGAGTCTACTTCGTGGTTGGGGAAGTCTAGGTCAGAACAATGGAGGAAAGTGCCACCTCTGCAAATGTTGAAGACTTTCTCTGACAGGGAGGCTCCTATTTCCTGCGCTTTGCAGGGAACCCTGTAAAGCTACGCAAAAACCACTAGGGGTCGCCTTCTGCCAAGAGAAGGGAACATCAAGCGATTCCCAATTGGCCCACTGGAGGGCGAAAGACAGGGCTGGCTTTCCAGAGGAGGCCAGGAGGAAATGACATCATAGACCCTTGCCTCTCTAGGACTTTGAACTCGCTTCCATTAACCCCTGGGGATCCCCAGGAGGTGGAGAGGCTGCGGGAGAGTGGGGGGGGGAGGAGATCCAGACATTCCCCAGGTGAGTTGGGGGCTCCTCGTGCAAAGGGAGGCAGAGGAGGGAGAGACTCACACCCGGCCCCCCTCCGACTTCAACTCCAGAGCCCATGCTCCCCTGCTGCCCTCTCCATGCAGAGGGAAAGTGGGGATCCCAGGAAGGCTGGGGGATTTGGAGCTCCCTTCCCACCCGTGTCCAGGAAAGAGGCTGAGTGGGGGGAGGGGAAGGTGGGAAGGAGAGAAACCGGGCGAGGAGGAGGCAGGATTCGCACCAGGCTCCCCGAGGGCCCCATCCTCAACAGCCCAGCCTGTGTCTGGAAGGGGAGAGAAGCAGGGCGGCCTCTCCAGCTGCCTCCTTCCCGGCCCTTCTCGGCGGGAACTCGGCCCTGCGTTGGGATGAGCCGCTTGGGACTCCTGGAAGGTTGGGTGAAGGTTGTTCCGTGGCTGAATTCCACTTTCTAATTCTTAATATTTATTTTTCTTTTCATCTCAGGTACAGAAACTCGAAGACATTTGAGATCTTTGCAAGCCAAAATTTTCTTTTGGGCAAAAAAATAAAAATAAAAAGATCAGAATCCCTTGCAGGGATCAGTCCTGCAGCCCCAGAAATGGTCCCGTGAAGGAAAAGGCACCTGGAGACCTACCAGAGTCCTTGGAGCCATTTGGAGCTGCTCTGCAGGACAGAGAAAGGATGGAGACACCACCTTTTGGAAAGGAGGGAGCCGGAAAAGGCCCTTCACCTGCTCAGCCTGGAAAGGGGGGGAAGCTCTGGACAAGGACTGGGCAGGAGATCCTGGAGGAGGAAACTATCCACCCTTCAGAAGTTAAACCCTGGAACTTCATCCAATACCCGGAGGTTGAGGGTCCCCGTGGACTTTGCAGCCGACTCCATGACTTTTGTAGGCGATGGCTGAGACCAGAAAAGCACACCAAAGCCCAGATGTTGGACCTGGTTGTTCTGGAGCAGCTCCTCTTCCTTCTCCCCACAGAGATAGAGGGTTGGGTGCGGGAGTGTGGAGCAGAGACCAGCTCCCAGGCAGTGTCCCTGGCGGAAGGCTTCCTCCTGAGCCAGGTAGAGGAGCAGAAGGAGCAGGTGGAGTTGCAGGTGAGACGTTTAATCTAGGGAGCTCAAAAGAGAATAGAGAAGGTGTTTGAATGCTTCACCCCTCCTTCCCAAACTTCTCTGAAATTCATAATATGTGGCGATGTCCCACCAATTCTTATAGGACATTGTTCCATTGTTTTCTCACTCAACCTCACTGATGGATATTGGGGGCTTTGAGGTTGTGTTCCGAATATGAATCCACTTTACGTCATGTGATGTACATTAATTCTGCTTCTTTTTTCCTTCCTCCTATTTGAAGTGCTGCACTGTGGAGATCAGAGATCCTGAGAGAATGATGAATCCATCAAATCCCCCTCAGGAGGTATTTTTCAGGAGGATCCCTTGGGAAGATCAAAGTCAGGACACCTCAGGAGGTAATCGAAGATCCTCTGATTACCCATCTGCCTTCCCTTCTTCCCTTCTGTAGAATACTTCCTCTTATTTTGTTAAATATGCATTTTGAAATTATTTATTCCTTACAGAGAAACAAAGCATGAAGTTTTCTGGTTTTTATGATGGAGCTCAAACAGTGGTTGAACCGCCAAATCAAGTAAGAAAGGAAAAACGTTAGATTTGTATGATCCTTTCCTTCAGGAAGTGAAATGGGGGTGCGGAGTGCTCTCTCCTATTTCCCCCGTTGCTTGGACTAGATTATGTGTTCCTATGAGACATGAACAGCATAATATTATGAAAAATAACTAAATACTCACATTGCCACATTACCATTTTTAAAAGGACTTGTTCATAACCAGTAGTTTAAAAAAATTAGCTAATCATGTTAAAAAAAAACAACAGAATTTTAAAATTGAAAGAGGATGGCCACATAGAGCATGTAATCACAGTACTTTGGGCTACAAAATAATTTCCAATCCTCTGATTTCTGCCCAGATTAGGAGAGCAAACATTCCCGCTTTGCAAAGGCTGAGAAATGAACTTCACAGAGAATAATCCCTTTTTTGTTTTCTTCCATTCAACCAATGGCTCAGACTACTAGGTCAATAAATGATAGGAGGATAGATCAGTTGATCCAGAAGTGGGATTACTTTGCTGAAAGGCACTGAAAGTTCTGCAGAATGTATCAATTTGATAATACTTGCCCCAAATATTTATTCAATCGAATAAATTTTCCGAATTGTCCATTTTCTCCCTTAAATTAGGACTTGTATGAAGCACAGCCATTGAATTTAGTGCACATGTTTGCTTTGGGAATTTGGGAACAATGGAACCGAATACCAGAGTTGTTAGGGATCTTGGAGGTCTTCTAGTCCAACCCCCTACTCAGACAGGAAGCCCTATAACATTTCAGATAAATGGCTATCCAATTTCTTCATAAACACCTCTGTATTGGAGCATCCACAATTTCTGGAGGCAAGTCATTCCACTGATTAATTGTTCTCACTGTCAGGAAATTTCTCTTTAGTTGTAGTTTAGTTCTCTCCCTGATTTGTTTCCATCCATTACTTCTTTTTTTTTTGAATATTTTTTAAATTTTTTTTAAACAAAACAAAAAAAATCATAAAACACATTTTTCAAAACGAAGCTTTGCTCCAGTCAGGAATGAAAACAAATCATTAACAAATCTTATTTTCAATTAACACAACTCAATATTTTACGCCCTCTGAGAAGGCTCGCAATCTTGGCATCCTCCTTGATTCACGGCTGTCCTTGGTGGACCATCTATCGGCTGTGACAAGGGGGACCTTTGCACAGGTTCGCCTACTGCGCCAGTTGCGGCCCTTCTTAGACAGGGATGTCCTCCGTACAGTCACTCAAGCTCTCATTGTCTCTCGGTTGGATTACTGCAATGCCCTCTACATTGGGTTGCCCTTATGGTGCACCTGGAGGCTCCAGCTAGTCTACAATGCGGCCGCACGGGTTTTTACGGGAGGTTTCCATTACTCTTGTGCAACACCTCTCCTGCGCGACCTGCACTGGCTGCCGGTGGCCTTCCGGATCCGCTTCAAGGTGCTGGTATTGACCTATAAAGCTGTTGTGACTCCGAACCCCGAGCCCGTCTTATCGGAGGGAGAAGACTCTGAAGGTGAAGGAGAGGAGTTGGCCAGGCCTCCCTCTCCAGGACCCTCCTCTCTGGCAATGCCTCAGGTGTCTCCCGAGGGAGAAGAGATTGACCAGGAGCTAGGTATCTCCGAACAGTCACAGTCGGACAGTGACGGAGATAAGTCTTGGCTGGATCCACGCCAGCGTCGGAGAGACAAGCAGACGCAGCAGAAAAGGAGGCGTGCCAGAGATTAAGCTGAATCACTAGACCACACCCCACAGGGGATAAAAGGGGGTGTGATGGCCATTCAGGCTCTGTGACGGACAAAACTAAACAACTAGTGAGTCGCATTGTATCTCTGAAACTACGTTATCTGCCTGCTTTGGATTTAATACGGACTGGACTTGACAATTCTTTGACTTTGTGTATTTGTTTTGGTTTATCTGACAGCGGAGGAACACCTCCCTCTGTGAGTAGTTCTTGGCAAGCAGCTACTGGGTTGCTGCCAATCCTGTTATCGAAGGAATTTATTGTCTGCAAGTTTTATTTAACCCCTGGCTGACTGTTTGTGTGCGTGTGTGAGACAGGGACAGAACAAAAGCCCTACATGGCATGGGCCCGGGGTACTTGCAGGACCACCTCCTACCAGCCTCCCACTGCCCTGTGCATTCACATAGAGCTGCCCTCCTCCAGGTGCTGTCGACCAGACAGTGTCGGCTGGCGACTCCCAGGATGAGGGCGTTCTCTGTGGCTGAACCGACCCTTTGGAATTGGTTACCCACCGAGCTCTGGCTGGCTCCCGATCTCCGCACTTTCCACGCTGGCCTGAAGACATGGCTGTTCCAGCAGACTCCCTGATCATTCTACGAGGTTTTAAATTTGGGAATTTTAATTTTAGATTGGTTTTAGATTTTATTGTTATTGTGTTTTATTTATGTGAGCCGCCCCGAGTCCTTCGGGAGAAGGGCGGCATATAAATTTTAATAAAAATTAATTAATTAATTAATTAATTAATTAATTAAACAAATATTTCCCTCAAATCTATCTATATAACTATGCCATTATCCCCAAAAGCCCGTTACTTAAATCTTAAATCCTAACCAATTATCAATTCATGTTTTTCTTTCCTTTGCTTAGATGGATATTTTAACAATAAAAATCATACAATTATATTAAACAAATTAAAAATTCATTTATTATTCAATTATTATTAAACCTAATTTACACATTTTATCTTAACTATCACTCTCAACATACACCTCCTCTTTTAATTATCCCTCCTCTTTTTAGTATCTTTGATGTTAAACCAATCATTTCTATTTCTTGACTGTTAATCACAGCATGACCCTTTGTTTTAGCTATTGAATATAGCATATTTTTATTTTTGGCCATTACCCAGCAGGACCTTTGTTTGGCTGTTAAACACAGCATATTAATTTTGTTTTTTGGGCCATTACATGGCATCTTCAGGTTTGTTTGGCTGTTAAACACAGCATCTCTATTTTTGTTTTTTGGCCGTTACACGGCATATTAAGTTTCGGTTTTTTGTTTTTTTTTAAATTTGATTTATATGCCGCCCTTCTCCAGAGACTCAGGGCGGCTTACAATGTGCTCAGCAATAGCCTTCATCCTTTTGTATATTTATACAAAGTCAGCTTATTGCCCCCACAACTGGGTCCTCAATTTACTTACCTTAGAAAGGATGGAAGGCTGAGTCAACCTTGAGCCTTGGCGAGATTCGAACCTGCAGTAATTGCAGGCAGCTGGTCTTAATAACCAGCTTAATAACAGAGTGCCTTAGACCACTATACTATGCTGATACCCAGCATGATCATTTGTTTGGCTGTTCAATACAGCATATTATAGCTTTTTGGCTGTTAAAATACAGCATGTTCAAAGTTGGTTTAACAATCTCCACTTAAACCTTTCTTTGTTGTTTCCCTCCATCTGTACATTGCTTTTCATTTAATCATATTTTTCTTTGTCCTTTTTCATAACATAACATTTTAACCTTGAGACATGGTTCTTGCTTAAAACACATTTTTAAGTATATTTTTAAATTCCTTTTAACATTTTCAATTAATCATATTCACCCTTATTCTTTATCTTAACATTTTACCATTAAAGCATAGTTCTTGCATTAAACATATCATTACATGTATTAATTAATTTCATTTAACATTCTTAATTTCTATAAAAGCCTCCCTTTAATTTATTACACTCATCTTACTTTATTTTAGTTTTAATCACATTATCTTCATTTCCTCGTCTGCAAACATAAATTTCCTTCCATTTTTCAAGTTTTTGATTTTATTCTCCATAAGTCCAATTAAGTCTCTTTCATATTTTTATTCCGGATATAATGTATCAAATCTCTTTCTTTTAAGGCTGCGCTTAATCCTTCTTCTATTCCTGCGCCAACATTCAAATTATTATTATTCAACTATAGGAGTTTCATTGTAGATTCCTTTTCTTTTCACCAAAGTCCAGCTGCTTGCAGTCAGGAAAAAAAAAATCCTCCACAGTTCAACAATTTTTTTTTTCCCTGTAGGGCTCAAAGTTATCATAACAAAGGGAGGTTACAAAGTTCCTCTTTTACGCTAGATGGTGTCTCTCTACAATCCACATTTCCCATTAGTCATGCAAGACTCCATTTTATTTCTTATTATATAACCATCCACTTTATTTTCTTTTAGTTAAAAAGTATCAAATCTTCTTTTTTTTTTTCCTTTAGTCAAATTCAAATTTTTGATGTGTTTAATCTTTTTGCCATATCTCTAAATTAAGTCTCTTAGTTCTGTTCTAAAGCAGTTGTTTCTCGGGTCTTTGTTTTTTAAAGTTACAGTTTTAAAAAATTCCAAAGCCCCTTTGTTTCTTAGCCGCTGTTTTAGGCTAGGGGTCTTCTAGTTATTAATATAGCTCCAAACGTTGTTACAAGCCAGGGCTGTAATCACTCACCCAGCTTCAAAAGGCTCCGTTTTACTTCACTTTTCTTGCCTGGTTGTCCCAGCTTCGTGGCAGCTGACATGGCTGCCGCCCCCCGCCGCCGACTCACAGAGGGTTGCCTCTGACCTCCGAGGAACTTGCCTGTTCCTCTCGGTTTTCCGAGGTGCCCCTCTTCTTCCCCCGTCCCTGCAGGACAGGCTCGGTCCGCAGACCCATCGGCGGCGGTTCGGCACCACCCATTACTTCTTGTCCCGCCTTCAGGTGCTTTGGAGAATTGGTTGGCCTCCTCTTCTTTGTGGCAGCCCCTTAGATCTTGCAACACTGTATCATGTTACTCCTAGTCCTTCTTTTTATTAAACTAGATATACCTAATTCCAGCAACTGTTCTTTATATGTTTTAACTTCCAGGCATCTAATCATTTTGGTTGCTCTTCTCTGTACTCTTTCTAGAGTCTCAAGATCTTTTTCATTCTGTTAGCTGGGGCCCAATCTGTCAATCCTTCTATATCTTGAGTTTATCTTCTTGAGTGTTGGTGTCAGAGTTCCAGAAAAAGAGTTCCCTCTCTTCCAAGGAAAGACTCTGAAGCAAGCATTTTCAAAGTTCTATTTAGTAGAATAGATAAACTGGCACATCTGGGAAAACCCAAATCTGAGAGGTCCGGGTTTTCCCTCAGTAAATCAAAAAACCCCAAACCATCCCCTCAGTCCTCAGTCGATCACATGCTCCAATCAACCGCCATCCCATCTTGAGACATCACTCTGACCACTCCTCCAGATGCAGGATTGTCCTGACCTTGACCGACAGGAAGAATGCTATTATGTCTACAAACAACCCCTCTACTAAATCCCTCCTCCTACTTTCCCACACATGAGAAGGTGGCAACATGGAAGCTTCTGGCCTAATATGGCTTCCAAAGCTGACAGGCGCCCCACCCCCACCCCGCAGGAAAAAACGCACCCTGAAAAATAAAACACACAAGGTTGACACCTTGTACAGGATCCCTTAACCCCCTCTCCCCCCTCCAGGCGGACCTTTTGGTTTCTCAGGGAATTTATCATGAAATTGCTTTACTAGAGTATCAGCATTCACTTTTCACCCAAGTAGCTTCAGACAACGGGTACCCTTTCCAATGTACCAAATATTGTAACCAACCCCTGTATAGTCTAGAGTCAAGGATCTTCTTCACCTGATAATGAGTTTTCCCTTGTACTACCAAAGGAATGGGGGTAGCAGCTGGTAAGGGCCTTAAGTTAGATTCTCTTGCTGGTTTCAAATAAGCTACTGTAAAAAACTGGGTGCACTTTCCCTCATATGCGAGGAGGCTACATTGGACAGTCACTGGGTTAATCACTTTCACTATAGGGAAGGGACCTATGAATTTGGGTCCAAATCTCTTGCTAGGTAACCTCAATCTTAGGTATTTGGTTGACAAATACACCTTATCTCCTATTCGGAAAGGTGGTTGGAGAGACTGGCGTTTGTCAGCCTGGGCCTTATATTTTTCTGCTAATTCAGCTGAAGCTTACTTAGTATTCTCTCAACCCTTTTTTAATGAGATCATCCATTCTGTTAGGGACATGGAAGTGGGCGGCTCTCTAGGCAACTCAGGCATCGGTACAAAACCCATGCCCGTAGTTATCTGAAAAGGAGTCAACCCAGTACTGCCGTGTACTGCATTATTATAAGCCACTTCCGCGAATGGTAATAAGTCTGCCCAGTTTTCTTGTTGATGATTTACATAACATCTAATGTATTGTTCCACCACTGAGTTCAATTTTTCAGCCGATCTGTTAGTCGATGGGTGGAAAGCTGAGCTAAGCCCCTGGGATGACCCAATGGACTTGAGGAACTCTTTCCAGAACTTAGCAGTGAACTGGACCCCGCGATCTGATTCTCCTTGGAACCCCATGTAGTCTGTAGATATGCTTCATGAAAAGCTTTGCCAGCTTCTTGGCCGAGGGTAGTCTGTTGCAGACAGTGAAGTGTGCTTCTTTGGAGAATAAATCAATCACAGTCCTAATCACCTTGCCCCCCCCCCCCCGCTGTCAGGGAGTTCGACTATGAAGTCCACTGCAATCTCCTCCCAGGGTTTGGTGGGTTCAGCCATGGTCTGGATAAGCCCAGGGGGCTTCCCTGGTCTGGACTTCATGGTGGCGCAGGTGGCACAGCTTTTTACATTGTCTTCTACATCAGCTTTCATTCTTGGCCACCAGAATAGTCTCCTAGTCAAATGGAGGGTTTTTAAAAATCCAAAATGGCCCCCTAGTTGAGAATCATGACCCCTCCTTAGCACCAGACGTCGCATGCTGCTGGGCACATAAATCTTACTCCCCTTCCAAGCCAATCCCTCTCTTAGGGTTAGGTCCGTCTGGTTTTCCTTGAACCAGGAATCGGTTGAGAGCGCTCTGCTGTCAACTTGTCTTCAGGGAGGTTGGAACCATGGTGCGTTTGCGCTCTAGTGCCGTCTTGGGCTGCTGGCTGAGTTTCAGAAATCATGGCATGAACTATCTCTTCTCATCGGCTGTCAAACTGGCGTTTACGGGAGAAAGCATCAGTTAATAGGTTCCCCCCCACCCCGGAATGTATTTCAGGTTAAAGCATTTGAAATACTGAGCCAAGCGAACCTGCTTGGGGAAAAGCTTCCGTGGGGTCTTCAGCGCCTCGAGGTTTTTGTGGTCAGTCCACAGTTCAAAAGGCTCCTTAACCCCCTCTAGGAAGTGTCTCCAGGATAGGAGAGCACATCACACCGCAAAAGCCTCCTCTCTCATATCACCCATCTGCGCTCAGTGTCCGTTAGCTTTCTCGATATGTAAGCACATGGCATTAGTTCATTTTGGGTGTTCCTTTGCAGTAGAATAGCAGCCACCGCCACATCATTCGCGTCAGCCTGGACCACAAAGGGTTTATTTGGGTCAGGGTGCTGGAGGATCGGGTCCACTGCAAATAGGCATTTTAATTGTTCAAAGGATTTTTGACAATCCATTGTCCAAGCTAGGGGTTGGCTAGGTTTTGGCTTGGTGAGAGATGGACCGGTTTTTAGTAATTCCATCAAGGGGAAAGCAACCTCAACAAAGGAAGGGATGAATTGTCTGTAAAAATTTGCAAACCCCAGGAAGCTTTGAAGTTGCTTACGGGTTCATGGGGGTTGCCAGTCCAGCACTGCCTTCACCTTCCCTGGGTCCATTTCAATTCCTTGATTCGACACCCTGTATCCCAGGTAGTCCTCCTTATGGAACTCACATTTTGAGAGGTTTGCATAAAGTTTGGCCGCTAGGAGTTTTTTCAGCACTTGCCTGACTAATTTGACATGTTCTTCCATATTTTCGCTGAATATAAGAATGTCATCCAGGTAAACAAGGACCCCCTTCCACAGGTACTCATGCAGAACTTCATTGAACAGTTGCATGAAGACTGCGGGGGCCTCTTGGAGTCCCTAAGGCATAACCCGGAATTGGAAGCTGCCCAGGGGGCAGTTAAAAGCAGTCTTCCATTCGTCTCCCTCCTTTATGCGAACCCGGTAGTAGGCTTCCCTTAGATCTAACTTGTGAAAATCTTGCCTTTTGACATATGGTTCAGCAAGTCTTTCATTAGTGGTGGGGGTAGGTATTTTGTATTCAAATGAAGTTTACCCCCCTAAAGTCGACACACAACTTGACAATTCCTGTCAATTTTGTCTTCTGTGCAAATTTGATGAGTTCCCTTTCTATCCTCTTGTATAAATCATTGATGAAGATGAACAGATCTTGCGAATCCTCCTGTTCTGTTCTTTTTTCCATGTTCAGGAGAGCATTGTGTCCTTTGATGAGGTGGCTGTGTATTTCTCTGAGGAGGAATGGTCTCAGCTGGATCCTGACCAAAAAACGCTGCATTCGGAAGTCATGCTTGAAAATCATAGGAACGTAGTCATGCTGGGTAAGAGATTTCTACTCCACAATCAGAGAGTTCAAGAAGACAGATAATATTTAGTTTTTTATTTTAAAAATCACTAATCAGAGATCATCTTCTTGGAGGGAGAAGGAAAGGATCTTGCCTTCTGGTACTCCAAGGAAGGAAAGAGTCAGTGTCTCTTTGCTTAGATGTTTTCTGTGCCATTTCTTAGCTGAATTTTTCCATTTTTATTTGAATTTATCTGTGGAGGCCGAAAAGAATGAGGGGTGCTTTAATGTGTCCTCTGGCGGTCATGTCAGAGGAATGTGCTGTCATTTGCCCTCTGAAACCTCCCAAAATTGTGTGAGAACAGAACTTTCAAGCTCAGGCCATGGAAGAGCATTGGTTCCTTTACCTGCTTTGATGCATTTGTGCAGAAAATATAGGGCTAGAGGAGTAAGAGATCATTTGAGATCAGTAGCGCGAAATCTCGCAGTACTGATGTTATGTCATCTCGCGCTATAGTTCATTAGGCCTCTGTTCTCTGCTAACTGAGACCCGTACCAGATCTGGTCGAAGAGCCCTTGCAAGCTGATGAGACTTTGGGTCTCCCAATCTTTCCAGTCTCGGTGTGAAGAGCATTTACAAACCAACGGGAGGCTTCAAGCAAAGGATTTTGCCCCAAAGTCTCATCACTGGGATCGAGGAACGGGCAAGTGGGGGTCTGGCACACCAGAGACATATTGCAGAGAAGCTGCTCCAAGGTACACCGGAGAAGGAGCTTCTTTCAAAATGGTCTCAGTTCTCATAGGTCTCTACTGAAATTAGCCCACCTCAATAAAACTTAAGTTTTCTCCTAATTTCTTCTTGGATGTTTCCCCTGATTATTCCTTAACTCAAAACTGGATAGATTTACATATCTATCTATCTATCTTTATATCGATCGATTGATCGATCGAAATAGATAGATAGATAGATAGATAGATAGATAGATAGATATGTAAAAAAAGATACTTTCTAGATATTTTCAAAGCTTTCATGACTCATGAATATAGAAATCATCATGTCTGTATCACAGCACTGTAGGGATGCAATATACAATTTAATGGAATTTTGGAAAAAAATCAGAACAACATTTGTTGACATTTTGCAGTTTGATCTTTTTCTCTAACCTTGTTATCATTTTTGTTTCTCTTTTCCTTTGAAGCTAATAATGGGCAGGAGAATCAAGATTCCTCTGAACTGTTCCAAGTGATCATTGTTAAAGATGAAATAGAGAACTTTGGAATTCGAGTGGAACTAGAAACCCATGAGAGAAACCAGTCAAATGATTGGAATCAGGAAAGCTCATCTTCCACTGTTGCTCCGATGCAAGACTTTCTTGCTCAACAAGAGAAAATAAGGAAAAAATATATTGGGGAAAGTGTAAACGAACACTATATAACACAGAACTACGGAAAAGATGCTATAAGAAGACAAAATTACAGTGGGACATTCATTAATTCTCTTGGAAATAACTTCCTTACATCTCAAAACATGTTTCACACAAAAAAGGATCCTTATAAATCTTTGGAATCTGAAAAACATTTTAGAACTAGCGGGCAACTTACTTCCCATGAAAAGATTCACACTGGGGAGAAACAGTATTCAGAAGCACATGTAGCCCACACAGCCCAGGTCCTCCAGGCAGCAGGAGAGAAACCCTATAAATGCACGGAGTGTGGAAAAACCTTTACCAAAAAAAGTAATCTTATTTCCCATCAGGTGATCCACACAGGGGAGAAACCATATAAATGCACGGAGTGTGGAAAGACCTTTGCTCAGCGCAGTTATCTTGCTTCCCATAAAAAGATCCACACAGGGGAGAAACCATTCAAATGCATGGAGTGTGGAAAGACCTTTGCTCAAAGTGGTCATCTTTTTTCCCATAAGATGATCCACACAGGGAAGAAACCATATAAATGCATGGAGTGTGGAAAGACCTGTTCTCGAAGAGGTCATCTTATTTCCCATATGAAGATCCACACAGGGGAGAAGCCGTATAAATGCACGGAGTGTGGAAAGACCTTTGCTCAACGAAGTTCTCTTACTTCCCATAAAAAGATCCACTTGAAAGAGAAACCATTTAAATGCATGGAGTGTGGAAAGACATTTACTAGGAGCACTGCTCTTACTTCTCATAAGAGGATCCACACGGGGGAGAAACCATTTGAATGCATGGAGTGTGGAAAGACCTTTTCTCAAAGAGGTACTCTTATTTCCCATCATATGATCCACATAGGGGAGAAATATAAATGCATGAAGTGTGGAGAAACCTTTAATAAAAAAAGTAGCCTTATTTTCCATCAGGTAATCCACACGGGGCAAAAGCCATTCAATTTCATGGAGAGTGGAAAGACAGTTGCTCAAAGTGGTCATCTTATTTCCCATAAGATGATCCACACAGGGGAGAAACGATTTAAATGCATGGAGTGTGGAAAGATGTTTACTAACACCAGTGCTCTTACTTCTCATAAGATGATCCACACAGGGGAGAAACCATTTGAATGCACGGTGTGTGGAAAGACCTTTGCTCAAAGAGGTAATCTTATGTCCCATCAGATGATCCACACAGGGGAGAAACCATTCGAATGCATGGTGTGTGGAAAGACCTTTGCTCAAAGAGGTAATCTTATTTCACATCAGATGATCCACACAGGGGAGAAACCATTCGAATGCATGGAGTGTGGAAAGAGGTTTACTAAGAGCTGTGGTCTTACTTCTCATAAGATGATCCACACAGGGGAGAAACCATTTGAATGCATGGAGTGTGGAAAGACCTTTGCTAAAAAAGGTAATCTTATTTCCCATCATATGATCCACATAGGGGAGAAATATAAATGCATCGAGTGTGGAAAAACCTTTAGTAAAAAAAGCAGTCTTATTTTCCATCAGGTAATTCACACAGGGGAAAAGCCATTTAAATGCATGGAGAGTGGAAAGACCTTTGCTCAAAGTGGTCATCTTATTACCCATTAGATGATCCACACAGGGGAGAAGCCATTTGCATGGAATGTGGAAAGACCTTTGCTCAGAATGGTAATCTTACTTCTCATAAAAGGATCCATGCTCAGGAGAAATTATATAGCAATAGCAATTCAACTTTATACTACTCCACAATGCTTCACAGCACTGTCTTAACAGTTTACAAAGTAAGCATATTGTCACCAGGAATCTGGATCCTCATTTTATCAACCTCAAAAGGATGAAAGGCTGACTCAACAATGAGCCGGTCAGGATCGAACTCCTGGCTGTGGGTAATTAGCTTCTGGTACTGCATTCTAACCTCTGACCCGCCATGTCTATAGATTTTTATGTGTATGCATATTGTCTTTCTGATCCAAATGAGACAAGTTTGAATCCCACAAAGTGAAATTTAATGTGGAGAAAAGTAAGGTTTTACACCTGGGCGGGAAAAACAGATTCCATGAAACCTGGCTCAAATACAGTAACTGTGAGAGGGACCTTGGAAATCCAAATGGATGGTCACTTGAATGTGAGTCATCTGTTTCTGTCCGGACAAGGAGTCTACTTCGTGGTTTGAGGAAGCCTAGGTCAGAACAATGGAAAAAGTACCACCTCTGCAGATGTTGAAGTTTTTCTCTGACAGGGAGGCTCCTATTTCCTTTTTTTTTTTTTTTTTGTTTGATTTATATGCCACCAAATTTGATTATTTGCACCAAATCCACCAAGGGGCGTTCTCCGCCAAAAGAAGGGAACATCAGGTGGTTCCCTATTGGCCCACTGGAGGGTGAAAGATCCAGACATGACACTTTATAAAGCCTTAGTAAGACCACACATGGGATACTGCATCCAGTTTTGGTCATTACATTATTAAAAAGATGTTCAGACTTTGGAAAAAGTACAAAGAAGAACAGCTAAGATGATTCAAGGGCTGAAGACTAAAACAGATAAAGAACTGTTGCAGGATTTGGGTTTGGCTAGTTTAGAGAAAAGAAGGATTAGGAGGGCCATGATAGCTGTATTCCAGTACTGTCACAAAGAGGAGGCGGTCCATTTATTTTCCAAAGAACCAGAGGGAAGGACAAGAAACTGCATGTGAACTAATCCAGGAGAGAAGCAACCTGGAATTAACAAGAATCTTCTTTACAGTGTGGACAATTGACCAGTGAACAGCTTTCCTTCAGACATTGTGGGTGCTTCATCACGACACGTTTTTAAGAAGAACTGGACAGTCATTTGTCAGAAATGCTATAGGAACTCCTGCTTGCGCAGGGCGCTGGACTAGAAGAGCTCCAAGTTCACTTCCAGCTTGATTCTGATTCTGAATCCTCAATCCTTTCTTGTGTTTTTTTGCTAAGTTGGAGGTTTGAAAGCAAAGATGAGCATCAGTGGAGATGAAGGTTATCGTTTGGCCTGAAAGTGATGTGTGGCTGCCAATATTTAAGTGGTGGAGATTCCCCAATCATTTCAAGAAGTTCCCTCTGATGAGTATTTCCACTAGAGCAGAGTTGCAGGCAGCAGTGCAGAAGTCCTGAATCCCCTACTATTGTTTCGGCTTTTCTTACTTGCTTAATATTTACTTAATATTGTTGAAATCTGTCTTTTCACCCTGCTTAATATTATGTAATACAAGTTATAAATGAGAGAAAACCATAAGGATAATGGAGTTATCCCTGGGACGGTAGGCACGGTGGTGCACTTATGCACGCCTCTTACAGACCTTGTAGGAATGGGAGCGGTTTACCTTAAGGTTTGTGTCTATTCTGTGTTCTGGTATTGTGGTTGAAGCTGAATTAGTCACTGAGAGGAAGGACATGGTAGCAGATAATTTTATGCACTACGCTTAGGTACATAACATACATACATCTGGTGAGGCATCCCAAATTTTGTTTGCCTTCACAGCTGCCGGGCCACACGGTTTACTCGTTTTGCAGTTATCATTTTTTCAGTACCATAGTAAATTTGTTCACACAATTCTGTGAAAAAAGTGCTGCTTAAATTAAGAATAGCTTTAGCATTCTGGAAATACGCATGCCTTTGTGTCTCTTCTGACCTTTGTCCATACATGGAGCATTGAAGCAAGTAGTTTTATTAAGAGAAAACAGTGATAGGGAAATGTGGATGCATATCCCCCAACTAGCCAGCTTACTGAGCAACCCAGGTAGTTCTTGATTTACAATCATTTATTAAGTAACCTTTGAAATCACAATGGCGCTGAATTAATGATGGTTCTAACTGCCTTCCTTCCTTTCTTCTTTCCTCCCTCCTTTTGTTCCTTCCCCCTCCAACCCTCCCTCCCTCCCTTGTCCCAAATTAGGGATACTCTAGAGCAGTGGTCCTCAACCTTCCTAATGCTGCGACCCTTTAATACAGTTCCTCTTGTTGTGGTGACCCCCAACCATAAAATTATTACTAAGACCATTGAAAATATGTTTTCAATGGTCTTAGGAGTCCCCTGTGCCCCCCAAAGGGGTCGCGACCCACAGGTTGAGAACCACTGCTCTAGAGAATCAGAATGAAAATCACTCCAGTCAGTGTACTAACATTGCAAATGAACAAACAAGCAGGGAGACCTTTGAAAATCTTAGGGGTCAAACTAAGGTGAAATTAAGAACTACTTCAAAAAAACTAGAATAGAATAGAATTCTTTATTGGCCAAGTGTGATTGGACACACAAGGAATTTGTCTTTGGTGCATACGCTCTCAGTGTACATAGAAAGACAAGATATACTCGCCGAGAATCACAAGGCGCAACACCCAGTGACAGTCATACGGTACAATAAGCAATCAAGTCATAGTAGAAAACAATATCAATATAAATCGCAAGGATACAAGAAACAAAGTTACAGTCATGTAGTCACAAGTGAGAGGAGATGGGCAACAGGAACGATGAGAAGACTAATAGCAATGCAGCCTAATGTGAATAGTTTGATGGTGTTGTCAAACAGTTGTCAACTACTTCAGTCCTGTCCGTCTATCTTTGCTTGCAGAGTGTGCAGCAGAGCTGGAGTATGAGGTTGGACGGCGTGGCGAGGTGCCATCCTTGCACCACCTCTTGCCTCACCTCATGGCAGAAACACCAGCAGAGGTTTGGAGTAGGCATGCGATCCAGCCCGTCGGATGCGCAGCCACCTGCCCATTCTCTCTGTATCTGGCCGAAGCAGTAATGGGGCAGGCAGCTGCATGATGCGTCCAGTGGCTGCATTGCATGCGTCCCCGACACCTCGTGCCTTTCCCTTTGTATGTGAGTGATGGTGCTGCCACAAGGAGTGGCGGGGCAGGGGTGATGCCATGCAGGGGTGGGTTTCAAAATTTTTTACTACCGGTTCTGTGAGTGTGGCTTGGTGGGCGTGGCATGGCTCGGTGGGTGTGGCAGGGGAAGGATACTGTAAAATCTCCATCCCCTCCCCACTCCAAGAGAAGGATACTGCAAAATCTCCATTCCCACCCCACTCCAGGGTAAGAATACTGTAAAATCGCCATTTCCTCCCAATCAGCTGGGACTCAGGAGGCAGAGAATAGATGGGAGCGGGGCCAGTCAGAATTTTTACTACCAGTTCTCTGAAGTACTCAAAATTTCTGCTACCGGTTCTCCAGAACTGGTCAGAACCTGCTGAAACCCACCTCTGGTGCCATGCAACAGTCCCAGCCCATTCGGCCTCTGCTGTCGAATCTGGTCCTCCAGCTCCGCTGCATACTCTGCAAGTAAGGACGGGGGGGGAGGGGGAAATGACGGGGAACAATGGGGCATCTGACGGCTGTGGCCAGGAGGACTTTCTATCAGGTTCGCCTGATCCGCCAGTTGCGTCCCTTTCTGGATCGGGACTCCTTATGCACGGTCACTCATGCCCTCGTCACTTCCTGCCTGGACAACTGTAATGCTCTCTACATGGGGCTCCCCTTGAGGAGCACCCGGAGGCTCCAACTAGTCCAGAATGCGGCTGCGCAGGTGGTTATGGGAGCGACATGGCGCTCCCATGTAACACCTCTCCTGCGCGAGCTGCACTGGCTCCCGGTGGTCTTCCGGGTGTGCTTCAAGGTATTGGTTACCACCTTTAGAACGCTCCATGGCTTAGGACCTGGGTACCTACAAGACCGCCTTCTGCCACCGATAGCCTCCCGCTGGCCAGTATGCTCCCACAGAGGGGGGCTCCTCAGGGTGCCATTGGTCAAACAGTGTCGACTGGCGGCCCCCAGGGGGAGAGCCTTCTCTGTGGGGGCACCTGCCTTTTGGAACGAGCTCCCCCCCCCCGAGATACGGAGGATGCCCTCAAGACTTTTTTATTCCAACAAGCTGGGCTGGCCTAACTCTTTTTAATTGCTTAATTTTAATTTGTTTTAAAAATGGGGTGTTTTAATTAGTATGGGCCAAATTTGTTTAATATGTTTTAAATTGTTTTTTAAATTTGATATTGTATGTGTTTTATTTTAGCTGTTCACTGTCCTGAGTCCTTTGGGAGAAGGGCGGTATATAAATCCAAATAAACAAACAAACTTTTCATCCCTCACCTCAGAAGTAAGGGGAAGGGGAAGGAGGAAAAAGAGAGCAGTTGTGGTTGTGTGAACCCAGCATGGAAGCAAGGCTCTGTTTCTTGCAGATTTGTCCTGACTCTCCCATCCTCTTTGAACCTGGTCTCTATCCTCAGAGGGAGATGGAGGGCTGGGCTGGGCTGAAGCAGAGGAGAAAAGGGAGGGGGCAGGAGAAGCTGCGCAGCAAAGGATGAGGGGCTCTCCAGCCTCTCTATAAGACCTGCTGTGAGAACCGGTGTGCAAATGTAAAAGCCTCTCCTTCCAAGTCAGCAGCAGCGCCTGAAGGAAAGAGTGCTGCAAGTCCGCGGGCTCTTCCACTCTGTTGTCTCCCTTTTCAGGAAGTGTTTGGATACCAGGTCAAGTCGGGTGTTATTCAGATCACATCCCACCTTGTCCCAAAACACGCCAGGATGTGAGGTGAATAAGACACGGCTTGACTTGCTGTTGAAACACTTCCTGGCTCTTTGCCAGAATGTGCTTACAGTGGCTGCTGGATATGGAGCGGCTGGTCCCATGCCTCTGCCTCTGCCTCCTGCAGCAGTCCCAGTTGCTGCAAGCAAGCAGCGAGCATGTCGAGAGCAAAAAGTGGGACTTGCCTGCCGCCCCTTGCCCCGCAGAAGGCGGCAAAATGTACAAAATAGCTACCCTCCCTTTGGGAAAGAACCAGGAGGAGTTTCAATAGCAGGTCAAGCTATTCAGATCACATCCCAGCCTGTTTTGGAAGGTAAAAGGTGTAACTGCTGTTTCCCGTGCTGGGGTTTGCAAGTTCTGGAGGATTTATTTTCATCTCCCTTTCAAAACATACGGATGATAAAGGAGTTCTGCTTTTCTCTTTCGACACCCTCACCACTCACAACAATTGGCATGAGTGACTCATGAGGGCTCTTTGTCCTCCTGATAGCACTGCTCTCGGCCACCCTGCTATGCTGCTCCTGCTTGACCAGGGGGCGCGGAGCAGAGGTGAGTTTCAGCAGGTTCTGACCAGTTCTGGAGAACCGGTAGTTGGAATTTTCAATAGTTTGGAGAACTGGTAAATACCACCTCTGACTGGCCCTGCCCCATCTATTCTCTGCCTCCCGAGTCCCAGCTGATCGGGAGGAAATGGGGATTTTGCAATAACCTTCCCCTGGAGTGGGGTGAGAATGGAGATTTTACAGTATCCTTCCCTTGCCATGTCCACCAAACTATGTCCACCAAGCCACACCTAAAGAAATAGTAGTAAAAAGATGTTGAAACCCACCACTGGTGGGGAGGCACACATTTACAACCTCTGGCGCTCTCCCCCACCCCCAGTCTGCCAGGGCCCCTTCCCCACGGCTACCAATGTGACCCCGCCACCTTGCCCGCCTCCATGTTCAAGCTGCTGAGTGCCATCCTGCGTGTCTACTCGGTGCTGCAATTCTCTTTGTTGCCTTAAAAATTGCTAACACAGTCAACTGTTTGGATGCCTGGGGGTGGCATATTCCGGCTCTTGCTGGGTTGAAGCTGTTTTTTCAAAAATTGCTTATTAAACGTTCTATTTGAAACTGTGTGAGGTAAATTTCCTACACAATCCCTATGTAAAAATGTTTCTTTTTTTCATCATAGATATCGGCCTGGCACCTCTTCAAGCCAGGTATGGTCTGTGACTGTAAATTCTCCCTTGAAAGACTTTGATGGATGTGAATGTGAGGAATTCACAGTAACTTAATAAAAGGGGGTTTCCGTCTGGAGAAGGAGTCTACTTCGGGGTTTGGGGAAACCTAGGTCAGAATAATGGAGAAAGTGCCACCTCTGCAAATGTTGAAGACTTTGTCTGACAGGGAGGCTCCTATTTCCTGCGCTTTGCAGGGAATCCTGTAAATTTACGCAAAATCCACTAGGGGTCGCCTTCTGCCAAGAGAAGGAAACATCAGGCGATTCCCAATTGGCCCACTGGAGGGCGAAAGACAGGGCTGGCGTTCCAGAGGAGGCCAGGAGGAAATGATATCATAGAGCCTTGCCTCTCTAGGACCTTACACTCGCTTCCCTTAACCCCTGGGGATCCACAGGAGGCGGAGAGGCTGCGGGAGGGTCTGGGTGGGGCGGAGATCCAGACGTTCCTCAAGTGAGTTGGGGGCTCTTCTCGTGCAAAGGGAGGAAGAGGAGGGAGAGACTCATGCCCGGCCCTCCTGCGGCTTCAACTCCGTGTCCCATGTTCCCCAGCCACCCTCTCCATGTAGGGGGAAAGCGGGGATCCCAGGAAGGCTGGGGGATCCAGAGCTCCATTCCCGCCCATGTCCAGGGAAGAGGTCGAGTGGGGGAGGGGAGGGTCGGCCTTGCGGAGGCCCAGCAGGAGAGGAGAGAAGCCGGGCGAGGAGGAGGCAGGATTCGCACCAGGCTCCCCGAGGGCCCCATCCTCTACAGCCCAGCCTGTGTCCGGAGAGCATTAGAAGCAGGGCGGCCTCCCTAGCTACCTCCTTCCCCGCCCTGCTGGGGGATGCCCTGCCCCAGGATGAGCCGCTTGGGGCTTCAGGCAGGTTGGGTGAAGGTTGTTCCGTGGCTGAATTCCACTTTCTAATTCTTGGTATTTATTTTTCTTTCCATCTCAGGTACAGAAACTCGAAGCCATTTAAGATCTTTGCAAGCCTAAATTTTCTTTTGGGGGAAAAAAAAAAGAGCAGAATAACTTGCAGGGATCAGTCCTGCAGCCCCAGAAATGGTCCCGTGAAGGAAAAGGCATCCGGAGAGTCCTTGGAGCCATTTGGAGTTGCTCTGCAGGACAGAGAAAGGATGGAGACACAACCTTTTGGAAAGGAAGGAACCAGAAAAGGCCCTTCAGCTGCTCAGCCTGGGAGCTGTGGGGAGACCTGGACAAGAACTGGGCAGAAGATCCTGGAAGAGGAAACTATCCGCCCTTCAGAAGTTCAGCCCTGGAACTTCATCCAATACCAGGAGGCTGAGGGTCCCCGTGGACTTTGCAGCAGAGTGTATGACTTTTGTAGGCGATGGCTGAGACCAGAAAAGCACACCAAAGCCCAGATGCTGGACCTGGTGGTTCTGGAGCAGCTCCTGGCTCTTCTGCCCCCAGAGATGGAGAGCTGGGTGCGGGAGTGTGGAGCAGAGACCAGCTCCCAGGCAGTGGCCCTGGCTGAAGGCTTCCTCCTGAGCCAGGTGGAGGAGCAGAAGGAGCAGGTCAACTTGCAGGTGAGGCATTTTAATCTAGGGAGCTCAAAAGAGAATAGAGAAGGTGTTTGAATACTTCACCCTCCTTCCCAAACTTCTCTGACATTCATAATATGTGGTGATGTCCCACCAATTCTTATAGGACATTGTTCCATTGTTTTCTCACTCAACCTCTCTGATGGATATTGGAGTCTTTGATGTTGTGTTCTGAATATAAGAATCTACTTTACGTCATGCGATGTACATTAATTCTGCTTCTTTTTTCCTTCCTCCTATTTGAAGTGCTGCACTGTGGAAATCAGAGATCCTGAGAGGAAGACAACTCCATCGAATCCCCCTCAGGAGCTATTTTTCAGGAGGATCCCTTGGGAAGATCATAGTGAGGACACATCAGGAGGTAATCTGTTTTACCTTCTTCTCTTCTGTAGAATACCTCCTCTTATTTTGTTAAATATGCATTTTGAAATTATTTATTCCTTACAGAGAAACAAAGCATGAAGTTTTCTGGTTTTTACGATGGAGCTCAAACAGTGGTTGAACTGCCAAATCAAGTAAGAAAGGAAAAACATTGTTAGATTTGTATTCTCCCTTCAGGAAGTGAAGTGGGTGTGCGGAGTGCTCTCTCCTATTTTCCTCGTTGCTTGGACTGGATTATGTGTTCCTATGCGACATGAACAGCATAATATTATGAAAAATAACTAAATACTCACATTGCCACATTACCATTTTTAAAAAGACTTGTTCATAACCAGTAGTTTAAAAAAAATATCTAATCATGTTAAAAATAAACACAGAATTTTAAAATTGAAAGAGGATGGCCACATAGAGCATGTAATTACAATACTTTGGGCTACAAAATAATTACCAATCCTCTGATTTGTGCCCAGATTAGGAGAGCAAACATTCCCGCTTTGCAAAGATTGAGAAATGAGCTTCACAGAGAATAATTCCTTCTTTGTTTTCTCCCATTCAGCCAATGGCTCAGACTACTAGGTCAATAAATGATAGGAGGATAGATCAGTTGATCCAGAAGTGGGATTACTTTGCTGAAAGGCACTGAAAGTTCTGCAGAATCTATCAATTTGATAATACTTGCCCCAAATATTTATTCAGGCAATAACTTTTCCGAATTGTCCATTTTCTCCCTTAAAATTAGGACTTGTATGAAGCACAGCCATTGAACTTAATGCACATGTTTGCTTTGGGAATTTGGGAACAATGGAATCAAATACCAGGGTTGTTAGGGATCTTGGAGGTCTTCTAGTCCAACCCCCTACTCAGACAGGAAGCCCTATAACATTTCAGATAAATATCCAATTTCTTCATCAACACCTCTGGTGTTGGAGCACCCACAATTTCTGGAGGTAAGTCATTCCACTAATTAATTGTTCTCTGTCAGGAAATTTCTCTTTAGTTGTAGGTTAGTTCTGTCCCTGATTTGTTTCCATCCACTACTACTTGTCCCGCCTTCAGGTGCTTTGGAGAATTGGTTGACCTCCTTGTCTTTGTGGCAGCCCCTTAGATCTTGCAACACTGCTATCATGTCACCCCTAGTTCTTCTTTTCATTAAACTAGACTGTCCTGTTCTTTTTTTCCATGTTCAGGAGAGTCTTGTGTCCTTCGATGAGGTGGCTGTGTATTTGTCTGAGGAGGAATGGTCTCAGCTGGATCCTGACCAAAAAGTGCTGCATTCAGAAGTCATGCTTGAAAATCATAGGAATGTAGTCATGCTGGGTAAGAGATTTCTACTCTACAATCAGAGAGTTCAAGAAGACAGATAATATTTAGTTTTTTATTTTAAAAATCACTAATCAGATATCATCTTCTTGGAGGGAGAAGGATTTGACCTTCTCGTACTCCAAGGAAGGAAAAAGTCAATGTCTCTTTGCTTAGATGCTTTCTGTGCCATTTCTTAGCTGTATTTTTCCATTTTTATTTGAACTTATCTGTGGAGGCCAAAAAGAATGAGGTATGCTTTTATGTGTCCTCTGGAGGTCATGTCAGAGGAATGTGTTGTCATTTGTCCTCGGAAACCTCCCAAAATTGTGTGAGAACAGAACTTTCAAGGTCAGGCCATGGAAGAGCATTCTCCCAATCCAATTCAAGAATGAAGGCCTTGAATGCCGAAGTTACCACAGTTGACAAGTTAGACTTTGGGTCTCCCAGTCTTGGCATGAAGAGCGTTTACAAGCCAACGGGAGCCTTCAAGCAAAGGATTTTGCCCCAAAATCTCATCACTGGCATCGAGGAACGGGCGAGTGGGGGTCTGGCACGCCAGAGACATATTGCAGAAAAGCTGCTCCAAGGTACACTGGAGAAGGAGCTTCTTTCAAAATGGTCTCAGTTCTCATAGGTCTCTGCTGAAATTAACCCAAATTTCTCCTTGGATGTTTCCCCTTATTATTCCTTAACACAAAACTGGCTTTGAGTGAGCATATCTATCTCTCTATCTATGTAAAGAGAGATAATTTCTAGATATTTTCAAAGCTTTCATGGCTCATGAATATAGAAATCATCATGTCTGTATCACAGCACTGTAGGGATGCAATATACAACTTAATGGAATTTTGGGAAAAAAATCAGAACATTTGTTGACATTTTGCAGTTTGATCTTTTTCTCTAACCTTGTTATCATTTTCGTTTCTCTTTTCATTTGAAGCTAATAATGGGCAGGAGAATCAAGATTCCTCTGAACTGTTCCAAGTGATCATTGTTAAAGATGAAATAGAGAACTTTGGAATTGAAATGGAACTAGAAACCCATGAGAGAAACCAGTCAAATGATTGGAATCAGGAAAGCTCATCTTCCACTGTTGCTCCGATGCAAGACTTTCTTGCCCAACAAGAGAAAATAAGGAAAAAATATATTGGAGAAAGTCTAAACGAACACAATTTAACCCAGAACAAAGGAGAAGATGCTATAAGAAGACACAATAGACAAAATTACAATGGGACATTCATTAATTCTCTTGGAAATAACTTCCTTATATCTCAAAACGTGTTTCACACAAAAAAGGATCCTTATAAATGTTTGGAATCTGGAAAACATTTTAGAACTAACGGGCAACTTACTTCCCATGAAATGATTCACACTGGGGAGAAACAGTATTCAGAAGCACATGTAGCCCACACAGCCCAGGTCCTCCAGGCAGCAGGAGAGAAACCCTATAAATGCACGGAGTGTGGGAAAACCTTTACTAAAAAAAGTACTCTTATTTCCCATCAGGTGATCCACACAGGGGAGAAACCATATAAATGCACGGAGTGTGGAAAGACCTTTGCTCAACGCAGTTATCTTGCTTCCCATAAAAAGTTCCACTTGGAAGAGAAACCATTTAAATGCATGGAGTGTGGAAAGATGTTTACTAAGACCAGTGCTCTTACTTCTCATATGATGATCCACACAGGGGAGAAACCATTTGAATGCAAGGAGTGTGGAAAGACATTTGCTCAAAGAGGTAATCTTATTTCCCATCAGATGATTCACACAGGGGAAAAGCCATTTAAATGCATGGATTGTGGAAAGACCTTTGTTCAAAGAGGTAATCTTATTTCCCATCATATGATCCACATAGGGGAGAAATATAAATGCATGGAGTGTGGAAAAACCTTTACTAAAAAAAGCAGTCTTATTTTCCATCAGGTAATCCACACAGGGGAAAAGCCATTTAAATGCATGGAGAGTGGAAAGACCTTTGCTCAAAGAGGTCATCTTATTTCCCATAAGATGATTCACACAGGGGAGAAGCCATTTAAATGCATGGAGTGTGGAAAGACCTTTGCTCAACGCAGTTATCTTGCTTCCCATAAAAAAATCCACTTGGAAGAGAAACCATTTAAATGCATGGAGTGTGGAAAGATGTTTACTAAGCGCAGTGCTCTTACTTCTCATAAGATGATTCACACAGGGGAGAAACCATTTGAATGCATGGAGTGTGGAAAGACCTTTGCTCAAAAAGGTAATCTTATTTCCCATATGGTCCACATAGGGGAGAAATATAAATACATGGAGAGTGGAAAGATCTTTGCTCAAAGTGGTCATCTTATTTCCCATAAGAAGATCCACACAGGGGAGAAGCCATTTAAATGCATGGAGTGTGGAAAGACCTTTGCTCAACGCAGTTATCTTGCTTCCCATAAAAAGATCCACTTGGAAGAGAAACCATTTAAATGCATGGAGTGTGGAAAGATGTTTACTAAGCGCAGTGCTCTTACTTCTCATAAGATGATCCACACAGGGGAGAAACCATTTGAATGCATGGAGTGTGGAAAGACCTTTGCTCAAAAAGGTAATCTTATTTCCCATCATATGATCCACATAGGGGAGAAATATAAATGCATGGAGAGTGGAAAGACAAAGTGGTCATCTTATTTACAGTTAGATGATCCACACAGGGGAGAAGCCATATAAATGCATGGAACATGGAAAGATCTTTGCTCAGAATAGTAATCTTACTTCTCATAAAAGGATCCATGCTCCGGAGAAAGTATATAGCAATTTCACTTTACATTTAGAATAGAATAGAATAGAATAGAATAGAATAGAATAGAATAGAATAGAATAGAATAGAATAGAATAATTTTATTTCTATACCGCCGTTCTCCTGAAGGACTCAGGGCAGTGTACAGCCTATTAAGAACACAAGACAACATCAGTTAAAATTGTTTAAAATTATTAAATGAATTCGGCTCAATTTAAAACCCCAGGAATTTAAAACCCAATTTAAAATTGTTATGTTGATAGCCCAGCCTGGCGGAACAACAGGGTCTTGAGTGCACAACGAAATGCCCTGAGGTTGGAGATCTTACGCATTTCCAGGGGCAGTTCATTCCACAGGGCTGGGGCTCCCACAGAGAAGGCCCTCCCCCTGGGTGTCGCCAGCCGACATAACTTGGCCGATGGCACCCTGAGGAGACCCTCTCTGTGGGAGCGAACTGGCCGGTGGGAGGCTATTGGTGGCAGAAGTCGGTCTCGAAGGTACCCAGGTCCTAAGCCATGGAGCGTTTCCCATTTCCATAACAAGAGCACTTAGACTTACAGTACAGTGCTTTACAACCTCTCTAAGCAGTTTTAGAAAATCAGCATAATGCCCCCAACAGTCTGGCTCCCCATTTTACAGACCTTGGAAAGAAGGATGGAAGGCTAAATCAACCTTGAGCTGCTGAGACCTGAACTGCCAAAGTGCTGGCAGCCCGTGATCAGCAAAAGTAGCCTGCAGCACTGCGTTCTAACTACTGTGCCACCACACCTCTTATATATACCAGTCCACAAAGCTTTAGAGCAATCTTTGAGCAGTTTACAAAGTCAGCATATTGTCCCCAGCAATCTGGGTCCTCATTTTACCAAATTGAGAAAGATTAAAGGCTGAATCAACTATGAGCCGGTCCCATCGAACTCAGCTTTAGGCTGAGTTTGGAACTGGTTTTCTTTTTTCTTTCTCTTCAGAGTCTTTCTGCAGGTCACCTGGAGTGTTTATCAGAATTAGGGTGTCTGCCCTTTCTGCTTCCCCCCTTCAATGTGAGGCTGAGTGAATAATTTGAGAAGGGCACCTGTATGTATTCAATTAAAGAAATAAACAAATGCATGAAAATCATTTTCCTGATTGTGGCTTTCTTGCCTGTGTCCCATCTTCCACCACTTAAGACCAGAGTTCGCAAGAACAGCAAGACACAAGCTGTGTTTCCCAGAGAGCCTACTGGTCTTTCTCTTCTGACCACTCAACTGTTTCTGACAGGATTTGGCCCCTTTTGAGGCCTCCTCCAATCGCTGCTCAGCCTTCAGGAGGGCTGTTCTTGAGGGAGTTCAAATCCTCCAGAGAGATTTTTCTCCATCTCCACAAACAGTTCCTACTTCTGGGACAGGAAGGAGAAGATGGAGAAAGTGGCACCACTAGAGACGTTGAGCTATTGTCTGACAGGGAGACATTGAGAAGGGCCTTTCCTCCTACTCCCAAGCCCATCATCCCTGCTCTCTCCCTTCCCCTCAGACGCGCTCCTCTTTCCCGCCCTTTCTACAATCCCGCTACTTTGCGCCAAATCCACCAGGGGGAGCTCTCTGCTAAGACAAGTGAACTCCCGGTGCTTCCCCATTGGTTCACTGGAGGGCGAACGTCACAGCTGCCGTTCCAGAGAAGGCTACGAAGGAACCCGCTTGACGTTCACTTGACGCTCTAGGACGCCGCTCTCGCTCTCCTCAACCCCTGGGGCTCAGCAGGAGGCGGAGCGGCTGCGGGAGAGTCTGGCGGGGTGAGATCCAGACATGCCCCGGGTGAGTTGGGGGCTCTTCCCGTGCAAAAGGAGGCGGAGGAAGGAGAGACCCTCGCCCGGCTCTGTTCCGGCTTCAACTCCGGGTCCCATGCTCCCCAGCTGCCCTCTCCCTGCAGGGGGAAGTAGAAGAAGCGGGGATGCCGGGAAGGCATTGGGGATCCCTTCCTGCGCCGTGTCCGGGGAAGAGCCGGAGTGTCGGGAGGGTAGGATCGGCCTTGCGGAGGCCCAAGGGGAGAGGAGAGAAGCCGGGCGAGGAGGAGTCAGGATTCGCACCAGGCTCCCACAGGGCCCGATCCTCCGCAGCCCGGCCTGTCTCCGGAGGGGGAGAGAAGCGGGCGGCCTTTCCAGGTGCCTCCTTCCCGGCCCTGCTCAGGGGGAACCTCGGCCCTGCGCTGGGATGAGCCGTTTGGGGTTCTGGGCAGGTTGGGTGAATGTTGTTCAGTGGCTAAATTCTACTTTCTAATTCGTGGCGTTTGTTTTTCTTTCCATCTCAGATACAGAAACTGGAAGCCATTTGAAATCTTTGCAAACCATTTTTTTTTTCTTGGTGGAAGAAGAAGAAGAGCGGAATCCCTTGTAGGGATCAGTCCTGCAGCACCAGAAATGGTCCCTTGAAGGAAAAGACATCTGGAGACCCACCAGATTCCTTGGAGCCATTTGCAGTTGCTCTGCAGGACAGAGAAAGGATGGAGACACAACCTTTTGGAAAGGAGGGAAGCAGAAAAGGCCCTTCACCTGCTCAGCCTGGGAGTTGTGTGGAGACCTGGACAAGAACTGGGCAGGAGATCCTGGAGGAGGAAACTATCCTCCCTTCAGAAGTTCAGTCCTGGAACTTCATCCAATACCAGGAGGCTGAGGGTCCCCGAGGACTTTGCAGCCGACTCCATGACTTTTGTAGGCGATGGCTGAGACCAGAAAAGCACACCAAAGCCCAGATGCTGGACCTGGTGGTTCTGGAGCAGCTCCTCTTCCTTCTGCCCCAGGAGATGGAGGGTTGGGTGCGGGAGTGTGGAGCAGAGACCAGCTCCCAGGCAGTGTCTGTGGCGGAAGGCTTCCTCCTGAGCCAGGCGGAGGAGCAGAAGGAGCAAGTCGAATTGCAGGTGAGACATTTAATCTAGGGAGTTCAAAAGAGAATAGAGAATGTGTTTGAATATTTCAACCCTCCTTCCCAAACTTCTCTGAAATTCATAATATGTTGGGATGTCCGACATATTCTTGTAGGACAGTGTTCCATTGTTTTCTCACTCAACCTCACTGATGGATATTGGGGGCTTTGAGGTTGTGTTCCAAATATGAATCCACTTTTCGTCATGTGATGTACATTAATTCTGCTTCTTTTTTCCTTCCTCCTATTTGAAGTGCTGCACTGTGGAGATCAGAGATCCTGAGGGAAAGAAGAATCGATCAAATCCCCCTCAAGACCTATTTTTCAGGAGGATCCCTTGGGAAGATCCAAGTCAACACACATCAGGAGGTAATCGAAAATCCTCCGATTACCCATCTGCCTTACCTTCTTCTCTTCAGTAGAATACCTCCTCTTATTTTGTTAAATATGCATTTTGAAATTATTTATTCCTTACAGAGAAACAAAGCATGAAGTTTTCTGGTTTTTACGATGGAGCTCAAACAGTGGTTGAGCCGCCAAATCAAGTAAGAAAGGAAAAACATTGTTAGATTTGTATGGTCCTTTCCTTCAGGAAGTGAAGTGGGTGTGCGGAGTGCTCTCTCCTATTTTCCTCGTTGCTTGGACTGGATTATGTGTTCCTACGCGACATGGACAGCATAATATCATGAAAAATAACTAAATACATTGCCACATTATCATTTTTAAAAAGCCTTGTTCATAACCAGTGGTTTAAAAAAATAAGCCAATCATGTTAAAAAAACAACACAGAATCTTAAAATCTAAAGCGGTTGGCTACATCATGTAATCACAGTACTTTGGGCTACAAAATAAATTCCATTCCTCTGATTTGTGCCCAGATTAGGAGAGCAAATATTCCCACTTTGCAAAAGCTGAGAAATGAACTTCACAAAGAATAATCCCTTCTTTGTTTTCTCCCATTCAGCCAATGGCTCAGACTACTAGGTCAATAAATGATAGGAGGATAGATCAGTTGATCCAGAAGTGGGATTACTTTGCTGAAAGGCACTGAAAGTTCTGCAGAATCTATCAATTTGATAATACTTGCCCCAAATATTTATTCAGGCAATAAATTTTCCGAATTGTCCATTTTCTCCCTTAAAATTAGAACTTGTATGAAGCACAGCCATTGAACTTAGTGCACATGTTTGCTTTGGGAATTTGGGAACAATGGAATCGAATACCAGGGTTGTTAGGGAACTTGGAGGTCCGTCTTCTAGTCCAACCCCCTCCTCAGACAGGAAGCCCTATAACATTTCAGATAAATGGCTATCCAATTTCTTCATCAACACCTCTGGTGTTGGAGCACCCACAATTTCTGGAGGCAAGTCATTCCACTGATTAATTGTTCCCACTCTCAGGAAATTTCTCTCTAGTTTTAGGTTGGTTCTTTCCTTGATTAGTTTCCATTCATTGCTTCTTGTCGTGTCTTCTGGTGCTTTGGAAAATAGGTTGGGCTCCTCTTCTTTGTGGAAGCCCCTTAGATAATTGCAACACTGCTATCATGTCACCCCTACTTCTGTTCACTAAACTAGACATACCCAATTCCAGCAACCATTTTTTATGTTTTACCCTCCCGGACTGAATCATTTTGGTTGCTCTTCTCTGTATTCTTTTTAGAACAGTGACGGCGAACCTTTTTGGCACCCAGTGCCGAAAAGGGGGTGCACGCTTGTGTGCACTCATCAAGGCCGCAACCAGGAAGAGGAACTGCCCAGGGGGCATGCGCGCGCTGGATAAAGTACTTTTGGGTTCGGCCATGCACATGTGCACTGGCCAGCAAATCTTCCAGTTACTGCCGTGCATACACATGTATTGATCAGCTAGCAGCCTGCATGCTCATGGCGCCTATGCTCACATGCATGTGTGCCAGGCCAGATGCTTCTAGCCCCAGAGGAGGGATCCGCAGTTCTGCACTGTGGGGAGGAAGTGTTTATCTTGGCCTTTTGTGATGGGAGGGACAAGGGGCAGCACCAAGTGTTTATCTCAGACTTTTGAGATGAGATGCCAGAACAAGAGGCAGCACCAATGAGAATTCTTCCTGCTTCAGCGTCATCGGTCTCTGGGCAGAGTCCTTTGGGACTTCACCTGAAGGAGGAAAGACAGTTCTGCGGAGAGAGAGAAGAGGAGAAAGTGGGAGGGAGGATCTTGGCCCGAATAACCAACTTGGCTTCTTCTCTGCGCAGAACTCTCTCCTCCAGTGGGTGAAGTCAAGGGAGACTCTGCCCAGAGACCGATGACACTGCAGAAGGGCGAATTCCTATTGGTCCTCCTTCTTTCTGGACACTCACAATTCGAAGTTTGAGGAAGCCCCGTTCCTGGCTCACAGACCAGCAATTCCGGTTTTCCGGCACTGCCACTTGCACAAAGGCCAGCTGATCATCGCATGCGCATGTGTGCCAGAATCCTGGAACAGGAACGGGTGACACCGTGCATGCCAGGTGACATGGCTCCATGTGCTACTTTGGGCACATGTGCCATATGTTCATCATCATGGTTCTAGAGTCTCAAGATCTTTTTTACGTCAGTCATCACCCAGCCCACTCTACCATGCATACATGCACTCCTCCCACCGGCCAGCTGGTTTTCGGGTCTCTGCTGCATATGCACGGGGGCAGGGCGCATGCGGTGGGACGCGTGCAGGTGCACGAGCCCCCAAAATGCAATGTGCCCTGTTTTACCCTGGAAGGCCTCCTGCACCAACCTGGAAGCAAAAACGGTCCACGGGGGTGTCGCACGAGGGCCCCTGGGCCCCCCCCCCATTTTGGGCCTGGAAAGCAGACGTAGTAGTCAGCCAGTTTGCACCAGTTCAGGCGAAACAGTAGCAGCAATTTGTCCTGGGTCACTGAACTGGTAGCAACTTCTGGCTGGCCACGCCCCCTGCCCAGTCGCCACTCACTCGACCGGTTGCCACTTGCTCACCCCGTCCGGCTGCTCAACGCTTAACCCAGCCACCCCTGCCCTATATATGTTGCCTTCGCCACATGGCCCAGCTAATCGCCTCGCTAGTCACCTCACTAATGCCTGCTCAGCTCACGAAATGTAATCAATGCATGCCTTCCGCTTGCTCTTTGCTTTGGGTCGGGGCCCCAGGGACACGCAATTTCCTTAGGTCTTGGAGGCACTGCCCACCTCAGCTGGGTCAAGGAAAGTGTGCTTCCCTGGATCCAGCCTTGCCCTGGAGCCGCTGCCCACTTTGATGAGTTCCCCTTCTATCTTGTCTAAATCATTGATGAAGAAGAAGAGATCTTGCAAATCCTCCTTTTCTGTTCTTTTTTGTTCAGGAGGGTGTTGTGTCCTTTGAAGAGGTGGCTGTATATTTCTCTGAGGAGGAATGGTCTGAGCTGAATCCTGACCAAAAAGCGCTGCATTCGGAAGTCATGCTTGAAAATCACAGGAACGTGGTCTCTCTGGGTAAGTTTTCTAGTCCGCAATTAGAGAGGGAGAAGGAAAGTATCTGACCTTCTCATACTCCAAGGAAGGAATGAGTCAATGTTTCTTTGCTTACATGCTTTCTGTGCCATTTCTTAGCTGTATTTTTGTAAGGCAACAAGCCCTAGTGAGCTCATCTAGTGGTATCAGGACAGTGCTTCCTCACCGAAAGTTCTCCACCGCCACTTCGACTGGCCACTGGGCTCTTTTGGGGGCTGCCGCTTGTTCAGGCCTCCCCCCCCCAGCTTTCCCTGCTTTGCTCCCTACTTTTTCCTCCATCTCTCCACCTTCCCTGAGTCTTCCAACTCCCTGGGGTGTCCAAGGAGCAGCCAGGGCTCAGGATCCCAGAATGTAACTCTGCTTGGAGCAAAGTTTAGGGAGTACTGGCTTAATGTCAGCCTCCAAGTAATGCATCCATCATAAAATGAACTCCGAGGCATTCCAGTTCCTCAAAGAACAAATTTATTTAGAAATACCATCTTGGTACTAACTAGTGGAAAGCCAGTACTGAAAGTTCCCAGGCTTTCCATGACACTATAAATAGCATTTTCTCAATTTTTCAAAACAATATGTCACATTGTCCAATTATTTCACCGTCCCAACTGGAGACAGCTCCCAGTCAATCCCATCTAGGTGCAGGCTGAGTGTCCTTGACTTCCAGAAAAAGGAATGTTGTTATGGCTAATTCTCCACTGGCTCCTTGTTTTCCCAGGCACTAAATGTGGCAGCCCTGAAGCTCCAAAGAAAAAGATGGCTTCCAGGGCTGACAGATATTTTCTAGATATTTTCAAAGCTTTCATGAATTATGAATATAGAAATCATCCTGTCTATATCACACCACTGTAGGCATGCAAAATGCAACATAATGGAATTTAGGAAAAATTCAGAAGAACATTTGTTAACTTTTGACAGTTTGATCTTTTTCTCTAACCTTGTTATCATTTTCATTTCTCTTTTCCTTTGAAGATAATAATGGGCAGGAGAATCAAGATTCCTGTGAACTGTTCCAAGTGATCAATCGTAAAGATGGAATGGAGAAATTTCAAATTCGAATGGAATTAGAAAGCCATGAGAGAAAACAGTCAAATCGTAGGAATCAGGAAAGATCACCTTCTACTGATGCTCTGATGAAAGACTTTCTTGCCCAAGAAGAGAAAATAAGGAAAAAATATATTGGGAAAAGTGTGAAACTAATCAAAGATAAATTACATGTAAACAAACACCATTTAACGCAAAACAAAGGAGAAGATTCTATAAGACACAACGGAAAAAATTACAATGGGACATTCATTCATTCTCTTGGGAATAACTTCCTTAAATCTCAAAAAGTGAGCCTCAAAAAGGACCCTTATAAACGTTTGGAACCATATAAATGCTTGCAGTGTGGTAAAACCTTTACTCGTAGCAATGGACTTAGAATCCACAAAATGATCCACACAGGAGAGAAACCATATAAATGCACGGAGTGTGGGAAAACCTTTACTCATAGCAATGGACTTAGGTACCACAAAATGATCCACACAGGGGAGAAGCCGTATAAATGCACTGAGTGTGGAAAGACCTTTGCTCAGCGTGGTCGTCTTCTTTCCCATAAAATGACTCACACAGGGGAGAAACCATTTAAATGCACGCAATGTGGTAAAACCTTTACTCGTATCTATGAACTTAATATCCACAAAAAGAGACACACTGGAGAGAATCCACATAAATGCTTGCAGTGTGGGAAAACCTTTACTCGTAGCAATGGACTTAGAATCCACAAAATGATCCACACAGGAGAGAAACCATATAAATGCACGGAGTGTGGGAAAACCTTTACTCATAGCAATGGACTTAGGTACCACAAAATGATCCACACAGGAGAGAAGCCGTATAAATGCACTGAGTGTGGAAAGACCTTTGCTCAGCGTGGTCGTCTTCTTTCCCATAAAATGACTCACACAGGGGAGAAACCGTTTAAATGCACGCAATGTGGTAAAACCTTTACTCGTATCTATGAACTTAATATCCACAAAAAGAGACACACTGGAGAGAATCCACATAAATGCTTGCAGTGTGGGAAAACCTTTACTCGTAGCAATGGACTTAGAATCCACAAAATGATCCACACAGGAGAGAAACCATATAAATGCACGGAGTGTGGGAAAACCTTTACTCATAGCAATGGACTTAGATACCACAAAATGATCCACACAGGGGAGAAGCCGTATAAATGCACTGAGTGTGGAAAGACCTTTGCTCACCGTGGTCGTCTTCTTTCCCATAAAATGACTCACACAGGGGAGAAACCATTTAAATGCATGCAGTGTGGTAAAACCTTTACTCGTATCTATGAACTTAATATCCACAAAAAGAGACACACTGGAGAGAAACCACATAAATGCATGCAGTGTGGGAAAACCTTTACTCGTAGCAATGGACTTAGAATCCACAAAATGATCCACACAGGAGAGAAACCATATAAATGCATGGAGTGTGGGAAAACCTTTACTCATAGCAATGGACTGAGGTACCACAAAATGATCCACACAGGGGAGAAGCCGTATAAATGCACTGAGTGTGGAAAGACCTTTGCTCAGCGTGGTCATCTTCTTTCCCATAAAATGACTCACACAGGGGAGGAACCATTTAAATGCACGCAGTGTGGTAAAACCTTTACTCGTATCTATGAACTTAATATCCACAAAAAGAGACACACTGGAGAGAAACCACATAAATGCATGCAGTGTGGGAAAACCTTTACTCGTAGCAATGGACTTAGAATCCACAAAATGATCCACACAGGAGAGAAACCATATAAATGCATGGAGTGTGGGAAAACCTTTACTCATAGCAATGGACTTAGGTACCACAAAATGATCCACACAGGGGAGAAGCCGTATAAATGCACTGAGTGTGGAAAGACCTTTGCTCAGCGTGGTCATCTTCTTTCCCATAAAATGACTCACACAGGAGAGAAACCATTTAAATGCACACAGTGTGGTAAAACCTTTACTCGTATCTATGAACTTAATATCCACAAAAAGAGACACACTGGAGAGAAACCACATAAATGCATGCAGTGTGGAAAAACCTTTACTCGTAGCAATGAACTTACTATCCACAAAAAGATCCACACAGGGGAAAAGCCATTTAAATGCATGGAGTGTGGAAAGACCTTTGCTCTCAGCAATGTACTTAAAAACCACAAAAGGATCCACATTGCAGAGAAACCATATAAATGCACTGAGTGTGGAAAGACCTTTGCTCTGAGCAATAGACTTACTATCCATAAAATGATCCACACAGGTGAAAAGCCATTTAAATGCATGGAGTGTGGAAAGACCTTTGCTCAACATTGTCATCTTATTTCCCATAAAATAATCCACACAGGCGAGAAGCCGTATAAATGCATGGAGTGTGGAAAGACCTTTGCTCATAGAAGTAAACTTAATTCCCATAAGATTGTCCACACAGGGGAGAAGCCATATAAATGCATGGAGTGTGGAAAGTCCTTTGCTCAAAGTAGGAATCTTATTTCTCATAAGACGATCCACACAAGGGAGAAGCCATTTAAATGCATGGAGTGTGGAAAGACCTTTGCTCAACGCCGTTATCTTGCTTCCCATAAAAAGATCCATTCAAAAGAGAAACCATTTAAATGCATGGAGTGTGGAAAGACGTTTACTAAGAGCAATACTCTTACTTCTCATAACAGAATCCACACAGGAGAGAAGCCATATAAATGCATGGAATGTGGAAAGACCTTTGCTCAGAATGGTAATCTTACTTCTCATAAAAAGATCCACGCTCGGGAGAAAGTATATAGCAATAACAATTCCACTTTAAACTTATCTACCACTCCACAAAGCTTTATAGGAGTCTTTGAGCAGTTTACAAAGTCAGCATATTGTCCCCAGAAATCTGGGTCCTCATTTTACCGACCTGACAAAGATTAAAGGCTGAATCAAGCATGAGCCGGTCAGATCGAACTCCTGGCTGTGGGCAATTAACTTATAGTACTGCATTCTAACCTCTGACTCACCATGTGTATAGATTTTTATGTGTATGCATATTGTGCCTTTCTGATCCAAATGATTCAAGATTCAATCGAACAAAGTGAAATTTAATGTGGAGAAAAGTAAAGTTTTGCACCTGGGTGGGAAAAACAGAGTACATGAAATCTGGCTCAAAAACAGTAACTGTGAGAGGGACCTGGGAAATCCAAATGGATGAACACTTGAATGTGAGTCACCTGTGTGCGGCAGCAGCCAAAAAAGCTAATGCAATCCTTGGTTGTATAAACAGAGACATAGAATCAAAATCTCATGAAGTATTAGTACCACTTTATAAAGCCTTAGGAAGACCACACTTGGGATACTGCATCCAGTTTTGGACATTACATTACAAAAAAGATGTTTAATCTTTAGAAAAAGTGTAAAGAAAAGCAGCTAAGATGATTAAGGGCCTGAAGACTAAAACATATGAAGAATTGTTGCAGGATTTTGATTTGACTATTCTAGAGAAAAGAGGGATTAGGAGTGACGTAATAGCAGTATTCCAGGACTTGAGAGGCTTCCACAAAGAGGAGGGGGTCAATTTATTTTCCAAAGCACCAGTTCCCTTCCAGCTCCTGATTCTGATTCTGAATCCTCAATTTTTTCTTGTGCTTTTTTGCTAAGTAGGAGGTTTTAAAGCAAACACGAGCATCAGTGGAGATTAAGATTATCATTTGGCCTGAAAGTGATGTGCGGCTGCCAATATTTAAGTGGTGGAGATTCCCCAATCATTTCAAGAAGCTCCCTCTGATGAGCATTTCCACTAGAAATACTCATCAGAGTATTCTGCAGGCAGAAATGCAGAGGTCCTGAATCCCTTACTATTGTTTCGGCTTTTCTTACTTTGCTTCATATTGTCAAAATCTGCCTTTCCACCCGCTTCACATTATGTAATGCAAGTGATAATTGAGAAACAAAAACATAAGGAGAACTGGGTTATAGTGAGGCTGAATTAGAAAATGGAACTCATAGGTTCTTTGTCCTAATTTTGTGGTGATCTTTCTTGCCTTCCCTCATGTTGCCCATCTCTGGACACATGCAATATTATCAATACCTTTTTAAAGTGAGGTCTCCTGAACTGGACACAGTATTCAAATTGGGGACTGACTAAAGCCCTATGTAGCAGGTTAGGACTTTCTCTTTTGTTGTTTGCAATACATCTGGTGAGGCATTTGAGAATTTTGTTTGCCTTCACAGAGTTGTGTAAAAAAAGTGCTGCTTGAACTCAGATAGTTCTAGCATTCTGGAAATATGCATACCTTTGTGTCTGTTCCGAGCTTTGTCCAACATGGAGCATTAAAGCAAGTAGCTTTTTTTTAAAGTTTTTTTTTTTAATAAAAATGTCAAATCAATGTGTGAACAGTGTAGCATCTGGGGGCCATACATTCCAACACAAAGAAAAGTGAGCAAATTAAGGATTATTGTTACATTCAATCAATTTATGAAATTCCTATTACAATACACATCTATAGTAGGTTACAATCTATCATTATTCAATTATGCCACCTATTTCTCATTATTACTTCCATTTTAGCAACTAAAAATGTAACACATTAATGTTCCCTTTATTTCTATCTCTTACTCTAGCTTTTAATCATATCACCCTATATTAAAAAGCTTTTTCTTTCTTTCCTGTCTAACTTTTAATCATATCATCTGCCTACAAAAAAAGAGAAAGAGAATAAAGAGGGAGAGATAGGGAAAGACAGTTCAAAACAGCAACTGGGAGAATCATCCTTCCATCATCTCTTGCCCGCTTTATATTTTAATTGCTATGCTTTTAAAAAAAGGGATAGAGAGAAAAGCAAGTCGAAACAGGATGCCAAGATCCCTCTCACATTTTCTACTATTGAGTGAGGTACCACATATACTGTACCTGTGCATTTTATTTTTCTTGCCTAAATGTAGAACCTTACTTTTTTCATCATTGAATTTCATTTTGCTAGATAGCACCCAATGTTCAAGTCTGTCAAGATCCTTCTGTATCTTAAGCCTATCTTCTGAAGTGTAGGCTATTCCTGCTAGCTTGGTGTCATCTGCAAATTTGATGAATTCCCCACTGTCATCTTTTAACAACTCTGTAATCCCTTGCGGGGTGGAGTCTCAGCAACTGAATGGAGCTGAGTGTTTACTGGCTGGATGCTCTTCCTGTCACCAATGCAGAGTTTTGTTCAGCACATATATTCTCATTGTGCCCAGAGAGAGAAATATTACCCTCTATCTAGGATTGAACCTGGGGTGAAATGTAAAATTTGTTACTACCGGTTCTGTGGGCGTGGCTTGGTGGGGGGGGGGGTTAATGTGACTTTTCAAAGCATTTTTTCTGCAAAAGCAGAAAAATAATATTTTTTTATCTTCTCCCAAGTCAAAAACAAAGCTTCACGTATCTGATGTCTTCTAAAATACCTCTGAATTTTGGTTCCTTTATACCATAAAAATCATGCCACCCCATCAACAAATCATGTCCCTCTAAATTCAATAACCTAGCGTTTTTCAATGTTACCCATTCTTTAATCCACATTAAACAAACCGCATGATAATATAATTCAAAGTTCGGTAAACCAAAGCCACCTCTCTTCTTAGCATCTTGTAACAGCTTAAGTTTTATTCTTGCCTTCTTTCCCTGCCAAATATATTTCAAAACCATTTTATTTAAATCTGCAAAGAATTCCTTACCCAGCTTTATTGGAATTGTCTGAAAAAGGTATAAAATTCTAGGTAAAATATTCATCTTAATAGTTGCAATTCTACCAATCAAAGATAACTGCAAATTTCCCCATTTCACCATGTCCTATCTGTTGCTTAAGCTTATTGTAATTATTTTCTTTAAGAGAACTAAATCTTGTTGTCAGTTAAATCCCCAAATACTTTACCTTATTTGTGACCTGCATCTTTGAAATCTCCACCAATTCTTCTTTTTGTTTTTTTAACATATTTTTAGTCATTATCTTCGTCTTTTCTTTATTAATTTTCAAACCAGCAACTTCAATATAAAAGAACTACAATATTTAATTGTGAACATTTTAACAGCGGCTAGAATTGTATTTGCAAAAAATTGGAAAGGAGAGAAGATAATCACCGATGAAGAAATCATTAAGAAAATGTTAGACTGTGCTGAAATGAATAGATTGACATTTGAAATAAGAGAACAGGAAGATAAACAGTATTATTTGATATGGGAGATCATTATCAATGGTTTGACAATAAAGTATGGAGATGAGATAGTATATATGAAATGAAATTTCGATGAAATGTTTAAATATCTATCTTCTGTTCGAGTAAAGAATAATTGTATGATGAGATTTGGAAAATTGTAAGCACGAAATGATTTTAACCAATTGAGATGCTGTCTGTAATTGTTTATAAGGATGATATTTTTATGTTGTTTTTTATTTTTAATTAAAATAAAACTTTTTTTCAAAAAAAAAATTCTCTCAAAGTACTTTTGAGATGCAAACATGGAAAATGTTACCAAACTGCCGAGGCAACTTCACAAGAAGTTGAAAATGCAGAGGAGTGTATCGCAGCCTTGGAAGAACCGGATATTAACTTTCATTTTCATCCTCACTATTATGGTTCAAATGTAAACCTCTCAACACAACTGAAAGAAGAGTGGTGGGAAAAAAGATAAATTTGGGACTTTTTCTTTAAGGACATTAACAAGGTTGAGGATCTCATGATAAAAAGAACAAGTTTCTGATACTTCCGGAGAAGAAAAAGATTTTACTCCATGAAGATAAGCTGGTAGGAATTACTTAACTGGAATCAGGATGCATTTTTCTCTGCTTGATATGTGCAACTGAAGGAAAAGTTTAACTCAAAATTCATGTATTTTTTAAACATATATATATAATGCTTAAATAACTCTTAAATTAGGCAAAAGCTATTGACAATATTCAAGAGTACCTTTATTAAGAGAAAGTTAAAGAAAATGATGTAACAGTTTAAAGAAAAAGATTAAAAAGGATGTTTATAAAATAATATATATATATTTATATATAATATATATATAATATATATATATATAATATATATAAAGTGTTTTCCTATCGAGACACTTGGTCTACCCCAGTATGTGGGAGGGAGCGTACTGCATCCTTTTCGCCTTTCAGCTCCAATCCAGGAGCCTTAAAGCATGTATGTTAAAGTCAAAAAATAAGATGTATTAGAAAGTTTTGGATTTTAAAAAAAGAAAAGAAAAAAGTGCTTTGTTTCTTTGTTTTTAAAAAGTTTAGTACTTTGAGGGAAATAAAATGGTGACAGTTCACAAAGACTACTAGGTGCAAATAGAAATATATACTATTTCCATAGCAAGGAAGATAAAGCAGGAATGATGAAATAGAATACTTTATTTAAAGAGGAAGATGTTGTTGTTTTTTTTGCTTTAATTTATATGCCACCCTTCTCTGGAGACTCAGGGCGGCTTACAATGCGTTAAGCAATAGCCTTCATACTTTTGTATAATTATACAAAGTCCGTTTATTGCCCCCACAATCTGGGTCCTCATTTTACCTACCTTTGAAAGGATGGAAGGCTGAGTCAACCTTGAGCCTGATGAGATTTGAACTTGCAGTAATTGCAAGCAGCAGATGTTAATAACAGCGCTTTAGTCCACTGTACTACCAGGCTCTGTACTCTGTGTTCTTATTTGGATATCACTTCTGGAATTTGTGCTTGGTGAAGAAAAAAAATAAAATTTTATTCTTGGTTTTGTTGATTAGAAAGATTTGGTGTTATAGAAATGGCTAGTTATATATTAATATGTAAAAGCAAAAGGTAGAGGTTGGAGTGGGTTATCTTGTACTGTGATAGGAAGAGTTGGAAGTCAATGCCCCCCTTTTCTTTCTTTTTCTCTTCCCCCTTCCCGTCCCCTTTCCTTCCCTTAATTTCCTATTTCCTTCTCTTTTTGTATTTTATACAATAAAAAGTATTAAATTTGATAAGTGAAGAAAGTACATCTGTCAGGGTTCCAAGTAATACACCCTTAGCAAACAGAATTCCGAGGCAAGCAGGTTCCTCAAAGAACAAGTTTATTGGATATTGGCAGAGACTGGTGAAAACCAACTCTAAAGGTCCCCAAGGTTTTCACCTAATTAAAAGTTAAAGTTTTCCCCCTTTTCCAAAACAATCAGTCACATGATCCAATCAAGATGCTATCCGGTTGCTTGGAAACTTCACTCGTCTGCTCTTCAGCCACTTATGAAAATGTCCTTGGTTCTCCGGGGAAACTATTTTGTTTTGGCTACAAAACCCCAGCTATCTCTATTCCCTTCTCCCTATCCACTGGGGCAACACTGAAGCCTCCAAGATGGTCTCAGTCCGGCCAGCTTCAGAGTTGACATCTTTTGGGGACAGATCATTTGTGCTAAGATATATAATAGCGTCAACATCACAGTCTCTTCGTTGCATTAAAAATTACTATACTAATAGACTAAATTGTTTGGATGGCCTTGTGGGGGGGAGGGGCATATTTCCTGCTGGGTTGATGCTATTTTTTAAATATGGCTTATTAAAGGTTATGTGTCAAACTGGAGGGAAAAAAAAGAAATACATTCGCTCCATTTTTTCAGTTGGATTTTAACCACTTTTCCATCATTTTAGCTTCTTTGTTTTGCTCACTGTAGCTAACGCTTTGCATGTCATTGTCAACTCAAAATGTGATTGAATCTTTTCACATCAATGGAGTCTTGAGCTCTTCTTATTTTGCTTTTTTATTTTCTTTTTTCCTTTTTATTTATGGTCTAATTATATATCCCTATCTTAAATTCTCTCAAGGGCTTCAGCTTCCTAGTCAAATTTGTTGAGGCGAATTTCCTACTCAATCCCTATGTAAAATGGTTTTTCCCTCATCATAGCTTAGCTTTATCTTCCTTTTTCACGATCTTCCGTTCCTCGTTTTGTAATTTCACCTTTTCTCCAGTCAGAGATGAAACACCATTTCCCCCTCTATTTCTCAATTAAGGAGCCTCATGAGGTAAAATTTCTGGAATATCCATGGGTTTCAGCTTTTCCTAGTATTTTGGAACTGGTTTTTCTTTTTCTTCAGAGTCTTTCCGCAGGAACAAGAGACGGGTGACCTGGGGTGTTCATCAGAAGAGGCTGGAGGGGTCTCTGCCCTTTCTGGTCCCTCCTTTGCTGTGAGGCTGAGCGAATGATTTCAAAAGGGCACCTGTATGTATTGAATTCAAGAAATAAAAAACAAATGCATTAAAATCATTTTCCTGATTGTGGCTTTCCTGCCTGTGTCCCACCTTCCTCCACTTAAGACTGGACTTCACAACAACCGCAAGACACAAGCTGTGTTTCCCAGAGACCCTCCTGGATTTGACCCTTTTGAAGCCTCCTCCAATCTGCCCAGCTTTCAGGGTGGCTGTTCTTGAGGGAAGCAAGTTCAAATCCTCCAGAGAGATTTTTCTCCATCTCCACAGATGGTTCCTTGACAGGAAAGGAGAGGAAGATGGAGGAATTGCTGCCTCTGGAAAGCACAAAACTTTTCTTGGGCAGGGAGGAATTGTAAGGGGTTTCTCCCCCTACCCATCACCCCTGCCCTCTCCGTTCTCCTCAGGCGCGCTCCTGTTTCCCGCCCTTTCTACAATCCTGGCACTTTGCGCCAAATCCACCAGGGGGCGCCCTCGGCTAGGAGAAGTTAACGTCAGGCGGTTCCACATTAGTCCCCTGGAGGACGAACGTCACAGCTGCCTTTCCAGAGGAGACGGCGAAGGGAGTGACCTCACGAACGCTTGCCTGTCTAGGACCTTGCGCTCCCTCTCCTTAACCTCTGGGACTCCGCCAGAGGCTGCGGGAGAGTCTGGGGTGGGGGGGAGATCCAGACGTGCACCGGGTGAGTTGGGGGGCTCTTCCCGGGCAAAGGGAGGCGGAGGAGGGAGAGACCCTCGCCCGGCCCTCCTCCGGCTTCCACCGCGGCTCCCATGCTCCCCAGCCGTCCTCTACATGTAAAGAGCCTGAATGTGGGGAGGGGAGAGTCAGCCTTGCGGAGGCCCACCAGGAAAGGAGAGAAGCCGGGCGAGGAGGAGGTAGGATTCGCACCAGGCTCCCCGAGGGCCCCATCTTGTCTCCAGAGGGGGAGAGAAGCGGGGTGGCCTCTCCAGCTGCCTCCTTCCCAGCCCTGCTCTGGGGGACCTTAGCCCTGCGTTGGGATGAGCCGCTTGGGACTCCTGGAAGGTTGGGTGAAGGTTGTTCAGTGGCTGAATTCCACTTTCTAAGTTTGGTTTTCTTCCCATCTCAGATACAGAAGCTCGAAGCCATTTGAAATCTTTGCAAGCCATAATTTTCTCTTGGGGGAAAAAAGAGCTGAATAATCGAGGATCAGTCCTGCAGCACCAGAAATGGTCCCGTGAAGGAAAAGGCATCAGGAGATCCACCAGAGTCCTTGGACCTATTTGGAGTTGCTCTGCAGGACAGAGAAAGGATGGAGACACAACCTTTTGGAAAGGAGGGAGCCGGAAAAGGCCCTTCACCTGCTCAGCCTGGAAAGGGGGGGAAGCTCTGGACAAGGACTGGGCAGAAGATCCTGGAGGAGGAAACCATCCTCCCTTCACAAGTTCAGCCCTGGAACTTCAGGAGCCTCCAGTACCAGGAGGCTGAGGGTCCCCGAATATTTTGCAGCCGACTCCATGGCTTTTGTAGGCAATGGCTGAGACCAGAAAAACACACCAAAGCCCAGATGCTGGACCTGGTTGTTCTGGAGCAGTTCCTGGCCCTTCTGCCTCCAGAGATGGAGGGCTGGGTGCGGGAGTGTGGAGCAGAGACCAGCTCCCAGGCGGTGGCTCTGGCTGAAGGCTTCCTCCTGAGCCAGGCGGAGGAGCAGAAGGAGCAGGTCGAGTTGCAGGTGAAACACTTTAGGGAGCCCAAAAGGGAATAAAAGAATGTTTTTGAATACTTCACCACCTCTCTCCCAAACATCTCTGACATTCATAATATGTTGTGATGTCCCACCAATTCTTGTAGGACATTGTTCCATGTTTTTCTCACTCAGCCTCACTATTGGGGAATTTGAGGTTGTGTTCCGAATATGAATCCATATTCATATTTATTTCATGTGATGTACATTGATTCTGCTTCTTTTTTCCTTCCTCCTATTTGAAGTGCTGCACTGTGAAGATCAGAGATCCTGAGCGAAATAAGAATCCATTAAATCAGAAGGTTTTTTCTAGGAGGATCCCTTGGGAAGACCCACGTCAGGACACCTCAGGAGGTAATCCAAGCTCCTCCGATTTCCCAGAGAGATCCCATCTGTCTTACCTTTTTCCTCTTATTTTGTTAAATATGCATTTTGAAATTATTTATTCTTTACAGAGAAACAAAGCTTGAAGTTTTCTGGTTTTTACGATGGAGCTCAAACTGTGATTGAACCTCCAAATCAAGTAAGAAAGGGAAATATTATTAGATTTGTATTCTCCTTTCCTTCAGGAAGTGAAGCGGGTGTGCAGAGTGCTCTCTTCTTCTATTTCCCTCCCTTGTTTGGACTGGATTATTTTTGTGTTCTTCTGCGACATGGACACCATAATAGCAGGTTCAAGTTGCTATCAGCCAGCATAACTCCTTCTTCCGGGTGCGATTCAAGGTGTTGGTTACCACCTTTAAAGCGCTCCATGGCATAGGACCCGGGTACCTTCGAGACCGACTTCTGCCACCAATAGCCTCCCACCGACCAGTCCGCTCCCACAGAGAGGGTCTCCTCAGGGTGCCATCGGCCAAGTTATGTCGGCTGGCGACACCCAGGGGGAGGGCCTTCTCTGTGGGAGCCCCAGCCCTGTGGAATGAACTGCCCCCGGAAATACGTAAGATCTCCGACCTCCGGGTGTTTCACTGCGCTCTGAAGACCCTGTTGTTCCGCCAGGCCGGGCTATTAACATAACGTTTTAAATTGGGGTATTTTTAAATTCCTGGGATTTTAATTGGAGCCTAATTATTTAATGATTTTAAATTTTAACTGTTGTTTTTGTTTTTGTGTTTTAAATAGGCTGTACACCGCCCTGAGTCCTTCGGGAGAAGGGCGGTATAGAAATAGAAATAATAATAATAATAACTTCTTCTATAGACCATTACTGGGACACAATGGTTTGTCATTTCTACTCTCAGTTTCTGTTTAGGAAATGTTTTTTTAAAGACCATATAGCTGCTTCTGGTTATCTTCTTTTGCTAGGTACTCCTCCAACTATGTTTTTACAAGAAGTAATTTTTAACAAGTCCTTCAAGAAATAGGAATAAACATATCACAGTGGTGGTAACTGCTAGAGAACCATTCTTTTTCTAATTCTTTGACTTGGAATTCTGCAAGGCTAATGAAAAATAACTAAATACTCAAATTGTCACATTACCATATTAAAAAATAAAGCAGAATTTTAATATCCAAAGAGAATGGCCACATAGAGCATGTAATCACGATACTTTGGGCTATAAAATAATTTCCAATCCTCTGATTTGATCCTGGATTAGGAGATGAAACATTCCCGCTTTGCAATGGCCTTCGCAAAAGACCTTCGCAAGAATTTTCTTTTGTTTTCTCCCATTCAGCCAGCGGCTCAAACTACTAGATCAATAAATGATAGTGTGAAACACTGCCATTTAAGTTTGTGCATATAATTGCTTTGGAAATTTGGGAACAATGGAGCAGAATAACAGATTGGTAGGGATCTTGGAGGCCTTCTAGTCCAACCTCCTGCTCAGATAGGAAGCCCTATAACATTTCAGATAAATGGGTGTCCAATTTCTTCTCAAACTCCTCCTGAGTTGAAGCATCCACAACTTCTGGAAGCAAGTCACTCCACTAATTAATTGTTTTCACTGTCAGGAAATTTCTCTTTCAGTTGTAGATTAGTTCTCTCCTTGAATAGTTTCCATACATTGCTTCTTGTCCTGCCTTCAGGTCTTTTGGAGAATAGGTTGGCTTCCTCTTTCTGGCAGCCCCTGAGATATTGGAACACTGCTATTATGTCATTTCTAGTCCTTATTTTCATTAAACTAGACATACCCGATTCCAGCAACCGTTCTTAATATGTTTTAGCCTCAAGGACCCTAATCATTTTGGTTGCTCTTCTCTGTACTCCATCTCGCAACCAAAACTGGATGCAATATTCCAAGTGTGATCTTACCAAGGCTAACACTTCATGCAATCTTGATTCTATCTCTCTTAATGCAGCCTATGATAGGGTTGGAGTTTTTTTGGCAACTGTAGCATACTGCTGACTCATGTTTAAGTGATTGTCCATTAGGACTCCAAGATCCCAGTTGTATTTTCTACTGTTCAGCCAGGTATCACCTATTCTATGCCTGTGCATTTACTTTTACTTTCCTAAATAAAGAACCTTGCATTTCTCATAGTTGATTCCCATTTTGTTAGATGGGGCCCAATCTGTCGATCCTGTTGATCAGTCGAACAACATCTATATCTGGAGCTTTTCTTCTGGAGTGTTGTTATTCCTGCCAATTTGGTCTTGTGTGCAAATTGGATGAGTTCCCCTTCTATCCTCTTGTCTAAATGATTGATGAAGATGATCAGATCTTGCAAATCCTCCTGTTCTGTTCTTTTTTCCATGTTCAGGAGACTCTTGTGTCCTTCGAGGAGGTGGCTGTGTATTTCTCTGAGGAGGAATGGTCTCAGCTGGATCCTGACCAAAAAGCCCTGCATTCAGAAGTAATGCTTGAAAATCATAAGAACGTGGTCTCTCTGGGTAAGAGTTTTCTAGTCCCCAATCAGAGAGTTTAAGAAGACAGATTATAGTTAGTTTTTTTTATTAAAAAATCACTAATCAAATATCGTCTCCTGGGAGGGTGAAAAGAATGAGGTGTGCTTTTATGTGTCATCTGGAACCTCCTCATGTAAGGGGAATGTGTTGTCATTTATGTTCTGAAATCTCCCAAAATTGTGTGAGAACAGAACTTTCAAGTTCAGGCTATGGAAGAGCATTCTCCCAATCTAATTCAAGAACGAAGGCATCCTAGGGTATAGGTAATGCCCAAGTTACCACAGTTCACTTAGAGACCATTTGAAGTTATGATCTGCCCCCTCCAAAAACTTGAGAGCCAGTGCCGAATTACAAATGTTGCAGCACTACAGCTGTCCATACTTATGAATGACGGCTGAGGCACTGCAACATTCGCCCTACGTACTCCCCCACCCCACCCTGCTGAGACTTACCCTGCGACGATGTTACAAGCCATTGGTTCCTTTGCCTGCTTTGGTACATTTGCAGAAAATATAGGCTACAGTAGTGAGAGATCACGTGAGTTCAGTAGCGTGAAATCTCATGATACTGATCTCATATGATCTCACACTAAAGTACGTTCTCTGCTAACTGAGACCTGTACCAGATCTGGCCAAAGAGCCCTTGCAAGCTGATGAGACTTTGGGGCAGTGAAATAGCCTTTCTTGAAGCCTTCCAAACTTTTCAATCTCTGTGCGAAGAGCGTTTACAAGCCAATGGGAGGCTTCAAGCAAAGGATTTTGCCCCAAAGTCTCATCACTAGAATCGAGGAATGGGCTGAGTGGGGGGTCAGGCCCATCAGACACATGCCACCGGGAAGCTGCTTCAAGGTCCTTGGATGTTTCCCCTGAATATTTGTTAACTCAAAACTGGCTTTGAGTGACATTTGCATACATATAGATAATTGTAAAAAAAAAAAAGAGAGAGATTTTCTAGATATTTTCAAAGCTTTCATGATTCATGAATATAGAAATCATCATGTCTATATCACACCGTTGTAAGCATGCAAACATACAACCGAATAGAATTTTGGAAAAATTCAGAAGAAAATTTGTTGGCTTTCTACAGTTTGATCTTTTTCTCTAACTTTGTTACCATTTTCATTTCTCTTTTCTTTTGAAGGCAATAAGAGGCAGGAGAATCTAGATTCCTATGAACTGTTCCAAGTGATCAATGCTAAGGATGGAACAGAGAAATTTGGAATTCGAATGGAATTAGAAACCAATGAGAGAAACCAGTCAAATAATTGGAATCAGGAAAGCTCATCTTCCACTGATGCTCCTATGCAAGACTTTCTTGTCCAACAAGAGAAAATAAGGAAAAAATATATTGGGGAAAGTGTGAAGCTAATCAAAGATAAATTACATGTAAACAAACACCATTTAACGCAAAACAAAGGAGAAGATGCTATAAGACACAACGGACAAAATTACAACGAGATATTCATTCTTTGTCTTGGAAATAAGTTCCTTACAACTCAAAAAGTGATTCACACAAAAAAGGATCCTTATAAACGTTTGGAATCTGGAAAACATTTTAGAACAAGTGGGAAACTTACGTCCCATGAAAGGATTCACACTGGGGAGAAACAGTGTTCAGAAGCACCTGTAGCCCATGCAACCCAGTCTCTCCAGGCAGCAGGAGAGAAACCCTATAAATGCATGGAGTGTGGGAAAACCTTTATTCATAGCAATGGACTTAGAAACCACAAAATGATCCACACAGGAGAGAAACCATATAAATGCATGGAATGTGGGAAGACCTTTGCTCTGAGTAATAGACTTGCTGTGCACAAAAAGATCCACACAGGTGAAAAGCCATTTAAATGTATGGAGTGCGGGAAAACGTTTACTCAAAGTGGTCATCTTATTTCCCATATGATGATCCACACAGGGGAAAAGCCATTTAAATGCATGGATTGTGGAAAGACCTTTGCTCACAGAGGTAATCTTATTTCCCATCAGGTGATCCACACAGGAGAGAAACCATATGAATGCATGAGTTGTGGAAAGACTTTTGCTCGTAGCAGTGATCTTAGAAACCACGAAAAGATCCACACAGGAGAAAAGCCATTTAAATGCATGGAGTGCGGAAAGACCTTTGCTCAAAGAGATAATCTTATTTGCCATAATATTATCCACACAGGGGAGAAGCCCTGTAAATGTATGGAGTGTGGGAAAACCTTTACTCGTAGCTATGAACTTACTATCCACAAAAAGAAACACACGGGAGAGAAACCATATACATGCACGCAGTGTGGGAAAACCTTTACTCGTAGCTCTGAACTTACTATCCACAAAAAGAGACACACAGGAGAGAAACCATATAAATGCATGCAGTGCGGGAAAACCTTTATTCGTAGCTATGAACTTACTATCCACAAAAAGAGACACACGGGAGAGAAACCATATAAATGCATGCAGTGTGGGAAAACCTTTACTCGTAGCAATGAACTTACTATCCACAAAAAGACCCACACAGGGGAAAAACCATTTAAATGCATGGAGTGTGGGAAAGCCTTTACTCAAAGCAATGGACTTAGAAACCACAAAACAATCCACACAGGAGAGAAACCATATAAATGCATGGAGTGTGGAAAGACCTTTGTTTACAACAGTAGTCTTACTAACCACAAAAAGATCCACACCGATGAAAAATCATTTAAATGCATGGAGTGTGGGAAAACCTTTGCTCATAGCAATGGACTTAGAAACCACAAAAAGATCCACACAGGGGGGAAACCATTTAAATGCATGGAGTGTGGGAAAGCATTTACTAAAAAAGGTCATCTTATTTCCCATAAGATGATCCACACAGGAGAGAAACCATATAAATGCATGGTGTGTGGAAAGACCTTTGTTCAACGGGGTCATCTTATTTCCCATAAGATTATCCACACAGGGGAGAAACCATATCAATGCATGCAGTGTGGTAAAAAGTTTACTCGTAGCTATGAACTTACTATCCATGAAAAGAGACACATGGGAGAGAAACCATATAAATGCATGCAGTGTGGGAAAACCTTTACTCGTAGCAATGAACTTACTACCCACAAAAAGATCCACACAGGAGAGAAACCATATAAATGCATGGAGTGTGGGAAAACATTTACTCATAGCAGTGTGCTTAGAAGCCACAAAAAGATTCATACTGGAGAGAAACCATATAAATGTATGGAATGTGGAAAGACCTTTGCTCTGAGCAGTAGACTTACTATCCACAAAATGATCCACACAGGGGAAAAGCCATTTAAATGCATGGAGTGTGGAAAGACCTTTGCTCAGAATGGTAATCTATCTTCTCATAAAAGGATCCACACACGGGAGAAAGTATATAGCAATTCCACTTCAGACTCACATACCACTCCACAAAGCTTTATAGCAGCCTTTGAGCAGTTTACAAAATCAGGATATTGTCCCCAGAAATCTGGGTCCTCCTTTTACTGACCTGAGAAACATTAAAAGATTGAATGAACCATGAGCCGGTCAGATCGAACTCAGTTTTTCCTCCATTTTGGAACTGGTTTTCTTTTTTCTTTTTTCATTCAGAGTTTTTTCGGGGGCACAAGAGACTGGTCACCTGTAGTGTTCATCAGAAGAGATTGGAGAGGTCTAAGCCCTTTCTGCTTCCCTCCTTCAATTTGAGGCTGAGTGAATAATTCGAATAGGGCACCCTGTATGTATTGAATTCAAGAAATAAAAAACAAATGCATAAAAATCATTTTCCAGATTGTGGCTTCCCTGCCTGTGTCCCATCTTCCCCCACTTAACACTGGAGTTCGCAACAACCGCAAGACACAAGCTTGTTTCCCAGAGAGCCTATTCCCCCATCCCACCCTGCTGGGTCTTAATGTGCGATGATGTTGCCAGACATCAGTTCCTTTGCCTACTTTGGTCCATTTGCAGAAAATGGAGGGCTAAAGTTGTGAGAAATACATGAGATCTCGCGCTACTGATCTCATGTGATCTCATACTACAGTACATTAGGTCTCTGTTCTCTGCTAACCAAAGCCTACATGAGATCCAGGGCAAAATGTTTTGCAAACAAAGGGAAGGCCTCTTTGTTTTCAAAGACTTTTTCCCTGTATCTTGTGCAGTCCCCAGTTCCTAAAGAACAGGCCTAAAATACTGCAGTGCAAGATCATAAAAGATCAGTAGCCTGAGATCTTGCACTACTAGTCTCACATGATCTTGCACTAAACTAGTTTCGGTCTCTGTTCTCTGCAAGGAAAAAAAATCTAGAATGGACAGAAACCATATAAATGCATGGAGTGTGGAAAGACCTTTGCTCTGAGCAGTAGACTTACTATTCATAAAAAGTTTACTATCTTTTTGTAGTACATGATGCAGAGAAGCTGCTCCAAGGTACACCAGGGAAGGAGCTTTTCAAAATAGTTTCAGATCTCAATGGTCTCTGCTCAAATTAACCTACCCCAATAAAACTTAATTTTTCTCCTAATTCCTTCTTGGAGGTTTCCCCTGATTATTCCTTAACTCAAAACTGACTGGAGATCGCTCATGAGAATGTTTTTATTATTTTGTTTAATAGAGCACAAGTTGTACAAGATGACCAAGTTTTGTTTCTCTCAACAAAATATTGCTGGAGATATTATGTCTCAAAGTTGCTGAAACCTCAGAGTCATACTGTCGAAGACTGTGGTATGGGGTCATACAAATTACTGTATCTCCACAAGTATTGCATCGGCAAACATAACACTTTACCAATGTTCATTGGGAACATGTGTGCATGTTCACACCAAATTTCATCAAAATCTGTGAGCTGGGAGCCCCAGACCCCTTAACATGGAATGACCCAGGGGCTTTAATTGGATGGAAGTCTAGAAAACAAACTACTGTTACCATTTCTACTGTGGAGGCAGAATTTATTGCTCTATTCTGAACTATCTGAACTTTGTTCAGAAGTAACTTGCTATGTACAGCTGTTAAAGGATTTAAACTTAGTCAATGAAGCTGTAACAGTGTTTGAAGATGTTCAAATTTGCTTGCTTCACTGTTCTTCAGAAGACAATTTAGCAGATGTAATGACCAAGCCATTGGGTGGAATGCACCATGGGAAGAATATTATGGTTTTATGTCAATTCCAGTCATAAAGGGAGGAGTGTCAGTGTATAAAGAATTTATACAAGGGCAATGATGGCCAATGGGAACTGTTTTTTGACTGAGACACAGAATTTGCTGTCAGAGCCATGTGAGCCGGCTTTATTCTGGGTGAGGTTTAGCTATTCTGTGTTCAGAGTTTGTTCTTTCTACCATGTTGCAAGAACTGCATAGGTATTGTTTGCTTGTATATTTTTATATTTTTGTAGATAAAGGAGTTTTTCTATATTATGAATCCTGCTCAATTCTTTGAATGTGTGCTGGGTGAAGCAACAATTACTAACAACATGCATAAAATTATCTTTGTTGCATTAAAAATTACTAACACACTAAAGTGTTTGGATGGCCTTGGGGGGGGTGGTATATTTCAGCTCCTGCTGGGTTGAAACTGTTTTTCTAAATACAGATTATTAAACTTTCTCTGTCACACTGCAGAAAAAAAGAAATAGATACATACAAATCAAAGATTACTTCCATTCTTTTAAAATGGATTTTAACTACTTTCCCATCGTTTTAAATTCTTTGTTTTGCTCTGTAGCTAAGCACTTTATCTTTTTTTTTTGAAGTTTTTTCAGTTTTTTTTATATACATAATATAAAATGTACATTTTCTTATAATTAATCATATATTTTCCTTAAAGAAAGCATTAAAATAAGATATTTTAATTACTTTTGGAGTTGCTCTTCTATCTTTTCTTTGGGTGTCATTGTTGACTCCAAATGTGGTTGAATATTTTCATTTTCTCTTTTCATTTATGGTCTAATGATATATCCCTCCCTTAAATTCTCCAAAGGTCTTAAGCTTCCTAGTCACATTCATTGAGGCAAATTTCCTACTCAATCCCTAAGTAAAATTGTTTTTCCCCCATCATAGTTTACATCGAAATTCCTTTTCCACCATCTTCATCTCCAGTCAGAGATGAAATGCCATTTCCCCCTCTTCCTTTCTCAATTGAAGAGCCTCGTTATGAGGTAAAATTTTCGGACTATCCAGAGATTTCAAGTTTTTCTCCATTTAGTTTTCTTTTTTCGTTTTGTTCAGGGTCGCCACGTCGGACAGGGAGCCATCGAGAGGGCCCTTTCCTCCTACTCCCGTGCCCATCATCCTTGCCCCTCTCCCTTCCCCTCAGACGCGCTCCTCTTTCCCGCCCTTTCTAGAAACCTGGCAGTTTGCGCCAACTCCACCAAGGGGCGACTTCCACAAAGACAAGGGAAGTCCAGGCGCTTCCCCATTGGTCCACTGGAGGGCGAACGTCACAGCTGCCTTTCCAGAGGTGGCTGCGAATGACATTACAAACGCTTGCCGCTCTAGGACGCCGCACTCGCTCTCCTTAACCCCTTGGGCTCGGCAGCAGGTGGAGATGCTGCAGGAGAGTCTGGCGGGGGGAGATGCGGACATGCCCCGGGTGAGGAGATGGGCTCTTCCCGGGTCCCATGTTCCCCAGCCACCCTCTCCATGTAGGGGGAAGCGGAAAAAGCGGGGATACCATGAAGCTGGGATCGGGGCTCCCTCCCCGCCCCCTGTCTGGGGAAGAGCCCGAGTGGGGGAGGGGAGGGTCGGCCTTGTGGAGGCCCAGCAGGAGAGGAGAGAAGCCTGGCGAGGAGGCAGGATTCGCACCAGGTTCCCTGTCTCCGGAGGGGGAGAGAAGCGGGGCGGCCTCTCCAGCTGCCTCCTTCCCGGACCTGGGCTGGGATGAACCGCTTTGGAGCCCTGGCAGGTTGGGTGAAGGTTGTTCAGTGGCTGAATTCCACTTTCTAATTCTTAATATTTATTTTTCTTTCCATCTCAGATACAGAAACTGGAAGCCGTTTGAAATCTTTGCAAGCCAAAATTTTCTCCCGGAATAAAAAAAGAGCGGAATCCCTTGGAGGGATCAGTCCTGCAGCCCCAGAAATGGTCCCGTGAAGGAAAAGGCATCTGGAGACCCACTAGAGCCCTTGGACCCATTTGGAATTGCTCTGCAGGACAGAGAAAGGATGGAGACACAACCTTTTGGAAAGGAGGAAAGCGGAAAAGGCCCTTCAGCTGTTCAGTCTGGGAGCTATGGGGAGATCCGGACAAGGACTGGGCAGGAGATCCTGAAGGAGGAAACCATCCTCCCTTCAGAAGTTCAGCCCTGGAATTTCATGCAATACCAGGAGGCTGAAGGTCCCCGAGGACTTTGCAGCCGACTCCATCACCTTTGCCATCAGTGGTTGAAGCCAGAAAGACATACAAAGGCACAGATGCTAGACCTAGTTGTTCTGGAGCAACTCCTGTTCCTTCTGCCCCCAGAGATGGGGAGCTGGGTGCAGGAGTGTGGAGCAGAGACCAGCTCCCAGGCAGTGTCCCTGGCTGAAGGCTTCCTCCTGAGTCAGATGGAGGAGCAGAAGGAGCAGGTGAAGTTGCAGGTGAGACACTTTAGGGAGCCCAGAAGGGAATAAAGAATGTGTTTGAATACTTCACCCCTCTTCCCAAATTTCTCTGACATTCATATGTGATGATGTCCCACCAATTCTTGTAGGATATTGTTCCATTGTTTTCTCACTCAACCTCACTGATGTATATTGGGGGCTTTGTGATTGTTTTCCAATATAAGAATCCACTATATGTCGTGTGATGTACATTAATTTTGCTTCATTTTTCCTTCCTCCTATTGGAAGTGCTTCACTGTGGAGATCAGAGATCTTGATGGAAAGAAGAATCCATCAAATCCCCCTCAGGAGCTATTTTTCAGGAGGATCCCTTGGGAAGATCCAAGTTGGAACACTTCAGGAGGTACTTGGAGATCTTCTGATTACCCATCTATCTTACCTGCGTTCCCTCTTTTCTATAGAATACCTCCTTCTATTTTGTTAATTATGCATTTTGAAATTGTTTTATCTTTACAGAGAAACAAAGAATGAAGTTTTCTAGTTTTTATGATGGAGATCAAACAGCGGTTGAACCTCCAAATCAAGTAAGAAACGGAAAAGTTATTAAATTTGTATTCTCCCTTCAGGTAGTGAAGCGGGTGTGCAGAGGGCTCTCTCCTTCTATTTACCCCCCTTGTTTGGACTAGGTTATTTTTGTGTTCTTCCATAACATGGACATCACAATAGCAGATTCAAGTTGCTATCAGCCAGCATAACCAGCCAGCTCTGGTTATCTTGTTCTGCTAGGTACTCTTCCAACTATGAGTTTACAAGAAGTAATTTTTTAACAAGTCTTTCAAGAATTTTAATCTGTGTTTCGGCCGAAATATTTAATAATTTTAAGGGATTTTTTAATATTTGTATTATCTGTATTTTATCTTGGCTGTTCACCTGAGTCCTTCGGGAGTAGGGCGGTATAGAAATTTGATTAATAAATAAATAAATAAATAAGAATTAATAATAAACGTATCACCGTGACAAGAACTGCTAGAGACCCATTCTTTTTGTAACTCATTGACTTGGAATTATGCAAGGCTAATGAAAAATAAATAAATACATTGCCACATTACCATTTTTGAAAAGCCTTATTTATAACCTCTAGTTCAAAAATAAGAAAATCATATTAAAACATAAAGCAGAGTATTAAATTCCAAAGGGAGTGGCCGTGTTGAACATGTAATCATGGTACTTTGGACTACAAGAAAATTTCCAATCCTTTGATTTGAGCCTTGTTTAGGAGATCAAAGATTCCCGCTTCGAAAGACAGAAATGACTTTCGTGGGGAATTTTTTCTTCTTTGTTTTCTTCCATTCAGCCAATGGCTCAGACTACTAGATCAATCAATGATAGACAGAGCGATAGATCAGTTGATCCAGAAGTGGGACTACTTTACTGAAAGGCACTGAAGGTTTTGCAGAATCAGTAAAGAAGTTTGATGACACTTCCCCAAATATTTCTTCAGTCGAAGAAATTTCGAGAATTGTCCATTTTCTCACCTAAAAATAGGACTTGTGTGTCGCACAGCCATTTAAGTTAGTGCATATTTTTCCTTTGGGAATTTGGGAACAATAGACCAGAATATCAGAATTGGTAGGGATCTTGGAGGTCTTCTGTCCAACCCCCTGCTCAGACAGGAAGCTTTATAACATTTCAGATTTCTTCATAAACATTTCCAATGTTGGAGCACCCACAATTTCTGGAGGCAAGTCATTCCACTGATTAATTGTTCTCACTGTCAGGAAATTCCTGTTTAGTTGTAGGTTGGTTCTCTCCTTGAATAATTTCCATCAATTGCTTCTTGGAAGAGTGCTATCATGTCACCCCCCTGATCCTTCTTTTCATTAAACTAGACATACCCAATTCCAGCAACTATATAATGAACTCTTGCTGGAATTGGTGCTGGAGACTAAAACATATAATATTTTGGCCTCCAGTCCACTAATAATTTTTGTTGCTCTTCTCTGCACTCTTTCTAGAGTCTCAATATCTTTTTTTACATTTGGCAACCAAAACTGGATACAATATTCCAAATGTGGTCTTACCAAGGCATTATAAAGTGGTACTAATGTGGGATCTTGATTCTATCCCCCTCTTAATGCAGCCTATGATTCTGTTGGGGTTTTTTTGGCAACTGTAGTTACACTGCTGGCTCATGTTTAAGTGATTGTCCACTAGGACTCCAAGTTCCCTGTTGCACTTTTTACTGTTGAGCCTGGTATCAGCTATTCTGTGCCTGTGCATTTGGTTTTTCTTTCCTAAATGTAGAACCCTACATTTCTCACTGTTGATTTCATTTTGCTAGATGGGGCCCAATCTGTCGATCCTTCTATACCTCGAGCTTCTGGACTGTTGGTATTCCTGTCAATTTGGTCATGTCTGCAAATTCGATGAGTTCCCCTTCTATCCTCTTGTCTAAATCATTGATGAAGATGAATGGATCTTGCGAATCCTCCTATTCTGTTTTTTTGTTCCCGTGTTCAGGAGGGTTTTGTGTCCTTTGAGGAGGTGGCTGTGTCTTTCTCTGAGGAGGAATGGTCTCAGCTGGATCCTGACCAAAAAGCGCTGCATTCGGAAGTCATGCTTGAAAACCATAGGAACGTGGTCTCTCTGGGTAAGCGTTTTCTAGTCCCCAATCAGAGTTCAAAAAGACAGATTATAATTAGTTTTTTATTTAAAAAAGTTACTAATCCGATATCATCTCCTGTGAGGAAGAAGGAAAGGATCTGGCCTTCTCGTACTCCAAAGAAGGAAGAAGTCAACGTCATTTTGCTTACATGCTTTCTGTGCCATTTCCTATCTGTATTTTTCCATTTCTTATCTGAGGCTGAGAAGAATGGGGTGTGCTTTTATGTGTCCTCTGGAGGTCATGTGAGAGGAATGTGTTTTCATTTGTCCTCTGAAACCTCCCCAAATTGTGTGAGGACAGAACTTTCACGCTCAGGCCGTGGAAAAGCATTCTCCATCAGTAGTGGGATTCAAAATCTTTAACAATCGGTTCTGTGGGCGTGGCTTGGTCGTCATGTGACTGGCTGGGCCTGTCTGAGTGGTCATGTGACTGGGTGGGCATGGCCAACTTGACGTCACTCACGTCAAAGGGTGCCTTGCCTGGCCTCTCCTCGCCTCAAAACCCTAAATGAGATACATTTTCCCTGTCTATTTATTTACTACTACTGAACATCCAAAATACACTATTTAATCCTATGTATATGTGCCATATGTGTACATACATAGTATCTTGTGTGTATAGGCACACAAAAAGATACATTATCTACTATATATACTGTATGTGTATGTACAAACACACACACACAGCTCTTCTAAAACTATACACATTCAACCTCACTGCGTTTGGAAAAACACCCAGAGTCCACTTTCTGCCACACATTTAACTATAACTTGTGTACATTAGAACATTACACACGCCTTCAGATTTACTTCCCTAGCCTGCACATGCCTGTTAGATGTCATGGATTGAGTATAATGTAGCAAAACTCACTTAACAATGCTCTTGCTTAGCAACCAAAATTTTGGGTTCAATTGTGGTCATAAGTGAAGGACTATCTCTTCCTTCCTCTGCATGGCAGCCTTGTCCTAGTAAACTACTTCCCTTTTCTGGCAATTTTCCTCTCTTGTTAGGGGCACCAAAATAATCCAGATGATATAAAGTCTCCTACTGGAGCAGGGAGTTGGACTAGATGGCCTCCAAGATCCCTTCTAACCCTGCTATTCTATGATTCTGTAAGGATCTCCTGCTGGAACAGGAGGTTGGACCAGATAGAACAGTAGTGGCGAACCTTTTTCTCATTCGGTGCCGGAAGTGTGTGTGTGCGTGCGCAACCATGTGTTCCAGCACCCATAATGCAATGCAAACCCCTACCACATGTGCATGCGCACACGCCCCTCCGTGCTCCCCCTGCACATCCCCCCCCCTGCACATTTGCTTTGCTACCTCTGTGCTCTGTTTTGGGCCTGGAACATCATTATTCCGAGGCAGGGCCGTTTGGCCCAACCGATTCTTGCTGTGTCTGTACGCGGTGGGCTTTCTGGTGAGCTGGCGAGACTGCGCGGTTACCTCAGTGGCTTGTAAAGCTTGGGCTGAGCCTCTGGGCTGCCAGGTCCGGAGCTGGCAGCAGCTTCTTCCTATCACTCAGCCCTTGCCTTGGGGTGACTTTTTCGGCATTCAGCCCTGAAGGGTAGTGGAGTCTTCCACTCTGCATGTGCTCAGAGGCAGTCTGCAGTCCTCTGGATCCAAGTCTTGGCGTTGGAAGAAAAGCAAATTTCCGAAAGGAGCAGATTGCGAGGAGGAGGAGGAGGAGGCGAGGATGGGCAGGCCGGGCTTCCCTGTCTCCCCACCTGAGCGGGCTTCTGGCATAGCCCTAGACCTCCAGGGGGAGGGAGGGAAGCCCTGGCCTGCTGCTCCTGCTGCCGCCACCCACTTGCCCCGGCAACAGCGGTTCTCATGCTGCCCCTTCTCCGGCAGCACCAGGAGCAGCTGGTGGGGCAGAGAGGGCAGTGGCAGGCTGCGGCGTCAGGCCGTTCTCACCGGCTAAGAAACCGGCCATTACTATCGGGCTTATTCAACCCAAGACACGCACACAAACGCACACACGCTCTTCGCTTCCAATCAAACCTACACCAGCGGAGAAGGGGCCAGCATGCACATGGCAGCCAGAAAAGAAGTCGCAGCAACAGAAGCTGAGATGTTTGCAGTGGTCATAAAAACTTAATTAAGCTGCCTTAAGCAGTTCAGTGCGTTTTGCCCCATTTCCCTGGAGGCAGGTAATGGGAGCTTGGAAGCAGCTGAATTTGGAGGATCAAAAAGAAAATTCAAAAAGAAAATAAAAGAGACTGAAAAAAAAAAAAAATCCCCTCAAAAGGCTGCAAAACGGGCAGTGAGGGAGAAGACATCCAAGCAGGCTGTGACATTGGGGAGGGAAAGAATGAGAGATGGGAAAAGCTGAACTTCTTGTAGCCTTCTTCCAGCTTTATGCTGAGCTTACTTGCAGCTGGGACCGGGACGGGATCTTCCCCCGCCCCCCACAAGGTGAGCTGTGGCTGTGAGGGATGGGGAGGGGTGAGGCTTCAGTTGATTTCCCAAACTGAACATAAGGTTAACTGGCTGAATCCCACCACTGCCTACACCATTTCTAACAGATGTCTGGTTTTCTTGAAAGCTTCCAGTGATGAAGCTTCCAAAAATTCTGAAGGCAAGCTGTTTCATGGGTTGATTGGTCTCACAGTCAGAAAATGTGAAAGAAGCAGTTCAGTATTGTTGTATGTGCCCTGTGAAAGCTTGTTAGATTTCAATCTGGATTTATTCAACCTTGGAGCAGATTTTCCCATGGGCAATGCAACAGGGGTAGGAGAGGGGGTCACGCAGTCCCTGTACATGTGAGACAGAGCAACTTACCAAAATTAGGCAAGCAGCCAAGGCAGGCAACAGTGACAAACAGGGAGGGAGACAAATGGGCGACGGAGGCAAATGGGGGCAGCGGAGACAAACAAGGGTGAGGGAAATGGGGGCAGTGGAGAGAGAGAGAAACGGCAACTGAGGCAAATGGGGATGACGGAGGCAAACGAGGAGAGAGACAAATGTGGCGACAGTGGCAAACAGGGCAATGGTGGCAAGCGGGGCGACGGAGGCAAATGGGGAGGGAGACAAATGAGGGTGACTGAGGCAAACGGGGAGGGAGACAAATGTGGTGACAGTGGCAAATGGGGCAATGGTGACAAGCGGGGCGACGGAGGCAAACGGGGAGGGAGACAAATGAGGGCGACTGAGGCAAATGGGGAGGGAGACAAATGGGGCCAATAGAGGCAAATGGGGACAGCGGAGGCAAATGGGGAGGGAGGCAAATGGGGACAGCGGAGGCAAACGGGGAGGGAGGCAAATGGGGGCAGCGGAGACAAACGGGTGAGACAAATGGGGGCAGTGGAGAGAGAGACAAACGGCAACTGAGGCAAATGGGGATGACGGAGGCAAACGGGGAGGGAGACAAATGTGGCGACAGTGGCAAATGGGGCAATGGTGGCAAGCGGGGCGACGGAGGCAAACGGGGAGGGAGACAAATGAGGGTGACTGAGGCAAATAGGGAGGGAAACAAATGGGGCCAATAGAGGCAAATGGGGACAGCGGAGGCAAACGGGGAGGGAGACAAATGAGGGCGACTGAGGCAAATAGGGAGGGAGACAAATGGGGCCAATAGAGGCAAATGGGGACAGCGGAGGCAAACAGGGAGGGAGGCAAATGGAGGCAGTGGAAACAAACGGGGCAACGGAGGCAAATGGGGGCAGCAGAAGTAAACGGGGAGGGAGACAAATGAGGGCGACAGGCAAGTGGGGAGGGAGACATGGGCCACTGAGGCCAAATGGGGCGATGGAGGCAAATTGGGAGGGAGACATCCCCCAAGTAGTTAAGACCCAGTTCCAAAATTATGACCACAGGCTAAATGCTTTGCAAATAGAGGGAAGGCCTCTTCGTTTTCAAAGACTTTTGCCCTGCTGTAAAGTTGGACTCTCTTGTGCAGTCCTCAATTCATAAAGAACACAAGTCTAAAGTATTGCAGTGCAAGATCACGTGAGATGAGTACCCTGAGGTCTTGCACTACTGGTCTTGTGTGATCTCGCACTAAAGTAGTTTAGGCCTCCATTCTCTTATGAACAGAAGGCTGTACCAGATCCGACCATAAAGTCCTTGCAAGCCAATGAGACTTTGGTGCAGCAAAATAACCATTCTTGAAGCCTCCCATCCTTTCCAGTCTCAGCATGAAGAGCATTTACAAGCCAATGGGAGGCTTCAAGCAAGGATTTAGCTTCAAAATCTCATCACCTGTCAGACACACATCATGGAGCAGCTGCTCCAAGGTACACTGGGGAAGAAGGAGCTTGTTTCAAAATTGTTTCGTTTCTCACAGGTCTCTGCTGTAATTTTATGTACATCAAGAGCATATGCACCAAGACAAATTCCTTGTGTGTCCAATCACACTTGGCCAATAAAGAATTCTATTTTATTTTATTTGATTTGATTTGATTTGATTCTAATTAACCCACCCCAATAAATTTTAAGTTTTCCCCTAATTCCTCCTTGGAGGTTTTCCCTGATTATTCCTTAACTCAAAACTGACTTTGAGTGAGATTTGCATATAAATAGATTATTGTAAGGAAAGAGATGTTTTCTAGATATTTTCAAAGCTTTCATGACTCATGAATATAGAAATCATCGTGTCTATGTCACACCACTGTAAGCATACAAACATACAACCTAATGGAATTTCAGAAAAATTCAGAAGGAAATTCACTTGACTTTCTACTGTTTGATCTTTTTCTCTAACCTTATCATTTTTATTTCTCTTTTGCTTTGAAGGTAATAATGGGCAGGAGAATCAGGATTCCTGGGAACCGTTCCAAGTGATCGATGCTAAAGATGGAATGGAGAAGTTTGGATTTCAAATGGAATTAGAAAACCATGAGTGGAACCAGTCAAATAATTGGTATCAGGAAAGCTCATCTTCCACTGATGCTTTGATGCAAGACTTTCTTGCCCAACAAGAGAAAATAAGGGAAAACTATATTGGGGAAAGTATGAAGCTAATCAAAGCTAAATTACATGTAAATGAACACTATTTAAGCCAAAACAAAGCAGAAGATGCTATAAGAAGACACAACGGACAAAATTACAATGGAACATTCTTTCTTTCTCTTGGAAATAACTTCCTTACATCTCAAAAAGTGATTGACACAAAAGAGAAGCCTTACAAATGTTTGGAATGTGGAAAATGTTTTAGAACAAATGGGCAACTTACTTCCCATGAAAGAATTCATACTGGGGAGAAGCCATACAAATGCAGAGAGTGTGGCAACAGGTTCAGAAGATGTAGTAATCTTATTTCCCATAAAAGGATCCACTCAGGAGAGAAACCCTATAAATGCATGGAGTGTGGAAAGACCTTTGCTCAGAGCATTGGACTTAGAAGCCACAAAATGATCCACACAGGAGAGAAACCATATAAATGCATGGAATGTGGAAAGACCTTTGCTCTGAACAGTAGACTTACTATCCACAAAAAGATCCACACGGGGGAAAAGCCATTTAAATGCATGGAGTGTGGAAAGACTTTTGCTCAAAGATGTCATCTTATTTCCCACAAAAGGGTCCACTCAGGAGAGAAACCATATAAATGCATGGAGTGTGGGAAAACCTTTACTCATAGCAGTGGACTTACTATCCACAAAAGGCTCCACACAGGAGAGAGACCATATAAGTGCGTGGAGTGTGGAAAGACCTTTGCTCAACATAGATATCTTGCTTCCCATAAGATGATCCACACAGGAGAGAAACCATATAAATGCATGGAGTGTGGGAAAACCTTTACTCATAGCAATTCACTTGCTATCCACAAAAGGCTCCACACAGGAGAGAAACCATATAAATGTATGGAGTGTGGAAAGGCTTTTGCTCTGAACAGTACACTTACTATCCACAAAAAGATCCACACAGGAGAAAAGCCGTATCAATGCATGGAGTGTGGGAAAACCTTTACTCATAGCAGTGGACTTACTATCCACAAAAGGCTCCACACAGGAGAGAAACCATATAAATGCATGGAGTGTGGAAAGACCTTTGCTCAACGCAGTTATCTTGCTTCCCATACAATGATCCACACAGCAGATAAACCATTTAAATGCATGGAGTGTGGAAAGTCCTTTGCTCAAAGAGGTCATCTTATTTCCCATAAAATGATCCACACAGGGGAGAAGCCGTATAAATGCACACAGTGTGGAAAGACTTTTACTCGTAGAAGTGTTCTTACTATCCACAGAAAGCTCCACACAGAAGACAAACCATATAAATGCATGGAGTGTGGAAAGACCTTTGTTTTGAGTAGTAGGCTTAGTATCCACAAAAAGATCCACACAGGGGAGAAACCATATAAATGCATGAATTGTGGAAAGGCATATGCTCGGAGCTATGATCTTACTTCCCATAACAAAATCCACACAGGAGAGAAGCCATATAAATGCATGGAATGTGGAAAGAGCTTTGCTCGGAATCATAGCCTTACTTGTCATAAAAGGATCCATGCTCGGGAGAAACTATATAGCAGTAGCCATTCCACTTAAACTTATATACCACTCCAAACTGCTGTACAGCATTCTCTGAGCAGTTGTTCTGTCCCCGCCTCACACACGCACCCCCACAGACGGCCAAGAGTTAATAAGCCAACACACGAAAGATTCTTCGATGACAAAGTTGGCAGCAACCCAATGGCTGGCTGCCAATAATCTTTACTTACAAGGAAGGAGTTTCCCCTTTGTTCGGAACACCAAAACAAAATCACAATAACAAAGAGATTAGTCCGAATTCAGTCCGATAAGTCAGGCAAAGTTCCAGCAACACAGAGAGGATGAGTTATTTCCAGTTTTTGCTCATCATAGAGCTTGAACGGCCACCACACCCCCTTTTATACCCTGTGGGATGTGGTCCAGTGACTCAGCCTAATCCCTGAAACGCCTCTTTCTCTGCTGCGCGCGCTTATCTCTGCGACGCTGTCGAGGGTCCAGCCAAGACTCATCTTCCTCATTACTGTCCGCCTGTGGCTGCGTGGACGTGCTTGGCCCCGGGCCTATCTTTTGGCCTTCGGTGTCCTCCGGAGGCATTGCCAGAGAGGAAGGTCCTGGAGAGGGAGGCCTTGCCAACTCCTCTCCTTCACTCTCGGAGTCCTCTCCTGCTGATAATCCAGGCTCAGGGAACGGAGCCACAACAGCAGTTTATAAAGTCAGCAAATGGTCAAAACCTGGCTCAAAAACAGTAGCTGTGAGTGGGACCTTGGATTTTGGTTTGGCTAGTCTAGAGAAAAGAAGGATTAGAAGTGACATGATAGCAATATTCCAGTAATTGAGAGGCTGCCACAAAAGAGGAGGGAATCAATTTTTTTTCCAAAGCACCAGAGGGCAAGACACGAAACGATGGAAACTAATAATGGAGAGAAGCAACCTGGAATTTCCTTACAGTGAGGACAATTGGGCAGAAGCTGGCAGGTGGGCACCCCCCACCTGCTCCAGGAGGGAAGGCAGGCTTCGCGCTGTCTGGCTTAGCCATCCAGGTGGAGATGGGCACCGCAGCAGGTGGGATGGAGGCAGGAGGGATGTGCGAGCGGGCTCGGTGGAGCCACTTAGCAGGGAGGGAGACTCCTGCCCATTTGGTTTGCTTCAGCATGGGGTGGGAACACAGAAGGCAGAGGAAATCCATGCCTCGGTGTTCCATCATCAAAGACTCCTTTGCATCCCAGAATTTGATCCTGCACTCTCTCTCTTTCTCTCCTCCCTCCCTCCTTCTTTCTCCTTCCTTCCTTCCTTCCTTCCTTCCTTCCTTCCTTCCTTCCTTCCTTCCTTCCTTCCTTCCTTCCTTCCTTCCTTCCTTCTCTCTGATTCTGATTCTCTAGCACCTCATTTCTTGCTGGGTTTTGCGGGTGCTTCTCCCAGCCCTTTTTGGTGTGCACAGTACCAACAAAGGCCGGAAGAAGCGCCTGCGAGATCCAGCAAGAGATAAGGCAAGTGCAGGGGTGCTTTGCTCCTGCTCTGGAATATGGAGCGAGTCTCCATCCCCTGCCGTCGACCTTACCTTCTCAGGCCAGGAGAGGAGTGACTGGGAGGGGAGGGTGAGGGGCAGAGCCAGCCAGTGGTGGGATCACCTGACAGCCACAGCAGAGGGACAAAAGAGCCGCATGCAGCTCTGGAACTGCAGGCTGCCGACACCCGAGCTAGATGAATCTCGGAAACGGAGATACTAGATGGCTTTTCCCAGCCAGTTGATTGAGAACCTGCTAGAGAGGTTGAAACAGATGAGCATTGAGAGCATAGGATAACCATGCAGATCTGAAGCACCCAGAGTGATCCTGAACTGGCCTACTTTGACATTCCCACCAGTTTCAGTTGCAGTGACTCAGTTGGCTAGCCCTCCCCCAGTGCTGTCGGCAGTCTTGCCTGGATCCACAGCAAAGCCCACTGCCCTTTCATCAGTTACTGACCCACCTGGCCACCCACACCACCTAGCAAGGACCCCCACCATGGGCATATTACCCTGGGGCCAGCTGGGTCCTGGGGCAATGGACTTCATCTTGGGCATTGCCGCAGCCTGCTCCCCCTCCCCAATCTGCCCTTCCATCAATGAAGGCCACCTTCGAAGGGAACCAAACAAGCAGGGGTGGGCCCACGTAGACGATCATGGTGCAGACTACCTCAGCGTCTAAACCATGGTCTGGGCCATAACAACAAACTTGAAGGGGAATGCAGCAGACTGGGCCACCCAACTCCATGATGAAGCCATGTCAGAAATTTCAGAGCTGCTTTCAGTTCAGAGCTACTTTCGATGGAACCCCAGGGAAGCTGGTGTACTTTCTGAACTGGATCTGGTCCCATCTCTACTGTTATAGGGCTCAATACCAATCGGATCAGGAAATAATCTTAGCGAAAACTCGCTCGGCAAGCTGTTGAGGTTCCTCCCCCACCTTCAAAAGGGAAAGAAGCTCCAGCTCTGAAACCCTCTCCAGGCACCACCAGAAAGAGCAGCAAGGCCAGTGAAGAGGATCCGATGGTAAATGAAGCCATCTGCCCCTTTGCCATAAAGTTCCGAACAGTGGTACCCAGAATGGGCCCAGGGGAACATAGAAGCTGTCATAGACACTGGGTGTACTAGGTGCCTAATTAGTCTCCCCACTGTCCAGAAGACAGGTCTAGTTTTCTGAACACTTTGCCCTTTGATAGGTGACTTAGCATGTCTTTTATTAGGGGGGAGAGGGTAGGTATTCTCCACGCACATGGCGTTAATTCCATGGGAATTCACACAGACTCTAATTTCCTCCCCCCATCCTTTTTTTTGATGGGGGAGGAGGAAATTACTGCACTGGGGCCGCCACTTTAGATTTGGCGGGCTGAATGAAACCCCTTGGCAAATTGGTGTTGATGTACTTCCTCAATTTGTCCATCTCTCTAGGGATCATGGAATACGTCTTGATTTTTGGCACTTAGCTCTTGGCACAAATTCTATTGCTCAGTGGGTGGAGCAGGGAGGGGGGAAAGGGGGAAGATATTGTGCTCGCTGAATGCATCTGCCAGGAACCTGTACTCTTTGGGCACCTGGGGGAAGCCAGGTGGGCCATCCGCAGCGGCTGCTACCCTCTCTCCCCAACCAGGCCTGATTGGGGGCTGAAGTGGTTGAGCTTTGCCTTGAGGGAACAGTGATAGTGGACAGATGCCTATTTTTAGCTTCCAGTAGCCATCTTCCCACGTTATGGCTGGACCCCATTTGTCCAGCCAAGCAAGGCCTAGGATGACCAACTCTTTCATCTTTGGGGCTACCACGAAGTGTATAGGTTTCCACTGGGGTCCCATCTCCACTCTCACAAGCTCAGTGACTACAGTGGCTCGGGCTTTGACTATTAACATCCCATCAACTTCCTCGAAGCATATTGGGCGCCCCAGTTCTAGAAGGGAGTTCCTAAACTCCATAGGATTGACTCAAGGGCTTAACTCGGCATTTCATCTGAGTGCTAACGGAGCCATGGAACACGCAAATGCCATGGTGGAGCAGTATCTGAGATGCTATGTGGACTATCAACAAAACAACTGGGCGGACTTGCTGCCTTTCCTGGAGGTGGCTTACAATAACACAGTGCACAGTAGCACCGACTGATTCCCCTTCCAAACGGCTAGGGGTATGGACTTTGTCCCCATGCCCAGGCTGCCTCAAGAGCTGCCATCATCCATGACCCTGGCAGAGTGAATGGAATTGTTAAGGCTGGGTTGGGAGAATATAAAGTGAGCCCTGGCTGAGGTGGCAAAACACAAGCAGATAAGCACTGATCCTTCCATCCCCCCTTCCGGGTGGGAGATCATGTATACCTATCAACAAAATACATTAAGCTAAAATTGCCTAGCAAGAAACGGGGGGCCTAAGTTTCTAGGGCCATTCTCAATAGTGAAAGAAAGTAACTCAGTGACAGTACAACTTAGTCTCCCACACCTGCTAGGGAAAGTGCATACAGTTTTCCATTGCAGCTTGTAAAAGCCGGTAGTTAACTCACAGCTAACACTGAGGAACAGGGGAGCTCCTTAACTGGTTATGGTACAGGATGAGACCCATTATAAGGTTAAGAAAATATTGGGCTTAAGGTTACACTGGGGTTGCTTGCAATATTTAGTCCACTGGAAGGGATATCCTTTGAGGCTACGTAAGTGAAGAGCTGGGATGTAAAAGCATAGAATAGAATTTTTTTTATTGGCCAAGTGTGATTGGACACACAAGGAATTTGTCTTGGTGCATAAGCTCTCAGTATACATAAAAGAAAAGATACATTCATCAAGCATCATAAGGTACAAACTTAAGAATATCATAGGGTACAAATAAGCAATCAAATCATTAGGAAACAGTCAATATAAATCGTAAGTATACAAGCAACAAAGCTACAGTCATAAGTGGAAGGAGATGGGTGATGGGAATGATGAGATTAATAGTAGTGCAGACTTAGTAAGTAGTTTGACTGTTGAAGGAATTATTTGTTTAGCAGTGATGGTGTTTGGGAAAAAACTTCTTGTGTCTAGTTGTTCTGGTGTGCAGTGCTCTATAGCATCGTTTTGACGGTAGGAGTTGAAACAGTTTATGTCCAGGATGCGAGGGGTCTGTAAATACTTTCACAGCCCTCTTTTTGACTCATGCAGGTCCTCAATGGAAGGCAGGTTGGTAGCAATTGTTTTTTCTGCAGTGCTAATTATCCTCTGAAGTCTGTGTCTGTCTTGTTGGATTGCAGAACCAAGCCAAACCATAGAAGTGCAGATGACAGACTCAATAATTCCTCGGTAGAACTGTATCAGCAACTCCTTGGGTAGTTTGAGCTTCCTGAGTTGGCGCAGAAAGAACATTCTTTGGTGTGCTTTTTTGATGTTAGATGTCCATTTTAGGTCTTGAGATATGATAGAACCTAGAAATTTGAAGGTCTCTTCTGTTGATACTGTGTTGTCTAGTATTGTAAGAGGTGGAAGTATGGAAGGCTTTCTCCTAAAGTCTACCACCATTTCTACAGTTTTGGGTGTGTTCAGTTCCAGATTGTTCCGGTCGCACCACAAGGCTAGTTGTTCAACCCCACCGTCTGTATGCGGAGTCATCATTGTCTTGAATGAGACTGATCACTGTTGTGTCATCTGCAAACTTCAGTAGTTTAACAGATGGATCATTAGGGATGCAGTCATTGGTATATAGAGAGAAGTGGGGAGAGCACACAGCCTCGGGGGGGGGCTGTGCTATAATTGTACAGGTATCTGATGTGATTCTTCTTAGCTTGATTGCTGCTTCCTGTTCGTTAGGCAGCTTATGATCCACTTACAAGTGTGTTCAGGTACCTCTAGCTGGTTTAGCTTAGTTAGAAGCAGGGTGGATATAAATCAATGATTTTTTTTAAAAAAATCCGATTTAAATCGGATTTTTTTGATTATCAAATTTAAATTTTAATGAAATGCTTTTGAAGTAAAAATCTATCTAAAGATACTCTTCTATTTAAGATACATTAATAATTTAGTTTATTCAGCATGAAACGGAGCTTAGTTATGTAGCATGAGGCTGTATATTCTGTAATATTGGGACTGTCGGCGAATCAACAGCAGGTCAGAGGAGGAGCCGCTGCGGGACAGAGATGACAGTTGTTCTTTAAAAATTATGATTTAAATCGAGTTGATTTAAATCAAGCCCTTTTACTAGTGATTTAAATCATGATTTAAATCATGATTTAAACTGACTTGATTTAAATCAAATCCACCCTGGTTAGAAGAGAGTCAGGAATGATGGTTTGAATGCTGAACTAGTCTACAAAGAGGACCCTTGTGTAGGTCTTTGGAGATTCAAGATGTTGTAGGATGTAGTGCAGAGCCATATTAACAGCATCATCTGTTCGTCTATTTGGTCGGTATGCAAATTGCAAAGGGTCTAACAGCGGATCCGTGATGGTTTTCAAGTGGGACAGCACTAGCCTTTCAAAGGTTTTCATGACTACAGATTTTAGAGCAACTGGTCTGTAGTCATTCAGTTCCTTGATGGTGGGCTTCTTCGGCACTGGGATGATAGTAGAGCATTTGAAGCAAGAAGGAATATAGCACATGTCTAGCGATTTATTGAAGATTCGGTTGAAGATGGGGGCCAATTGATCAGCACAGACTTTTAGCAAGAAGGAGTTATCTTGTCTGGGCCTGGAGCTTTTCCTGGCTTTTGTCTGTGAAATAGGTCTTGTACTTCCTTTTCTGCGACCACTAGGGGTTGTGAACCCAATGGGATGGGGTCATATAGGTTAGTAAAACAATTCCATGAGAAATTCCCTAGCAAGCCAAAGGGGACCCCGTGAGGGGGGGGGGGGAGAGGTGGTTAGGAACAGCATTATTAACTCCTATCACTTATCTCGTTTCAGGATGTCCTCATCTGCTGAGTGGGGGCAGCCTGTCATCCCTGGAGCCATCTTTAATGGGAGTCTTCAGGGCTATCATAGAGGTGGCTGGGCAAGCTTTGGGAACGGGAAGGAGGAAGTAGAGATAGTGTGGGGTGTGTAATCAGAACATTCTTTTCCTTGGGAGTCAAGGACATCTTGGCAGCACCTGGGGAGGCATTTCTGGAAGTTAACTGAAGTTGGGACAGTGACCGGATTGGGCCATGGGTGCCAATATGTGCTTGGCGGGGAAGGAACTTTGATTTTTACTTTGGGGTGGGGAAAACGCGGGGCTTTCAGATTCGGGTTTTCCCCAGATGTGCCAAAATGATCTCTAATAAATTTGTACTTTGAGGAAGGTGCCTGCCTCGGAGTGTTGATTGTGTTGGGGGTGTTACTTGGAACCCTGACAGAAGGCACTTTACGAATGCATTGGGGGGTGGGAATAGGTATTGGGGCTGATTCATTTAACAGGGTCCACTTAACAAATTCTTGTGGTACAAATGTGATTGGCAAGCTCCATTCCATTTGTGACTCTAGGATTCTTATTCTTTCTTTCTTTCTTTCTTTCTTTCTTTCTTTCTTTCTTTCTTTCTTTCTTTCTTTCTTTCTTTATTCTTTATTCAAATTTCTATACCGCCTTTCTCCTTTCGGACTCAGGGCGGTGAACAGCCAAAAAATAAAACACTTTATATACAAAAGTTAAAATAAATTTAAAATAATTAAATAAATTTGGCCCATTAATTTAAAACATTCCAATTAAAAGCCATATCAAAATTATTAAAACCAATCATAAAATCAGGACAGCCCAGCTAACTGAAAAAAAATAGGTTTTGAGAGCCCGACGAAAAGTCCGGAGGTCTGGGATCACTCGTATCTCTGGGGGTAGATTGTTCCAGAGGGTGGGTGCTACCACAGAGAAGGCTCTCCCCCTGGGGGTCGCCAGCCGACATTGCCTGGCCAACGGCACCCTGAGGAGGCCCTCTCTGTGGGAGCGAACTGGCCGGTGGGAGGCAATTGGTGGCAGGAGGCGGTCCCGTAGATACCCCGGCCCTAAGCCATGGAGCGCTTTAAAGGTGATCACCAGCACCTTGAAGCGCACCCGGAAGTCCACCGGGAGCCAATGTAGCTTGCGTAGGAGAGGAGTCACATGGGAGTGCCCTGTCGCTCCCATAATCCCCTGCGCGGCCGCATTCTGCACCAGTTGGAGCCTCCGGGTGCACCCCAAGGGGAGCCCCATGTAGAGAGCGTTACAATAGTCCAGACGAGATTCCCTATATATTGCAATTTCACAAAAATTGAGAAGGAAGTTCACTTGACTTTCTACACTTTGATCTTTTTCCCTAACCTGGTTATCGTTTTCATTTCCCTTTCCTTTGGAGGCTACAATGGGCGGGCAAATAAAGATTCTGAAGAGCCATTCCAAGTGACCCAGCGTGAAGACAGAATAAAGAAACGTACAGTAAAAATGGAAAAAGAAAATTATGAGAGAAAGCAGTCAAATAATTGGAATTGGGAGAGTTCATCATCCACTGATCCTTCAGTGCAAGACCTTCTTGTCCAGCAAAGGAAAATAAGAAAGAAATATATTGGGAAAATGTAAAGCTAAATGTAAAGCTAATCAAAGCTAAATTGCTTGTAAATGAATTGTCTAACATCCCAGCCTTAGAGTCTTTCCCCTGTGCAAGTGGGTTTAGGATGAGGAGAAATTTGCCTAATTTTTACTTCAGAGTTATGATACCTTTCCAGTTTGATGATCTGTTAGCTGATAAATATGTATTAGAGGCTTTTGTAAACTTTTAATTAAGATCAGCCAAAATTATTAGTCAGGCTTTTCCCTACTTTTAGTAACATCTCTAACACCCACCCTGGATCATCCCAATGATGCCCTTGAAGTGATGTCCTGGTGCCTGGAGGCCGTGCGGATCTGGATGGGAAGAAACAGACTCAGACTCAACCCATCCAAGACCGAGTGGCTGTGGTTTCCGACATCCCAATATAGTCAGTTGGTGCCATCACTGACTATTGGGGGCGAGTCGTTGGCCCCCATGGATAGGGCTCGCAACTTGGGTGTCCTCCTGGACTCACGGCTGTCCTTAGAAGAGCATTTGACAACTGTGGCCGGGAGGACTTTTTATCAAGTCCGCCTGATTCGCCAGTTGCGTCCCTTTCTGGATTGGGACTCGTTACGTACGGTCACTCATGCCCTCGTCACCTCACGCCTGGACTACTGTAATGCTCTCTACATGGGGCTCCCCTTGAGGAGCATCCAGAGGCTCCACCTGGTCCAGAATGCGGCCGCGCGGGTGGTCATGGGACCGATGTGGCGCTCCCATGTGACTCCCCTCCTGCGCGAGCTGCACTGGCTCCCGGTAGTCTTCCGGGTGCGCTTCAAGGTCTTGGTTACCACCTTTAAAGCGCTCCATGGCTTAGGACTAGGGTACTTATGGGACCACCTTCTGCCACCAGTAGCCTCTCACCGACCAGTACGCTCCCATAGAGAGGGGCTCCTCAGGGTGCCATCGGCCAAACAGTGTTGACTGGCAGTCCCCAGGAGGAGAGCCTTCTCTGTGGGGGCACCCGCCATCTAGAATGAGCTCCCCCCGGAGATACGGAGGATCCCAGATTTACGCACTTTCCGCTGCGCCCTCAAAACATTTTTATTTCAGCAGGCTGGTCTGGCTTGACTCTCCCTTTTTAAATTGGCTTTTAAGTTTTATATAAATTGGGTATTTTAAATTCATCTTGGGCCTAAAGTATTTAATATATTTTAAAATGGTTTTTTAATTTTTGTATGATGTATTTTATCTTGTGGCTGTTCACCCCTCTGCGTCCTTTGGGAGTAGGGTAGTATGTTGCATTTGTTTCCTGGAGGCTGGAGATGAGTGAAAGGAAAACATCCACGGATAGCAGAATCAACAGCAGAATCAACAGCAACTTTATTGAGCATCAGACATACTTTATATAGTTTCTAAGTTTCTTAGTTCTCACCTACTATGCATGTTACTTTATTATTGGTTAACAAATCTCCAAGGCACAATAATTGGTTAGTAATTACATCATTGGTTTTCATGAGAATATGGATGTATTCACACACAATGAAAGATACAATGAAAGCGGCAAATGTTGCAGGTTATACACTGTTTCACCCTGTGTCCTTGTACATGCTAGAAACACTGCTCAAAGATGAGAACTGCTGACGTTTGCAATTTCGTGTAACTGCATTTTCCAAAACCATACAGGTGAGCATTGTAATAACCCTACATTTCCTCGCTTTTTATTTTAATGAAGGAAAACGAGATTTATCAAGAGCACGCAATTGAATCACATTCAAAGTAGGTTGAGGTGACTTACGAAACATTGCAAAAAATGTAGGAATACATTGCATACAACAACAAAAAAAGTATAAGTAATGCAATTACAATTACACCATAGAAAAACAATTGTTTTAACCAAGCAATATCAGGTAACCAATTAGTTAGTCAAGCAAAAGGAGAAAATTCTTCATGTACATTATTTTGTATAGAAGCTTGTAAATTAACTAATTCATCTTCAATAGTCTTATTAAGTGAATGGAAATGTACAGCACATTGACCAACCAATGTACAAAATCCACCTTGACGAGCTAACAAATAGTCTATAGCAAAACGTTGTTGAATCAAATCTTGATTTAGTTCTTCAATTTCATTCTGCAAATCAGGAATAATTGCAGCAATAGCATTAATAGATTTCCTCAATCGACATGTTAGTCCCAGAATAGAATGTCTATTTCCTTGAGCCATTATTCCTGGATATGATCCCAAAGTAATAGTTCCAGTTATAGTTCCAGCTAAAGCACGTCCAAAAGTAGGCAATGAAGAAAGTTGAGTATCAATAATAACTTCATCAGAACATGTTGGTCCCAAGGCTGCACATCTCCTTCGAGTTGACAATCTATCAGAAACATCTATTTGTACAGGTAAAGACAAATATCCAATTGCAGCACATTGGTAGTTCTGAGGGTGTACATTTGTTGCATATTTATCAAAGAAAAACCACATAGCAGGATCTTTTAATTGCCATCCAGCACAGATTGATCCACTTGATCCTATATCAGAAACTTCAGTAGCTTGAAAAATAGGAAAATCATCAGGATACATATCAGGTATAAGATTATGACCCTGTGATGTTTCATTAAGATTACCCCATAACCAATATTTCTGAATACAATAACTATAATTCCCTACTTTGTCTAAAATACATTTAGCTTTCGAGTGATCAGACCATTTATTAAGCCAATTATGATGAGCATAACAACAAAAACATAAACCTCTAGTAAATTGATTAATATGAAGATACTTCCATTTAACTAAATTTAATTCATGTGGAGGAGTAGAAAATAACCAAGAAGAAGAAATATGTTGAAGTTGCGAAACAATAAAACATGAGATGAGTGAAAGGAAAACATCCACAGATAGCAGAAGAATTAATGAGATTAGGAATAAAAGCAACTTGACCAAGAGCCATAGGAGGTTCATAATATAAAGTTACATTACTACCATGAATCAAAAACATACATTGAGCATGACGAATCCAAAGATTAACACTAAGGGGAAAATCAAGAATTGCCTCAGAGTTAGCAGAAACTAGAGAGAGAAAACAAAAGAAAAAACAACACATAAGAAAGGACTTGTTGAATCGTTGTTGAACTTCAAATTGGTCCCAAGTCAAGAGTGGAGGATGTTGTGACTTGAGAGTTTTCATTCGTTTTTCCATGGTAAGGACGAACACAGCGGCCTGGAATCCACACAGCTTGTTTCGTTTGCAGATCTTCAATTGCAGCGTAACCATGACCCCAGGTTATAAGTTTAGTAGGTCCACGCCAGGCAGGATCAGGAAGTTGACGATAGAGTACTAAAGGTCGTGAAACAGGATCCTGAATATGAAAATGTAAATTGACTGGAATTTCTGAAAAGGAATCTAAAGATGTTAAATAATTCCATGTAAACGGTATACGGTATACCGTATACGGTATATAGTAAACGGTATACGGTATAGGTCCATGTAAACGGTATACGGTATAGGGCGGTATACAAATTAAAACAAATAAATAAATAAAATAAACAGAGCAATTGAAATCAAATTTTGAATCCTTCGCAAATTGAATGGACCAGATTCAGTTTTTATTAATTTAGTTAATGTAGCTTTGAATGTACGATGAGCTCGCTTAATGATAGCTTGCCCTTGAGAGTTGTAAGGAATTCCATGTATTAATTGAATGTTCCATTGTTGACAAAAAGAAGTAAATTCCTTACTAGTATATGGTGAACCATTGTCTGTTTTCAATTGAATTGGTCGGCCCATGACAGAAAAAGCAGAAAGACAGTGAGACATTGCATCAGAAGTGCGTTCATGTCTGGAGGCAGTGACCCATAAAAAGTGAGAATATGTGTCAATGATTGCATGTAAATAAGTGTATGGCTTAAAAGTAGCAAATTGTGTGACATCCATTTGCCAAATTTGGTTGGCTTTTGTTCCCCAAGGATTTACTCCCATAGGAAAAGGAACAGCAAATTGTTGACAAGAAGTACATCCTCGAGCAATATCACGAGCCTGGGAAATAGGAACAGAAAATTGTTTAGCCAAAGATTTAGCATTTTGATGAAAATATGAATGACTAGCAACAGGATCAGAAAAAAGAGTTGTGACATCTTTTAGAGTTTCATCAGCTTGTCGATTTCCTTCTGTCAAAGAATTTTGAAAAGGAGTGTGGCTCCTAATGTGCTCAACATATAAAGGAAAGACACGTTCTTCCAAAACATGTTTTAGAGATAAAAATAAAGACAAAAGATTGACATCAAGAGAAACAGAACAATAAGCATAAGGAAGAGATTGCATTGCAAGAAATACATATTTTGTATCAACAATCAAGTTAAGAGGCTGATCAGAAAATAATCTTAAAGCCAAAAATAACAGCTGCCAACTCAGAACGTTAGGCAGATGTCTGAGTGGAAGTGAATTTAGAAAACCATTGTTGACCATCTGTCCAAACCACAACACCACGAGTAGGTGATCCATCTGTGAATACTGTTAAAGCTTCATGAATAGGAGAATGAGTAAAAATAGAAGAAAATGAAAGATTTAATGTATTTGTAATAACTATTCTAGGATCTTTAGGTAAAGAATATTGAATATCACCAAGATATTGAGAAAAAGCAATTTGATATGAGTCAGAAACAGTCATTAAATGTTCATGTTCAAGTTTAGTACGAGTGAAAGCAATACCATCCAAATCATGACCTATTAATTGCAAAGATCTTTGTCGTGCTTTCATGATCAATTCTTCTAAAGCTTGTTGATAAGGAAAAATATTTCTAGGAGGAGAAGCAGACAAATTCAACCATTCATGAATATGAATCACTTTTTCATCTAAAAGAGAATAAAGACAACCAGTAGGTAGTGGTGAAGTAGGAAGAATTGCTAACCATAATTTAGTAGCTATAGAGACAATTCTATCAACATATCTCAGTTTAAGTTTATTTAGAATGTCCTGGAGACATTTCTTTTGCAAAGTGGTAAGAGACACCAGATCCTCAGGATGCTTAGAACCTTTTAACAAGGAAAAGAGAGGTAACATTTCTCCTGTAGAAATTTGAAAATATGGACGAGCCCAATTAATTATGCCTAAGAGTTTTTGCCATTGAACCAAGATATATGAAGATTGCACTTTAAGTTCAGGTAAGATAGGAATGGAAGAAGATTGTAAAACTTTAAACCCCAAATATGAATAAGGTTCAGTGCGTTGTATTTTTTCAGGAGCGATGTAAAGCCCTCTGCTGGCTACAACGGTAGTTAATGCTTGTAGTACTTGTTCTTCATCAAAATCTGGACCTGCTATTAAAATATCATCCATGTAGTGATAAACTAAAAAAAGAAGAAAATTGAGCACGAAAAGGTTGCAAAGCTTGATCCACAAAATATTGACGAATAGTAGGAGAATTGAGCATACCTTGTGGTAGAACAGACCAATGATATCGTTGTGTAGGTTGACTATTATTTAAAACAGGCACAGTGAAAGCAAATTTTTCTTTATCCTGCGACTGTAAAGGAATGGTGAAAAAACAATCTTTCAAATCTGCAACTAATAATTTATAAGATCGTGGGATTGAATTAGGATTAGGAAGACCACATTGTAAAGGCCCCATCGGTTGAATGCATTCATTTATTCTTCTAAGATCAGATAAAAAACGCCATTTTCCACTTTTCTTTTTTATAACAAACACAGGAGTGTTCCAGGGACTAGTGGAAGGTTCAATACGGCCAGCAGTCAATTGTTCCTGTACTAAAGAATGAAGAGCAATCAATTTTTCAGAAGATAAAAGCCATTCTCAATCCAAATAGGTGTAGAACAAAGCCATTTAAGAGGAAGTGCCATCCTCTAAAATCAAATGAGCATTAAGAAGAGAAAGAAGATCCCTGCCCCAAATATTAGTATGAATATCTAAAATGTAAAGATGTAAAGATACAGACTTACCAGCAGAAGTTGTGATGGCAATGGGATGAATGCTTTGCCAAGCAGTTGTAGACCCACCAATGCCCCACAAGGAATTAACATCACGTTTAGGCCATTGCACAGGCCACTGTAAAAGGGAGATGACAGTAACATCGGCACCTGTATCTAATAGACCTTGAAAAGATTGTTTATTAAGATATAAAGTAAGAAGTGGTCTAAAAGAATTAATAGACTGAAGAAGTCCTATAGAATTAAGAGTTGAACCAAATCCAGAATTACCACGTTGTCCAGTACCTGGATTAGGTACCCTATAAGGAAGGAAAAGAAGTTGTGCAACAGAAGATCCTTTAGGAAGAAATTTTTTTAAAAAAACAAATTTATTTATATGCCGCCCTTCTCCGGAAACTCAAGGCGGCTTACAATGCGTTAAGCAATAGCCTTCATACTTTTGCATATTTATACAAAGTCAGCTTATTGCCCCCACAAACTGGGTCCTCAATTTACCTACCTTAGAAAGGATGGAAGGCTGAGTCAACCTTGAGCCTGGGGAGATTCGAACTAGCAGTAATTGCAGGCAGCTGAATGTTAATAACAGTGCTTTAGTCTGCTGCGCCACCAGGCTCAAATTGTGGAATATTTACTCAAATTTGCATAAGAATCACTCCAGTGTAATCAGAATCAAATAACTCCTGGAACTCCAAAACATCCTAATTTATGAGCAGAAAAACGTGGTAAAATAATACCAACTAATCCAGAAGGGAGAGGACCAGTGTATTGAGAAGAAACAAGTTTAACTTCTAAAGGAAATTTAAAATCCAAATCTTCTTGAGTAATTAAATCGATCCCAGCGCTACCTGTTGTGGCTGAGGAGGCACAAGAGAGGGAGGAGGAGGAAGGGGGAGAAGATTTACGGGAAAGGCACATTTTTGTTTCTGGGTGGGTGCCACACCCACTTGCAACTTTCCCGAACGAAAACGACACTGATTAGCCCAATGAAAACCTTTCTTACAAATAGGACATTTCTTTGTAGGACGATCGCCACCAGTAGATGGCGTTGAACGACAATCTTTCTGGAAATGACCTACTTTTCCACATTTGAAACAATTCCCCACAGGCCTTGTTCCTTTCTGAATTGCAGCAGCTAATAAACGCATGTTATATGATTGAGATCCAATATCCTGGCAAACACGTAACATGTCTGCTAAAGTATATTGATTTGTAGCTTTTAAAGGTCGGAGAGCACGTTTACAGTCTACATTAGCATTTTCAATAGCCAATTGACGCAGTAATTCTGCTGCTGCTTCCTGGTTATCCAATTGTCGATGTAAAGCTTTTGAAAGTCTTTCTACAAAATCAGCATAAGGCTCAGTTGCTCCCTGGTGTATGTTAGAAAAACTAATTTTAGGCTCACCAGCTTGTGGAACTTTTAAAAAAGCTCTAAAGGCACACTCAGAAACTACAGCTAATGTAGCAGGAGGAAGAACAAGCTGTGTAGGAATAGTTGCAAATTGACCTGATCCAAATAACTGTTCTACTGTGTAAGCACCACCACCCCTTAAAGCAGCTGCATGAGAATGATGCAAATATTCACTTTCCCAAACCACATATTGCATCGGAGTTAAAATCATGCGACACAATTGCTTCCAATCTTGAGGTACCATAGTATACCCGTTCTTAATTCCCTCTAAAAGACCTCTAGTAAAATTTCCAGTAACTCCATAATCAGAAATAGCCTTCTTTAACTCCCGTAAAATTTGAAATGGCAAACCTTCTGGTCCAGCTTGTGGTCCTTGTTGATATTGCCCTGGACATACTGATAACAATTCAGCTAACTCTTCCCCAGAAATAGCAACATCCGTCTTACAATTTTCCACCATCTTTTGAAAAGAAGACTTTGGAACAATATTAGAAGGAGACTTTGGTTCAATGTCAGAAGAAGCAGAAGGAGCAGAAGGTATTAATGCAGGCACAGATGGAATTATTATAGCCTTAGAATCAGGAGACAAAACTTCCTTTTCAGATAGCGGAGGACATATCACATTAGTAGTATGTTGAAGAGAGGGAGGTGTTAAAAGAGAAGAAACCTTCTCTTCCTTCTGACCAAACATTTCTATAGCATGTCTACATAGCTGCCAAGCATGCAAAATATCTACCTCTGGACTTATCTTAGAATGCAAAACCTTGCCAACTTTTTCCCAATCTGACAATTTTAAAGAACCCCTATCAGGATAGAATGAACAAGTTAAGGCAATTTCTCGTACCAGCCGATAAAGAGCCTTCTGTGAGACAGACAATTCAGACTTCTTAAGAAGATACACCAAATCATCAACATGCTTCCATTGCCCTTGAGAAAGCGAAGGTCCCATACTTACAGAAACCTTTAAAGAGATAAGGTTGAGAAGCCCAAAGGCTGACAACGCGTCTGTCCTTGCCGGACGAAGTATGAGTCCCTGTTCCAGGCGCCAAATGTTGCATTTGTTTCCCGGAAGCTGGAGATGAGTGAAAGGAAAACATCCACGGATAGCAGAATCAACAGCAGAATCAACAGCAACTTTATTGAGCATCAGACATACTTTATATAGTTTCTAAGTTTCTTAGTTCTCACCTACTATGCGTGTTACTTTATTATTGGTTAACAAATCTCCAAGGCACAATAATTGGTTAGTAATTACATCATTGGTTTTCATGAGAATATGCATGTATTCACACACAATGAAAGATACAACGAAAGCGGCAAATGTTGCAGGTTATACACTGTTTCACCCTGTGTCCTTGTACAGGCTAGAAACACTGCTCAAAGATGAGAATTGCTGACGTTTGCAATTTCGTGTAACTGCATTTTCCAAAACCATACAGATGAGCATTGTAATAACCCTACAGCAGTATATAAATAAAATAAAATAAAATAAAATAAAATAAAATATTAAAATAAAATAAAATAAAATAAACACTTTTCTGCACAAGTGTGAAGGGTTAACTGCAATGGCTGAGAACAGGTGTCTAAGAAACCTCGCAAAGTAGCCCTTGCAAAAATCAAGGAAAGTGACCTGATAGCTTGAGCAGCGGTTAGAGGCGTCCAGAGAAGGCCTGGAGGTAAACAAAGTTTATTATTAGAGAGCTCACCAGCTGGGAACTCTGGGACATGCACTCCAATGACTCTGGAACGCTTCTGGTGGAAAAGAGTACTCAGCCTGGATGAATGGGAAAGGGAGTGACCTTATAGTCATCTGAAGGTCATCTACCGTCTGGAATGAGCTCCCCCCAGAGATACAGAGGATTCCGGATCTGCGCACCTTCCGCCGCGCTGTGAAGACTTTTTTATTCCATCAAGCGGGCTTGGCCTAATCTCCTCCCTCTTTTAATATGTAAATTTTAATCTGTTTTTAAATTATTGGGGTGTTTTAATCTGTCTGGGCCAAAATGATTTAATTTGATTTTATCTGGTTTTAAATTTTGTGTATTTATGTATTTTATTGCTTGGCTGTTCGCCGCCCTGAGTCCTTCGGGAGTAGGGCGGTATACAAATCAAATAAACTCAAATAAACTAAACTAAGGCAGCCAAAATATTTGGTCCACAGTGGTTGTGTTTACAGGACAACATTTCCATAGTTAGCCAGAGTCATTTTAACTCACAGGCTATACAGGAGTGATAATATGGTCAGCTGGTCTGTCATTCACACAGTGTACTTAGATTGATCACTGAATCAACTAACCAAACTGTTATGGAATGAAGGGACGAAACAACATTCCTGGTCAGACAGAGACAGAATTTATTTGCAAAAGTTCAGTGCATTTTGATTCTCGCAAAACTGAACAAAGGATGTTCTGATTCCATGGTTTTTATACATTTCTAAGACAAAGGATTCAATGATCTCATACACTTTCCCTATATGGTCACATAAATTTGTTAATTACATTATACTTTACCATCCGTTTCCCCACATATGGTTAATCATTGCTTTCTAGTTTACAACTTTTCCTTAGGTGCTCTCAGTTGCTAATGGGAGAGTTACTACTGTCCTTGGGTAAATTTATTGGATTAAGTAACTCTTTGTAACATATAGGTCTTTGTGTCATTCACAGTGAGGTCACTCAGATGTTTTTCCATATGGCAGTCCTTTCTGTGACATCTAGGTCTCAGAAGATATATTACCACTTAAAGGGGTTTAACTGTTTGTTAATGTAATTTCCAACAAGCACTTTCCTCTCTTATAATAATGTGAATAGAGAGGGTCTCTCAGAGTTCATGTATCCAAGCACGTCTTCCCCTTATAATAATGTGAATAGAAAGGGTCCCCCAGAGCCCATATATCTGACTCTGTATGATTCCTGTTTTATTCACATTATTTCTTTTATGTACATTATTCTTTATTTGCTATTTACCTCAAAACAAGCTAGGTTCCCCTTGTACAACTCACTAAATCCTTCAAAAATATCAAGATTGAGACTAATCAAGTTTAAAACATGGTAAGAATGATAGGATTAAGCAAAATGCATGAACGCAGCTTCTGCCAAGGTAAATAGTAGGAAAGGTAAATAGAACCCACCCCTGCTGCAGAGTGCTCCTGGGGGCTGGGGAGGGCAAAAACGCAATGCATGGCGGATTCCGGAGGCCAAAAACGGCCCAGTTTTTTGCAAAAACGCGGGTGTTTTTGCCCTCCCCAGCCACAGGAGCACTCTGCAGGCTCCCAAAGCATCTGCACACCCTGTTGTTGTGAAAAACGGGCCCATTTTTCACAAAAACGGGACGCGGGGGCGGGGCTTTGGGAGGCCAAAAATGATTATATTCGGTGTATTCTGCTGCGCCACCAAGAGCCTTGGTGTCGCAGCAGATTAAAGTGGTGTTAAGTGATACCAGCTGCCTGCAATTACTGCAAATTCGAATCTCACCAGGCTCAAGGTTGACTCAGCCTTCCATCCTTTCGAGGTAGGTAAAACAAGGACCCAGATTGTGGGGGCAATAAGCTGACTTTGTATAAAAAAAAACACCGCTGGGGGGGGGCGAAAGCCCTACTAAGCAGGTATATACAAAAGTATGGAGGCTATTGCTTAAACGCATTGTAAGCCGCCCTGAGTCTCCGGAGAAGGGCGGCATATAAATTGAACCAATAAATATAAGATGCACCAACATTTCCACCCCCTTTGGGGGGGGAAGTGTGTCTTATACTCCGAAAAGTATGGTAGTTAATGTAGTATTACTTGGCAGCTACCAAGTAATTGGTTGCATTGTCTGAGTGTGCGACTCATGTACTTTTCTAAACAATCAGAAAATTATTTCAAAAAGTGTGGAAAGAGCTTCAGGATGAAAATTTCCTCTCTCACAAAAGCGGGCAAAATGACCCAAAGCCCCTGAAATGCAGGAGCAAAAGATTTTTCAAGCTTTAGGGCCATATTTTGCTTTCCTATGGTGAGCTAAAGACGAGGACAAAGTATACATTGGACCAGTGGTGAAATCCAATTTTTTTTACTACCAGTTCTGTGGGTGTGGCTTGGTGGGTGTGGTGTGGCTTGGTGGGCGTGGCAGGGGAAGGATACTGCAAAATCTCCATTCCCACCCCACTCTGGGGCCAGCCAGAGGTGATATTTGCCGGTTCTCTGAACCGCTCAAAATTTCCACTGCCGATTCTCTGAACTGCTCAAAATTTCCGCTACCAGTTCTCCAGAACCTGTCAGAACCTGCTGGATTTCACCCTGGTCCTAAGGCTTGATTTCACCCAGTCTATATGTGTACTTTTGGTTTTTCTTGTCCATAAAGGGGAAGGGTTTCATCTGAATTCCCCATAAAAATCCGCTCAGGATGCACTTGATTCTATTTGTCCATATCTCATCTTGAAGAACTTTCTCTGAATCTTGAATTCTCAAGACCCTGCTTTGGCTTTAGAGAGTAACTGAGGCTACTTGGAGGTATTTCTGTGTGCTCAGGGGAGGGGTGAAATGCTCCCGGTTCGGACCGGATCGCCCAATCTGATAGAAATGGAGGCGGGTGGTTCAGAGAACCGGTAGCAAAAATCCCTGCCCCTCCCCATTGTCTAGCTGAGTCACGCAATCATCAGAGGCTTTTTTAAAAAATTTTTAAAAGCTTTTTTTCTACAGCCTCTGGCTGAAAAAATGCTTTTTAAAGTAAAAAAAAATGATTGCGCGGCTTTGTTGCAGGAAAAGAAACGGGACCAGGCCAAGCTCTTCAATGCAGGAAAGAGTTTATTGTGCACGGTTCAAACAGCCCAAAGGCAAACAAAAGTTTGAACACCGAGGGATCCTTCATGACTGTCACTGCGTTCTTTTATTTACCAGCTGAGCTCATCATTTCTGGACTGTCAGACCTTCCGTAGCTTGCCAACTTCTTATCAGTAAGCTACGTGTATCCGCATTCTTTCACTTGCTTCACACTCTTTTTTTCCTTTTTGTTCTCTTGCCAGAAGGTACCGGGTGCTGAGAAAAGCAGCTGGCACGAACTATATTCAAAATGTAACAATTACTTTTTCTTAGTTAGTGAGATGTTTTATTTTCTTTTTACCAATAAAAGAGTTTTATTAGAGAATACTTCTTCGGGTTTTATTTCAGAATATTGCAACTTGGAGAAAGCCACGGTCCATCCTCTAATTAATCAGGGTGATTGTCCCAGAGCCAAAAATGGGATTAATCAAAACCCTGACAATGACAAGTATTTATACAATCCAATTGCATATGCATATCAGGGAGCATTACATTTAAGACGTAAGAACTAACCTCCATCAGTTTGCAAGGATCAAAGAGGAGAGGAAATAATAAACACCCACTAACACATTCATGTTCTCTGGTCAGTGTCTCAAGACAATACATAAGAAGATAAGGGATTGAAAGACACCTCAAGGGTAATAAAGGAAGCAGCATTTGTTATCTGGGGATATACATGACATTTAGGGTACAGTAAACAGTGAGTAACAGGATGCATTTGTTTTGGGTCATTTTACCCTTTTACAGATAAGTACCTCCGTCAAATACCTTCGTCAATCCAGCAACCTTTTATCAGCACGGAAGAGGAATTTCAGCCTTGGCCAAAGTTTTAGGACATTAATATTCGAAGTTTAGCCAATATCAGAATTTGGTCTGCCTCAGCTTAGCTGGGATCATCAGAGGCTTTTAAAAGTATTTTTTTACAAAAATGGCTTTAAAAGAAAAAAAAAGTTAGCCATGCCCACTCAGTCATATTACACCCCCCCCACCAGGCCACACCCACAGAACCTGTAGTAACAAATTTTACATTTCACCACTGGTCTCAAGAGTCACCCGAGTAGTGCAAATGTGTGTGGAGTATGTTTTCTGCCCTGTGTCCCTTCACTACTGAAGATAGGCACAGGTTTTTGGGAATGAGTCTGTGTTATCTGCATCAACATACCCCCCCCCAAAAAAAATTACTACAAGACGGAACCATGAGCAATAGCTGGAATTAATCAGGGAGAAAACCAATCTAGGACTAAGGAAGATTTCCTGACTGAGATGAGATGGAAATAAGGTAAATAAGAGAAGATAAAAGGTGAATAAAAGAAATAATCATTCCAAGTCAGGTATATAAAGTCAGATCAAATCCTATGAACTCTAAGCAACCTTTGAATGAACTCATCTATTCACTTAAGGATACGTGCTGGCTAAAGGCAGCTGGACTTCCTTATTAGTAAAATATATCTTCTGATGAGGCTCAACTGTCATCCAGCAGAAAAGTTAAGAGTGGAGTTTGGTGAATAGAACTAAGTAATTAGTTCATGGATGTCCCCATAATCACTTGACCTATGGCCCTGTGTCAAACCCTCTGATTCTATACATCTTCTTAACAGAATCAAAT